GACAGACAGACAGACAGACAGACAGACAGACAGACAGACAGACAGACAGACAGACAGACAGACAGACAGACAGACAGACAGACAGACAGACAGACCTCGTGCCGAACCAGTCAGCCGGTACTTGTGTCGATTGTGGATCTGAGCGTTCAGTCCGTCATTGAACGTGCTGCCGTTGGAGTACTAAGCTATCTGAATAGGGTGTTCCATGCACAGTAACTAAAGTAAATGTATGTATGTTCATACAAGTAGGGAAGTACAGTACAAAAGTACTTCTCGGGGATATCTCAAGTATCTTCAGAGTATATTCAGGTCTCCCTACCTAACCATTCCACAGTCTTCTTTCTTTCCAGCGTCCCCAATTGGTCTGGTGAGGGCCTTGGCAGACTGGAGAATGACCACACTGCCTCTGATCCAGTCTCCAATAGGATAGTCGCTATTCCGGCCCATGAGATGATGTGTGAGAGATCTGAGGCCGTGCTCAGGTCATCACAGACAGCCTTTCCTCATAGCAAGCGAGGATTGATTGATTTCCAAAGGGGCTGGGGGTCGACAACTGTTCGCATGGGCTGGATAACCTCGAAATCTTCCAATTGGAAACATGACAGCCCCCGTTGAATGAAAGCGCCTCGGTATACGATTTGAGTTCCAGAAAGGATCTGCCCATCGCATCCACGAACCTGTTCTTGGGATGACTCTCCTTCTCGGCTACCTACGGAGACTGCGCTTGTCCGCTCGATCTCGCCAGGTGTGACAAAATCCCAGCTAGCCTGAGGTCGAATGCAATGAGCAAAGACGCTAAAACACTTGCAGGACGACCACGACGGAAGAGACACGGGCGTCCTGCAGCCTGATGATTGTTTCAACAGCAATTTACCATCCATCTGACGCCTGGACCACAGTACAGTTTGTGACCCGTTTCTTCTTCCAACTTGCACGTCTCGGAAATTGCGTCTAGCGATCTTGGCTCACGGTCGAGTGCAATTCTCTTGTTAGGTGATTTGTTTCAAGCTGGAGGCATGGTAGGACAAACACTTGATCGTCGGCAGTGATCTTAGTCAACGGTGCATTTTTACCTGATTCCAATCCCAAGCTCGTCATTCTGTTCCTGTAACACCGTGGTTTGTACCAAAATTCGGTCTATTGCTTTTACGCCAATAGTTACATGCCGGTCGCCGGAGACATGCCGTGTCGTGTCCTGAAACGACCTCCGTGGCACCAGGTCAGGATGCTTGCAAGACAGGATATACTTTCGTTGAGGAAATCACAAGGCCAAATCGAATAATACAGCAAGGAAGTAGAAATACAAAGGAAGAAGCCAGCACCCCCTCCCTCCCCACACGCGAGGGAGGACCAGCCTTGATCGCGCCTTTATCTCTTGACCCAGGTAGGCATCTTGCGCGCCTTGACGTGACCAGGCTTCTTTCTCTCCACGCGACGGGCATCGACCGTGATGACGCCAGCTGCAAAGTCAATTGGTCAGCAACTGATGGCGGTAGTAAGAGACATGAAGACTTACCTCTCCGAAGTACAGGCTTTAGAGCGGGCTCGTGAACCATCAGCGCTCGTGCAACAGCCAGCGTGATGGCTTCTGCCTGCCCAGTAGTTCCTCCACCCTGAACTTGAGCCCACACATTATACTTGTCCAGTCGCGACGTACTTCGGAGAGCCCAGGTGGCACTCTCACGATCATGTACTCGAGGGAAAGCCTCGACCAATGTCTTTCCATTCACCCTGACCTCGCCCTCACCCTCGACCAGGAAAGCCACTGCCGAGGAAGACTTGCGTTTGCCCCGGCCACGAGCACGGCCCATCTCATCCACCGTAGCCGGCGCAGGCTTGTTCGCGTACGGGTTGCCTCCACGAACGTATTTGTGAATAGTCTCCTTCACATTATCGGGCATCAATTTTGGATCGATTCGATTGAGTCGCTGCAGAAGTTTGATGAGGCGCTTGTACTTCTTCGTAGGCACGGATTCACCGACAAAATCACGGAATTGAGCCAACTTGAACCATGCCATACGAGGGGCCTGGCTGCTTTCCACAATCGGTAGACTGAGATTCTCGGCGAGCATATGTTCGAGCGCCAACTGGTGGTCGATAAATTTGGGGCTGCCGGAGAAATACGACGGAGAGACGGGCACAAGCCGTGCAGGGAGGGTGCGAAGCGTGTCGAAATCGATCGGAGGAGCAGCGGTGACTTCAAGTTGAGTTGCGTATGTTCGCTTGCTACTGAGGCTCCGAGGGAGCCTCGTCGTCGTCGTTGTCGTCGTCGATGAAGCCGAGAGAACGGGCGATGCGGAGAGCATGGAGCGCTGGAGTACAGGCCGGAGAGGAACTGTTTGACGAATAAGATGCATGGCCTGCACGAGACCATTGGGGGTTTGCCAGGCCATTGTGCGGCGAGGACGACTGGCCGAAGCCTGGGGAGAAAGAGGTTGAGGTCTTTTTTCTGTTGGGCTTGAAATACAAAAAGAGGAGCGGGTCTCTCTTTCAATCTCTCTCTCGGCGGAACACTTCGCATTTGGCGGTGTTTTGGGCATTTCCAGAGGTTTTTCCAGATGTCTTTGTCACGTGCTTCGCAGTAATCATTCCTCCGGCCCCGATGCCGTCTGATTCGCACAAATTTCAACCCATCCATTTTCTTCTTCCCCTCATTCTTTTTCTCTCCTCCTCCCCCTCCCCCTTTTCTATTTTCTCATCAACTCACATCCCTTCACAATGGCCTTCGGAAAGCTTTACGGTACCGCTGTATGTAGTCTTCACGATCCCACTTCACTCTGAGTCACAATTCGAGTGCTTCATGCGCTTGATGTTGATGCGTCGGTACTTTCTGACACGAACCCCTCCAGCTAACATGGTCAAATAGGAGAACGCTCGCACCATCGCCATCCTCGTTGCCGCTAAGGCTAACGACGTGGAGTTGGAGCTTGTCAAGACCGAGCCTAACTCTTCTTCTGAGTTCAACTCGTCCGCTGCTTACCGCCGCATCCAGCCCCTCGGCAAGATCCCTGCTTTCGAGGGTGCCAACGGCTACACTCTGTCTGAGGCCATTGCCATTGCCGTCTATGGTAAGATCTTACAATCTCTTTTTCTTGTTCCATGCTTTCCCCACTCGCGATATGATGAGATTCATCTATTAGTTATCCCTGTCAGAACGGTAAAAAACAAAACTGTGTTGATAACCTTTAACTCTGATCATCTATACCCCACTTTGGGCAAAGAACCATTTGTCACTTGACGATCGTTGGAGACCTGACGCTAACCTGGTGTAAAGTGACCTCCCAGAACGAGAAGACTACCCTCTTGGGTAAGACCAAGCAAGACTATGCTTCCATCCTCCGCTGGTTGTCCTTCGCCAACGCTGAGATGATGCCCCGCTTCGCCAGCTGGTTCCGTCCCCTTCTTGGCTTCGAGCCCTACAACAAGAAGAACGTCGAGGATGCTCAGAAGGTCGCCTTGAAGAACGCTGGCGTTCTCGAAACTCACCTTACCGCCAACACCTTCCTGGTTGGTGAGCGTATCTCTCTGGCTGATTTCTTCGTCGCCGCTCTCTGCACCCGTTTCTTCTCCACCGTCTTGGACAAGAAGTTCCGTGATGAACACGTTTCCTTCGTCCGCTGGTACAAGACCATTATCAACCAGCCCGCTTTCAAGGCGGTCGTCGAGAACCCCGTCTTCGTCGAGGAAGCCATCAAGTACACTCCCCCCAAGAAGGAGGAGAAGCCCAAGGCTGCTCCCGCCCCCGCTGCCGCTGCTCCTGCCGCTGAGGAGAAGCCTGCTGAGGAGAAGAAGCCCAAGCACCCTCTTGAGGCTCTCGGCCGCCCTACCTTCGTCCTTGACGACCTGAAGCGCACCTACTCCAACGAGGACACTCGTCCCGTCGCCCTGCCCTGGTTCTGGGCCAACTACAAGCCTGAGGAGTTCTCTCTCTGGTCTGTCAACTACAAGTACAACAACGAGCTCAAGCTTACCTTCATGGCCAACAACCTGATCGGTGGTTTCCACAACCGTCTTGAGGCTTCCCGCAAGTACCTGTTCGGTTCCCAGCAGGTCTATGGTACCAACTACGACTGCGTCATCCGCGGTGTCTTCCTTGTCCGTGGCCAGGAGTTTAAGCCCGCTTTCGACGTTGCGCCCGACTGGGAGAGCTACGACTTCGTCAAACTCGACCACACTAATGAGGCTGACCGCAAGCTCGTTGAGGACATGTGGGCCTGGGATGTCCCCGTTGTCATCGACGGCAAGGAGTACCCCTTCGCTGACGGCCACGTCTTCAAATAAGCTAGTACACCCAAGTTCAGGTCGTCGTAGCTGTGCCTTAGCGCCGACTCATTATTGATGATGATGATATCCCTTTCCCTTTTATTCTCTTGGCGATGAGTGAGCTTTGTAGTATATGAGCACACAATGGTCAGCCTTTCCCATGCTCCACCACTCCTTTCATCCGCTCAGGAAACAGGTTAGGAAGTATTCGGCACAGATGATAGCCGGTTCATCCCGCCCCTTCTGTGGCGCACTTTCTCCCCGCAACTTCCTTCAACATTTCAACCATTTCTTCGATATACCCCGCGATGGACTGGGCTGTTTGTCAATCTGCCCTCACCTCAGAAAAGCTTTTTACTCCCTTTTATTCATGCGTCACGCAACGCCCATGATTTGCAAATCGATGTTATCAATACAGTAGTCTGGCAGACAATGCTCAAGACAATGAAACTCAACACTGGAACTATCCATGATCTCGTGATAACCTCTTGTATTTTCACTAGCAGTGTCAGGGTGACCCCACGCCATTTCGCAGGCTTTTTAAGTCCCTTCGGACTTCGGCAGTAGGCAACCACAGAATTGCAAAGGCGATTACCAAAGATACAGGGCCCTTCTCTAAAAATGCAGGGCAGGGCGGAATAGAAAGGCGGAGTAGTTTTCCATCTTAACTACCTTTCCTCTCCCCTGGGGGCTTTAGGCTTCGGATAAGTACCCCCTTCACCTCTATTCCTACTAATAGAGCCCTAAGGTAAAAGTACCTTAAGTTCCCGGAGCTGTTTCTGCTGGTAGAAATAATGAATAAATTCTGATGATTCTTAATTGAAGAACACGTAGACTTCTTGGTGGACAAATACCAAATTTATCATCTCGATACATGTGAGTAGCTTGAATTTGACTATTAGAGAAACGAGAGACGTATGACGAGACTTATCCCAAGAGGCTCTGGCCTCATAACATGTTGATCTTGACGCCTTTTTATGGCTTAGGGGTGGCTTATAGGACGCGTTGTTTAATGTTGTTGTCGATCTCTTTCTTAGATAGTTAATATTATAAAGAATTAACTAATATACCTATGGGCAATTTCGCTTAGAATCACAAGGCCGGATTATTGCTACACCAACAGAAATATCGATGAAGTTGAAATTTGAACTTGACCCAGCCTACCAGATTCTCTAGTCCACCGCAGAACATGTTCCGTATTTCGGTCGAGAAGTCACAATCGAAGGAAAAATATCATGTAGGTTGATGTAGGGCAAAGATAAGGTACACGAAGGTTACTTATGTAGATGGCCAGAACGACCGGCACAGGAACAGATAAGATGTATGAATCCATCGAGAAGACAAGAACGATCTGCAAGCCAGGCAGATGATGTAGATAATAAATCGAATCCACACAATATCCTCTTATGTATATGCCATGGAACATGAAGAACACAGATAGACAGTCAATAAACAAATCAGCCAAACACAAAACAGATTTCCAGAGACATACACATATACACAGAGAGTGTGTGTGAGAGAGGTCCTGGTAGGGGGAGAGCCATCATGTATGCACAGATTAGATCCGATTGAAGTGGGATAGGGGCTAGCATCCTCACCCCGCTTCCAGTCGGAGGGGTATATGGGTAAACTCAATTTTCTAAAGACGCCTCTAACTTATTGAGAAGAAAAGGGTATTAGTATCGGATCCCGTTGGGAGTGACAGGAGATAGGGAGCGGGTGGAACAGCGACCCGGCTGCGAACTCTCCTCGCCTGGTCGGCCGCCTTGTGCTTCAGCTGGCGAATTCGTGGCCCGAATTCGATGGACCGTACCGCTTGATGGTTGCGACGCCCCGGATTCGGTGTAAGAGTGGTGCTCCGTGCTCGAAGGTGCGACCGGGGACAGGGTACGAGCTTGGGCAACAGCTGCAGGGGCAGCAGGAGCAACCCGTGCTGCTTTCTTCTCTTGCTTACGGGCTTTGCGGCGTTCGATGCGGGCTTCTGCTATCGCATCGCGAGGCGGAGTCAATGCGCCGTTGTGGGTCTGTTGATCCTGCGGCTGGCGTGGCGCGATGGTGTCTACAATGTCGAGGATGCTCGCATTGCCAGACTCTTCTAGCGTCAAGCACCAGCGACGCAGCACCTGGCTGACATCGTCATATCTCGCTAGTTCCTCCAGAAGCTGCAGGACTTTTGAAAGGACTCGATGGTCATCCGGTCCAGGCTGGCCCGTGAACTCAGGGACTTCCAGGATGTTGTACGGCTCCGAAATGGCTTTTAGTTTGGAGTCATCAATGAGGATGGTATTGGTTTGGTCCCAATGCGGATCTTCCGCCCCTTCCGTAGGTTGCTGCCCATTCCTGCCACGGCCCTTGGGATACGATGATTGGATTCTTTGATCGCACCAGACTGTGCTTAATGTCTTATAGACCTGGGTCTTTGACCTGTATTGTGATTGTGTTAGGTTAAACTTGTCACGACCCCATTCAGCAATGAGCTTTTTACGGGCAGGACCAGGAAAAAGTTTGTGGCACAGGCCTCGGACTGTGAAAGGTTGCGAGCTAGACCAGACCATGACGCTGTACTTTCGCAAAAGAGTTTCGCGGAACTGCCTGAAACCGGCGCGTTCTGTAAAGCTGGGTGGATTCAGACGATTTTTGCGGTGGACAAGTGTGCCGTTCAAGTCGAGAATGACGAGGAGCGGTCTGGAAGAGGAGTTCCGGGTCGGCGGAAGAGAAGATTGCTGGAGATATTCCGCTGTGGGGGATGGAATGGGAGCGGGAGTTTCAACTGGCTTGCTACGTCGAGGCTCACTGTTACTCGGTACCGGTGGTTGCTGCTGGCTAGAGACTCTTTCTGCCGGAAAATTTGTGCGAAGGGCAGGAGGGCTAAACCATGGCATCGCAAGTAGTGGGTTTTGCATCGCCATATTCATCAAAGGGGGAGGTGGCATAGGTGGTAGCTGGCTCGCAAACCTGTGGAAATCATCCCACGTCGGAAACTGAAAAGGAAGCGGGAATGTATTTGCCTGGGGGGTAAATTGTTGCTGGGGCTGAGGAGGCACATTCTCTTGAAGTGAAGGCCATTGACCTGACATATTTTGTGTGAAAAATGGTTGCTGATGTGGCACCAAGCCTGGGGGTGGAGATAATGCAGTGCTCGCCGCGTTTGTGACACCTGGTGCTGGTGCGAAGCCAGAAGGCGAGTTTCCATTGTTGAGATTTCCAGTGGGACCAGCAGGACTTGCTGCGTTTAGCTCATGATGTGACTGCCAAGGCGCAGCCCGATGAGGCGGCACGATCGAACTGGCAGGTCCCTGATGCGATCGTCTGTTTTTCGGCCTTTGGTTCCATCTCGGTCCATTCCTTCTCGCACGGTCTGGAGAGGCGGTACCTTGCGCTTGGGTGCCGGACGGCTCTGCATGTGTAGTTTTCGAGCTCCAACGGCCATTATAGGGTCTCCATAATACCGGATTTTGAGGACTACCATTATTGAAGGAATTATCAGGGCCGCCCCGGCCTGGGTGGTCGAAGTCGTGTGCGACGTTACTTTCAGATCTCATCTCGGAGCGCGGTGCGCTGTCATAGAACTTATCCGAAGCACACGAGTGGCTGTATGGTCTCATAACAGACGCGGGGCAGGATTTAGCGGTACTCGGTCGCAAGATCTGCATGACGCTATTAGTGGCGAAAGTTTCAACTGATGTCTTTCAGGTGATACTTACACGGACCGTACTGATGGTTTCGTGTCGGAACATTCGATGTGAGGCTAAGCGGAGGCCAAGGGGACTGGCCTTTAAGATAAGATGATGACGCACACAAGCGTATTGCATGTACGATCCCAGTAGCCGCAATCAGACGAATGAACCGGTCAAAGCAAGAGAGAATTGAAGAAGGGGGAACAGGAGAAAAGAAAAAAAAAAAAAAAGAAAACAAATAGAGCAAGAAAAGAAGTGCAGAATGGCCGACAAGGTAAGTAAGTAGCAGCAGGGCGGAAGCAATGGACCAGGGGAAAAATCGAGATAAATTCCCCCCCGCGGACCAACCAGCAGTGAGCCCTTGAGCCCGCCTTAGTGACCGCTCTCTGCAATAGGCAGAAAGAGGGCTTTTTTTTTCTTTTTCTTGTGATCTGTTTCTCACCGCCGTCCAGGCCTGGCTACGATTTTCCCTTTACGAAGAGCGCCACCAGTTCATCTCCACTAGCACATCACGACATGGCCATTTCGGATCTCCTCAAACGCCGGGTGCGAGCACTTCCTGAGGAAGATGAAGAACCTTTCTCCGCAGGGTCTGGTTCCGAGGAAGCCAGTAACCTTGCAGCCTCCAACAACTCTGACTCGGAGGATGCCAGTAACGGCTCTTTTGACGAGGACGAGGACCAAAATGACGATATGGTTGGTCTTCTACACTTCATTTAAGTCATGATCCAAGCACTGATTCATGACAAAAGTCAGATGGAGCCTCCGACGCTTCAAATAATGACGATGACGATGACGATGACAGCGAAAGCGACGAAGATGCGCCTGCAGATGACGTCCAGGCTTCTCTGGGTAGTATCTCATTCGGCGCGCTAGCCAAAGCACAAGCATCACTAGGCCCGAAAGCAAAGCGTGCTTTAAGGGCTTCCAAGAGTACAGATGAGGCTAGTGCGGCTTCATCCCCTCTCGACGATATTCGAGCCCGGATCCGCGAAGCACGGGAGCAAAAGCGGCAAGGATTATCAAAGTCAAAAGACTCGGAAAAGCTTTCTCGTTCTTCCAAGCATGCTCCCATGGTGCAGTCGTCTAAATATGCCGTATCCCGCAAACGCACGGTCGTCGAGCCGCCGAGCATCCCCAAGTCCCGCGATCCACGTTTCGACCCCACCGTGACCAGTCAAGGAGGCCGGGGGAATGTCCAAGGTGCCAAGGATGCCTATGCGTTCCTTGACGAGTATCGTGCCGATGAGCTCAAGGAGCTGAAGGCACAGTACGCCAAGGCCAAGAATCCCGTACAAAAGGAAGCTCTGAAGCGAGAGATACGATCAACCCAGGACCGACTCCGTGCAATGGAAAACAGAAAGCGAGAGAGGGAGATCTTGGCCGAGCACAAGAAGAAGGAGAAACAGCTCATTCGCGAGGGAAAGAAGAGCAATCCATACTACATGAAGAAGTCGGAGCTCAAGAAGCAGGTCCTGCTCCAGAAGTACGAGAACATGAACTCGAAAGACCGCACAAAGGCGCTCGAAAGGAGACGAAAGAAGACCGCGGCGAAAGAACGGAAAGAAATGCCTATGGAGCGCCGAGCTCTGGCCGACGACGATGCACCCAGAGACCACGTAGGGGGTTTCAAGCGTCGGCGCCTTGCTTAATCTCGATTGTATTTTCTGCTATGGCTCATACGAGATCATTCGTGTACATAATTATGGAAACCATATACCAGTATACCCAAGATAGTAATACCTTTCATTAACCAAAATTACCCATGCTTTGCTAGTTTCCATGATTCTGGTCCCATCATTGCATCCGGATATTATCATAAGTGTCGGGGTAAGAATGAGAGAAGAGCAACATGTCCAATAAGAGTTGGTAAAAGAGACAATGAACAAATCATTGGTATCGCAATATGAACATCAGGTAAGAAAAATAGCAATCATGGACACAACACGGATCATCAAAAGATGAGGTCCCAGAGGTATAAACATGGTTCTTGAAGCGACACACTCTCACAATTAACGCCTCATAGCCGGTGAAACCTCCGTGAATGGAAGTTAGAAATGTAATGGAGAACGTAGAACAGCATCGAAAGTGAGGGAAAAGAGCAGAAAAGCCTGACAAGGACAGCATAGATGCTGTCTGCGATATGGTATAGGAAGCAGAGAAAAAGGTAAGTAAGATGCTAGAAGTAATCCAGTTCTCCCTCGGGCTCAGGAGTAACTGATCATGCCTGTTCATAGAAACGGTCGTAGTATGCAGAATCATCATGCCGAGAACGAGGGCTCCTCAAGACATGTTCCTCACATGTAATTTGGAACACTTTTCCACCCGGGTAAAGAACTACCGCTGCTGATTAAGCTGGACTGAAGAGTAAACATGCTGCGCACATAGAGTGATGCCTCACGGCGTGGCCCTGTAGCTGATTTGATGCAGAAGCGATATTACGGCCTCTAAGAATGGAATAAATCCCATGCGCGGGCACAGAGACTGAGAAATTCTTCTTTCTTTTTCCTCTGGGTTTCGGGCGAGTCTCTGCCAGCACCAAATGGACCACGGCTGGTACTTGCGCCAGATGTCAGAGCTGGATTCGAGCGATAGTGTTGCTCGGGGCCATGGCCGAGTGGGGGGCTTCCATGTTCATGCTCGTATTCATTTCGAGAACGGCGACGCGCCGATCTGTCCGAAGGATACAGAGCTGGCTGCGAGTGCACGGTTGTCGAAGGCGTGGCATTAGAATGAGGTGCGCCAGACTTGGGAGGTCCATTGGCAATGCGCGGAGACGGTGGGGTTGGTGGTTGGTGGCCGCCGTAGTGCACAATGCGAGGCAGAAGCTCCTCTCGGCCGCCCGACATCTCTTGAACAGCCTCTTCAGCAGAGCGGTACTCTCTTGGCCGCTTGGGGACATGAGCGGAATCACGGGACATTCTTGGAGATGGGATGGGCGGTAAGTTGTTTGACTGAGATGAGCTGGCGCCGGACGCGCCAGGGTAGAAAGGGCCCCGATTGATGTCCCTATCACGACTGCCCAGAGCATCTGATCCGAAAACATCCGAGAGGGGCGGAAGGCGATTATTCGTTTGGGTCGCAGGGACATGGTGAATATGAGAGGTTGACCCTAGCGTAGGACTCTGATTGACAATGTGACGGGTCAAAGGTTGTGGCTCATGTCGACCGGTGAATGTCTGGTTCAGAGGTGCGGACTGAATAACACGCTCATTTGCGAATTGGGCTGCAGATGGAGGTACAATGGACAGCCCCGGTGGTCTCCGCTTCGAGGCAGCGGTCTTAGGGAGTCCGAACGAATCTGACGGCTTCATACCCTCTGGCCCATCGTCCTTCGCCGATTTCTGCAGTCGCGACTCGATTATAGATCTCTGCTGATCACGAACCGACAAGCTCCGTTGAAGTTGTTCTCTCATGACTGGATCGTGGGTTTGGAAACCCGGGGACAAGCAAGCAATTCCGACATTCTGCATGTTGAGGCCATCTCGGGCAGTCATCGGACCGCCGGGGGCCCGAGCGGACAGACCTCCCGAGTTAGGCAGACTAGTGGAGAGATCTAGTCGTCGAGGACGGGGTCGAGTGTGGGACTGCATTGCAGGCGATGATGGTGGTTCCTTCTTCACTATGACTTTAGAAGAAGTAGTTCCGTTTTGAGACCTGGTTGGTTGTTAACACACACGTTTGCGAGGCATGTCCTTTCTCGAAGACTTACGATGGGGAAGTCGGTTTCCTTCCTACAGGTGAGCTTTTAGTAGACCCATCCCGTGACGGACCAGACAATCGAGGCGGCGTTGTGCTATTCTGATGATTCGAGGTCGCAGGTGCCAATGTTGGGCAGTTCTTCGGACTCACATCACGGGTCATGCGCGGTGAAGTAAGCGGAGCAGCCTGGACAGGCGCAACCGCGGTGGACATAATGATAACGAGTGGTGACCCGGTGAATAGTCGACGCAAGTGCGACTCCTTGGCAAAATGTTCAACGACAGGAATTGCCTTGAGACTGATCCAATCTTAAGCTTGACAGACGCGCTCTCGGGTGCTGTCTCACACAGGCAGTGTGTATATATACGGTCCGAAGATTGTGCCACCCAATGTCTCACAGCTCAACTAGCCGGAGAAACAATCAACTTCAAATGGTGTTTGCCGTATGTATGGATAAATGGGGGACGGTATCGAACAGAAGAGAGCGCGCAGATGAGCTAGAATCGAGGAATCGTCGGCGGCTAATCGGGCGGTTGAGTTGTAGAGTGAAGAAGAGTGTAGCGGAGGTGTAGCGCAGTGTGGCAGAGGGCGGATGTAGTCGTAGTTACTTTCGGTCGGTAAGTTAAGCTCCGGGGAGGGGAAGAAGAACAGACGGGCCCAGCCCAAACAAGGAACAACCACCACAGAGTGTGAGAAAGAAGAGGGAGAATAGAGGGCCGGGGGGTGAAGGGAAACAGAAAGCAAGCCAACAGCCACTGTGATACCTCCACGCAGCTTGCGCTTAAGCTTGCAGTGGAATAGTAAGGTAGTTGGATAGTTGAGAGGGAGAAGAGGGGGAGGAGAAAGAGGAGGAGGGATGGATTGGACGACCACCGGGAGAGGAGGAGAGAGGAACAGGAGGTGAGGGAGTGAGAGCGAGTGAGAGCGAGTGAAAGCGGAAGGGAGAGAGAGAGAAAAAGAGAACAAGAGAAAGGTACTGGGAGTAGCGGTTAACTAAAGCTGGGCTGGCGGCAGTGTGACAACGGTTAGAGGTCGGTCAGAGAATCTCATCCGGTCTGGCCCCCAATGCAAGAGAAATGTTGGCTCGAATAGATGAGATATACCGGTCAGACAGAAACAAAGGCAGATTTAGCCAAGAAAATGATACATAAGCAGGAGAAGAAAAATTATCGGAAAAAAAAATAATTATGAAAAGAGAATGAAGAGGAAGAGCGGGAACAAGAGACAATCAAAACCAGGACGAGAAATTATTGTATGTATGGAGTTAACACTAATTAATTTTTTGGAGGGGGAGGAAAGAAGGAGAAGGAGGAGGAGGCGCAGGAGGGAAGGGTTTGAAAGTGAGAATAATAGATGAGACGGTGGCATAAAGAACTGCTAGTTACTGTACATTTCACCATTCCGTCTCCATCAATCAGAGCTTACAGATGGGTCCAATTTACAGAAGAAATATGAAATTGAACGAGACAACGGTAGTGGGGGGGAGGGGAGGAAAGTCGGAAAAGAAAAAAGAAATAAGAGGGGGGGGGAAGGTCAAAGATAGACTAAAGTATAAAGGGAATGATCCCAATCAATATCAGTATCATCAAACGAGGAAGTGGGCATTGGGCTGAAATTGAAGCAACGAAGCCTCGAATAGATGTGGGGAAATGTGATTTGAGGATCAATTGCACAGGACAAACGACTTCAGCTTCAGCATACGGAGTACATACTACACAAATCACAATAGGTGTCTATCTCAAGAAGGGGTGCAAAGGTCCAAAGAAGGAGGAGAGACAAGACACAGAAAAACCGGCTTCAAGAGGCTTTTTAGGATGTCAAGCAGTGAAGCAAGTAGCCATTGATGAACGGGGATAATTTCTATTAATCCCTCCTGGATGCTCAGACCAAGTGGAGAGAGATTCATCTGATTGGCACCAGCTGAGACATGGTTTGTTTCCGCCCAGGGCTTGTCGCCGAGATGTGACACACTTGTGACAATTGGCGAGAGGTTCCTCTGGTATCCGATACCTATGAATTGTGAGGTACTTGAATATGGCACAGCACTGTAGTAGATAAATATTCTTGATTGAGGACGGCAATGGAGGAAACGGATACCCTACTGGTACGTAGTGAAAATAGAAGAATACTGTAGGTACCAGTTATAGTAGGCTGAAGGCGAATGTTTAAGGTAGTTAACTATCAGCGTAACGCTGACTAATGCCACGGATCAACCCAGCGCGCCTTCATCCGGCTTCCGACCTGGCGATGAGCGAACCAAGAACAACAGCTGGAGCTCAGCAATTTACAGACAGTCGGTCATACTGTTCTTCGCACTGCGCAGTCATTGTTATACGGCTAGGGACGTCATCTATCTGTGGAGCGACTCCTCCTCACAAAGAGGAAGCTACGGAGTACGTACCTATGCAAGTTCTTACTGTCTCAACCAGCCAGGAAGTCGAATCAAGTGAAACGAGCATCTTCATCAGCAGCGTCTTCATCACGTTCGCGAACCATGATCCAGTTGGAAATCCATCCCCCTGCCAGACCTCCACTCTCCCCACCCCCTGGTGGCAAACCCAGACCACCTGTGACGCCAGCCTCCCTCACCATCACCCAAAACTCACTGGCGCCAAACAGGTGGAAACAATAATGAGTTAGTGTCCCTGGCCCTGGTTCCAACCGAGCCCACTTTCTGTCAGATGAATCATCATGAATGGATCATGGCCCCCTCTCTTCCCTACCGAGCCTCAGCCTCTCCAGCATTATCCCCATTTTAGATAGTCGCAGCAAGCAACGACAACAAGAAAATGCATGATAGGCATACTCTGCTACCAACCCAGGCAATTTATCCGAACTTGACATCTCATAATTTTCCCCACGTTCGCGTTCTCCAGTCTGACGGGACTGCGCAAACGAACAATCAAGAAAAAGTGGCTAGGGGGTTCCTCATGAACGCCAGCCCTTCCCTCCCACGGTGCATCGATCGATCATCCCGCGATCGGCTCTTGTCGCAGCGTGGCATGCCCGAGGCGGGTCAAAGTGTCAAAATAACCACAACTGGAGATGGCCATTTGGCCAGGACACAAACAAGAGACTAAATACACAGCAGAGTGTGTCTCAATACTTGGAAGAAAAATCTGATTCGGATTTTGTATCTGCCTTGCTTTCTGCATTTAGCATACTCACCATGTTTTGAGCCCGGACCAAATGAAATCAATCAAACAAGATGTGAGTCACTAGTGAGTGTTAAATTCACGGGATCTTCTGCTAAGAATCAAACTTTTTCCCCTCGAATTGCTGCGGTACATGAACCATTTCCCTGGTCTCGCGCGAGTTCAGCATACTAGGCTCCGCTTGCGATACGGAGCGCTCGCGTTTAGAAATGATCACTACCATGTATTAACTTAGAAGAGCAGCTTGGGGACACGGGCTTGAAGCAGCCTATCATTGCGATTGCTCGCGTCCTGCGACAGCAGACTATTGTCTCGTTCCGATAGCGCATACCCGAAGGACACAGTAATCAAATTTAGAGTGGACTTGGTTATTGGATTGGCTTACTTTGTCGACACAAACAATGGACTCGGTATGAATCCCTCTTGTGGAGCCTTGTCCGAGGCGAGATTAGTCTTGTAGGGTCCAAAGCAAAGTGAATCTACGGAGCAAATAGCCCAAGTCTATGGAGTATTCTGATATGGTCTTGGATTGTGGTTGGGATTAATCATCACACCAAGATAGCTGGGCGAAGGTTCGCTCTTCCTGATAGGATTATGCACGAATACCAGACATACAAAAAGATAATAAGAACTACTGCAATGGATCCATTAATCCCTGTTACCGTTGCAGTCGAGCTCGGGGTTGTTGTACAGTACATGAACCTACCCGAGGGGCGCAGTCATCCGTGGCGATGATAAAAACTAATAAGCACAAGGGAGTATGCTGAGAACCAAGAGACAAACCAGTTGATTAGAAGGACGCTGGACCCTTTTCGTTTCGTCACCGGCAGGAGATGATGACTGCAAGGAACCCCATCTCCATCCGAGCCATCCGATGGATGCTACTGAATCATCGGACCTCATCAGTGGTGCAACTAATGAATGTTGCCTGAAACTATCCATCGGAGCGTATCGATCATGTTCACGGGGATAATGTAGCACGTACTACTCCGTACTCCGTACATACATAGTATTCTTATTGACTATTGATTATTGCTCCACCCCTAATTTCCGCAATGCACGGGGAAAGGAGACTGAGATGATGGGGCCACTTTTTGGCAAGATCCGGGATGGTTGGCTGTTAATCAGTACTGTGTGTGTAACTACTCCATATTGTGTAGTAACCCACACATGAATAACCAATCACTAATTAGCTGCATGTATAAGATGGACCATCAATGGTGAGCATTCTACTCCGTGCTGAGCTCTGAATTAACTACAGCGTAGTTAAGTAAATAAGGTACCTCCTACTGGTTAGTAGTTATGTTGGCTGCCTTATATATCAAATCGAGGAACCACTCGCAATTACAGTACTCACTTCGTACTTCAGTATGGATCCGCTATGCTTTCCCGTCTCAGGGGAAGCGTCCAGACACTGTGAGACTACGGAGTATCCCGTCTCAATCATTCAAGTTACGTCCTACTCCGTAGATTTAATGCTCCAGCGTTGAACACAATCGCTGAATCATGAGACAGAGTCTCCAATCAAGTCACCCTGACTCGGCTGTCAGCTCAATGTCACATGTCCATTAGAGAGCTTGATCTGAGCACCAGCATATATCTATTCGGTTGGATGGTAACTTATCTTTTTGCGAGGCAAAGCACGATAACTTACGTAGTACAGATTGTCAAACATGCTCGAGAGCTGAAACCGTCGCCAAGCGATACCGTACCCGTCATCCTGCATCCACCATTGCTTCAATTGATTCCATCAACAAATTGCCACCACTTCAGCATGGCTGCAAGTCGAGAACATAAACGGTAGGCACAAGACTTTCCCGTCCTCAACCACGCCTCGCAGATCTAGTCCCAACGTCGCCCGTCTGCACGGTCCTATTGCTAATATTAACTCTTCCATGTGGGCAATGGGCATGGTGGTCTGAGCAAGGCGATGTGGTTCTTGGTCGATCCCAATAAGTCGCTGTCAAGAATAGTATCATTTAATCTCGCACGGCCATTGTCGCACATTTGGCTATCCATGCCAATTCTATGTTATACCAAGTGTTCCGTTGGCAAGAGCACTGCATTAACCTACGACGGTCGCGAGTAGGGATTATATTTCGAGTACCTCCTCTATGCATGCAAAAGGGTAACTTATGGTTATGTAGTAAAGAAGGAGAATGCAGTTTTGACTTGTACAGTACGTGACAGTATACACTGTAGCCTACTTCACGATGTGGATTGCTAGATTGGATCCGCATGGCGGAGAAATCCCTACAGGAAATTAACATAAGTATCGCACTTTTGACTTAGTCAATGGCAGGGGTCATGATATAGGGTCAGTTCCACTAATTGCCGACTTTATCGCATAGCCTTAGTACTATGAGCAGATGATCCCTTGTATAGAGGGCAAACCAGTTAGGGACTAATGATAAAACAGATGTTAACTTATACGCCCGTCGCCAATTTGCATAGATGTACGAGAGCGTAACTGTTCTATATCAAGAAAAGCTCCAAGCTCACTATTGCGGCAATGGATGATTAGTTATAACTACTACTTATAAGAATCGACTTCCATAGTAGTACTAGCTTTAATTCCCTGCGATAGAACAGGGAGCTGAGCCAACGCGGGAGGCGGTGACGAAGATTGCCATTCATCCCAAGGCGGTCAACTACCGATAAAACCGTTTTTTTTCTAATTTTCTCTTCTGCCGCGATTATACTAGCTAGTTAGTAGAAATCCATAGCAGATTTGAACCTTCATGACTGCTGCTTTCCATCAGGTCTTCTTCTACATAAAGCTCTGTTATCATTAGTCTCGACCGGTCGGTGCAAATTTTCCGTCTCCCACGCGCAAAACCCACCTGTTGTACCCCGCTTCATCGATAGAACGAGAGGTATGTATACCAGACCTACCTACGCTTTCAAAGCGGCCAACACACAGCGCAACCCCAGGGCCCTACCGAACGGGAATTCTGACAATTGCTACAGCTTTTCTGCCCCCGGCGCGTACTCGAACCATTTATAAACCTTACCTCCACCTCATCACGAATACAAGAATGCCCGGCTCCGTCGACCAAGAAAACGACCAGTCCATGATGGACGCCGGCCCGGAGCAGCAGTATGAGCAGGAAGATGTTCTTGAGTTGGAAGACAAGCGCATCGTTGTCGTACGTCTCGTTACTTCCACCCACAAATCGATTCACTAGACAACCCAGTCATGATCTAATATACTCGTGAAGCTACCCGGAGCCACCGAGACCGCCGCCTCTTTCCAATTCGACGGAGAAGGTCATACCTTGGGTAACGCGCTACGATACACAATCATGAAGAAGTGAGATCCTACACCCTTCAAACTCGCCCTCGACTTTCTGCCTCGGACTCAAGACGCAGAGGGAGGGGAGTCGAGCGAATTGCGACTTGGAAAACGGGTCGAAGCTGACATTCAACGCTTGTGAAAACAGCCCCCAGGTCGAATTCTGCGGTTATACTATCCCTCACCCTTCGGAGACTAAGATGAACCTTAGAATCCAGACTTTTGGTATGTCTATGTGCACCCCCCCCCGGTTCCTATTATGGTGCTTGAAGATTGGCGGTGGTAGCCTTGTGGCATTGTCGACTGACAGGAGCGCTCTAGATACGACGACCGCTGTGGAAGCCCTGGAGAAGGGTCTGGACACCCTTATGGACCTGTGTGATGTCGTTACGGATAAGTTCACTGTCGCGCGCGATGGCTTCAATGCGTCTAAGACGGATCGCATGGAGTCGTAAGCCTCGTCTGTCAATTTTGCGCTTTGGTTGCTCTTTTTGCGCTTGAGGTGATCGCAACTTTTTCCATTCTGTGTATTGGTATCTCTTCTTCGGCGTTGTATCTAGAGAAAAGTCTTTATTTGGTCTGTCATGTGATTAAGGTTCTACATGATTGAGCTTCCTTGTGCATTGAGCGGTGTGTTTTATTTTATTTTTTGGTGATGTCGGGGCATAAATAGTATCGAATACCACAATGAGGTTTGAGTCTGCATCTGTTCTTTTTATAACCGTTCTACTGCGATGCTCGGGTTTAGCTCTGATGCTCAGTTCTCTCTCCTTGTAATGATCTCTCGAGCTGGGAATCTTGATGTGTTATGCATGGCAGAGCCTAACTGCCCTCTTGCCTTGGTGAGTCTCTACGTCATCCAAAACTCAGCTTCAGTGCTACCCAGACACATCACAGCCGACTCTAGTCCTCACGATCCACGAGTCCATTGCCTAATCTAACAACGTTACCTTATTTACATAGAGCGCGCACTCATTCCCTCTACCCGGTTCTATCAGCTCACAACTCAAGCCCAGGGCGGTTCTCATGATTGGAAAATGAAAAGAAAACTATCAATGCTGCGGAAAACTTATAAGGGGGAAGAGAAAACATTCAATTCAGTTGCGACCTTCCAAGAAGCCGGAGATGAAGTTGGGGGGTAGGCGAGCACCGGGCTCCTCCTCTGGCCGGAAGTATTTCATCACGTGCGAAAGCTGCTTCCAGTAATTGAGGGTTTCCTGTGAACGGTGACCAAGTCAGTGGATCTGTTGTTGAAGCTCCAAGGAGCGAGGTTACGATGTGCGGGGTCTTTTTTGGGGGTGGGGATAGAGGGAAGAAGTGCTATATGAATTTGTTAAAGTGTTGAGTGCCCTGATGCCATCACACCATGCCGACTCGACCTCTTCCCCCTCCCCGCACTCATGCATACTTCAATCGCATGACACACACTGGAAATGAAATAGAGGTCTAACTCACCTGGAATTCGGCGTGGCTCTGGTACAGCAGCACATCAATCACATTCAATTGGCTCACGTAGCGATGCTTCTCGAACTCCTGGCGAATTTTCGTCCGGATAGCGGAAACGGGCATGTCCAGGGAGTACATAGTCTGGATCTCGGGGGACTATTTCAGGATAGCCAGATTTTATGTCAGTTTATGTCTGTCGGCATTCTGTCCACTTGATTTCCGCGCAATGATGTTATTTTTTGGCCCGTGTCTATAGCGGAGATTTCACCCTTGCGATAGAGCTCAAGGGCGCGACCAAGCACAAGAGACAACCACCGGCCATCTTTGAAATGCATCAATTAAACCCAGAGGATGCGAGACTAACCGCTCTAAGCCATTCTCTGTACGAACGGATAACACGACTCTTTGCCTCGGCCAGGTTGGCAGCTATAGAAAGGTTTCCGAAAGTCAGCTCGCAGCACGTAAAGTTCCGGCCATTGACGTCGCGCCAATTTCTAAGGGCGTCGGAGGTGGACGAGAGGTGTGTGTCTCTGGGCGGTCACTTACAGGAGCGAGTGCGTTGGGCAAGAAATGTGGGATTGATAGTCATCCTTGAGACTGGAATTGAGAAGCAATTGAGTGGCGATGCCTGGAGTAGCGAGCAAGAGAGGGAGTGATGGGGGGGGGGTCCGTTTCTCTGGTCTCTGTTCGGGACGACGACGGCCTTGGGAGTTTAGCATCAACGGGATTGGGAGGAGGATCGGATTGAGTGGAGGTGGAGGTTGCGGTCGGCCATTCTCACCGCCTGCCTATTCGAAAATTTTCTGTTATCCGGAGGCGCAAAGCTTTGGACAGAGGAGGGGGAATTATTCCATTGTTTTGTGATCTTCAATAATCCTAACCTGAGTTCAGAATCTCGGGTTAACATTCGTTGGTGCCTGGCTTTTTCCAGAGAGATACGCAGGTAGATCGGAGACATCTGTATCTACTTTCTCTTCGAACTCGATTTGCTCCATTACCCGCATATTTTCCTTCTACGAATTTTCCGCCTCTTCAGCATACAGCCATCCAAATCAACACTCGCCGAACGCATCTTCCTCCCAAAAACGAGACCACGAGATGGCCCCGACAAAATCTTCAGCCAAGGGCAAGGGCCCTTCTTCGAGTAAGGGCGACGCCAAGAGCAAGCCTCTCTCGTCCGCCACGAAAGTGAGCAAGAAGAACGTCAAGCGGCCGCCGCCCAAGGAAGTCAAATCGAAAGCGCGCACGGAGTCCAGCCTATTGAAGAAGACGAAGAAGAGAGAATACACGGAGAAGGAGCTGGACTTGCCTCAGCTCAACATGATCACGCCCGTCGGCGTGGTCAAGCCCAAGGGCAAGAAGAAGGGCAAAACTTTTGTGGATGATGCGGTATGGGGTTCCCTGACCCATTCGGGGTTTCTACGATCGTGAGGGATTGCAATGATGTCTCTTTTGCTGACTGTGGGCCGCTTTTCTACAGGAGGGAATGATGACCATTCTTGCGATGGTCAACGCCGACAGGGAGGGTCAGATTGAATCCAAGTTGATGAAGGCCCGTCAATTGGAGGAGATCCGCGAGGCGAAGAGGAAAGAGGCCGAGGCTCGGCAGGCGCAGAAGAAGAACAAACTGGTGCGTATACTTGATCTAAAAATTATGTAGGTATGTGTGAATGGAGGTCACTGACAAGCATGCGGGTAAACAGGAAGAGGTAAAACAATCAATCCGCAACAAGAAGCACAAGGGCGGCTCCAAAGCTGATACTGGAGACGCCGGACCCGACAAGTCCTCCAAATCGAAGGGAAAGAGAAAGAGCGTTTCATTTGCTTGATAATTTTTGCTGTATAAAAGTAATGCTGTCTATATCAGGTCTATGTATCTAGATGGGTCTCTGGCGTTTCAACGGTCTATATCCTGCCAAAACAATTGCATGCGTAACTCATGATGAGCCATCTTTTGATTGGATGTGTGCCCACTTGAAGTCCGCGGTGATGAGATATATTCGCGCCTGTCGCGAGATTACGGAGAAGATGGTACAATCTTGATATCCAGCTTGCGCCGCACGGGACCAAAAAGCGGCTTAGGGGTCTTATCGCTGTCTTGTGCAGGTCGCGCAATGTATGGCGGCAGGCGATCAGGGTGCTCCACCTTGCCAGGAAAGGTGTGGTCCACCTCCTTAGCCATTATATTCAGGAAATTGGACACCTAAGATAGTCAAAAAACTGGGGAAACAAGATTCAGCCAAATAGTCACCGTACCGGTTTAACAAACCACCTGTCACCACCAAACTCAAACCAGCCAAGATGTCCTCCCCAGGAGGTCATCGCCATGACACCATACGGAGTCCTGGCAATCTCGCCGAACGGTAGGGCTTTTGCACAAGCGATCTGCTCAATAGTTAGCGCGCGCATAGGAGTTCAGAAGTCGATTGGTGCTTACCGGGTCGTCTTCGGCTTGAATAACGAAGAAAGGGATCTTGATGCCAAGCATAGCGTCGATGGAAGAGGCATCGCGATAGTAGGCACCTTCGGTGGGATATCCCCATGCAGGGCATTGCAGCGCTCTGAAAATAATGGAGTCAGCGGTGTAACTGCCAATGTGGCTGGGACAGCCCATTACCGGTCAAATTCGTGTAGGTAAGTAATATTTCTGATTTCCTCTACGTTAACGAGTGGATTCAAGGCAACTGATTCGGCGTGTCTGACAATGGTAATTAGTATAACGATTGGCACACAATCTGGAATCTCGTCACGTACTGCTCAAAGAGTTTCTTCATGCTTGATCCCATCACCTTACTGTATGCCTGAAGCCCAAGCCAGCTGCTCTTCAGGGATTCCGAGCTGACCTCTAGATTCCAGGGGCTAGCACAGAGCACCGCTGCCTTCAACTGGCAATCATCCCCTTCTTCACCCAAATACTATAAGCAATGCATCAGTCACTGAATTAAAGAAAGCTCTTACTAAGGAAGGAACCCACGTTGGTGAGGATGTTTGCACCCAAGGAGAAGCCGAGTCCGAAGAGAGGCCGGTTCGGGAAGGTCTTCCGTAGCCACTTGACGGCCTGGCGAACATCCCATGTGGCGCGCGCATTGTAGAGTATATTAGTGGTGATCTTGGTCTGTGAACAGCCTCGGGAATTGATAACGCACGCTTCCCAGGATTTATCCTGGATCATGGGCGCAATCACATGACGCAGGTATACCTCATGTGATCCGCCGCTCAGGCCGTGAAGAACCACCAGCATGGGCTTCGTATCGTCCGACGGGAGCGCCTTGAATTCGTCTTCAGTGAAGAAAGAGGTTCTTTCCGGGAGGCCCTCGGGCAGTGTGTATTTTCTTTCGGGGTCAGATGTCTGGTCATTCTTGGATGGCTCGTAGGGATCTACGACAAAATCCACCGCAAAATGCCCATCAAACAACTGGTTGTCCGCCTCGAACATCCATCTCTTGTAGTGAACCGGAACATTATCATACTTGACTAGGGTCCAGGCAGTCTGTAAGTGACCATTGAAGAGGAAAGGGTTGAGATCACAGGTCGCTGGTGTGGCTGTACGACAGAGATCGACCAGCGCCACCTGTTCCTTGGCACCAGACTTGCCATTTTTCCGGGTCAAGATGAGGTTGTTGTCTTTGGCACTATAGAAAGAGACCCGACCACGCGGGCGAGCCCAGGAAAACAGGCCCATTGCTAGCAGACCCGAAACAAGTAGGGGGATGGATAAGGTGCTCAGAACGCTAATAGGAGAAATGTCAACAGGCGGCATGACGGTGGGGAGGGAAGAGGGGGCTGGACTCGGCGACCCATGCGAGATGCGTGCTGCAGAACGAGGGAGGGAAGAGTTGTTGCAGTGTTCATTCCACCACAGCCTGAAAAGATAAGACAAGACAGACTTGTCGTAACTTGGGCCTAGGCTTGCAAATCCTGGTAGGAGTCTTTTGTCGTCACTTTACATGGAATTTCTTCGGCTTCTTCTAATCTTCCAAAGAGCCTCGGCTTGATTACCAAAAGGGGAAAAGATGGATGCATCTTATCGGACAGACCTTATCGCGCCGATCAGTCAGCTTGCTTAATGACTCAGCCAGTCTTACCTGATCAGGCAAAGGTCATGAGTTGCAGTGGATTAACTTAACCGTCTCCGTAGTTTAGTCCGTAAATTACTCGATAAGGTAGTTATAAATGCATCCAAGACGTCATCTGAACAGGCCCACCACTCTACTGTTTTCCAACCCACACCACAGTGCCCACCCCTCTTCCTCCTTCGCTCCTAGTCGCATCGCCGCTGTCACCCGACGAATTGTGCTACAATGATCTGACTCCCATCTCCCTCTGGAGAGATACTAGCAGCATTCCACACAAGGGAAGTTTGCAAGTGGTTCGGCACTTTTAAGCTTCTCGATGCGGTAACGCCAGTCCCCCGGATGCGGAAGTTTAGTATAGAGTTTGGTGGAATAGCATCATAGACTCTCTCCGCGCCTGCTCGCAGATGGGTGGCTTTCCACCCAAATTTCTACCAGATTTACCATGATTTGGATCCGGTACTCCCTTCTGGTTCCATGCGGCCTTGGGTGAAGCCACCCTTTACCCTGCGCCGACACCAGGATTCTGTCGCATGGAAGCTTGATTGCTTCTCCCACTGTGACCCTGGCGCGTGCTCCGTTTGCGTGCAAATCGACAGCCTTCCGTGTGAACTACTTCAAGGTCAACAGGCCCTCCTTCTTGTGTCTCTCTTGGAGTTCGATTCTTTGCGTCATGTGGTCCGCTTGCTACTCTGTCTCTGACTTCTAATACACCATGATGCCTGTGAGCCAGCACAAACAGAAAGGCTGGCTTTTTTCTCACCGATGAACTATTGTAGGGACTCGAGACAAAATCAAGCCAGAGGAAATAAGCGTCTCAGCTGGGAACCATTCAACAAGTCATTCCTGGCCGCGGCAATCCATGAATTAGGCTCCAGCGTACCGATCGATATGGCATATAGCTTACGTCGTGCGGCCGAAAAAGTGAAGATCATCGCCAAAATGAATCGGTGGACGCGGAGCCAGACCAACGGAAAGGGCAGGGATTCTGCTTCAAGTGGGCGATGCTTCCTTCTCGAACTTCCAACTGAGCTACTATTGGCGATCATTTCTCATTTGTCGATAATCCCCGAAGCTTGTCTAGCACTGACATGCAAGCGACTTTACGCGATATCCGGCGCGATTCTGGGAGCCAAGTCTCTTCATTTCAGTCGCGACTTCGCACCACTTTTTCATCACTACCGGAATGGCCACAACTTCGTCACTCCGAGATGGCAGTTGATCAACCTCCTAGAAGACGGCCGATGGCGCGCTTGCTCGAAATGTCTGAAATTGCATCTACGGAGCTCGTTTCCTCCCCGCGAACTAAGACGGAAGTCGGACGATCGAGCATGCAACCTGGGCAGTTCTGCGGGAATAGTAGATCTATGTCCATGCAAAAAGCTCACATTTCAAGACAAGACGGATCTCGTACAACTTTTGAAGACCCGCCAGAAATCCGTCAACGCCCTTGCCCTGCGATTTGGAAGTGGTGTTCGGCAAGAGCGCTTTTGCTGGCACTCTTGCAGAGAAAACTATGGGTCAACACAGCTTGAGATTGCAATATACCCGGAGCTGGATCAAGACGACCTGTTGAGGATCCATACGGAGTATCATATGACGACAGGCACAGGCCAGCTCGGAAGAGAAGAGTCCATCACACCTCGCTTTGGCTGCGCTCACCGATCAGTCGACCTGTGGTTATCCAGTGTCTGCCAAACCACTGTCTGCCGTCTTTATGACAGCCACTGTGCCTCATGCCAGCGAATCTCAGTCTGCAACACATGTAATTCGTCTTTACGGTGTCCGCGCAAACAACCCTGTCGGGTGGACGAGGTAATCGATAAGGCCACCTACCATTTCTGGACGGAAAGATGTCTTGGAGGCACAAGTCAGGTACCAGACCAGGCATGGGCATCTCAGCGGATCCATCCCGCGGAGAATCTTTTTGATGCTACTAATTGCAGCGAGATGTGCCCTTGGACTATCCGAGAACATCCTCCTCTTGAAGAAGCCCCAACCCTGGGGATGAATATACTTGAACCAGCAATGCAGGACCAATCGCTCAACCAGTTATACTCTTCAATTAACATGATATAAGAACCAGGAGGAAGAAAAAGGGGGGGACATCACATATGCGCCATGGGACAGGAGGCGTTGGGCGTGACTTGGAGCTAGCTGGGAACATATTTACAGGCGATCCGGTATGGTGTGATTTATTGCTTTTGGGAGGGTTTGTATTAAGCAATTTGGTTTTTGAGCAGGAGAAGGGCTGCTCCTCTATGCATCTAGTTCATCGTCCCTCCCATACTATGCAGATTTAACCATCGTTATATGTTTATGTGAAACAGTCCGAGTGCGAAATCGATTCGACAGATATGCTCAAGCATATGAACCCTAGAAAACATTGAAGTACCATACTGTATTATTAAATGTGTAAATAAGTGGTAGAAAGAACCTCCACCTGACTCTGACTTGATCGGACCGCATGGGGAGGTTTCTCCGACCCGACGCGGAAACGGAAATGGCCGCGCGCGATTCAATGGAGATCAAACCCCCCCCCTCCCAAAAAGAAGCATCGCGTATAGGAAGAAAAACAACCTTCCGTCTCCTCGTGACAGCTTCACTTTCAATAGAGGATCAGCAGTGCGCAGTGAGATAAATGAAAATCTTCTGCGTTTTGGGGCGATGAGCTACCCACCACCCCATAACGGCCAATATCCTTCGCAGTACATGCAACAACCCCCCAATCTGCCGCACCATCACCAACAGACCATCATTCACCCGCAGCAGCTTCTCTACAATAACAATGTCAACACAACTGCTTCGCCATATCAATATGGCAAACAGATGGTTTATCCTCAAGTCATGATTCCGACCTATCCTACCTATACTCAACCTTACGCTCCGCAGCAGCAACAACAACAACAGCAGCAGCAGCCATCCCAACAGCAACAGCAACAGCAACCCCAATATGTGAATCCGTCTGAATTGTTCCAGCCGCCGCCTCTCCCAGCTACCTCACCTCCTCGATTTCCTCACAGTTCGTCTCAGTACAGCGCGACGCCCGCAATCACTGCTGCAGGCAGCACGCATTCCCCTATTCTTCCTACATCGACCGCTACTCAGCCAGCGTACTATGTTGACCCAAGCCCCAATCAAGGCAACCAGGCCTCCTACAACGACAATACTCAAGCTACCCCGAACCCGCTGGTCGTATCAGCACCATCCGTCTCAGCATCCTCCGCTCCAGCACCCTCCGTTCCCGCTGCACCCGTTGCTGCTACCCCGGTCCCTGCTAAACGACCCGCCACAAAATCCGTGTCTGCAACCCCACCGGCTCCGTCCCCGAAACCTGTCCAGGTCCTCATTCCAGCGCCTTCTCCAGATGTCCAGCACAAGCTGCAGGGAAAGTCCTCAAAGAAGCAAATGCCGCGACAGACACCGCAACAGTCGATGAAATCGTCTACACAGAAGTCGGCGAGAACTCCGGATTACCAACTTTTGCTGTTGGCTATGGCGGATGAGTATCTCGACGCAGCGCACAGTCTTGGAACCATGGTGGCCTTACTGAGACGGGAGGTGGATATGGAGGAGTACTATAAGCTGGTTGCAACGGGGCTCGGCTGCCTGGAGGCGGTATTGAAGGTATGATATAGCTTGTATTACCGTGTTGCTCGCCAGGGTCATTAACATCATTCAGAATTGGAGACTTCAACCCCGGGTTGAGGCTCTTGTGCGCTTGCGGTATGCACGGATATTGTTCGAGGAAACAGACAATGATCTCGAGGCTGAGACTGCTTTAAGCAAAGGCGTATGTGATCCCCGTACACCACCCTCCCAGTGCATTGACTAACGTCAGTTGCAGATTGATTTGTGTGAGCGGGTAAGTGGATTGGAGCAACATACGGATGCATGATGCTTACAATGGGGCTAGAATCGCATGTTGGATCTTAAGTACAGCATGCAGCATCTTTTGGCTCGGATGTTACACAAAACAAACCCGAAGGCCTCGATGAAAGCTGTGGACGGAATGATACAAGATGTTGAAGCGTAAGTTCACTTCTGGTAACATCGGAAATAATCCTGTTCTAACAGCAGTAGCTATCGCCATTCAGCCTGGGAATATGCTTTCCGTTTCCTTCGCGTGTCACTTTCGCTCTCCTCTCACGCCCATCAGGATTCAGTCTCAGCATTGCAACACCTCCACAAAATAACTAACATGGCCCACCGCAATGGCGACAAGGCTGTATCAGCTATTTCTGCGATTATCGAAGCGCTCGCACATTTGCAGCAAGGCACCGGGTCCGACGCGATCGAGCAGGCTCAACGCGCAGTGGCGGCAGCACGAAGCCATCAACTAAACGATGATTTTCGCCACATCCCGCAGCTGACGACGCTGGTTCAGATCGTCGATATATGCTGTAGCCTTTTGGACTACGACGTCAATCAGTCGTCTCAGAAGCTGAAAGTCATGCAAGACATGATGGACGAGCGGTTGAATGACTCGAACTGGCGTGATGACGGGTCCTTTTCCATCCCTTTGAGTGGCAAGTCGGCTGGTCCTTCTTCCATTGATACTGGGGACATCCTCCAGGTTCAGAGCGGCACACTACTGTTGAGCTTCAACTGGTTACCGCAGCACGACCTCTATGCACTTTGCTACTTTCTCAGTTCCATCACTCTCAGCTGCAAGAATTCATACGACGGACGCAAAGCGGAGAAATTTCTGCAGGAAGGCATACGCATGGTCACGGGTCAGTCTGCGCCAGATTCTGGGAATCTTTTTTCAGACCTCGCACTGACAGTATCACTTACAGGGAGTTTCAAAGCGCCGCAAGACATCACCGAGTCGGTAGTCAACGCCAACAAGCGCGTTCAATGGCGCCGAACCCTGCATTGCAGCCTCCTCGTCCAACAAGTCTTCCTCGCCTGCGGACGTACCGACTGGGACCTGGCCACGAAAACATTACATGAATTGCGCCAAGAAGCCAAGGGCCTCGGTGACCAGCTTCATGACAACATCAGATGTATGATGGACTACGCGAGCGGCGCTATCGCGCAAGCGACAGGCGACCTTCCTGCGGCCCTTGAGGCATTCCAATCACCAACTCTTTCTCTGCTCTCGTCCTCCATTACTAGCAAGGCCGCTCGCAACGGCCCCCGCCGGGATCTCTCGATTCTGTCCGCGCTAAATACCGTTCTCATCATCAGCGAACCGTCCCATCCATCTCATCACCAAGTCCCCGCCATCCTAGCCGCCGTGGAACCCTATTGTACCTCTAGTCCCAGTAAATACATCCAAGCCGCCTACTACCTCGTCTGCGCTACCGTGCAGACCGAATCCACCCTCCAAACAAAACAACACCTCCAACAAGCACTCCAATCGGCCACCGCCATCAGCAACAGTCAGATTACCTGCATGACCCTCACCTTCATGAGTTGGAAGTACTTCCGCGGCGTCGTCGGCGAACAAGCCGAAAAGAGCGCCCGGGCTGGCCGCGCCATGGCCAGAAAGGCCAACGACCGCCTCTGGGTCAGCGTCACCGACGAAATGCTCGCGGAGACGCTGGAACGGCAAGGCAAGAACGAAGAAGCTAAGGGCGTAAGGGAAGAAGGTCATCGCGTGATGAGCGGCTTACCGACGGCCTTGAGGCGGCCGGTATAGTAGTTAGGCCTGAAAAGATTCCTTTTTGCATTCGATATGATGTTTGACTGTACTGTTTAGATAGAGCGCATTATGCCCCTCTGTTTCTATTTTCTTCTCGTTAGGGGTTGGGTTATGGTCGGAATTACCGTATGGGTGGCCATGTTCTTTCTTAATTTAACAATCGCCCGAGTTCGGCGTGTAGGGGTTGTGTTTTTTTTTTTTTTTTTTTTTTTTTTTTTTTTTTTTTTTTTTGTGTTCTCGTTTTCTGGCAAGGATAGAGCCTCGATCGCGCTGGCCACTGACTGGTACCATACTGGTTTTCTCTATGTTGTGAAGGGCTTCAAGATATCTTGACTTCTCTCACACATCACAAATTTAGTCTATCACTTACTTTTGAAGGAGACTTCAAGTTACAGTCTCCCAACCCGTAGATAGTTGACATTAGCATCTCCGAAATCATCAACCCAGGCCCGTAATGAGACGGCCGAGCGTGAGACTGCATCCCAAGGAGGACCTCGGTGGACTAGTGACCAAACCACCAAGCCTCGCGTGGGAAGCTGCCTGCTATCAGTAAGACCTAGTTCGTTGAGTCCTGCAGCCTCTGGGAGAACCCTTGAAGCATGATTGCTCCATCCCTATTATGTTTGGGGAAGCCGATCCGTCGTGACGTCCTCCCCTTGGATACCGACTCGGATATGTTGCTAGAGTTCAGCGATTTCACTTTGGGAATTATATTATTCATATACACGAGCGCAGGCGCATCGTGTACGCAGCTCAAGGGTCGGTAGCCCATATGTAAGCATGCTGCAGCTGCAGCTCCGGAACCCTCCTACCTGGAGCATCAAGAGCCGACTGAGGTTATACTCGAAACCAGCTAGCCAGAAAAAGTAAAAGAAAAATCGGTCACAGACAAATAACAACAAATCAAGAGGCACCGTACTGCTGCAACCGCTCTATCATCTCGTTGCCTGTCGCTGTAGTTGGCTAACTAAACCGTCCAATCCTCAGGCAGGGAGAGAGATATATCAAGGGTTACATGGAACAATGATTGAGAAGGAAGACTCCGGTACACTTGACAGCTCCGTACGCCCTGCACCAATAAAATAATCCCTATACACCAGCCGAGAATAAAGGAACCGCGAGGATGGCGAACAAAATGGTCCAGGCCCGCAAGAGTCTCTGAACAGAGAGCAGATATGTGCGACCAGGATTTCACAGATGAGGGAAGTGGGGGTCGAGGAGCGAGAAAGTGGGCCCTTGACGTCGGGAATTCAATATGCGAGAATCCGGTGTGGTGGGATGGAGTTAGATGAGTAGTTTTGGTCTCGATGTGATGCTGGAAAGTCCGCTGGTTGAGTTGATTGCTGCTTCGCTCCGATCGTCTTAGGTGGTCTTTGAAAGTTAGGATATAGGTTCTAACCCAGCCATCTTTCGTAAATAGGAGATAGAACAGCAAAAATAGAGACTTTTCTGTTGTTGTTATGTCAATCAAGTCGAAAGAATAATCATGTCTAACCCAGACCACCCCAGACACCACGGATACGTCGAGCAAGCTGGATGTCTTTCTGCATGATGGTCACGCGTTTGGCATGGATAGCACAGAGATTGGTGTCCTCGAAAAGATGGACCAGGAATGCCTCAGCGGCTTCCTGCAGGGCCAGGATCGCATGCGACTGCCAGCGCAGCTCCGAGCCGACCTCAGCGGGAAGCAGGTCCAAGGCGACCTCGCGGACTAGTCGCGCAAATGGAAGCTTCCTGATGAGCAGGTCGAATGAGCGTTGGTAATGGCGGATCTCCTTCAGGGCAACAGTCCCGGGTCTGTACCGGCGACGACGACCGGTGGGGGTGGGATCGCCCGCTGCAGGATCCGGTCAGAAGCTTGGACTTAGAAGCAGTAACAAAGCAAACTTACGCTCAACATCGGACGTCCTGGGCGCTTTGTTGGTCGGTCGCTTGCCCTTGATGACCCCGGTGGGTTTGCGCCCGCGAGCGGGGGACGTCGTCTCAGCAGGGGCAGTCGACGGGCCAGCGGCGGCCTCAGGTTCAGCAGCGGCGGTGGATTTCCGTGGACCAGCAATTGACTTGCGACCGCGCCCTGTCTTGGGAGGCATGATAATAAATGTGTTTGTTGGAAGCCTTGGGACTTGACCGTCACTGTCTGCGTGGGATCGAGGGTTTTCCTGTGCAAGCGCAAGCAAGAGTTAAAGCGGAGGTCGAATCGAGTTGCTTGAGAGAACTGCTGACAGATGGTTGTCGCAGTCAGACGTTGGTGAATGTAGCTCGGAAGAAGAGTGACGAGTGCATGCAATCAGTCAATCATGGGTGGGAACCGAAGATCCCAGCCATCTGCATTTCCGTGACGCGTGGGGGGCTTGAAGCGCGTCGGTGGCTTCAGACGCGCGCGCAATGCGTTTCTGTTTCTGTTGAGACAAGGCGGGTAGAAAGAGAGTGTGTACGATCACGTGATGTGAAAGTAACTTGGAGTTAATAGCCTCAGGCAAAAAGGCCAGCACAGCACAGCACAGCACAGCACATCTTAACTACTAGTAGGTAAGTTAACGGAGTGAACAAACAGTTAACCTAACATTCAACTTACTTCCAAACCCAATCCATTCCATTCCATCAATCTTGTCACCACCACCTTTGTTTCAGCGCTGAGTGCTCCACAGTACGGAATACAGTCCTACATATCCCCTGTTATCACTCAATTTCCTCCATTTTCCAAATCAAGTGGAAATACCTCCAAATCACAATGGCCGCCATCTGGGGTAACGGCGGGCAGGCTGGCCAGTTCCCGCTGGAACAGTGGTTCTATGAAATGCCTCCCGTCACGCGCTGGTGGACTGCGGCCACTGTAGCCACTTCAGTATTGGTCCAGTGCCATGTCCTCACCCCCTTTCAGCTATTCTACAGCTTTCGCGCTGTGTATGTAAAATATCAGGTACGTTGCGCAGGTTGGAAGTGACAATTACCCAGAAGCTGACCCGAAGGTGGACAGTACTGGCGACTGTTGACCACATTTCTTTACTTTGGTCCCTTGAATCTCGACCTGCTGTTCCATGTCTTCTTCTTGCAACGGTACTCCCGCCTCCTGGAAGAGTCGTCGGGGCGGTCGCCGGCGCATTTTTCATGGCTGCTTTTTTACGCCATGACCTCGCTGCTTCTGCTTTCACCATTCCTCTCGCTGCCTTTTCTGGGCACTGCCCTCTCATCCAGCCTGGTCTACATATGGAGCCGTCGCAACCCCGACACTCGTCTGAGTTTTCTCGGGATGCTAGTGTTCTCAGCCCCCTACCTCCCTTGGGTGTTGATGGCGTTCAGCTTAGTCGTCCACGGGATTGTGCCCAAGGACGAAATCTGCGGCGTCGTGGTGGGTCATGTCTGGTACTTCTTCAACGACGTCTACCCCTCGCTGCACGGTGGCCACCGGCCTCTCGACCCCCCGGCCTGGTGGGCGCGTCTGTTTGAACCAGCGACTGGCGACGGGAACCGAGGTCTCGCTGCCAACGACGCTGCGCCTGAGATTTGATGAGTGGTTTGTCAGGGGCTGAGATTTTGTTCGCGGATACGCTGGACTTATTGTGAACAAGACCTGTCACCCTGCGCAACGCTCAAGCCTCTCTCTCTCTCTTTCTCCGCCCAAGCAGAAATTTTCTTGATTAGCGGACGCGATGCGCAGAAGACATGCTAACTCGGAAGCGCTAAACTGAAGCGACAAATAGGCCATGGCAGCATTAATGGATTCTAGGTGGATTCGCCCCCGCTGCATCGCAGGGTCCTTTGATGTGGCATAGTGATGGGAGGTGCAATTGCAAGGCTTACTTGCGCCAGGACCGCTTTCTCAACAAAACAGAGAGAAAAAAAAAAAAAAAAAAGCTGGAGAGCAGTGTGGCCTGTCGCATAATCTGTGTGTCGCACGTACTCCGTAGGCACATGGATCGGGCTTATTTGTCGTCGATTTCAGTTGAGGAGAAAGTTGGGGTTAGGTACGGAGTACTACGTAGTAGTTACGGCTACCCGGTGGCTAGCTCCCTGTAGTCGTACTTCAGCATGGAATTTGTTTCTTTTCCACATGGGAGCTCTTTAGCGAAGTACTGTGGATATACCCTCGTGGCTGTAATGTAACCAAGCGTGGATCACAGGGTGCTGCCCTGATTTTTAGGGCAAAATGAAGAGATCACTTCGTACTTCCAATCCATCAACAGCATGGCAGGGACAGGAATGGGAGCTTACGGCCCACGTGCACAAGCACTGTAGATCCCATGCCGGAGTGACCACGAACTACTAAGTAGTAAGGACCAATGCCCTGCCCTGAGCGATGGGCTCAACCGCAGACATACATATACTCTGTAGTTCTCGAGTCAATCGATCCTATGGGATGCTGTGAATGTCAGTAGAAGAGCAAGGTCTGGAAGCTTGGCGTCGCAGATTTCAGGCTGGATACGAATACTGTACATGCTGGGCAGAAATTCCATCGGCAGAACTGTCACCGCCCAGTGGGTGATAAGTTAATGAACTATCTCGTAGTTAGTTTTTTAATTAGGCTAAGGTGGTTAGCTCACCATCCACCATGGCATCATCTGCGTTGTCCACGCGTCTGACAGTCTAATCAGCCAACAACAAGCGAAGATCTGGCATAAAGCATGGAAACCTTGACAAGCCATGGGTCAAAAGCGAGAGTGGGACGGGAAGGTTCTTCGATGTCTGGAAAACTTTGGGAACACTACGGAGAACGAGTACGGAGTAGTACCCTGTGTAATGTTTAAGCCGAGGTTGTGTCAAAATCCGGGGCAGGAAACCAGAGCAGAGCTTTTCCTCTCAAGTCGCAAACAGTCGGTCATTCCCGGTAATAATAATAACTAATCCCTCCTCGCATTGGTAAGTACCCCTCTAACCCGCAGGATGGTGGAGCCCGGAGAGCAGTTCACAACCAGGGGTCGTTAGTCGGCGAGTCGGCGAGTCGGGGAGAAATGTTGCCCGATCTCCCGCACAAGTCGTATTCGTAAATGCATACCCGTTCCGACTGAACTGGCCTGTTGTGATGTAAAGTTAGTGGCACGCGCACTTGTTGTGGCTTGGAAACCTGGATCTTCCTGTGGCAAGCCACCCCTCAACCTTGGAAGTACTTGGTGAATCCAGCAGGCCTCATTTTTTCTGCCTGGATGCTTACTGCTGATGCTGCCCTCCGCCACAAGGTCGTTCGATCCGTCCTGGTGCGTGTGGATAGGCCCTTCATGCATGCCTGCTGTGGAACAGCGGAAAGACTCGACACACTACGTATAGTATACTACATACATCCCTCTTCTCCTTCCACCATGCAGCAAACCACAAGGCCAAGATAATATATGCGCTATGTCTTTGAGGAAGGCGAGTTGACGAGCGATAGCTCAGATGGCTTGGCGCCCAGTTTCCGTACAGAGGCAGTATGAATTGGGATGGCTGCCAGAGGTCCTTGCCATTCGAGGACATCAAGGCGAATGAATATTCTTTTTCATTTCACTGTAATACGTGATCCTGCCTTTGTCGACGACGAGGTACGGGCGCTCTGGTGTCTTGCTATACTTAGACTCCCCGTGGTGGACTTCGATTCCGCTGTGAAGAAAGGAAAGAGCATGCTTCCCGACCCATGGTAATAAGAAGTGCCTCGGCTGTATCACTTGGGTCAAGCAGCTCTGAGGTAACTAAACATCCATTGAGAGAGAATCCGCCATATAGGAGTACACATTACACAGTACGTAGTCTGGTTGTGAGACGGGATGTGAGATTGTCCGGCGTTCTGTCTCTCATAGAATCGAAACCCTTTGCATCGAAAGCTGTGTGTGTGTTTGTGGGTTTCGCAAATTCTCGGTTTGATAGTTATAGAATAGCTTCGCTATGATTGCCAGCAAGCCCGTCTTCATGGCCGCTTAGACAGCTGCCACTCCGATTCATGTAGCTGACACAAGCGGCTGTACCCACTTTGGGCTTTCTGTATTGAAGACTGTGGGTGAGAGCTGGGCCTTGTGTCTGAGAAAACGAAGCCTCACCAGTGGGGACGATAGGACTATGACATACGGAGTACAAAATTGCGCACGAGGAAACAAGAGCCACAGTCGTCAAATTCAGAATAAACGACCATGCACGATCTTGTCAAAGTAGGGCCTTGTACTGATAGCAGACTGGCCAATCGTGTCCGAGAGGTAAACATGATGGTTCTGCTGCTTCTGCATGGATGGTCAACCCCTTAGACCGTGTGGTTTTTACATCTGTTCCAAACTTAGAATGTACGAAACTTGCTCTGGCGCAATGGGCATTGAGATTGTCTGCATCCCTGCATGCGGTCCCGACACACGCAGCATTTGAGGTGAATCTGCCAAGTAAGGAAATCTGTTAGTGATCAAGGGACTTGAGACAGAGGAGGCTCGCCCAGGACCTTAGTCAGCGGAGAATTGGCTTAATGAGGCCTGAGATTGATTCATCGATAATTTATATGCTTGGCGTGGATTAGGGCCTTGATGGTTTGATGATACCATATTATTTGGGTTTTGTTTCTTTCCAACAGCAATTCAACAATCCACGCCGGAGCGAGGGATGTGCAAGTTTGCCGCTTACCATAATAACTACGGATAAATACTCTGTACGTAGATATGTACTGTACCTATACTCCGTACAGTAGAGAGAATCACAAACCGTTTCTATCAGTTCTGGGTGAAGATGTTGGAATTCGCAAAAGGTTCAGAGAAGACCGCGTAAGCGTTGGTTTTTTTGACTCTGTTGGCGGAGCCAGAATTCATTCTACCTTCCAATGGATTTATCGGGGGCCGAACCTGCAACAACTGGATGATAACTCAATGTGTACGAACGGAGCTGTCGCCTCCAGGAGTGGGGGAGATTCCACCAGTGCAGGAATATCATTTGCCCGAGCCGGGATGGCTGTGCTTTTTGGGGCCCATCTCCGCGACACCAATAACAGAGTGGAGTTTTTTTGCACCACCGCGAGGCTGGAAATGATTAGCATTCTCCTGGCTCTCTAACGTTTTCTTTTTCTTTTCCCTTTCCTGATGAACGTGTTGAGGCAGTGGGCGATGAGACAATCGAACTTCTCGTCTGTACACTCAGTACAGCCACCTGCTAGGTGGCAACACATCTTGGTTACCCTCATCTGGACTGACAGGAATGTCCGTACAGTAGGCAGTGCAGTGCAGTGTGGAGGAACATATCTACAGTACCACTACCAGCAGCACCAGAGGACCCAGATTGCTAGGTTAGACGAGCCAGACAAACTTCTCACTAAACGAGTACGGTTCCTAGTCTAAGACTCTACTCTCCGTAAGTACACTGAAAACCAACCCCAATTGAGGGGGGGGGAATGGATCCAAAATGATTTAGTGGCGGAGGCTTAGCATTGGCACCAACTTCAATCTTTTCCCAAACCACAGGCGGTGGAAGGGAAAAGGATCCATGATGGGTCCCAGAATCCACTTTTGATTCCACTGCGTTGCCATCCCTCGTACGGACTACGGAATACTCACTCACTGGGACTGGATTTTAGTGCACCATCAATTACACTCTCTTCCCCCTGGCCTGGTGACGGATGGCTATTTGAGACGTTTGGGGCTTGCCCCCCCCGTCAACCCCCATCATCAACCCATGGGCCGTTGTTGACGCTTCACGCGCCTCTCTCTCTCTCCCTCTCCCACTTCCTCTCCCTCTCCCACTTCCTCTCCCCCTCTCTCTCCTCGCCTCAACAATTCCTTTCCTTCTCTGTCTTTAGTCTAAATTATCTTTGGCGCGCCACACATACACCGTCCCAGTTGATGTCCACTGCTTTGTTGCTAAGACATCGTTCGTTCCTTTGGCTCGTCTCCCATCCCCCGTTCTCTGCCTATCACATTGTCCTTCTCTTTTGTTCCATTTGAAGGACCGACAAATTACGCACTCCCTTTCCCCATCATTTGTCCACCTCGTCTACTCGTCTGAATTTGATCATCTCTCTCCCATTCCCTATTCAATCATTTTCTTCTTCTTGCCTCTCCTCTTTTCGTTCATTTTTTTGTTGAATTCGATTTTATCTTTCCCTAAATAAATTTAGGCCTCCTCTTCTCCCCTCCTCCGCCCCCCCCCCCCCTCCCCCCCAAGGCTCTCCAATCCCAGCATCTTCACTGGGGCTTGGTTTAACCTAATAATAATCGTCAATCACCACTATCACCACCTGCCTTTCCCCGTGCTCACTGTTCCTTCTCCCTGCCCTTCCCTTTTTTCCCTTTTGCCAGTCCTTGCCTTGTTTACTTACCTGTGCGAGTGTTTCATTTTCTTGTGGATCTACGGTAACTTGAAGAGGAAAAGGGGGCAAAGTTACCACCGAGTCTCACGGCCGTCATTCCTTAATTCAACCTCTCCTCGACCCCAACGCTCCCCATTCATTGCCTTGCGATTTCTCGATTGGACCCTCGAAATCTATGCTGGCTAGTTTTCGAAGACATAAAGGGTGTTATCTATTGTCTACACTGCACTTCTCCTCCGCTGCTGTGTCTTGCTGCGGGGAAACTTGGTAGTGTTGTTATAGTCTGGGGTTCTCGCTTTCGCGGCCCTTTCGTTCCTTCCCCCTCCCCGCCGGGTTAAAACACGACGTTACGACACACAAGACTGGCATCGTCGCTTCAATTGAGCCTTGCATTCTTGCAGCGTTTTTTCCTTCTCCGCTCTTGCCTTAATCCGACTCGTCATTGAAGAGGTCTCCTTCAGACCCTACTCCGTATTCCACAATGCGACGCGGTGTTTTGATCTTCCTCCTCGTCAACCTCCTCATAGTCACCTTCCTGGTGCGCAGCGTCTTCACGCTGTTGTCGCTACTGGTGGAGGATGCCTCCGCCGACGCCATCCATCGCGCCGAGCTCCCTTCGCCAAACTCCAGCCTTATCGAACAACGGCCGCAGATAATCCCCAAGATCATTCATCAGACCTACAAGAATGAAACAATTCCCGAGGTTTGGAAAGAAGCTCAGCAGAGTTGCATTGACCTGCACCCTGACTATGAGTATATTGTATGTTATCCGCCACCGTTGAACCTCTAACGTGATACTGATGCCTGTTTTCTCTAATTAGCTGTGGACGAACGAGAAGTCGCGCGAGTTCATCGCCAACGAGTATCCCTGGTTCCTTGAGACGTTCGATGGCTACAGGTACCCGATTCAACGGGCAGATTCGATTAGATACTTTGTTCTGGCCCACTACGGTGGCACCTACATTGACCTTGACGATGTGTGTATACATGCATTTCCGTCAGATATCAGGTTATTGACCAATATATAGGGATGCAACCGTCGCCTAGATCCTCTCCTTGCATACCCCGCTTGGGTACGCCGTACTGTTCCCACCGGTATCTCCAATGATGCTATGGGATCTGTCCCTCAGCACCCGTTCTTCTTGCGCGTGATTGAGCTTTTGCAGTCTTATGACCGTCATTGGCTTCTTCCGTATATCACCGTGATGTATTCCACTGGTCCGCTCTTCCTCTCGGTGATCTGGAAGGAATACATGCAAACCTTCCCCAGCGAGTCGGGACGGGTGCGCATCCTCATGCAGGATGAATACAACAAGCACTCGTGGAGTTTCTTCACACACCACGTGGGAAACAGCTGGCACGGTAAAGATGCCCGCTTGATTTTCTGGATGGGTCAGCACTGGATGTTCCTCACCGTTCTCGGCTTCATTTTGGCTGCTGTGGTCGGCTTCTCCCTCTGGTGGCTCTATGCTCGGGTCATGGTGCTTGGTTCGAAGTACCGCTACCGTTACGCGAAGATTCCCTCCTTTGTGACGGGATCTCGGCTACCTTCTCCGACGAGAATGTCACGCCGTATGATGCCTACCCTCCTTCGTCGGGTGAGCTTCAAGGAAGACGAAGAAGCGAACGGTGTCACGGAAACTTCCTACGAACTTTACAGTCGTCGGGATTAAAAGCATCAATCTACGGACGTGTCCCCTTCTATCTTTCGCACGTTGGGACTTTTGATGACATCACAATTCTTTCTCTTCTACCAAATATTTAATTCTTCCCGCCTTTATCGGGGATTCTGTCCTGTTTCTGAGGTGCATGTACGGAGTTGGGGGGAACATGGGTTTTGACCGAGATGCTTCCTAAGCACCGGAGTCCCTTGTACATGATTTGGCAAGATGCTTTGATTTATGCGCGGGCGACTGCTAGGCAGCGCTCGTGCATTGTATCTGGCTTTTTTTCTTGGATGTCTTACATTTTTTTTTTCGCCTTCGCTTCTCTCTTATCTGTTTATACCTTACACCTTTTACTATTTGCTACCGGGCCCCAGAGACGTGCGATTGATTTTGGGTAGACAGCCGTCGGATTCATCCGTCACAGATGCCTGGTGCTGCTGGGACCGCTGAATGAGATCATGTGGTGGCTTGCCACCCTATTATAAAGATCGGCATCATTGCCCATTCGTAAAGGCTTCGTACATGAGAAAGAGAAGTACTCGAGTTAAGTCTCTTGGCTGTGTCAGTACACGAGGCTAAGACCAGTCACACTCCCGGTGAAACACTCCGCCATGGGCAGAGACCAATGAACAGGGCGCAGGGCCAAATAAGCGCACAGCCGACTGAAAACATTTATAGTTGAAGGGGGGTTCCCACTTGGTCTCACTTTCGCCTCGGGGTCGACTCCAATCATGAGGCGCAGGAGAGGCATTGGAGGTGAGAGATGACACATAGCCGCACAGGTGTTGGGCTAGAGTGATCTTCAGGGCCTGGTTGGCGGGGAAGGGTGATAGAGTACGCGGGTCTGCTCCACATATTTCTAGGGGTCTTTCATCTTGAAGGAATGTCAATCATGGCCAGGCATACTCGGGCCTCCAAGGGAGGTGACATAGGCAGACTCTGGAGCGGTTCTTAAACCCCCTGGATTTCCTGTACGTGATTCTACATAATTCACCTGCCAGAGATTCGCGATTTCGATTTCTACATCCTGCCGGTACTGTAGTACGTACCCTAACCCTACTTTTTCCAGTTACCTGCATCGATTTATCTACATGATATAGTATACTCAGTATATATAGTTATACCTTCCACCATGAAGACCTTCTCACTCACCAGCTTTCTCCTCTTCATCCCCCTTTTGGCATCGGCCTCTCCCACGGGTCAGGGACAGTTGCAGACTCGAGGTTCGACGCAAATCACTAGCGAGCAGATCCAGATAATTGCCCCTACCTCTAACACCTGCGCCAACCCTCCGGCCGTCGGGGAGTGCGCGACCTCAGACTCCGCCGCCTCCAGCATCTCCAAATCCTTCCAGACCTATGGAGTCACCAACAAAGCTGAGCAGGCCGCCGTGATCGGCCTGATGGCGTTCGAGAGTGGAGATTTCAAATATAACAAGAATCATTTCCCGGGCGTTGCGGGACAAGGCAGTAAGTTTTGTTACGTTATTTTTTTTTTCTGGCTCTTCCGTGGATTATGCTTGACATAACTTCCTTCCGTTGTATCACTGTCTCCCTTCTCTCCTCTTTTCACTCGAATGTGGACTGTCTGTCTGTCTGCCTTACTAACCATCGATGTGGTCTGGTTTAGCGCGCAACATGCAATCCCCCACCTTCAATGCCAAGTACGCGGCATCCATCCCCGCGCTGGCTGACTCGCTCAAGACCGTCAACGGCGACCCGGCTGGCACCTTAGATCTGCTGCGCGCGGTGCCGGATTATGACTTTGGGTCTGGGGCATGGTTCCTCACCACACAGTGCAATGCAAGTGTGCGCAGTCAGTTGCAGCAGGGCAGCCAGGCGGGCTGGGAGGCGTTTATCACCAGCTGTGTGGGGACGGCTGCTAATGATGACCGCAAGGCGTATTGGAACCGCGCGGTGCAGGCTCTGGGGCAATGAGGTGGTAGTTTTTGTGAGTGAGGAAGGGGGATGGGATAGTGGTATGGGCTGTGTCTCTTTTATGTCCTCGATTGAAGTGTTTCAGGTTGTTGCTTATCTCACATCGTTGACTGGGTTCGTTGTTTGTTTGTGGAAGGATGAATTCCCCGCGTGTATGAGGTTATATAACCCTTTTCAGCTACCATGATAGGGCGGACATTGGATGGGGAGGGGTGCCTCTTACCCTTGAGTCGTTAGATAGATGCAAGACTACAAGCCAACCTGCAAACATGCTAAGTGCAGAAACAGCCCATTTGTACTAGAGTCACACAGAGGGTTATATATGATCGTCGAGACCGCACGGTCTGTCATCGACAGTATATTATTGACTTACGCATAAGTTGCAGGGGTAATGGATCCATGCCTCAACTCCAGAAAGTGGCATACATGTCCTTGCCTACTACAATTCAACCAATATCTACAAAACTCCCTTGGTGCTGACGACATCTCCTGCGCCCACCTCGCCTGCAACCCGTCTGGTGCAAGCCGTCCGGATCGCCACAGCCAACGCCTTGAACGCACTCTCCGCCCGGTGATGGTCATTATCGCCATACGTGCAACCCACGTGCAGCGTCACGCCGGCCGCCTGAGCGAAGCTCTGCAGACCGTGTGTGATCATTTCCGTGCTCAAATCCCCGATTTTTTCCCGACGGAATCCCAAATTGATGACCGCCCACGGCCGGCTGGAGAGATCGATCACAGCCCAGGACAACGCCTCGTCCAGAGGGGCGTCACCACGACCGAACCGTGCAAGAGACTGTCTGGCACCCAAGGCCTCGGTGAAAGCCGCTCCGACGGCAAGGAATGTGTCTTCAGTGGTGTGGTGGTCATCGACTAAGAATGATATAAAGCGTTAGTTCGAAGCCGATGGAGACACACGCAGGGCTTGTCGGGTGTGCTTCCCAAAGGACGAGTGAAGAAGCGTCACATACTGTATAGATCCCCCTTGGCGCGAACGGCCAAGCTCCAGCCTGAGTGCTTTGCCAGCGCATGCAGCATGTGATCTAGGAATCCAATGCCCGTGCTCACGGTGATCTGTTGCGTCGGGGTGAATTGGGTGGCGTGTGCGGCATCCTTGGGCGGGACAATGCCCTTCTTCGCGGCTTCGGCTTCCTGAGGGTCCGTCGGCGCGAGGAAATGTTGGCTAGGCTCGTAGGGGGGCAGAACACCGCCGTCAAGCGACAGCGAGACCTGGATCTTGGTCTCGTTCGTGTTGCGGGAGATGGATGCGGTGCGGGCGGGGAGAGACATGGTGTATGGTTTTGAAGAGTGAGGTTCGCTCGGAGTCGGATAGTCTGCTTTGTCTCGGAAAGTAGAGGATCTAGTCAATCACTGTACTGCGGAGTATCTAAAACTTGGGGGATTGATTGCGATTGAAGGCAGTTGTTGTTCGCAGTGGAGTATGAAATCGAGGGTCTGTGATTCGATATCAAACAGAAGAAATTCGCGGGGCGGAACAAATCCCGCCCGCCCGCATTATTCTCGACCGGAAGCTCAGTATTTCCGTGGCGGGCGGGATATGCGCCCCGGGATTCATGTGCGTCATATGATGGCGGGCGAATTTCTCCTCCATGCATTCATTGATTGAGCTCTTGTGAAACTCCTCGTGCTTTCTGTCAGCACCTACCTACTTACGTGCTCTCTTCCTATCTATCGTCTGTATCCAGCCCCTAATCCGCCCTTCCGTCATATCTCATATCGTCAACATGCCTCCTCCGTCCTGGCAGAAGCATGAGGTTGAACCGCCCGAGCATATTACCTCCGAAGCCGTCCGGGGTTTCCTCACGGGTGCATTCCGAGTACGATATTTTCTCCTTTTTTTTTTTTCTTTTTCTTTTCTTTTTTTTTGAAGGTATTGACCCAGACATTAGTTTGGCTCCGTCTCGATCATCGCGCATATGATCATGATCCTCCCTCATCCCTTCAAATTTTCCCCGGCCTCGTCCGCACCAGTCCCGTCGCATGCACCTCAAGCGAAACAGTCGCCTTTCTCGAAAGAGTTCCTACGATCCCGACTGTTCCATCGTCCCCTGGAAGGTTTCTCTGAATGGCTGTCTCCGGCCTCGCGCATCTATCGCGGATTAACACCACAGTTCAAGGTTTTCCTGCAGATCGGGGCCATGACGCTCGGTGGATACATCTGGGCTGAGAAGCGGGTAGACGAATATATCAAATTCGTGCGCAAGGTGAAACGGGCGGAGAAGCTTCAAGCCGAAAGAGCTGCCAAGGGCCTCGACTAGGTTGGTACGTTTCGGTCCCAATTGAGAATCAGTGCAAAGAAAAAGCTAGGACGCCCGATTCCATTGCCACGGCAGTAGTCAGAACAAAGATAGAATTCGACCCTCTAGACTGACTGACTCCCATCGGCAGCATAGCCACTTGATATCTTCTCTCGTCGTCTAGAGCCACACTTCTTCGGCAATTTTCATCCAAACCTACTTACCATCCGCGAACTACCGTGTATGAAGGGTCCTTTGCACAACGTTTCCACCCAACCTGGAACACGCTACCGGACAGCAGCGGCGGGATCGTTCAGCCACCAGGGTCCAGCCGATAGAAGGAGGAAAGTCGTGTAGCAGCCAAGGGACCTACCGACATAATCGACCGTCTGACCTGCCATTGTTGTGGAGAGCCGGGAGGAATCCTCGGGTACGCGAGCCGGCCTGTGGTGTACATCTGTACGGAGTAGATCTCGAGTTAAAATGAGAGGAGCCCGATTCAGGGGTAGAATACGATCCATTGGGCCAGGGTTTCTTGGGTCGGGTTTTTGTTCTCGCGCAACGTCCTGTTTTGCTTGTCCCCCTTGGCCAAGCCTCGGTAAAAGTCTGCTAGCATTGTTATACAGCACAAATGAATACTGTGTAGAAAAAGAATGACGAGGTGGTGAAAACTATGAAAAAAGAAAAGTTTCCACCAAAACGAGCAAACATGGCTAGAACAATCCTTGATTATCTGTCTCTCGGACCATCGTCTACTTTTCTCCAGGGAAACAATGCTTTGTCCCGAACAGCTACGATCCAGACCGTGGGCAACACTATGTCCACCGACTATGAGAGTGAGGAAAAGCAGACTAAGGGCCGCCATGCGCCGGGCGAGACAATGCAAGCCTCTGGGGCGAAGTGGAGCGGTTCTCCTGTCTAGCGACTCTAGCTCGACAGGCGTTCCGACGTAGCGCCAATGACGCGGCTGGAGATCAGCTTCTCGAACACGTTTCACACTTTTTTTTTTTTTTTTTTTTTTTTTTTTTTTTTTAAAAAAAATAAACCTCTGTACAGTTCAATCCACTGGGCGATGATCGCCTGAAGGGGATGAGAAGGGGGGCGCGGAGATGAAGGAGGTTCCATCCGGCGCGCTGAGTGGGACAATCGAAGTGAGAGTAGGAACTACGGAGTAGAAAGAAGAAGTAATATTCAGTGACTGGTAAGGCGGATTTATGACTGTGTACAGAGTACTGTGTGCACTGTATAGTCGGGAGGGGGACTTGAATGGAATGCTGGAGATGAGCTGCTTGGGGAGAGAATTCCGTACCTCACTCCCTCACTTATCCTGAGTAGTTATTCACAAGACATCCCCTCACTTCACTGACTCGCAACCATGACTGTTCGCAGGCAGGGGAGGAGGGAGGGTAATCGTTTGCGGGTAGAAAACCGTGGATGCTGACATCATTTGCCTGGATGCGGTTCCAATAACTGATATTCTCCGGATGCTTTCCCCCTGTTCTGTCAGGCACTGCAATTGCTCGTACCTGACTGTCTGTTTGCGTCTGGAGACTTCATTCACTACTGCTTGTCACCGTTGCTCCTGCGCCCCAAGCTCCCATCATTCCTCCCGCTGCTACTCGCCACCAAAATCTCTTCAAATTAACTACAGTGAGCCACCGAACCTATCTACCTATCTTATCCCTTTCCTTTTCTACCTCTCTCTCTCTCTCTTTTCTTCTCTCCCCTCGTGGAATTGACAGACACACCACATTCCGTGTCCAACCATCTGCGGATTTGACAGGTTGTGTGAATCTCAAATGGATGTGGTTGGGAGTCCTTGAAATAAATCATCACAGTGACGACGACCTCATCTCCCCGGCTGGATCTACACGTCTATCAAGTCATAGATCGCCATCCACTCCGATCCCTTCCCTCCATCCATTTAAAACCAACTGATGGTCTCCGTACTTCTATCCACGGTTCGCAGAACTTGCTGGTTCTTGTTTTGACCTCCCTCAACTCATTCTATTCTCTTCTGCTCTCTGGTTCTATATCATTCTGTCTGGATACAATTTCGACTTCCTTGCCTTGAATTTTGCTGCCGTGGTCAACAGCACATATTCACCTTTTTCAATTCAATCTCTCTCTCTTCCTCTTTGTGACTTGGACTCCTTCTGGTATCGAGTCTACTACCTAGCTCACTCAATCAATTCGACCGATGGTTGCTGTATGTTCCACCTTTTTCCTTCCTCCTGCCTTGATCCCCCTCTTCTCCCCTACCCGTGGCTCCTCATTTGGTGCTTCCGCGCCCTGCTCCACCCCTCTAAGTCACTAGTCAACCGCTGGGGTTTGTTTCAATCTCTCCTGGAGCCCTGGAGTCCTGCCTGTGTCTTGCTCCAATCTCCTCTGCTCCCAAATCATCTTCTGTCTTCGCCCCCCCCCCCCCCCCCCCTCCTCCTTCCCCTCAAAATTTACCCCTTCGTCGCTTTCGGCCATGATTCATGCTAACGGTCGCCTTTCTCTCGCTTTCTGCGCCTCTTTAGTGAGATCCCATTTTCGGCTTCTCAATGTGATATTCTTTCTTTAACTACCGTCCTATCACACCATCTTGTTGCTGTTGCTGCTGTGACTGCTGCAGCTAGCTAGCTAGCTAGCTTCCTCCTCCCCTCCTTTCGAATTTCGAGCGCTTCTCCCCTTTCTCTCCCTCCCCTTTTCTCCGCCTTGATTCTTCCCTTCCCCTCTCCTTTTCTAAACCTCGTCATGGCCGACAATCTGGGGAAGAAAGAGCGGAGAAAAAGCCTGAGCGTCTTTAGCCCATCCTTCACCACCTCTTCCCTGTCCGACCCCGCAGCGCACCAACGATCGCCATCGGATGATGCTCAAGCCTCGAAAAAGAAATCACGCCGTAATTCTGGCTTCTTTGGGGTCCGGAACCCCAGTCCGCCAAGAACCGGCACCAGCTACACCCTGCGTCGTCCCGGCACCGCCGATTCGGAGTCGACAGCATGCATGATGACCCCGCCGGCCCTTGAGAGCTCGCGCTCTCGACGCAAGTCGATGCAGAAGAGACGAGCCTCGGTCTTCGGGTCACTGCGGTCCCTTCACTCTTTGGAAGATGATGATCGATCCCTCGGCCGCTCCAAGGGCAGCTCTTTGGATGAAGACAATCCAGAAGTTCGACAAGGCATCGGCTCCATAATCCTGCACCATGGTGAAATTCAGATTACAGGCGGCATGTGGCGGAAGAAGAGTCATTATTTGGTCCTAACCGATACTCATCTGGTCCGATTCAAGAGTCAAAGCAAAGCGGCCGATATGTTTCCCTCGATCCCTTCATCTTATTCTCGATCCCTGGTCAGCAACCGTCAATCTGTCGTCTCCATCAGCTCAATGCAAGATCCACAGCTAGGTGTGCCAGGTGACAACTCCTCCGGAATTGCCTTGAACAGTATCATCGCTGTCTACATGTTGGACGATGGCCGACCGTCGTCAACGGTCGAGGTCGCCTATGTCGACGAGCGCGCACAGAAGGCCACCTTCATTCAAATGCAGACGCCGGACTACCAGGAACTCAATTTGTGGATGGTGGGCATTCGGTCCGCGGCAGAACTAATTCGAGGAGCCGACCCCTTGCCATTCGACCGGAAGACGGTGGACTGTGTGGTGCGAATGTTGGATTACGAACGAGATTACGATCCCGAAACGTTTCGCATGTTTAGGGTCATTCAAATGGCATCTAGCAAGTCTCCGACGCGGGCTTCGTCGGAGGATCTAACCAAGCTTTCGCCGACTGGTTGTTACCTTGCCCTGGGTTCTCATAAACTCCATCTTATTCCCTTACACAAGATATCCAGTCGCAGCTCTGTGGTATCTTTAAGCGATTTAGATGCTGCGACGTCCTTTGGACTCATGAACCTGACCTGCTTGTCGATGGAATGGGGCGACGATAGCTTACATCTTACCTTCCGACTGCCTCTTCGCAAACCATTCTCCGTATTTCTTGCATCCGTTCATTCTTTGGAAGTTGCCTTCTGGATAAGACAACAGACGGAGTTCTTGCGACCTTTATGGCTCAAGCAGCCTTATGACTTCATCGTCCCTCGAGACCTTGACAATGAGAACAACTTTCCTCCAGTAGACCTTGATGAAGACTTCGGTTGCTTTGACAGAACTTTGGTCGCTTATTCTGCCAGCTATGACATCGATACATCCAACATTCGATACACAATTGACATGCAATGTGACGACGCTCCCTGTTTCAAGCTATTGCCTCCTTCCTCACGCCGTAAGTATACGGCCCTGGAATTGATCGCCGTCCTGCGGGCCTTGCGCTATAACGAGTCTTTCCGTGCAATCTCATTCAGCGGGGTGAGCTTAGACGCCCTCCAGGGCTTGCGAGACGCGCACGGACAAGACAAGGATGCGCTTCTTAGTCGTGCTGGTGCAGCCATCAACATTCCCGGGCAAGAAAACCTCTCTGTTCTAACCCAGGAAGTTCGAGCCTTAACACTGAAGAGCAAATGGCTTCGACGCCTTGATTTCTCCTACACGTTAAGCCGCATCCCCAAGTCGGATAGTGAAAGTCATGACCCCGGCTGCGGTATCCCAGAGGCGATTTTTCCGATCTGTCGGCGAGAACTGACAAGCGTCGATTGGGTCGTTCTCAACGGAATCAAACTTGGAGATTCCGATCTGGACTATCTTGTTGATGCGGCTTCGCAGCGAGGTAGTCACATGAGGGCACTGGAAGTGGGTAATTGTGGTCTATCTGTGCATGACCTTGACCTTTTGCTGTCGACTGTCGTTGCTCAATCGCACACGCTGGAGGCAATCAACATTTCTGGCGTGCAGGGTCGCCTGACGCCGGATATCCTCCCGCAGTACCTTGGTTACTTTAGCCATATCAAGACCCTGGACTTGTCCCGAATTTCGCGCACATCTGGTCCGGAACCACTACTCACGCCTGAGATTTTGATCAATTGGCGCCTGGAGGAGCTTTCCTTAAGCCGGACAGCCGTCAATCGGCAGACCGTTGATGCTATCGCCACGTATCTAGCCAGCGATCGCTCGCAGGGCTTGCGGGTTCTCAAGTTTGATCAATGCGGTCTTAGCGGTCAGGATTTGGCGATCTTTCTACATTCTATGGCGGTGCTCGAATCTCGTAACCTGCATTTGCATGCCAACGAGAACCGACTCGATCAGGGCTGTTCATACCTTTTTGACGCCATAGCCCAAAACAAAACCCCAACACACTTGTCGATGCGAATGATCGATTTCAAGAAGGAGGAGCAGTTTCAGGAGCTGGTCGAGGCTTTGCGAGTGAACCGTTCTTTGAAATACCTGGATATCTCGAAGGCTTCCCTCCCGTACGATGCAGGGCCAGAGACCTGCAGGGCACTGCAGATGATGTTTGAAGAAAATGAGACATTAGAAGATTTGGACATCAGTGGAGAGAGTGCTCACTTGGATGTCGCCCGTTTTGGAATTGGTCTCAATCTGGCTCTCACTGGCCTGAAGAAGAATAAGTCTCTGCAGGTTTTGAGGATTGAACATCAGAAACTTGGTCTGCAAGGAGCAAACACCCTAGCATCCGTGCTGGAAGATAATGACTGTCTACGCGAGGTTTATTGCGAAAACAATGATATCAATCTGCAATCGTTCACAGTTCTGGTGAATGGTCTGCAGCGGAACCGGTCCTTGCTGAGTCTTTCTTGCATGGACCGGGATCGAGTCCAGTCACTTGAACGGGTGCGACGGGAAGTTGAGAACGTCAAGCGGGACCTGAGCCTTGCACAGAGCTCTACCACGAGTTCTATCCGTCGCTCGATCCACGCTGCTATCACCAACAAAAACTCGAGCAGTAGCAAGCTATCCAAACAGCAGCCGTCATCACTTCACCGTTCGGGTGCGTCAACTTCCAATCTACTTTCCTCTGCAGATGCTTCTCTGATGCAACAAGATGTTGAGATCATCTTGCAATCATTGAATCGAAAATGGGATGCGGAGGTCGCGCGTCTGCGCAAATACCTTTTTAGGAACTATAATCTGGCACATGGCATTGATGATGGCAGCGCCGGGCTTGACGATGACGATTCCAGCGAAGGACGCCCCGCCACTGCAACAACGTTGGGACTCATGCTCGATAATTTGAAATTGGATGTGACGGTTTCGACAAACGAGATTCAGCCACCGCCGCCGCCCGAAGATGGTGATACCAGCCCGAAGACCCATTTGGACATGTTTAACAGTCTCGATGCTGAGAGTAGCTTGGTAGCTGAGCTTCGGGAACGCCCGCAGACAGCTCCCTTTTCATTGGCAGACTATGGAAGTCAGTCGTTCCTGCCCTTGGAATATGAGGGGTTCCATGGCCACAGTTCTCGATTAGCGGTTCCAGTTCCAGCCATACCTCCTGTGGTGAACAAGACCAGCAGCGTTCGCAGTGCTCGCAGTTCTAGCACCGTCTCTACTGGTACCGGTGCAAGTACGCGCAGCACCTACGGGTCGGCTTCATCTACGTTGAGAGGGTTTCTGAGTGGCGGTGCATCCAAAGAACGCAAAAGGATGGAAAAAATGAGGTCCGGTGCAGTATGCGTATCTACCGATAGGCCACCTACGCTGGATTGGGCACCCCCACATCTTGAATTGGATAATTTTCGATAATCCAACCCTGTCCGTTTCCTGACATGATTTGATGAATCTACCGATGAGACAACCATATCAAGCTGTTTTCACTTCTCGAAAAAACACGATTTTATGCCATTGTCGTGTGATACCTCTCCCACTTCTCACTTCGCTCCTCCTGTCGTCTACCCAACTCAGCACGTCAGTGCCTGTACTCTTCTTACCTGGCTTCGACCGAACTCAAGCATACCACTCCTTTTCCGCCACTCAACCGTTGTGGATCCTCTGGATCGCGCAGTGTCTGGATTCTGTCTGATACTATTTCCACTTTCCTCTTCCCGTTCATTGCATGACCTTCTCTCGATTTTCCCGCCCTGGCAAGCCTCAGGAAAGGCAGATGGCCCAGAAAAAGGAGAATAACTCCTACCATTTCCTTTATCTTTTCTATTTTTGCATTGTCTTGCGTGGTGGGCGCATTGGCTAAGCGGCGTTCAAACCAACAATACAGTGAAATGCTTGAGTATCTTCGGGTTCCAAGTGAGGCGCATTTCAAGTCTACGGCGTACCTTGTTGACTTTCTTTTTTTTTTTCCGATCACATGATGCCCATAATTGTTAATGTCAATAGAATCTATGTCCCATTCACACTTAGAAGCGGGAACTGCTACGAAACGGTAAGGATAATAAAGGATGATGTTACCCACGCGGACGGAGAATTCGAGACTTAGTGGCTCCGTGGTTGGCTCTCGCAAGCCCTGTGCACGCCAGAATTCAGATGAAGTGACCTTTACCGTCTGTAATTTGTGGTATCTATTGTTTATCCGATGATCGATCGTGTATGTATGTATGTCAATCTGAACGAATGGCGGCGATGTATAGTAGGCTTCTGTCCTCCAGTGGAAAAGTGTGAGGTTCCTGTTCCCTTGGTATCGATGAGTACTTGTAGAGGTTGTCAGCAAATTGGGAATTCCCACTTGTGGGGCCTTTTCCCAGTCCCCAAAAAGATGGCAGAATTTTGCATGTGATGAGGGAGTGGATCGAGTCGATCCGTGTACTTTTCTGATTGAACCTAGCTTAGTTCTCGACCAATAGGATTGTCGTATTAAAAAATGGATCTGCTTTTGTATAGATCAGAAGTTCTCATTGGTCGATACCGAGCCCAGCCCTATGCGGGTGGATAAGTAGGGCTCCATGACAAAGGTGTATCAGATAGCTGACTTAGATCTATATTCGAATCTAAGTCACTAAAAGGTTTATTTATGTCAATGATTTTATATAGGGAAACAGCCCAAAAGGTACGTACACGGAGATTGAAGCCAGAGTAAGGAGGCTTCCTGAATTTCACTAAATTTTAGCGCGGAAATGATGGAGTATACACTAGCTGCATTGGGAACTGGGAAGGCCTTCCCAGTTCCAAGTCGACCGCCTTCTCGTTTTGGCACGCTATACCTTTCTGGGAATGGGAAAGGCCCCACAGCTGGGAATTCCCATTTTGCTGACAATCTCTAGTATAAGCCTCAACTAAGCCCGACTGCTTGGGAATAGGGCAGCAAAATTCCGGATCATACAGCAGCTTAATCTTCAGGAGATTTGGCTAAATTCGACTGGTTTGTCGAGCCGTTCTACGCCCTTTCCTACACATGAAACAACACAGGCTGTGAGAGAGAGAAAAAGCGAGAGAAAAGATAGGCCAGTTGGTATAAAGTTATAAGACAACACGATGAAATCGAACGACGAAAGAAAATCGAGATTGCTTTCTAGTTTTAAAACACCGAACTCCCATCCAGATACATCTGCGCGCGGCCACGCATCGAAAACGACACGAGCCTTGGATACATGATATTGATTAGTTTACAAGCCGGATTGGCGCATTCCTTTCCCTTCTCGCTCCCTCCTTCAAAATGACGGATGGCGAGAACGAGGACGGTTGGGTTTTAATGGCTGATCCTCTCTCACCTAGGAGGGGAAGTCTGCTTCGCAGGACGTTCGGCAGGTTGCTCGGTGGTCTTCTGAAAAGATTGAGGCTTGCTAGAAGGCCTGCGGCGGAACGCTTCGCGCGTCTTGTTGAACGGCTTGTCGCGAGGCTTTTCGCCTTTGCTAGACTTATTAGCCACATACCTAACCCCCGGCCCAGTCTTTGGGTGATGGCGAGCATGTGACTTCAGGGGAACACTGGGCCCCGTCGGAGACAAAGTACGGAAGACGACAGGCTCAGATTTCGAATCCATGGATGTCTGCCGCTCACGGTATCGGCGACCGCGCTGAGCAATCTCTCGGAGCTTCCTGAGGTAAGGAGTCGACCCGTCTGACTTCGCATAGTCGAGAGCATCCCGGCGACGTCTTTGACAAGCCCGATAAAACTTACGGGTTTCGGCGTCCGCTCCATCCAGGTAATGAATCTTATATGCGATCTCCCACTGATCTTTCCTGGTGAATATTTCCGGTCTGACGACCCTCTGCCCATTTACAAAGTTTTCAAGTGTGAGTACGGCAGCAAAGAGCTCTTTACCCTCCTCCGCCTCAGACTTGCTGTTTAGGCAGAAGAACTCATCCTCGTCTGCTTTCTCCTCCGGAATAGCTTCCGTGGGGTCTTTCAGAGTACTGTCATATACGGCATCGTCGTCTTCGAGGGCTGGATCTTCCTCTTCGACGAGGTCGTTAGTCGATGTCGCCACCGGCTCGTCGGGCAGATTCAAGATGCGTTTCTGGTACGCGTCAATCACTTCCTTATTCTTGTTCTGAATTGCCTCAATCTCGTCAGGCGTGACGGGCTCCGCGAAGATGAGCATGTAGGGTTTGCTTCTCGAGTTTTCACCGCGGGTCTCAAAATGAAAGCGAAGCGACTGCTTAGGAAATTTTTTCGTGGCACGGTCCAGGATATCATTCCAAATCTGAATGCTGTGTTCGAACTCGCGATCACCCAATGCATTCTTATATTGACCATGTAGCGCTTTATCCATCTCGTTCAACGAGATATATTGGAAGCCAAAAATACGCTCGATGTTGTGAAATGCCACAAAGATGCCGTCCATGCGTCCGACGCGTACCTGAAGCGAATATTTGAGGAAAGCAGCCCGGATCATATCATAATACTCGCGTTCGTACGATTCGTACAAGCCGAATGGTCGACGAATCTCGTAACCCAGGCCCTGCTCGAAATTGCGCGCATCCATACGAATTGACACCACAGCACGTGTCTTTAGATCGAACATGCCGGTTCCCGGAAGTCGTGGGTCATAAGCGTCTAACTGGGATCGCATAAGAAAATCGCCGTGGGTGGAGTAGTGGTATGATTCAGGGATGGCATTCTCTTCCTCTGGGGTGATCTTGTTGGCGCTGGTCCTCCGGTAGCGCTCAAATTCCTCCTTTGGTAGTGTCAGCAGCTTTTCCATGGATTTACCCAAATTCATCAAAATGTTGGCTGAATCAAACTCCTTGTCTGCATCAATAGCATAGACACCATCCTGGTAGTGTAGGAACATGGCCGCAGGTGCTCGCAAAAGTCGCGTGAAGGTCTTTAAATTTTCGGTGAAGCCCTGAGACAAGATGCTAGTGTCGACGGGTCGCCAAGCTGACAACAGGTAGTGAAAGTGCGAGAGTACCGAAGTCATACTCGAAGAGGACCCAATATATTTCTTGCCCTTCTTCCGCGCGAGGGAATGTAATTGTTTATCCTTGGAGGAAGTAATGTAGTCCTTTAAAGCTTGAAAATCGAATTCGGTGACAGGCATGATGGAACCCAAGTACGGATCGAAATTGTAAACTCGGGATCTTGGATCCCGCAGCGTGTAAACTCCGTGGCTAAACAGCTGTTAGATCTCACGGGTTGACCATTGTCGCCGCTGGGGTAAATCGCAGGAGTCCTTACTTAAATAATACTCGATCCAAACCGAATGCTAGGCTGGGCACGTCTGCTGTTTTCACTGGGAGCGCTGCACGACAGTTAGTCTGTGACGACTGTGGCTCATGATTGGAGAGGAAAGCTGGTATCGTACGTACGTTGAACACTTTCTGGTTTCATGATGCGGCGAACATTGCAATGCGTTGCAGTGAAGGGAAGTTCTGGCATAATTGAGTAAGGTTTTCGCACATTGCCAGCTGGTTCCTGCTGCTCAGGCTGCTGCTCAGGCTGCTCCTCTTGCTGCTGCTGCTGCTGCTGCTGCTGCTTCTGCTGGCGGTGGTCTTGATCAGATCGTAATTGAACGTCAGATTGATTAGGAATCGGAGCTTTATTCGGGGCCTCTGCCTCAGCACCAGAAGCAGCCTCGGGGCACGGCGGTGACTCGTGGTGCAAGGAGCGCGCCCATAACTGCTGATGCGGAGGCGCATTGAAGCCACGGGAAAGGCACGACCAGCAGCCGTGACCCCGACGAGGGGTCACGGCAGACCGCCAGGAAGCCCGAAGCATTCGGGACTATAAGGATGCGGACTGAAATTCAATCGGAGGAAAAGAGCGACAACGAAAAAGAAACAGGAACAAAATAAAAGTGTTCTGCACAAGCTGAGAAGAAAATCGAGGAGGCGGCGAACTTGATGATTGTCTCTTATCATATTTTTTTTCCTTTGCCGCTTTGGCCAGAGATTCTTTCTGCCCTGAAGGCGGTGTGTTGATAGAGTATCAGTGCTCACCGCCCCGACACACAGGCAATCCAATCAATCCGGGGTCGGGGCAAGTCACCGCTTCCCCGCCGGGCGGGCAACACAGGCAAAATCCGACATCGCTCCCTCCCGCCCAAAAAAAAAAAAACCTTTTGACTTTTTACTTCAAATCCCCTCTCTTCCCCCCAATATCCATCCTTCCCTCTCCTTCTTTTCTTTGCGCAGGTCGCTTGCTAGGTGAGTATCCTTTCCCCCCTTATCAATTGATATTATCGTGTTTGTGCAGTCTGATTTTTGGAGGAATCTCTCCACTTGGCAAATGACGGAAGATGGAAAGAGAACACTGCCAACAAGTGAACTGACTCCACTTCTACTGATTGACTCAACCCGCATGCCCCTCCCTCCCTCTCCCTCTATGAGATCTTCCTGAGATTTTCTTTCACCAATTATCCTCCCCCCTCATGTTTTCGATCTTTTTTCCCTTCTGCTTATCCCTTATATTCTCCTAATACATCTCTTTCGTTTGTTTCAATCGTAATTGACCTTCATCTAACCTGCACGTCTCCTCCCTCCTTCCACCATCTATCCATCCCCATTTCCATACTAACATCGCCCCGTTCACCAGAGTTACCCCCCGAGACCATCGCGCTTCCCTATCCCTCTCCCCCGTCATCATGACTACCGAGCGGTTGCGGGTGCTCATTGTCGGCAATGGCGGCCGGGAACATGCGCTGGCCTGGAAGCTGAGCCAGTCGCCCCGCGTCGACACTGTCTTCGTCGCTCCCGGAAACGGTGGCACCGGCAGTGGTGCCTCGGACAAAATCCAGAACGCCAACGTTAAGGGTGACGATTATCCTGGACTAGTAGCCTTTGCGCAGCGAAACGACGTGAACTTGGTGGTTCCTGGCCCTGAGGCTCCTCTCGTGGACGGTATCCAGGGTTATTTCCAGGCTGGTGAGCATTCTCCTTGAGCACAGCTCAGGCGCCAGACGACAATACAGCTCCACTAACTACGGGATTAAACAGTCGGAATTCGATGCTTCGGTCCCTCCAAGGCTGCGGCCCGCATGGAAGGCTCCAAGACCTTCTCTAAGGACTTCATGAAGCGTCACAACATTCCCACTGCCGCCTATGAGAACTTCTATGAATATGAGCCCGCGCGTCAGTACCTCGACTCTGTATCCCACCAGGTCGTTATCAAGGCCGACGGCCTCGCGGGTGGTAAGGGTGTCATCATTCCTACCACCAAGGAGGAAGCTCACCAGGCTCTCCGTGAAATGATGGTCGAGAACCAGTTTGGCAAGGCCGGCAGCGAAGTCGTTATCGAGGAGTACCTTGAAGGTGATGAACTTAGTGTTCTCACTTTCTCCGACGGCTATACCATTCGTTCTCTTCCCGCTGCCCAAGATCACAAGCGCATCTTCGACGGGGATCAGGGTCCTAACACCGGTGGCATGGGCTGCTACGCCCCGACTCCCATCTCGTCCAAGGCTGTGCTGGATGAGATCGATCGCACCATCGTGCAACCCTCTGTTGACGGCATGAGGAGAGACGGTCCGTCCCCCTCCCTTCTTTGATATTGGTATCACGCTAACATGCCACAGGATTCCCTTTCGTCGGCATCCTATTTACCGGTCTTATGATGACCAAGGACGGCCCTAAGGTCTTGGAGTATAACGTTCGCGGTGGAGACCCTGAAACTCAGACTCTGCTGCCGCTGCTGAGCGATGACACCGATTTGGCTGAGATTATGGTCGCCTGCACGGAGCACTGGCTTGACGGCGTCTCCATCAAAATCAAACCCAACTTCTCCACCACGGTCATTGCCGTCGCCGGTGGCTACCCTGGCTCCTACGCCAAGGGCAAGAAAATCACTCTTGACTCCCCCGCCGAAGGAAATCTCATTTTCCATGCCGGCACAAATCTCGTTAACGGCGAGCTGCAGACGGCGGGTGGCCGTGTCATTGCGTCCACCGCGACCGCTTCCAGCCTCGAAGAGGCCGTTCAGAAGAGCTATGCGGGTATCTCCACCATTCAATTCGAGGGCATGTTCTACCGCAAGGACATTGCCCACCGGGCTTTCCGCCAACGCGACGCTGCCGCCGCTCAGAAGGATTCTCTTACCTACGCCGCTGCAGGCGTCTCTATCGATGCCGGCAACGACCTGGTCAACCAGATCAAGAGCTCTGTCGCCAAGACCAAGCGCCCTGGTACGGACGCCGTGATCGGTGGCTTCGGCGGGCTCTTCTCCCTAGCGGCCGCCAACTCCGCCTACGACCCTAATTCCCCCACCCTAATTGGTGCCATCGACGGTGTTGGCACCAAGCTCAAGATTGCCCACGCAGCTGGTGTACACAATACCGTGGGTATTGACCTTGTCGCGATGAATGTGAACGACCTGGTCGTTCAGGGTGCGGAGCCCCTCTTTTTCCTCGACTGCTACTCCTGCGGTCATCTCGACGTGCCCACGGCCGCCGCTTTTGTCACTGGTGTTGCCGATGGCTGTGTCCAGGCAGGCTGTGCCCTGATTGGTGGTGAAACTGCTGAAATGCCCGGCCTCTTTGTCGATAACACCTACGACGCAGTTGGTGCCGCTGTCGGTGCCATCAACACGACGGGTCCCAACGCGCGGCCCATCCTTCCTGAGACCACCGCCATGAAGGCCGGTGACGTGTTGTTGGCCCTGGCTTCCTCGGGTCCTCACTCCAACGGTTACTCGTTGGTCCGCAAGGTGATCGAACGCTCTGGTCTTGACTACGATTCCGCAGCTCCCTTTACCATGCCCTCTGCCACCGGGCCCCAGACTCTCGGCCAGGCCCTCCTCACTCCCACTCGCATCTATGTGAAACCCCTTCTCAAAGCCCTCTCTATTCCCTCCGCCACTCCCTCCGTTCCCAACTCCTCCGCCATCAAGGGTCTTGCTCACATCACCGGTGGCGGTCTCGTCGACAACGTTCCCCGTATGTTGCCTTCCACCCTCACTGCGCACATCGACGTGGCGAGCTGGAAGCTTCCATCCGTCTTCGCCTGGCTCAAGCAGACCGGTAACGTTGAGGCCGTGGAAATGGCCCGGGCCTTCAACTGCGGTGTTGGCATGGTTATCGCCGTTGAGAAGGGCTCCGAGGCCGCCGTCAAGGACCTCCTTCAGAAGGAGGGCGAGACCGTCTACAATATCGGAGAGCTGAAGGCCAGAATCGAGGGTGAGGAGGGATGTGTCCTTACTGGATTGGAGAGCTGGGACGCTTAAACTATTTTGAAATAATTTTATACCTACCGCTGTGGAGTTCCTTTTCCCCTCCCCATTGTTTTTTCTAAAATCTGAATGAAAAGTGTTATTTTTTTTCCCTTTCATGCAACCTCTTTCTCGGGATCATGTTTAGACGAGGAATGGTGTGAAAGTTATCGAGATTTCTGCACTGGAGCACCACGGCTTGAGCTTGCGTCCTTTTTCTTGATGTATCTATCTATGGTTTTGTTACATTTGCCTCTTTACCTGGAGAGTGGCATGGTTTTCTTGGGCGGCCGGTGGAATCATGAGCATTGAATGTTGAACTAGTTATTGGACGATGATCTGTTGGTCTCAAATCATTCAAACAACTCTTGTTCATGTCTGTTGAACCATCCACAAAATCCGGGTGGGACAGACGCATTGTTCACATCTTTCGCATGAGCCTTCTTTCTGTGTCATTGGTCTCTTTCTACGCTTCTTCTTGGTGCCATACCATCAAACAGTGCATTCTTAGCTCAATGAGAGCATTGCCTGAAGAGAACAAGCCGGGATCCTTGGATGAATAGGTTACTGCTCCCGCCACGGGAACAGTCAGGAGTCTTGGTATCATGATGGACTGACTATCTATGGTTTATTGACTTTAGCAAGATATGATACGTCATATCTGTTACAGAAGAGAAGACAACGTTTTCATCCACCAAGAAGACGGGGGAAAATCACCTACAGTACACCTACCGATAACGGCCAAGAATGGCATAATGGGCAGAGCCACTCTGCCAAGCAACAAGTGGTTCACAAGTAGGCGTTATATTCGCCGTAAAGGAATGGAAACACCGACCGAAATAGAGCGGTTTTGGACTCCTAGGTTCGTGAATTGGCTATAACAATGTGACTACAGGAAGCAGTTTGCAGAGACATCATATTCGCAGTAGCAATTCATAGTGTCACAGCTGTGAAGGAATACGAGGGCACGACTTAAAAACACGAGCGTAGAAGACTTATATGAAGAAGGCTCCCCCAGGATGAACACAAGTCCCATATACAACTCGCTCCTACACCCTTGCCTGGTTCGCTTCCGCCGGACTCCCAGGGCCGGCGGCCAGAGGTGGCGGCCTGGGGCCGATGTGGCAAGCTTGTTTCAACATGAAAAAAAAAGTAAAAAACCATCTCTATTCGACAGCTAAAATAAAAGTTCCTTTTTCAGGCGATCTTCCTCATAGTGCGAGTTCAGAGAGGGCCCGCCAGTCACCTATGTCTCCGTCGGGTCTTTTGATACATGTGGGAATATGAGAGTACGAAACGAAACGCGCAAGAGCTATGCGAAATTTAGCAGGCGACCCAAAGTCCATACAGTAAGGAACATCATACCTTAGAAGCACTTGCGGTGGACGATAGAGGGACCGCTCTCGTCGTACTCCTGCTTGGAGATCCACATCTGCTGGAAGGTGGAGAGGGAGGCCAGGATGGAACCACCGATCCAGACGGAGTACTTGCGCTCAGGGGGAGCAATGATCTTGACCTTCATGGAGGAAGGAGCCAAGGCGGTGATCTCCTTCTGCATACGATCGGAGATACCAGGGTACATGGTAGTACCACCAGACTGAACCAATATTAGTCAGGGCCCAATTAGTTATTAATCAAGACAGGAACTTACCATGACAATGTTGCCGTACAGATCCTTACGAACATCAACATCACACTTCATGATGGAGTTGAAGGTGGTGACATGGATACCACCGCTCTCGAGACCCAGGACGCTGGGCTGGAAGAGAGCCTCGGGAGCACGGAAACGCTCGTTACCAATGGTGATAACCTGACCGTCAGGAAGTTCGTAAGACTTCTCGAGACTGGAGCTCTGGGAAGCGGTCTGGATCTCCTGCTCGAAATCAAGGGCGACGTAGCAAAGCTTCTCCTTGATGTCACGGACAATTTCACGCTCAGCGGTAGTGGAGAAAGTGTAACCACGCTCGGCCAAGATCTTCATGAGGTAGTCCGTCAGGTCACGACCGGCCATGTCGACACGCGAGATGGCGTGGGGGAGGGCGAAACCCTCGTAGATAGGGACGACGTGGGTGACACCGTCACCAGAGTCCAGAACGATACCGGTGGTACGACCGGAGGCGTACAGGGACAGGACAGCCTGGATAGAGACGTAAAAGGCGGGGGCGTTGAAGGTCTCGAAGACAATCTGGGTCATCTTCTCACGGTTGGACTTGGGGTTGATGGGGGCTTCGGTCAAGAGAACGGGGTGCTCTTCAGGAGCGACACGGAGCTCGTTGTAGAAGGTGTGGTGCCAGATCTTCTCCATGTCATCCCAGTTCGTGACAACACCGTGCTCGATGGGATATCTGAGAGTGAGGATACCACGCTTGGACTGTGCCTCATCACCGACGTAGGAGTCCTTCTGACCCATACCAATCATGATACTGCAAAGGCGTTAGATACATGGCGGCCGTTTCTCAATTTGACAAGAGGGAGCTTTACCCATGGTGACGGGGACGACCGACGATGGAGGCTGCAAAGGACGATCAGTATGCTGAGATTTACGGCAAAAAGGACAGGCTATTCACCGCCCGCCCGCCTTCATCCCCCGCAATAATGCTCACTTCATGCAAGGGAGCCATGGAAGCATGCCTTGTCGAGGGGTGGCCATCACGAGGGATGAGGACAGGAGGGGTAGCCCGAAAAGCCGGTGGGGGGAGGAGAATGACTTACGGAAGACGGCACGGGGAGCATCGTCACCGGCGAAACCGGCCTTGCACATACCCGAACTGAAGAAGACGAGTCAGTAGAAGTTTCGCAGATCATGGCTGAAGCTCCAAAAGCCCTGATAGTTCCTAAGCTGGGGGAAGACTTTGACAAGGCAATGAATCACATAGGCGACCGTGAGATTATTCACTGTTGCGACCGGAGCCGACACGTATGTTTTGCCGTCTCATCCCCAGCATGGGCGGAACATCAGGAACTAGCTCCATTGCCAGCGACCGTCAGCAAATATCACGTACCCATTGTCAATGACGAGAGCAGCAACTTCCTCTATATGATTTAGAAAAGACCGTTAGCAACAGGCATGGATAGTATATTGGTGGGATGGGATGACGATGAGACGAGGGGGAGGGGAAATGGTGTGGTTTCAGGAAAGGGAGCTTTGGAGGGGGGAGGGAAGAGAGGGGGGGGAACACAAGCAAGAGACGCAAGGTGGCCGAAAAGCTTACCTTCCATGGTGACTGTGGAATTAAGAATCGAACTACGGGAAAGAAAAAGAAAAGGAAGAAGAGAATATGAGAGGAGGAAGGGTAATTTGAGAGGGGGGAGATGGGTGGTGTTTGTAGGATGAGTTATGTGGGTTTGGTGATGAAATGGGAGGAGGGGGAATAGGAGGAGAGAGAGAGAGAGAGAGAGAGAGAGTAGAGTAGGGGGAGGGAGAAGAAGGAGAGCGAGAGAGAAGGGAAGAGAAGGCGGGAAAGAGAAGTTAGTTCCTAGTAAGTAAGAAAGCAACAACTGCCAGGGAGTTGAGTGCGTAGTCAGCAAACAAGTCAAAAACCACACCAGTCCACAACAACAACAACACCGATAACAACACTAACACAACACTTTGCTTCTTTTTGAGCCAATTGATGGGTATTCGAAGATAGGTTCTGGGCTTTGCTACTTACGGGAGAGATGGTGGTTTTTTTCTTATTCCTGACTCTGGCTGCTGTCCTCAGAGAGAGTTGTATAGACAGACTATAGGGAGTGGTAACAATGGTTGAAGAGTGACGGTAAGATACGTACTGTGTACACACTGACACAGTAGTACTGGATACTTGTCCAAACTCAGGGGCGAGGAGGAGGTCCGAGGAGCTGAGGAGGGGGAGGGGACCAGGGTGTGGGAAAAGGAGGGAGAGCAGAGCAGTGAGTGGGGAATTGTCTAGACTGGTCTGAGTCTAGTCGTGAAGCAAAGCAGTTCGTTGATTGCACCAGCTCAAGTTTAGTGAGTTCTTGGTGCCAATTGCTGTCACCGCCACACTACCCAATTTGGGGACAAGTGGAAAACCCGGGAGAGAAAGAGAGAAAGAGAGAGAGGGAGGAAGAAGTAAGAATCAATGGTGTAATGCGAATACGATGTTAAACACAATTATTGAGAGAGTCAACCATCACCACCATATATATACTCCGCACCCCCCGTCAATGATCACTGAGTCGAATAGTGGTTGCCTTCAGGCAGAATGATTCCTGTGCACAGCACTGTGTAGGTATCTAGTTAAAGAGCAAGGTGGAAAGCATTGCTTGCGCATTCCTCGTGGGGCACGATCGATCCTGATCCAGGGTTGTTGTCGTCGCCCGCCATCCCAACCAGAGAACAGGTTGCTGAAATCATCATGGATGTCCGATGATGCCACGCGCGATAATAATAGCTGGGTCTAGTCTTAGGCCAAGGAATCATCGCTCCCACAGTCCACTATTCTCCTTCCCTGCCTTCCTTCCTGAGTTTCCTCAAGTTCCCTCAAAAGGCTCGAACTCTTCCTCCTCCTGGAGTCCTGATAGCCGGACGGATCGGATGGCCTCTCCGGCTTCTGGATCCATTCCAATAAAATGGAGCCTGGTCGGACTGCTTACTCCGTGATCCGTCTGTTCCTTAGTCTTAAGGGGCTTTCATTATTTGATTAACTTATTGTGGTTTTTTCATGTAAAGTGTCAGCCCCTTATTCATCTGGACGTTTTCTAGCGCAGCCTGTCATTGTTGCTCGGTATCCCTGAAATGGGTCCATGATCATCATCTCGGAATAGGGTCAATTGGACCTATTACACAGTATTCCGTCCTAGTCCGTAGTTCTGAACTGGTAATTAATGCCAGATCACTGAGACTCCATGGTCGCGTAGCCGCCCCCTGATGCGAATTTGGGAGACGGAGGGAAGAGGGGGCCTAACCGATGGACACCTGGGCTAATTGCTTATCCTCGAGGGTTTTCTTCTGCATCCGTCTGATCACAAAACATGTTAGGTAATTCAGTAGCATGAAACATTTCAACGGTCGACTTTTGGTAATCTGATATCACAAAACAACCGCATCGCGGGGTATCCGATGGCGGGGTATGACTGATAATTGGCCGACTTGCCTCACACAGATCAAGCGATCACCGTCCCCAGTAGAACAAAAAAGATAGAAGTTCATTATTGGCCAGATGTATATGATATAAGTGTTTATGGAGACGGAGTAGGGGCCCCTCGGATGCCCATCGTTGACGATGAATGACTGTGTAAGCTGGTGATGGAAGAAGGTGGAAAGCAACGGGAGCGGCATGAACCCTCTGGTGCCCTCCCGAACTTCACTCCCAGTCGTTTTTTTTCCCCATTACCCGCGAAAATATCACTAGTTGTTGAGCGGCCGGAGGCTTTCCTTCTCTTTCTTTTCCATTCTTTTTATTTATGAACACCACCTTACTACAATCCTTACCACAATTACTTTTTTAAAATTGCTCTACTGGGTCAATACGGATTTGACGCCTCAAGTACTATTCCTTCAATCAGTCTTTTCACCGTCCTCTCCCCGAAAAAGCCCACTATGGATCCCAACATGAACAACCTCCTCAAATGGAGTATCAAAGCCTCCACTGAGAACAACGGCGCTGCATTTGACAACAATGGCACTGCTGCTGCTACTGATGGTACCTCCAGCTCTGCTTCTCGCGGTCTTAACCCTGAAATGCTTTCCGCGCTCTTCGGCGGTCCTACCGATGCCGACCTGATGAAAGCTTCGATGCAAGCTCTGCGCTCCGATGAGGTCGACCTCCAAAATAAGCTGATCGCTTTCGACAACTTTGAGCAGCTGATTGAGGGCATTGATAATGCTAACAACCTGGAGCCGCTGGGTCTGTGGACTCCTCTGGTGGAATTGCTCCAGCACGAAGAGGCCGAGATGAGACGCATGGCGGCCTGGTGTATTGGCACCGCGGTACAGAACAATGAGAAGGCGCAGGATAAGGTATGCTCCTCCGAGAAGCCTCCAGGACCTACATTCTTGACATGTACCGTTATGGTTGATGTGGGAATCAAGCTAATCACTGCCAGCTCGTCGTTCTTAACGCCCTGCCCAAGCTCGTGACCATTTCCACCACCGATTCCACCCCTAACGTTCGCAAAAAGGCCATCTACGCCATTTCCTCGGCCGTCCGCAATTATCAGCCCGCCATGGATGAAGTGACCAAGAACCTTCCTGAGGGCTACTCCCGCGATAAGATTGATGCGGGCGATATGGACGCTGTAGACGCGCTCATGGATAAGCTGCGGGCTCACCCGGTTGAGTCTGCTTGAGGGAATTGATATCGATTTGATCGTGACAGTCATGCGCCTACCCTAGTTCGCTACCATTCTCTGGCCGGGGTTGGTCGGATAGCGGACTTTCTCGAATCGCCATGCACAGGAACGTACACAAGCCAGCAAGACGTGGCGTTGCTTACGAGAACAACCAGGCTGCTACATATTTCGAAGGGCTCTGAGCCTCTTGTAATCACAGAGAGCCGCATGCTGAATTGGGAGTCTTGAATGCTTAGTTCCAAGCACTAGATCCGGGTCCCCTGATGGTCCCAGAAAGATTCCGGCTTCCATGAACGCTGGCAGGCTCCGGTCCCGCCACTGGGCGGTACCCGCTGACGCGGCTCTGCAAGTCATGAGACTTTGCTATGCAGGAGGATATATACCCATTTGTCTGGTTGCCTACTTCAAAGTGTTGGTTGCATCGAACAATATATAGAAAGGCTTCTAGATGGCCAAGTTCTCCTTTCTGACAACGTATATCCTTCAGCTTGTTTGTTCTGAATGTTGTCATGATCGGCACGCATACGTACTTGATAGTTGCTAGAGAATTGCAGTATGAGGCAGGTTGAAATTACACGTATAGCATCACGAAACAACCATCTGGCAACCACTACGCACTTTTGTTCCAAATCACGTGGCAGTCCAGTCAGTCTATGCCAGCCAATGCAGCCAGTAACTATATTGAATATATGAAACATCAATGAGAAACATGCAGCAAATCAATAATAGGCTAAACCAACCAGACACGCAACCAGGAACTAACCCACAAATGCAATTATAGAGAAAATCAAGCAGCAACACCGATAACATACAGAAGAAGCACTTGACGTCAAATGCCAAACCTTGCAATCATAACCCTGTTCGGCAGTAGTCCAGTAATGAACCCATCATACCCTCCGCTCAGACCCAATCTACGGATTCCTTTCCCGGCCATTGCATCCGAATCACAAAGCCAAATTATAAGTATAATCATCCTCAATGTTCTGTGAGACCCATAGGACCACCGAGCTACACCAGCAACAACATTAGCCCACGGTCGCACCCTCTGTTTGGCTCCAAGAGAAAGGAAGACAACATACCTCAACATCACCAACCCATTAGCGACCACATTTGCAATACCAAAGTACAGCGTCGGAAATGGATATGACTTGATCAGATATTTGAGAACCATGACCGTCTACACAACGATGATCGTTAGCGACGCAAGCGATTCTCTTCCTGTCTTTCTTCCATGAAACTCTTCTGACCCATTTCCCGGAGCACAACCAAGAAACAACAGCAACAAAGGATAAGGAGAGAGAATGTCCACCTACCACACTGCCCGCCAACCCCCCAGCCAGCAACGCGAATCCCAGAAACAAGACAAACCGGGCCTTCCACGCGACCCCACTTCCACTATAACTGAAGCTATCCGCATGCAGCCGCGACTTCTCAATCGAGTTAATCACCAGCATCCCCAGCGCCGAGCAGATGCCGGGGATCCAGTCGACGAATTTCACGTGCACGTTGGATCCATTCTTGATGCTGTGTGAGAAAGCTGCCGCGTCGATGAGAAAGAAGAAGCCCAGGGAGAACTGTCCAGTACATAAACATGAGTATTTTCACCGGGGAGGCAAAGATGACAACGAGCGATGATTGGGAGGAGAAGGAGGAAGGCCTACCAGTGCGCCGGAGGTGTAGACGCCTGCGTTACGGACGGCCGAGTTGTTGAGCCATTCGGGTTTGGACCACCGGAAGAGACGGTTATTGGAGACATCCATTCTGCCAAAACTATGTGTGAAGAGAAATTAATTAAGTGGGACACAGGATGAGGTTGGTGTATTTAAGTTGTTGTTGCGGAGTCGAGGTAAATAAGAAGATCAAAGGTATATTGGGGTTGGTTATCGGCAGGTTGCGGTCGTCCGCGCTAGTGAGCTTGTCGGCGATGATGCAGTTGCCCCGTCGGAGCTCGGAAGATTCATTGGCCGGTAGAAGTATTCATAAAGCCTCGACTCCAGTGACTACTATACACTGTACAGTAATAGTAATAATGATAATAATATTAGTAATATAGGTGGCTTCCTGAAAGACATCCTATCGATGCGTATTGTGGTATTCATACTTTGTTCCTGTGCCATTAAAGACTCGCAACTTAATATAGAAGCCCCTGACCCTGCCAAATGGAGACACTCGTTCATCATAATTCATCACTCATCACCTGGTACCAGCCAGGCTCAATTTCCCTCACAGAACAGTCTCAAGACCTCATCGATGCATGTCATAGCCTTGGCTTTTTCCAGTGATGGTGGCAGCGTCGGCAGCGCAGCTTCATTCGCAGCCGTGGACTCCTTAAGATACTTCCGCAAAGCGAACGTCGACGCGCGATAAGTCGCATGGTACATGGCTTTGAACTCATCTTCATCCGTATTTGACCCGAGGTCAGCAGTCATGCGCGGACCTCTCTCCTCGGGCGTGATATCCTGGTATCCCGGTTCCGTGCCGGTTTGCGGTCTACTGGAAGTTCCCGAGCGTGTCACCGTGGTTCGGTTGAAGCCATAAAGCCGCATGCAGGTCAAGATCGTTCGCGTGATCGTGTTCTTGTTCTCAGCAATAACCGTCCCCGCGTCTTTTGGTGTGGTCGGGAAATCGACTTTGCTTCCGGGCGGTAGTGAGAGTGTCGCTGTGGTGGTGGAATCGATGAACGGATTAGGTGTGCCTTTTCGAGAGTCGAGGTCCCGTAACTGACCCCGTTTGCTGCTAGGTCGAGTAGAATCGAGCCGGGAATCGGGCGCTTTCCCTGCCAGATTGCCTCCAATAGAGAGGGACCTTGCTCGCTGCGATGCGATACGTCCGACCTGAAGAAGGGAAGGTTCTTCGGATTCACGCTTGACTCGTAGAGCCTGTAATTGTTGCTGAGAGCTGTGCGAGAGCGAGTGCGCCATTAATTGTGAGACCGCTTCACCGCCCTTCCGTCGGGCTCTCTTGTGATGCTGCGTTACAGACTCGAAGAGAGTGGCGACTCGCTTGCGCTTCGGACTTGGAGAGTAGATGTCTGGGAGAAAGTGAGCCGAGTGGTCATTGTGAGTGGTGTCGTCGGTATCGGGAGGCGAGGACGTAGATTGCGCTCTGGCGATAAGAGATGCAGATACGGGTGTCGCATAGATTCTAAGCTCTTGCTTGGTAACGGGTAAAATCTGGTCGTCCGATTCTGATGGTGTCGATCCAGGTGGGGTGGGGGGTCTTTCGAATGAGATTGTCATGGAGAGAACGCCATGAATCAAGAGGTCGGTTGTGCCGGTGTTGGGGACCTTGGCTCGCATGTTGTTGTCGACACGGACAAGCAGAGCAACGGGGCATTGAATGGCTTGTAGCCGGTCAAGCTCATCTTCTTCAAGCCAGATAGTACCGGTCAACTTGTCCTTGAGCCATGCTCTAGTGTCCGGATTTGCCGCATGAAGTTCGAGTTCCGGACCAGATCGCGCGTGGAGAGGTATGAGCGCCGGGTTGACAAAGCAACGTAAGCTTAGAATGGACTCTCTCGATAGATCAGATTGAGAGTTGGTTGACCTATCGAGCAACTGTAGGCCTGGGTGTGATAATACAATCAGCAAATGCGCGCGAATCGTCTCGTTGCGTGTGAATTACCATGGAGTTGTGCTCCGCTTTCCAGGGTAAGTGCACCGGTCCAAACATTCATGTTGCGTGCCCAGCAAATTATAAGCAGCTTACATTTCTCGAGGTCACGGTTTGTCGGATTGCTAGAGATTCAGAATCGCAGGTACTCAGGATTCCTCCTCAGTCAGAGGTCGGGGTGGGTAATTTTACACAAACGCGCCGCCGGGGCGCGGTCTCACGTGATTTAATAATGCCTCGAAGGCGGAACACAACGCCGCATGACGAAGAGATTCGGACTATCAAATCCAGCAACTGAGATAAGGTCTGTACTGCCAATATTCTCTATAATTGCATGATGGCTATAATACATTAACCTTATCGCCGAACAAACAGAAACAAAATCGAATAGACCCGTAAACACGCAGAATCACAGCAATACTCCTAATCAAACCATACATGAAAATGGAAAGGTCGTAAAGGGTGAGAGAGTTGGCTGCTAGACACATGGGGAAGGAGTCCATGGTAGGTCGATCAAAACAATCGGCAGAGTGATATCCAACGCGAAGCCTGCCCTGCCAGAAAACACCTTTCCCGGCTCTCAAAAGTCTTCTTGCTCCTTGAAAAACATGGAGAAGCTGATGATAGTACCGTAGATGAGAAGACCTCCGATGATCGACATAATCATGGCGGGAATCTCAATCGCACCGCAATGCGCAAGGACGGCCGGGAGAGCTGTATGTAATGAGCCAGATTAGTTACCTCGAGTGGTCTCAGGAGAAGCCAAACCAGCAAAGCAAGCACAACCTCCCGAGTTTCCTTCCTCAGACTTCAAGTGATATTTGCAGATTCATGCTTGCGTGCGATCTGGAATGATGAACTCACCAATACCCATCAGTACCAAGAAACCGGTCATGAAGCGGCCAAAGTCGGCAGCAGCGTTGCCGGAGCTATCCATAAAGTCATCGGGATTGGCGCATCGTGAGCAGATCCAGTTGGGCAGGGGAGCGACAACGTAAGTCGCAACAACGATCAGCGGTAGGAAGTTGTGCCAGAGAGCCGAGGAAAGGATGACAAGGAGAAACCCAATGGCAAGAACCTATGAACAAAACATATCAATAACCAGATGCAGCCGAGGTAGATCATTGAGTGGCGCATACAAAGGAGAGGGCGATGATTGTTTTGAGTCCAGCGGTCATGGTTGTGGAGAAAGCCGCTCAGTCGGTGAAAGGAGGGGTTGTGTTATGGGGGAGGAAAGGGAAGGATAAGGAAGCTCAGAAGACGCTGAGCGATCAAGATCAGGAGCGGACACAGTTGTAGAAGGTGATTCAAGAGCCGTGACTGGACAGCATGAGAATGCGAAGAGTGGATGGCAAAGTGTTAAAAGCAGTAAGAATGGGGTGTTTGAGGGGGAAGGGAGTGGAAGAGAGAATAGAAGTAGGTAGGATTCACAGTAATACAAGCTTAGCTGGACCAGTCACCAGTAATTCAGCATGGAGTATTCGTAGTATCTTAGTTTAGTAGGTAGGAACTTATGTTGAATGGAAGTTAGTACTCCGTACTAAGTTAGTCGTACACAGTTCTGGTCAGTGACGTCTGTTTGCTGCTGTTTGTTCGAGCTTCAATCCCGCCTTTTGCAGTTTAACAGCCTCAGGCATGACTAGTCAATCATCAACTGATTACTCCGTAGTTACTGAAAGCAACTTAGCGGCGGGAAGCTCTCTCTCTCTCTCTCTCAGCTCCCCGTCACCGCGTCAGTTGCTCTCTGCCTGTCCGAACCTCCTCCTCCCCTACTACTAACTACTCTATCATCTCTTCAATCTTCCTCACCTTGTGCTTCTATCTTCCACCTTCCATTTCCTTCACTACCACTCGTCTTTCCTCACACTTGATCATCTATTCGGGCTTCTCATTGATCTCTTAAATCCTCATTTGAGACTCTATCCCCGTCACAACCCCTCGCGATGTTCAGAAACAACTACGACAACGATGCCGTCACCTTGTATGTATCGCCAGCTTCAACTCTTCCGCTCATTCAAGTCAACTTGTTCTGGGCCGATTACTAACCTGGAACCATGCGCACAGCTCCCCGCAAGGTCGCATATTTCAGGTTGAATACGCACAGGAGGCCGTGAAGCAAGGTTCCGTTGTGGTGGGATTGGTCAACAAGACACATACTGTGCTTGTCGGACTGAAGGTAAGCAAACCTTCCGCCGGACTCTCCCCAAGTTGATGCCCCTACCTACAAGGCCGCGCCCAAGCTCACAGATCTGCCACTTTCCCACAGCGTAACGCGGAAGAACTCTCGTCATATCAGAAGAAGATCATCGAAATCGACTCTCACATGGGCATTGCCATCGCTGGTCTCGCCTCGGACGCCCGGGTGCTATCCAACTTCATGAAGCAGCAGTCGCTGGGTTCCCGGTTGACTTACGGTCGCCCGTTGCCTGTCGACCGCATCGTTAGTCAGATCGGTGACCGCGCTCAAACAAACACCCAACATTACGGTAAGCGGCCATATGGTGTTGGCCTGCTTGTGGCCGGGGTCGACGACGCCGGTCCTCACCTGTTCGAATTCCAGCCCTCGGGCATGACTCAGGAGATGTTGGCGTGTGCCATTGGTGCCCGCTCCCAGATGGCCCGCACCTACCTCGAGCGGAACTTGGAGAAGATCGCCGGCTCGACACGCGACGAGCTCATCATCCACGGCCTGCAGGCCCTCAAGGAGACTCTGTCCCAGGATAAGGAGCTGACGGTTGATAACACCTCTGTCGGTGTGGTGGGTCTGGCTGCCGAGGGCAAGATCGAGAGTTTCAAGCTATACGAGGGCCAGCTGCTCGTACCGCTGCTAGACGCTTTAGAGCGTTCCGAAGCGGGCGAGGAGACGAAAGAGGCCGAGACAATGGAAGTGGACTCATAGACCGTGGGTGGCGGGTAGCGCCACACCTAGCCTTGAATCCGTTAGATGAATTTACCTTCTTATAGTTATAGTCATGAACCGAGATAATCTCATGTCACTCCAGAATTGCCTTGCATTTTGCTTAAGAGAGGAAGCGGGAGCCGTGAGCTTGCGTCATTTGGAGGGCTCGGCTCTTTGGCACTGGCGTATGCCCGCAAAAGAGCATGAAGTAGTATGCTTAAATATGCGATCCAAGCCAGTGCGAAAGTGCAGAAGACAATGCTACAGCATGTTCCAATGAACTACATATGCTTCTTCCCTTAAGTAATCCTCAGGAAATGACAAGGTATCATGTTTCCTCCGTACTTACTAAAACCCACGTTACCGACTCAACTCCCTACCTTGCCCTTCTTTCTCAGCTTACCCTCCTCCAGTCCGATGGAGGGCGTAGCTGCTCCTTTCTCCAAGCCTGAGCCCGGTGTATCCACCCTAACCTGCGGCGTGGTCACTCTTCCAGACGTTGCGCTAGCTGCTGCATTGGGCCCTTGTTTACTCATACCCGCCGCCGTATCACCGGTTTTCGACATGATGAATGATCCCGGTTCACCGACCAGTGGGTTCTCATCCATGAATTCATCCCCATACCGTGATAGCAGACTGAATGACTCCGCAAGGGTCCGAGTATCTTGAGACACCGAGCCGCCAGTTTGCGCTACTTGCGATCCGACGAGAGGCGCCCTCATTGGCGCATCGGGCATCGGCGTATTCTCCTTGCTCTGCTGCGCTGGGGCGCCTGGCGGCTGAGCAGCTGTGTCGGTGGGTTTAGAGGTCGGGGGAAGATAGGTGTGTCCGTGCGCCGGGGTAAAGGTGGGTAGTGTAGATGCGGTCTTGAGGAGGCTGGAGAGAGAAGTCACGGCCGAGAGCTATTTCGCAAAGATAGTGTGAGCGCAGAGCGGACTTTGAAGGGGTGAGAGGGAAGTAAAATCCAGAAAAAACATCAAGCGTCTCGGCAATAGAAGGAGGGGAATGCATACAATTCGATTGCCGATGACACTCGCAACTGAAGGTGCCATGTAAATACAATCGCCGACTACAAAGTAAGTGGATAGCACCTCCACCTCATCTTCCTGTCCGACTCGCTTGCGCCGCGTCTGCTTCCGGATCACCCAGATGTTCGAAGGTTCGGTCGCGAAGCTCCCGTCTGGTTGCGCTGCAGCCTGAAGCGGATCGTAAGAAACGACAAATTCGAGGCCCTGCATGGTAGCCAGACGGCCTTCAAATGCTTCGCGGGTCTCAATAAACTGTCGGAAGGCTTCGTTGTAGTTGGCTTGAATGGCGAGGGAGGCATTGTTGGAGGTGGGATCGAAGAAAGGGGATTCGGCAAAATAGAAGAGAACTGGTTGTTGCATACAGAGTCAATATGAAAAGAAAATATGCACCGATCGTTCACAGGCTTGTAGAATTCATACTGTTGTTCGAATGAAGACGGCCGCCCATCATCTGCACGTGCGGCGGTGATCGCCATAGAATCTCCTCCAGCGAGGATTCTGGGACGCTTGCCATGATGCTCTGTTCAGCTTGCACGGGCTCTTATTATGCAAGTTGGAACAACCTGTAGCTCAGAAGTCGATGCAATGGATGAATATTAATGTCAACTAAATCGTAGAAGATGGCGATGAAGAGAGATTGGTTGAGGCTACTCTCCGCGGAGGTGACGACGTTTGGCGGGTTTGCACTCATTCACCGCTGATCAGCTGCCAGAGTCTCGATAAGGAGAGGCTACATACACTGCGTAGTGTACGACTATTACGACACGGCAGATGTACATGAATAAACAAGTAGGTAGAAAAATCTGTGGAATGAATTTAGATCGCCAAAGCTAGTAGGGTATCTTGTTGAAAAGAGTCACTGTAAAAACAACCCGCCAACCCTGCGGGCATCATCTGCTCGCAATGCAAACCCAAACCAAACGCCATATGTTGAATGCATATTTCTGCAATTTAGCTTCTCGCTATCGAGCAGAGACTTGAAGGTATATGTTAGTATTTCTATATATAAAGACCACAGAACACGTTAAGCGGCTTTTGAAGGTCCACAGCCAAGTGGCACGAATGCACCCAGGACGGTCCTCAGTTTGGTTAACATCTCCTCCCATTCGCCTTCAGCGGTGCTGAGGATGGTCACTGCGCCGCCTGCTCCGACGCGCCATACCTGGTAGGTATCATCATCGTCGGCACAAGTGAAGGCAGTGCGAATCAAGACCGAGAAGCTTCCTCCACCACCGAGGTCAAGAAACCCCATTGCACCGGAGTAGACGCCCCGTTTTCGGTTCTCAATAGAGGAAAGATGCAGACAGGATCGTTCCTTTGGTGCACCGGTCATGGAGCCAGGTGGAAGGCATTGTTGTAGCGCCGTTAGGCCGTATGCTGACATGCCGGATGATCCTAAGTGTGGCATGTTGTGTACTGCAAAACCAGGTCGTTCAGGGTCAACTTGCCCTACGACATGTGTGATCATCTGGAAAACGCGCCCGTGGTCCTCTACCTCGAGGAGCTTCTCTACATGCACACCGCCTGAACCGCAGATACCGTAGAGATCGTGTCGGATGAGATCGGCAATCATAAGATTCTCTGCCATCTCCTTGGTTGCGCCCAGAATGCTGCAAGCCTTTTCAAGAGTCATGTCCTTTGTCTTCCTTACCGTGCCTTTCATAGGTTTCATTTCAAGCATGGAGTGGCGGTCCCAATTGAGGAAGCATTCAGGGCTACTGCTGGCAATCTTGAGTTTCCCTAGGTTGGCATAAGCACTAAAGGAAGCGGGATTATGTTTCTGAAGACGCCGGTACAGTTTCCAAGGGAACTCCTTGCGATCACCATCGCTGTCTGCTGAGGGCAATGTGACGGTGGTTTCACAAGTCAGACATAGTTCGTAAGATTCACCAGCTAGCAATTGTGCACGGCAGGCATCAAATTGGCTCTGATAAATATGCCGATCCGGAAATCGCACCACACCTTGCTCAAGAATTTGATCCAAGAACTGCTCGTCTGCCGCAAGACTTTCGACCTCAGTGATTGCATCAGTAGTGGCAAGCTTCTGTAGAGATAGCAGTGTCTCATCTAGCCATCCGTGGGCCACGTCATCTGTGGCGCGAGTAGACTGAATAGTGACACGACCAGTATGATGGTCAACCACTACGCTCCTTTCAGTCCATAACAAGCTGACATCTGCCGGATCTTTGAAGAGCCTGTCAGCTCCCGAGGAGGCATGGGCCCCTAAAAAGTCCTGCTCGTGACTTTTCGGACAAGCAATGGAGGCCAGTCCCATTTCATAGGAAACATAGCCCAGAAAACCGGCCCAGAAAGGAACTTTGTTATCACCCATGACCACTTTCTTAGCATCCATGAGGAATCTTAGAGTGTTCCAGAATCGAGATACTGACAAGCCATCCTCAATGATGGCCTGATGGTTACCGGCTAGCTTGTCTTCACTGGCAGCCGGTGACTTTTCTAAAGACAGGCGTTCATTTTGCGCATAGTATTCTAGCCTCCAAGTGTTGTCGCTGGGCACGGATAAGATACTGTACCGGCCGTTGGATTTGAAGAGGACGGCTGCTGACCCCGGGCTGTTGAGGGCTTCCCAAATTGTCTCAGCCTCCAAGCTCTGAGTTGCGAAAGTTCGGAATGAGGACTTGTTCGAGGTCGATTCACTCCAATCTAACATAGTGCGACAAATGTCCGAGATAAAAGGCATCTCACTGGATAACCTCGGAGAAGCAATTGGGATGCTACTGTGGCTGCCTCTTCCATTCAGCTTGTTGTAGCAAAGAGCTGCATCCCACCACCTTTTCAGCAGATCGCTGCATGCTCTTCTATCCGACTTGCACGATTCAGGATGAAATTGGACGGCCCAGAATGGCTTCTGCGTATGGCGAACAGCCATCGGAATCTGTACTGGGTAAACGCCGCTATCTTGCTCAACGGATAACCAGGCAAGAAGACTAAGGTCCTTGGCGACAAAACCATCGAGGAGTCCATGACCGTCATCTGTGGTGTTCGACTTCATTTCGGCGTACAGCGAGTGGTAGAGCGTGACATCCAAGGATTGAACGCCCTGAAAGATGTCTTTCTGAATTGTCTGAACACGACGGACCTGTCCATGAATAGGGAATGGAAGTCGGCGAATTGAAGCCCCGTGATGCAGGCATAGACTTTGAAAGCCGAGGCATATGCCAAAAATTGGGAGCAGATCTCTGTCGTCAAGAGTCCATATGTCCCTCATGATCCCCACGTCTTGAGGAATATGCGGATCGCCGGGACCAGGCCCAAGGACAATGGCCTCGAAATGCTGCAAATAATCGACCATGTTGCCATTTGGCCATGATGAGTCAATCCTCAAAACCGAGACCGTCGCCTTCAGAACCTCTTCCAACATGGCAACGACATTGTAAGAAAAGGAATCGTATGCATCGATGTACAAGATGTTTCTAGATGGGAGACCATCTAAAGCAGGATCGTGCATCTTAGCCGGCTGGTCTTTGCTTGTTGCCTCCCAGAAGCCCAGAGAGGGGGCCATATTGGCACACTAGGAGATTATCTTGGAATTCTTGGGCGATGGAGATGTAAGAAAAGGTGGGAGAAATGTATCAAGCGGGGCTAACTGAGTACTTAATACTCAGTAGTAGTGCACAGTACATTTGCTTCAATAAATCATTCAGCTCATCGACAGGAAGCTGAGAGAGGGAAGTTGGGATTGTACTACCAGATACTAAAAGATTAAAAGATAAAGAATTGTATCTCCGTATGTCCCGCCACTCCGACCTGCTTCCGTACCCCGGTTCGGTTCCTGAAAAATACGGAGTACTGTTTTTTCTCTCTCTCTCTTTTCCCCTTCTTTTGTTTTTTTTTTTTTTTTATTTCGGTCCGAAATCAAAGTGTCGCCACCTGCACAAACCACCTCCATCTTCTTATCTTAGTCTTACTCATAGAGTAAGGGCCAAATAACTACTACCTATTCACTTCACTCACTATACATATGTTCTAGCTATCCATTTAGGGGTTCATCTAACTGATTATCCGGACAAGCTTCCTCACATCCAGAAGACCTCCTGACCTCAGCTCAGCCTCTCTGACCGTTGGGCGTTACTAGCTTCGTCGCCACCTTGGGAAAGTATTGGGCAACGAACCCTTCACTGAAGCATTGTTAGCCCCGCAATATTGGATTGAGGACCGTGAATGAGTATAAATAGGACTTACGTGTAGAAGCTGTGTGCAGAGCTGTGATCCTCCACAAGATTATGCGCCAGTTCGTGGCACAAGATCACCCACCAATAGATCAGTGCTTCGGATCGGGCGTCGTCAGAGTTCCGAAGCACTTGTTTCTCGTGTAGTTGCTGGAAGAAGAAATAGTTGCAGAAGATGCTACCCGCCCGGTTAAAAGCAATGGTCTTTCCAGGGTCATAGAAGACGCTGATGATGTCAAAACGTAACGAGAAAATATCAGCACAATCAATCAGTAGGGATGCGAACACGTTGATTCCAAGACTGTTCTTTGCCAAAAAGGCGGACCGGTCAGGCAGGGTCTTGACGAATAGCACATGGATGCCACAAGGAAGAGTAGCCACGAATTCAAGATCATGGCTCGGTTTCTCATCGCAGTAAGACCTAGTCTCTGTGACCTGATTCGTTTGCGGCCGGGTATAGACACTGGACGAGCCATGGGGTCGACAAGCTTGAACCGCTGAAAGTAACTCAGACTGAAGACGATGAGGAGAGTTAACGGCAACCGGTGCCTCAGGAGGAGACTTCTCTTGTGGATCTTGGACAGAATACGGCGGAGGGGGTGTAGCATTTCCAGAGGGTTCAGAGGCCGGCGTCTTCGAGGATTCCCCATTGAGGGCAGTCCAAGGTGATCGATTACCCTCAAGCCCAAATCGCTTGGTCAAATTGGCTAAAAATCCACGCGGCTTCTGATCGTGGGCCTGAGATTCGACCTGCATGTCACGGGTAGAATTTCTACTTGTAGGAGAATCAGGGAAGTCCCCTGGCATGAGTTGCCGGTCGTCTTCCGCTGTGTGCGATTGTGTCTGGGCCTGGTTTTGCGCATGAGCTTGCTCCTGAGCCCAAGCGGCTTCTCTTTCATGCAGGCGTTGCCGTTCCTCCTCAACTTGCTTCTTTCGCCTGTCTTCTGCAACCCTTGCTTCCTGAGCTTTCTGCTTGAGAATACGCTCCACGTTGTATCCTCGAGTCTTCAACTCGAGAAGATCAGTCTTCAGGAGCATTTCCAGGGTCAGAGTCGAGTGAAGTTTCGGCCTAGCGAGGATCAGATGTACCAGAGCTTGGCTTATTTCATACAAATCGTATCTGCCAGGGCATATCCACAGCTTCCAGGCTCGAGAAGGCTGTTGGGTAATGATTGCACTTCGCTTTTGAGTATGAGATATACGCCGTCCCTTCAGAGATCGAGTGAGGGATAAGGATTGCACCACCTGGACTTGGAGGTATTTCTCAAGCCAGCGTACGTCGTGTCGTATAGATTCGGCTGGTTGGTCGTGCAAGAAGAGCCGCGCGCGCTCGTTAATCAGCTTTTGTAATTTAGCTGCTGGGCTCTGATCAGCTGCCACTGCGCCCCAGTGAGCGCGCTCTTCGACAAGACCGCTTAGCGACACTGCCCCCAAAGAAAGGTAGAAGTTCTCCAAAAGCTCCTCTTGCGGAGCAGCCAAAACATGTTCCTTGAATAGATTAAAGCTCTGAAAGTCATCCACAACAACAGCATCCTTAGCGACGGTCAAGGCCCACTCCTTGATGCTCTGATCATCGTCTTCATCGTCCGAGTTGCCCACAACATCGCTGCGGACAGTTTCCTTGCCGACTGACGTTAGGTCTCTGCTAGACAGAAGAAAAGCGGACCTCTTCATCTCTTGATACAATTCACGGTCTTTCTTGAGCACCGAAGAATGCTCTGCTAGTGTTCTAAGCAACTTGAGATACTTGTCTGCGCTCTGGAAAGTAGCCGATACTCTTGCAGGCTCTCTTACAAGCATGCGTGCGAGCTCTGTTTTCGTTGGTTCTCGCTTAGAACCTACTGCCATAAGGAACAGATTGGCCTCCTGGTCGAAGTCAACGAAGTCAAAAATGTCCCTGTAGTCCTCGCCTTCGCCAAGGTAACAGAGCTTAGGCATAACATGACGCACAGAGGCCTTGCTGTCACTCTCGCCTCGAGAAGTCGAGACGGGCACAATGTGAGCATTACTAACACGCTCAATATCTCGGGGTCTGAGCTCCGACACCCTTCCGGCCAAATATTTGAAGATAACTCTCGCGTTTCTTCTGCTTGTCGGCGGCAGGCGAATCAGGCAATCCAAACAATCGCTCAAGGCAGGGTGCTCTTTGACTCCAAATTTCGAGGCGTGAGGTTGCAGATCTTTCCGGAGGATCTGGAAGCCAAACAGGGTAGCGCCCTCGTCCGTAAAACACTTTCCAGGAGTGCTCAGGGTGTCTGACTCGTTGACAGGAAGGAATGGGACCTTAATCGCGCCACAATCGAATAAAGCATAGCCACTTGTATGATACTCGGCGATATAGTATGACATGGCCCTCGTATGCAAATTCCAATTCTTGTCTGCAGCTGCTCTTGCCATTATATCGACTAAGTCTGCAGCTGATGGGGAAGCCCTCAAGCCAAGTATAGATAGGAATTTACCCTCGTTGCTGCTGGGCTGATATGTACCCGGCCACTGAATCACAGGCAAGCCAAGCACCCTGAGTGAATCTTTGGGCTCGAACAGTTCCGATATCTTGTAGCGTGTTGTCTCTTTGTACCTTGATTCCTTAGGACTGTGATCGTCGCGGTGCTCAGCAGGGCACAGGCTTGTGTCCTTGAGCCTTTTGATATCCTTTGCGGGTATGTCCGCTTGCACAGAGGCCAGGTACCGTATCAAGTCAACGTGACTCCACTTCCCCTCATTTTTGGCCACTGTACCCGACAGATCAGATGAGTTCAAAAGACGTTCGAATATGACCCCGAGTTCAACAGTTTTGCGAACCCCTAGGGACGCTAGGAATTTCTCCTTGACACCACTGAGGCCGTGGATAACAGGAAGATCATCAAATAGTCGAACAGAAGAGAAATATGTTTCGGGGGGAGTCTTCATCCCCAGCTTGGTCGGAATAATGGTTCTCGATTGTAGTAGGTTGATGACTGTCTGCTTCGATGTGGGACTGAAGTACTCCCATTGTTTAGATACTATAGGAAGAACCTGCGCAGAGAATGACGGGTTTTGGGTAATATCATGCTCTGCCGCGAGCATGTTCCGATTGCCAGTATTATCAAGAAGCCAGAGGATCCAGGCGACTACCTGCATTTCTGTCCATCCTAGTGCTTCCAGTTCTCGGTTTGCAAGGGACTTCGTGAATTTGAACGGTGCCACAGATGGTGGCAGTGGCAAGCTTGCTGGTATTTTTTGCGGATTAAGAAAGCTTTCAATACCCGCAAAAACAATCAGCTTGGCCTGTGAATCGGCGTTATCTTCGTCGCTTGCTACTGCAACACTGAGGATGCTCTGAACGGAAAAAGTGTCGAGCTGGCCTGCGATAGCCTTTCGACTGAGCCAAGTAAGAAACTCGTTCACCTGATTGGAGCGCAAGGTAGTAAGCTCTAACTCTTTCTTGATATCGGATACAGTTATGTCGGTCACCAACCCGAAGTCCGTCAACTTCTTGACGAAATCCTTAGCGCCTGATACAAAAGCGTCTGGCAAAACTGGAATCGAATCCATGAAGCTAAGATCCTTGGGAGCTATGCGTGCTTGATGGCTCTGGATTACACCGCAGGTTGAAAGAACCTCGATCGAGGAGCTCTTGTTGCACGTCCAGAATGCATCTTCTATTGTTTGCCCTAGCACAGAAGATGGAGTCGATTCACGGAACACGAATTGGTTGGCTGTATGAACAGCCTCAGGGAGAACCTCAATTATATCATCTTTGCGGATTTTAGCCGAGTTCGAATTATTCTTTCCAGGATGTATCCTGGATTTTATAGATTCCATTTCTGCAGTCCAGGCAATGCGACAGACGATGCCGGCGGCCCTTAGCATTTCAAGGTTCCACTTGCTAATATAGCGGGTGTTGAGATCAATACTCTCTCGCTCGACTGTGGGAATCACAGAAGGTGCAGATATATGAGCGTTAAGACCAGTTGTTTGATGGGTGGGGAAACCTATGAAAATCCTTCCAGATTTCAAAGGGAGTATGGAGGCGAGAATTTCAGAGTTGAGACCAGATGCTCTAGAGGCTAAAGTGGTATCGAAAGAAGGTGTCAGAATCGCGATCGTGGATTTCTTCGGTGGTGGTTTCCTAGTAGCCCGTTCGAGTTCGCTGCTCAAGGATTGACTAACAGACGCTTGAATACTAGCAGTATTGATATGAAGGAAGACAGATGCTTTCGAAGTCTTCAACAATTCGCCAAGGTCACTTGTCGTATCACTGTCTTCGGTTTTCACCGACTTCTCTGAGCCCTTTTGCCCAGTGAGTCTTGAAAAGAAAGTGCGCAACGAACCCGTGGTATCGCGAAGACCCTCGCTAAAGATGCTCGTATTTGGTTTCCATTCGACGACTCGCATCCAGTCGGCGTCAACTTGGGCGACCTCCCGAGTGACTGAATGGATCTTCATCAGTCCATGAGGTGTTTTGGTGTCAATCTCTCTTGGAATAACAAGTTCAACGCTTGGGGCTGTCTTCTTTTTGAGTTGCAACACCTTCCAGTCATCCAGCCACAGATCGATACCTTCAAGGCTGACAAATGTAAGACTACTCGACAGAAATTGGCATAATTGCATCAGTGAAGGAACTGGGGTAGTCTCGTTGCGATAGTCTAGAACAAACGTGGTCTCAGGGTTAGCATCTTCGTTTAGCTGTAATCGGCGGGTAAAAAGCGCATTTCCCTTCCAATAAAAGGCCATTGCTTCTTTCCCCGATGATACAAAAGGCTCCTCGCAATCATCGAAGACACTGTAGAAGCCGACGCCAAATGCTCCAATTTTGGTTTCATCGGGATTGCCGTCAGCAATACGTTTCAGTCTCGACCAATCCTTTTCACTAAAAGGCAGACCGTTATTCGATATAAGAAGGCGCTTGAGGGTATGATGGGAAATTGTATGCTTGACCAAGGTGTTCTCGTCGGCAGCTGGAGGCAGAGGTATCGTCGTTGAAGGCAACGTCTCGAACTTGATAGTCACTTTCCTGGCATTTGCATCCGCGGCATTCTGTATCATTTCACGTAAAACAGTCCTGTGGGTACGACATCAGCGAGGAACCCTCAAGTCCAAGCATTAGAAGTGATACCATTTGCCCGAATATCGTGCAAGCACTTTCGAGATCAAGCCCCGTGTATCCACTGTGACCGCCTCTTCGTCATTCCCGGACCCCAAAGTGCGTGCTCTGAGCGCATTGAAATCGATCTTCTGCGCCATAATCTGAAGCAAAAGAAAGTTCACTGTTCACAAAGGCGAGGCGATTAGAATGCGGTACTTAGAGAGCGAGTAATTTGGATGAACGCAAAGAGAATTCCAGGGGAGGATGAAGGTCAGTTGATTGAGTGGCTTGAGATTAATGTCCGAGAGGGCTGAGATCCAGGCACAAAACTAAAAACGCAAAAGATTTAGGTATAATCTCATTCCATAGCAATCCAGGCACCAGCGTAAAGAGATACGGGTGGGAACAAAAAAAAGTTTCTATAAACCGCACGGCACGGACATGGGATGAGTTCCGAAGGCGACAACGAGCAGATGAAGTACGCGGAGACACCGCGGAGTTAAAGCGTTTATCAGGGGCGGAGGGGGGCCGACTTCTTATCTGACGCACTGATAGTCACTCACCGCCCAGTATAACATTATGTCAGCAGCATGCAGTAGTTAGGCGGTAAGTTAAACTAAACATCATCATTGTTGTTGGTGGATGTTCGTTCCCTCAAACCGCTTGGTCATGCTTCTATGCTCCTTATTCCCTTGGTCAACCGGACTCTTCAAGGCAACGACAGCTCCCAGAGTTTCAGCGAGTGGCGTCTGGTCCCATGAAAATTGCTTCATTTTCTTTCACCTTCCCATTTCGTCGTGCGTAGCGAACGCTTCTCGTATGTACTTCTAACAGCTCGCCCGCCCGCCCCCGTGTTGGAAGCAGTCCTGAGCACCGCCCAGCTGTATCGACTGGATCCAGATGATATATGATGGGGGTCGATCCTCTCTCCCCGATCGCGCCTGTGCGCTTGAGGGCTCTTTTGCTACCCATTGGCAAGATTAGACGGTCACGATTCTTGAGTTTTGCTGCAAGGCTTCAAGCCGAGAACATTGTCCGCTTGGGCGATATTAGTCCCGATGCGCGCCCAAATCGAAGTAATTTGACAGCGCACTACCTCTAATATCAAGTGGCTGATATCCATCAACAGACATGTTCTCCCCGCTGGCATTTCCTACCGGCATGATCCTGTATGATCTCACCTATTCCGTGCCGCCGACATCCCACTTGGAACTGTTTCCTTTCGAAATCTTCCGTGAGCCTTTGGTGGTGATTGCGATTGCCGATGGAGCAGAACTTGATGGAAATACGAAGAATGGGGCCACAACCTTAGCAGCCGATCAGCCCCGAAGTCCCGGCGAGTTGGATCAGCTTCGACAGGAACTGGAAACGCTCAAGCAGACGAACCCAAGAGCTTTGGTACACCAGCTTCTGATATTTGACTACGATGGAGTGGAGAAACTGTTCAATGGCCCGGACAATGTTTCATGGGTGCCGCGACCTCAAGCGTCCAAGGCTACTACAATGAAAACTGTATTATGCGATATAACGTCCTTGCTCCTATCCGAACTCGATGGGTTCGCGAAGACTGTTCAAAGTATTCCTACCATAAATTCCCCAAGAGCATCATCTTGGGGTCCACATCGAGGGCCTGACATACGTACGCGCCCAACAGATCGCCTGTTCCATCGGATGACGATGCCCGCGCAGTTACCATCCAAAACCAATGGTGAATCAGAATCTCCTAGAAGCTCTAATCAAGGCTCGCCTGCTCCTGTTGATCATGAGACGCCAACTACATTCGATGAGATAACCCGATCAATTCAATTAGCCAATCGCTCTAATTCAGTGAGCAAGCCAAATTCTGTTCCGTCGTCTAAAGAACACAGCCGTGATCGCATGTCGGTAAGTGGCATGAGCGCAACTGATCGAACAAAAAACCGGATCAAAGGACGTATAGGTGTGGTTATTGGGACATTATTCCTCCAAGCAGGCAGATGGCCGGATGCTCTCAAGGAACTTGTCGAGGCTGCATCTAATGCGAGAGCCAGCAGTGACTATGTGTGGCATGCTAAAGCGCTTGAATCCATTCTTCTTTGTCTACTGATGCTTGCTTGGGCTGGGATGGACTTCCAGGTATGTCACTTGGCCCGAACCTGGCCGCTGAGTATTAAGATTTGACTACGATAAGATACCACCTGTATGCTACCCTGTCTCCGACAAGTCATCGAAATTGTCGTACAATACTACCTTCGACTCGAATTTGTCCTCTGCAGGGAACCGGATCATATCGCTTCAAAACCTGTCCAACCTGCTTCCAGACCTTTCGAACAATATATTGAATCTCTACAACCGCGCCGCCAACATCACCGATGAACCATTGCCTCAACTAGTCTATTCTGAGACTGTCGTACGCCTGGCAAGGCTTTTGGCTGCCGCACGCATTCGTGATGGTGCCCTGGATGATGTAGCTCTGAAACATATCGTCACAAACGAGCCTCTTATGCTTTTACACCGGCCAGAGCGGCCTCGTGGACTGAACATCCTTCGGAAATCTGAGATCGCGAACTTCCTTTTTCGTGCATTACCTCTTTCTCCGGGCTCAGACCTGCCTCCCACCGATGCTATACCTATCACCGTCGGCGTGGTCTCTGTACTAAACATTCTCGATCTACCACGAAAGAAAGCGTTTTTGCTACGAGAACTTCTTTCACTCATGATCCCCACCCTTGTGCAAGCCCGTAAAATTGGCGCCGCAGAAGTGGGAGTCCATCCTGCTGCTGGGTTGGCATCGCTGACCGACACCGCGTTTGATATTAATGCTCTTGACCTTGGTCCGGGGAACATGGAAGAAAGTATGCGGTCGCTCCTTGCTGTTATAGCTGACACATATGGCGTTCAGCCGTCTTCCTTTTTCGAGTGGGAGAGAAGAAGATCATCCACTCTCAGTACAAGCGATGCTTTGCCCGACTATGACTCCGTGGCCGCTATTGTTGAACGATCTTTCCGTCACGCTACGTTGGATCAGTATGGAGACCCGAATCTCAAGATAGATGTCCTTAAGGCGGCGATCAGCTCATGTGAGGCTCTTCCGGATTTCAATGGGGTGCTCCGTTTTACCGTTGAACTTCTTCAGACAATTCAAGGGGACCTGATGCTTGCAGAGACTCACTTCAACCCTCCTTGTCTGGCTCGGGACGAGCAGGTTCGACTCTTAAATAACATCAAAAGAACTGTTGGGGCAGCCAAAAGATTAGGCTCTTACGAGCTAGAAGCAGAATACTGGGATGACTTTTTGATACGTGGTGTTGAACTCCTGCCCCTCCCAGACCCCAGGCGGCCTGTTCGTCATTCCAAAACAGACCTCGATGCAGTCGCAGCAGATCACGAGAAATCGGCCAAGGATCCGTTTCTCTATAATCCTTTTGCCAAGGCAAACATAAAGGCTTCCGAGTCGCTAATGGTTGCGGGTGAGAATGCAGCTTTCGAAGTCTCGCTTCAGAATCCTTATGACTTCGAGCTTGAGATTGAGAAGCTAAGCCTCTCTAGCGACGGTGTGCCCTTAGATGCTGGGGCAGAGTGGATATTAGTACCTCCTCTCTCCTTACATAAAATCACTGTTTATGGGCAAGCTCTTGGAGAAGGAGCGCTTAGTGTTACTGGCTGCATCGTTAAGGTTAGGGATTGCAGGGAGCGCAGGTTTCCAATCTTCAAAACACTATGGAAGCCGCAGACTGAAGTGAAATTCAAACGCACTGGACTCGCTGCCAAGAGGCCTGCAGTGGATCGTCCTCTGTCCTGGAGTTCGACAACTTCCAGAGACGGTAAACCGATCCCCAAGAAGGGCCCTGAGACCTCGGCTTGCGAAGTCAAAGTCATCGGTAAACAACCGTCTCTAGTAATTGAGTCCTTGTCTCTTTCCCAGTCAGCAATCATGGTATTAGAAGGAGAAATTAGCTCCTTCGATATCACACTGCGGAATACATCACCGTGCCCCCTGAACTTCATCTTGTTCACTTTTCAGGACTCCACAACAAGACAAGTGCAGGCAGCTCTTAGCAACAAGGACCTCCTACCAGTTGAGATTTATGAGCTGGAACTAAATCTTACTCGATCTGCGCTGCGCTGGCGCCGAAAGGGTTCAAATCCTGAAGACCACTCAATCCTGGCAGGTCAAAGTGCTACCTTCACGATCGAGGTGTTCGGAAAACCCGGCTTGCAAGAGACTACTGTGCAAATAGATTATTCGTACCTCGGCATCTCGGACGGCAATTTGCCTGATGTCTTCTACACCCGACAGCTGTTCGTCCCGCTTACTGCTACGGTTAATGCCAGTGTCGAAATTGCACGGTGTGATATTCTACCTCTTAGTAGTGACTTTGCTTGGTGGAATCGTGACAATGGCATTGTGGAAGGCGAATCTAGCCATAGCCAACCATTGGAGTCTGCTTCAATTTCACCGGTACTCTCCCATCTTGCCCATGGCAAGTACGGATTCGGCCACTGCATTTGCCTCCTTGACCTTCGCAATGCCTGGCCCAACCCTTTGTCTGTATCCTTGCAGGTTCATGAGCAGCCGATAGAGCCCGAATTCTCACGAGCTTTCGACATCACTGCCGACTCAAGGGGTCAATACACGGTGCAAGGGGAACTCCAACCAGGTCAAACGTCCCGTTTCGTTCTCGTCCTCCCTAGGGTTCATTTAGAGAATCCTCACGCATCAATCCCTATACTGAACACGGGCGTGAAGCGACAATTCGTTGTTAGTGCTAACAAGCTTTCTTTCGAGGCCGAAGCAGCTTCCCGCGAAGCATTCTGGTATCGTGAGGAGCTCCTGCGCCGGATATCCGGTTATTGGAAAGAGAAAGCCGGAGGACGCGCTGGGACAATCGACCTGCGAAACCTCCGTTTCAACGCCCGAATGGTAGACGCCTTTCGGTCAGACGACATCGGCGTAACCTACGCCCTGGAGCCCTTACTGCCTGATGAGTCAAATAGCGCCGCAGCCGTGCGCACCGGGAACTCTAAGTACGACGTTCGAACGGATGAGCTGCTGAAGCTCACCGTCACGGTGCTCAACCGCTCTCCCCGGTCCTTACACTTAATTTTGCGGCTACAGCCTAGCCTTCGCCATCAGCCCAGTAACGTGGCCCTCGATCTTTCGCGACGTCTCGCTTGGACCGGTATGCTGCAGCAGGTTCTCCCCATTCTCGACGCCGGAGAGAGCACGACTGCCACCGTCGGCGTAACGGCTCTCTGCCGGGGTGAATACGAGCTTGGGGCAACAGTCGAGGAACTACGGCTCCTGGTGCCCAAGTCAGAGTCTGGGAGCGATGTCCCTCCACCTGCACAGCAGGTGGCTTTCCATGATGCGGATGGTATCATCACCGATACTTTCGGTGCGGACGTGGCCAAGAAACGACGAATCTGGCATGCTAAAGAGACTTGTGTTATGAACGCCCATGATTGATATGCCAAGGGATTGGGAAGCAAAAGCCCAAGAATAGATGGATGGATGAACAACATCCCCCAATCCCACTTATGTATAAGAAATGGTTCTTGAGACATAATACACATATGCGTCTTCCTGTTCCTGTCCGGCAGGTTACTAGAATAAATGAGCGAGCCTTGAATGTGCTGATGCAGTGGAAGCCCTTTTACATAGCATTGAACCCGTAAAGTGCACGATGGCGTTTGCTAGCATTGCAGGTTCATCACATTGACCTTATTCCAGGTAGACGCAACTATCTCAGATACTTGGTTTTCTTTGTCATGATTCTTCTCACCATGACATCCTAGCTCAGCTGTATGGTTACCAGATCTTGACTGCCAGATTCCCACAGTAATAAGACAAGGATACGTAGTGCATTGTAGCAGTCAAAGAAGAATTTGAAGGGAGAAACAAAGAAAAGAAAAGAAATGAAATGAAAATGGATATATTACTGAGACGACCGCCAAGTCTATGGCTAATGCCCAATTGCCCTCTGCAGCCGTCCAGCGGCAGTCGAGGGACCGGGCTCAGGCCAGCCGCTCACAGCATCATTGACTTCTTCCAAGAAGCTTGTGCTATTGTGGATGGCTGTGCCACCCAGAACAACCCGCACACCAGGCGAACTAGCGTTGACTTGGGCGACCATTTTGGCTTCTTCATAGGTTGCGCCACCAACCATAAAGATAATAATGTCTTGAGGCTTATCCCGAGTATGGCCCCCACCTTCAAGAAAAGGATATTGTAGTTCCCGCAATCGACCTTTGATCAAGTTCTGAAGAGTGGCTTCTAACCTGGGAGAGTGTTGCGTGTAGACGTTCTCTACACCTTTTAATCCCTTGAAACGATCCCGTGCACCGGAGAACAAGGAGGTCGACTCGAACAAGTCTGAAAAGCCACCAGCAACAGGAGGCGCCTGTAGGGAATGGTGATAGGCGAGTAACTTAGGGATAATGTTGACTTTGTACGAAGGAACATCACCCGCAGTCACCAGCAAGTCAAGAAGGATTGGCAGAGCATTATTTGGCTGCTTTTCATACCGAATGGCATATAATGCCACTAGTCGTAATTTGCTCTCAGCCGTCACTTTGGATAATTGTATGAGTCTTTGAAGATTCTGCGAAAATTTGGTTATTTGAGTTTTATCAGACGAAAAGCCACTCTGCGTGCGTGCAACCATGTTCGTGCATACCTTGAGGTCATTCGCATGGTTGTCATTACAAGCCAAGCTCTGTTCCAATTCACTCACATCGAGAAGATCCTCTTCACCTACACGTCTACTCAACTCACCAACCAAAGTAACATGCTTGCTGACGTTCCCGGAGAGCTTCCGAAACTCGGGGTAGTCTTCAACGAAACGTTTCATGTCTGCAATTGACTCGATGTTCATTGTGCTGTGAGTCTTGGCTTGATATTGTTCGACATATTCCTTGATGTTCTGCCCCAAGTCACCAAAATTCTGATACATGTTCTTCTTAAAGAACGGATCTTGGTCTTGGGACAGAACAATTTCCCGTAACTCGGGTCGGATCTCCGGGACATCTCGAAGATCCACTCGGCCATTGTGGATGCCCATCAATTCATGCACCATCGCCTGATAGGTCCATTGTGTGAGGAGTGGCGTAATGGGGTCATCCCGACGGTCCAAGATTAATAAAATTGGTGGGGTATCCGTCTTGCGAAAGTTGAAGAGCTGTTCCTCTTGCGTTAACTGATACCGAACCTCGGTGGCCAGCTTCTTAGCCATCAAGCTGTTCTTCTCGTAGCGAATTAACGGGTGCTTTTTCAGGGACAACAGTACGGCGATAACTCCTTCCGTGGCCCTCTGTAACGCATCTGGGTTCCACAAGTCAGGCGACTGGCTCCAGAGGCGCTGCTGGGGGTATCCTAGGTTAAGGGAACAGAGATCCGGATTGATTACAAGGAAGTCGGCGAAGTGCTCCTGAACAACACGAACGACTTCGTGGGAGTCAGCTTCGGCGAGCCTTTCAAGCGAGGATTTGCGGATGATATTGCTGAGGTATATATAGTATTCGCCATACTTGGGTTCTCGGAGTTCATCGATCAGGAACTGAATGGAAGTGGGAGATGGTCGTACGAAGCAGAGGCATCGCAAATGTCGCATTCGTTCTCGAGACGCATTGTCGAGCCGATCAATGAGATAAACCTCATGGTTCAAAAGTGCGGACTGGGTGATGGCGGTCGAGACAATGGGCACCTGTTCGAGAACACTTAGCACACATGGCCTCTATCCGGCATGACACGCGCAAGTCCCACTGTCTCACTGTCAAGAAGCAAAATCTTCATTTTGGCGGAGGATGAAGAGCCCGGAGCCGTTGAATCGCCCGCGGTGACCATCTTGGAGATGTATCCCGATACCGCGGCGACTACGTCCATGTTGGGCGATTTGGGGGAGGGGGGGTGTGGGGAGGAGGAAATGCTGCAGCAATTAACAATCAAGACGATAATTGAAGAGACAAAAGAGATGGACAACTTGGAACACAGAGAGAGGGGAAGAGAGAGAGAGAGAGAGAGAGAGAAATGTGGCTCAAAATCAGTAACTGAGAGAGAGAGAGAGAGGTGGGAAGATGAGGGAAGATGCCAAGCACGCAGCGGGATGAATGACGATGCCGTGTGATTCACTACTATCAGTTACTCTCCGTACTCGCCAAATACTACTCCGTACTTTTTGTCATTACTTGGAGGTTTTTCGTGTCCCTTCAAAGTTCAACTTTTCTTTTCCCCACGCCCCCCTCCTTCGATTTTATTATAACACTTCACACTCAATGCAGATGTTGTCTCCTCTACTTCCAAGTAGTGTTTAAGAGCCTCTCCTTTCACCTCTCCCTCATTGATTTCTCCTCACTTACTTTGTCCGTCCTTCTCATCCTGCGACATCATGTTGCCCTTTGTTGATTTCCGTACGTCGTTGCTTTCCCCCCTCCACTTCTCCCAGTTATTTAGCACAATAAGAGAGGAACTGACCATATTGGTTCCATCCAGTGTTTGACTATCCCGCCAAGATCACAGGGGCTTCTATTGACGAGCGTATGCTACTCCTTCTTTCATTTGGTTGTTATGCTTATGCGCAAAGCTGATGTGGTCTTCTGATCTGCGGCACAGTCAAGCTCATTGCGTCATTTCTCCTTTCATATCCTCTGGCCGGCTTGTTGAAGCGGATTCCCGATGCTCAGCCCTGGAAGAAGAACGCTTTCATTATCGCCGTATCGCTGTTCTATATTGTTGGCTTGTTTGATCTGTGGGATGGTCTTCGCACCTTGGTCTATAGCTCCGCGGGAATTTATCTGATCGCCTACTACATTGATGGGTCTTTGATGCCATGGATAGGCTTTGTCTTCTTGATGGGCCACATGTCTATCAATCACATCTTTCGGCAAATGGTCGACGATGCTCAGGTTGTGGATATTACTGGTGCTCAGATGGTCCTTGTCATGAAGCTCTCCGCGTTTTGCTGGAACGTACATGATGGCCGAATACCTCAAAGCCAGCTATCAGACGCCCAGAAGTATGCCGCGATCACTCAATTTCCTAGTGTGCTGGATTATTTGGGATATGTATTCTTTTTCCCATCTCTTTTCGCTGGTCCGGCTTTTGATTATGTCGATTACCGCCGCTGGATTGATACCACTCTGTTCGATGTACCTCCCGGAACCGATCCCTCTAAGGTGCCCCCGACCCGAAAGAAGCGCAAGATCCCAAGGAGCGGCACTCCCGCTACGAAGAAGGCCATTGTCGGCTTGACCTGGATTTTCGTTTTCCTGCAGCTAGGCTCCTTGTATAATCAGAATACCCTGCTCGGAGAAAGCTACATGAAATACTCGTTTCTGAGACGGGTTTTCATCATGCACATGGTCGGGTTTACCGCTCGATGCAAGTACTATGGCGTCTGGTCGCTGACAGAGGGTGCCTGCATCCTTTCCGGCATGGGATACAACGGCTTCGATCCCAAGTCGGGTACGGTCTACTGGAACCGACTCGAGAATGTCGATCCATGGAGTCTCGAGACGGCCCAGAATTCCCACGGCTACTTGGGCAGCTGGAACAAGAACACCAACCATTGGCTACGGAACTACGTCTACCTGCGCGTCACTCCAAAGGGGAAGAAGCCCGGTTTCCGCGCCAGCATGGCCACCTTCACAACCAGCGCTTTCTGGCACGGCTTCTACCCTGGGTATTACTTGACGTTTGTTCTGGGCTCCATTATCCAGACTGTCGCTAAGAGTAAGAGTCTCGTCGTATCGTCTACTGCGCAACAGAACAGTCCTTACTGACCTAAGCCTAGACTTCCGCCGACATGTTCGACCCTTCTTCCTCACTCCTGATGGCAGTAAACCCGGCCCCTACAAGCGCTACTATGATGTCATGAGCTGGCTCGTCACTCAAATCACCATGTCCTTCACCGTCATGCCCTTCATCTTCCTCTCCTTCGGCACTTCTGTCGCCGTCTGGCGCAGTGTCTACTTCTATGGCATTGTCAGCAATCTTCTCTCGATTGTATTCTTCGCCAGTTCCGCTAAGGCCATCCTCGTCAAGAAGCTCAAAGCGCGCGGCACTAACAGGCCGTCACGCATCTCACGCACGGCCAGCACTGAGTCTCTCCGGCAACCACCGACCCTGGGTCTTCCTAATGACGCCATGCAGGAATTTGATGACGCCGTCCAGGAGATAATCTCCGAAATCGAATCCCGTCGCAGGCGCGGCAGTGTCGTCACTATGCCCACGGGCGAAGAGCTGAAGATTGCAGTCGAGAATAAGATGGGCCGCAAACTTCCCTGATTCTCGACATCGATTCTGCCCGTAAGCTATGGCAAGGGTGTGGATGGATGGGGAGGAATAGCCACGTGAAAGACGATAATACAACGCCTGACCCATCCTTTCTTACCTCCAGCACGAGTTATTACGATACCCTTCCCTTTTGAGTGGGTTGGTTAGTCTGCCAAGTTGCGTCTCATCATCATGGCTGGGTCCCAAGAAGCTGGCCGATCAATCTTCTTGGAGGGACTTGTCAGAGCTTAAACCTAGAATTCGGATCGAGAGCTTCGCACAGTTGTTCGGTAATTCCATCATGCAATATATATCCACCAATGTATTGTGTTCTTTATATAGTCCTTGAAACCCTGCTCGAACTCACAGCGAAAGGGTAACGAGAGGACTGATGTAAAATAGACAAATGAAAGAAGGAAAAGTAGCATATTTCCATCATGTGTCATGAAACCTCCAAGCATTTCCATCGCTATGCATGCAGTTTGTAAGTAGCTGGAGAACCCCCAATGATTGATCCATACAGACGGTTGCGGTAAGAAGGTGCGGATAGACAGAAGACAAGAGGACAAGCACCCGGTTATTGGAAAATATGTAACACATCCCCAGGAGGAAAGAAAATATAGAAAGAAATATATAAAAAAACACATTATGAACATCACGTCGTGCCAGTCGTGTCGAGAGTGATATGTATATATGATGTACCGAGCAGCCATGGTGAAGAAGAGGCCAGATGCGAAGGCTAACGCGGACGCAACTCCACAACACAGGCGGCGCTAAGGCGACCAAGGAGTATGAAGGGGTATAAGCAACTAAAAGGACTCGGTTCCAAGCATCGCCATGCAAAGTCAATTCGAGCATGTACAATGCAATGCAGGCGCAGACGTGGCCTGCGCAGCGAGCGTCAAGGCAATTCAATTTGCCTCGGCGCCCAGAATAAGCTGTAGCTGCGAGCGCGTGTGGCTTGCAACTGATATAGAACAAGATTTAGGTTTCCGATTGGCCTTTAGAAACCAACTGTTGTACCGACAACTGCCAGAGTGATCTACCAGATTGTTAGGTTGAATGCGTAGGATTAGAATAAGTAACAGAAGCACTTACCACAATAGTGATAATCGCCAATCCCAACGGATTCATCCACCGATTTAGCTTTCTCCACCAGCGCGCATTTTCGTAGCGTCTTCTCTGAAGATCGAATAACCGCATACGTAGGCTCGTTTCAAGTTGGGACTCGATGTCCTCCTGCATGGCCATTTCCGGCTGCTTCGGTAGGGGGAGAAAAGATGCGATCAGCCAGGCTAACAAACGCAGAGTAAGCAAATGTTCGAGTCAGGCTGCGTATGTAGTGCACTAATGCTTACCGAGAGGGAAGATGAATCCAACACAAAATGACCAAACTTGGATATTCCTCCGACCAAATAGAGGTTCCATTCTTGAGTCTAGAGACGGGGCTCCCCAAGTGCCCTTCCGAGGGCCCGTCGCACGTCGATCAGGTAACAGGTGTGGAGACCAGCTGCTGCGCAACCGATTGCGGGAGGTATCCCGTCTCTCAAGTTCTGGATCTTTGACCCAATGGCTACGAGGATCACGTGGATCATTCGGTGGTGCTTCCCATCGCACGCTTCGAAGGTCACTGGTCATAGTTCGAGTGTGGCTGTGAGCCGTTGGCATGCGGTAGAGAGCGCCATTTGTACTTGCCGTCGCGGGTCGAACAGACGGTGGACGACTCCCCTCCACTGGTGGTAACCCTAGATTTGCGGCTTGCGCTTCGGAGCGCCCATAGTACATCCTGGCCCAGTTAGGCAAGATGTTGTGGATACTTGAGCCTGTTCCCGGCCGCTTGGTGCTTCGCACGCTACTTCGCCGAGACCTAGAACCGGATGAGAGACTGCTGGGCACTGCTGGGTTTGAGGGGCGCGCCGGTAAGTTTGCCACATTGTCCTGCTGTTCGTCACCTTCGGAGTCGTCCACTTCATTAACTAACCAGACTGATGAAGAGGTTGGCTTTGGACGGACCAGTGCTGGAGACGGCCGTCTAGGCTCTGCCAAAGAGTTGTTGCTTGATCCTTCAGCATAGTTCGAATCACATTCTGCTGACCATCGAGAGGTGACTGTCGATAAATGAGATTTGAATCGATCCGACGAGAAATCCGTGGTGGTTTCCTGAGGGTTGGGCTCTACGACAGCCTCGGCATTGGATACATCAACCCTTGAACTAGACGATGAAGGTGCACGGATGGTCGGGTATTGAAGGAAGACCCCGCTGTCAACGATCGCCTGAATATCTGAGTTTGGCCCGCTGCGCGATGAAGACGTGAGAGAGCGAGAATGACTGCGCCCGCGCGGAAGCGTGGAGTTTGATTGGACTAGGTGCACCTGGTTGGAGGGATTGGACCGGAACGATTGCGAGCGTGAACGCGAGAGTGAACTCGATTGTTCGGAGGATGATCCATGTGTCCACTGAGCTGCTCCGATATACCTGATGACCGTTCCCAGCGAATTCAGAGATGAAAGCGAGTTGGACCGAGTGACCGAGCCAGGATTCGAGGAGGCTCCAAGGCGTACAAAATTCAGACTCGAGTTGTCGAGGGCCACGAAGTTTGGACTAGATGGAGGTCCGATAGGAACCACGTTGGGACTGGAATTGCTTGAGCCGAGCGTTTCAGGACCTGAGGGGTGACGCGATGTAGTTCGAGAAATTACGGGCTTGATTGTCGGCGGGACCTGCGGTAGTGCATTTGGTTCCTCATCGGAATAGGCAGCGACAGAAGCTGAGTCGGACTTTGGGTCGATGGGTTTGTCTTCCGGAGGCAGGAGATCAGGGAAGGACGATTTGCTTGACAAAGGATCGTCCTCCCATACTTGCGAGGGAGTATTTGCGGCATCGAATGTCGATGATAAATCCCATGGATCACTGGCAGAACGGTGAAAAAAGCTGCTGTCGGCAATTTGACTGAGCTCTGTCGAGGTGTTTCCGCCATAATGATCCGGCGCTTCATCGACGTGAAAACGGGAATCCGGGATGAACTCATGTCCTTTACCAGGCCGTGGAAGGAGAATTTGCTCGGGCTTGGTCGGGTAAGGAGTGACCGAATACAGATCACGTTCTTCGTGACCAGCGTAATTGTCACTGGTGGCTCGGAGGGACGCAGGCGGGGAGCCCTCGTTTGTCTGGGATGGATTGCGCTCGTGGAGAGCTCTCCGCTTCGGGAGATTTGTCGAAGGTCCGGTCGAGCGCATATTGTTGCAGATTAGTTCATTATCACTAGATCATTGAGATAGTACGGGGGGGCGACGACCCGGTAAGGCTGATGATGATGGGGAAGGGTGTTAATCGACAATATGGAGTACGGTCACAGAAAAACCAAGAAGCGAAGATCGAAGAATAGAGAAGAGAAAACGCCCACGCCCGACTGGGGAAGGGGGCGGGATGAACTGGAGATGGTTAAGAATGGAGATTGAAGATGATCGAAGATCATCAATGGGCAGCTTGGTTTGAGGGGCACCAACGGACCGCTCGATGGAGCGATTGACAACCCGCAGTTGCCGGCGATGGCCCCGTTGATGTTTGTTGTTGTGGTCTATAGATTTTGATGATGCAATGAAGAATGTCTCGACAGTCAACCCAGAACCGACGAACGTGATGGTTTAAGGGAGCGAACTAAGCTGTCCACCGGGGCACCACTACAGTGGATCCGACCGGAAAAAACTGCGCGGAGTTGAATCTCAATCAGTTAGTCAAGACCCCCCCCCCCTTTCTCCGATGGAGCCAGCTTGAATAAGGATAGTTAGTTGGAACGCAATTTAATGCAAGAGAGAATAAAAATTCAATAGTAATAAAAGAGAGTGTCTAACCCGAGACCAGGAAAGGTAATCAAAAAACAGAACGACGATTCGAAAAGAGCGACGAAAGGAGGGAGGACTGGAAGGAAAGGGACCACAATCTGAAACGACCAGGCCGGACTAAGCCGTAATATTTAAACGCCCCGGAATCCCGGTTCCCTGCGGCGGTGAACCATGGATAAATAGATCAATAACACTCCGTAGACGAAGAAGAGAGACAGACAGACAGACAGAGTGGATTTCTCTCTCGATCCAGGGGTCATGCAAGCTGCACGCTCTAGAGCGCCCATCTGAAACTGCACGATTGGTGACTGGAAGGAGACGGTCATGCAGCCTGTAGCACATCGCTTGTCCGACCTTGTCCTGTGGGCAGACGCCCAGCTAGCGGGATGGCGCGGGATGGGAGAAAGGGTGTGAGCCTGTGAGGGGGGTCTAGCCCCGTTGTAAGATGGCCCTCGATAGTTAGTCTGGTCTCCTGGCTCCAGATGTTCTTTAATGTTCGACTCCAAGATAGATTGGGCGCAGATCGACAAATGTTTCTACCGTGTCAAGGTCAATATAGGCCTTCATTCAGTTATCCTCGTAAGACACGAATTTGTGCTTGTTGAGGCCGAAATTTAGACCGGCCCGGGGTCATTTCGCTTCACGTCGACCTAAGATTATCCATCCGCCTTTCTCCTTCGAACCAAAGCTGAATGGACTCAGACCAGGAGTTCGAAGATTGCTAAGTGGAGCGGAGAACGCAGGCACCATTTGATTTTGACGGTGGGCACGCGAGACGCAAGTTAGTTGGTTGGCTTTGATTCACTTTGGAATGCAAGGTCCCTCTCGATCATGCATATGAAGCGTATGTGCTAGTATTATGGTATTATGCAGTGATGCACGCTGAAAGCAGGCCGTACGGGCGGGGACTTGGGGGGAATGGGGAGGTGTGGGCAGCTTAGCCTCTCATCGATCTCCACGAGGCCATCGGTCATGATTGTGACGAGTCCAAATCGTGGAGGCATCAATTGCGTTACTCGGTAGTTAGTGTAAAAGAAACCAAGAAAGGACTTACTCCGTGAAGGCTCGAAAGTGTGCAGTGGTCGAGCTCCACTACAGCAAATACTTAGCGACTCGTCGAGGTGGAAAATGGAAAAGGAGGCCAATGATTCCAGAAGGTTTCATTGGCAGTGGGGAGCAAAATCTTGGTCTTTTGTCTCCAGCCAGTCCAATAATAATAATCGTCAGGGGCCATTGGCAGAAAACGTACACTACACCTAGCACCACAGTAATAGTGCGAGCCACGGATCCTTGCTGGATTTTCTCTCTGAACTTGCCAGCTCATCATCCCAAGTGGGGTCTGTCAACCGGTTTAGTGAAGGCGAGGTACCAGAGTTGCTTATTATTACCGCAGCGCCCGAGGATGACAGTGGGGTTGTTCATAGAGGGCGAAGAGGACGACCAAATGGCACACAAAACCCTGAACCCACGGATGGATGGGCACATCTTCGGATCCATTCCCGCAAAGATCGATCGAATGTACAAAAAGCGATGAAAACAGGACGATAAGAAGAAGTCTGAAGAAGAAATCGAATCTCGATTGGAATAAAAAGCCGTGATTCTGTCCGGATTGTGCGGGATGATCCTTCAGATTGTCGTCACTTCGCGGGCTGAAACGTACTGAATAAGTTCATTCCGTACTAAACGGAATACGATATACTAACTAACTGATAATATTCCAGCTCAACTCGAACCAGGGGTGGCGGGGGAGTTCATGTAGTGTATGGTTTCCATTGATACGTGAATGGTGCATCAACCTCCTCATCTCTCCGTACGGGGTTGGCCTCCAATTAGTAATAATAAGGAGCACAAACACATTCTAAGGTGTCCCCAATTGTTCTATAGAAGTTTGATGCTCTTTCGATCCATGGTTGTGGGACTAGATCTGCCCCCAAGCCAGGTCTAGATGAGTATAGGAGAACTGGACTTCCCCTGACTTGACCATTCTTGTGTATCCTATTGAAGTTCTATTGTTCAGAGCTTCAAAGCTTTACAGATAAGGTACTGCTAAGGACATAATATGGTCATGACAGCACAATATATCTCGCTCCTGTGCCATCAGCAAAAAATCTATGGATATATACACACATAGTTATATATATGACTTCTGCTTTGGTGCTATAGCAGTGGAGGAGTAACACAGTGATTAGTGCTTTGAAGATCTTGCACATCCTAATGACAAGCACGGGGCAAATCAGGAGAATGGAAAGGAAGTACGGAGTACTGTACATTGACAATAAGTTACCTAAGGTAGTTAGTTCAGTTAGCAGGAGTTGTATAGTGTGACTAATCAGTATAACCAACTTACCTAGCCCGCTGCATTAAGGAGGAAGCTCCATGCGCTAAGCCTTTTCGGGCAAAGTAAAACCAACGGCAATAATGACGACTGATGCAAAGAGTCTCCCAGATCGACCGGCTTAGGCCAGCCCGCAACAGACCTGCAAGACCGGTATGATGATACGAGCATAATGCAATCCCTCCTACATTTCCGACCAAGTCAAAGTCGGTCGGTCTTGCGACAGAGACCTTGGGGCTATGGCGGACATCTGACCTCGACCTTCCTCAATTTTTCCAGACGTGCGACAACCACAGCGACGGCTGCATCCATCGCCAGAAAGCTTGATTTATTAGCGCTTGACAGGAAGTGGCAGGCAAAATGGCAGGCAGATTCAGTCAAGGACTTATCAAAACCCAATGCTGCGGCAGGCGACAAGGGAACAGAAGAGAAGCCCAAGTCTTATGTTCTGTCTATGTTCCCTTACCCGTCGGGAACTTTGCACATGGGCCATCTCAGAGTCTATACCATCTCAGATGTACTGGCACGTTTCTATCGCATGCGGGGACACGAGGTTTTGCACCCAATGGGCTGGGATGCGTTCGGGCTGCCTGCAGAGAACGCCGCGATCGAAAGGGGCATAGACCCAGCCGAATGGACCAACAGCAATATGGCCAAGATGAAGGAGCAGTTACGGAGCATATCGACCTCTTTTAGCTGGGACTGTGTACGTTTTTCCTGAACCTCCCCACAGCTCTACTTGTCTTTCTCAGTAGCCGTCCTGTTGACAACGCTGAAATCTTTTCCAATACAGGAATTCGCGACGTGCTCACCGGAATTCTACGAACACACGCAACGGATATTCCTTATGCTCTACGAGAAGGGCTTCGCGTATCAAGACGAAGCGCTTGTGAACTATGACCCCGTGGATAAAACGGTACTCGCCAACGAGCAGGTCGGTGTTGGGATACAAGGCTCATAGGGACCCATGGGACTGACCGCAGGTCTAGGTCGATGCCAACGGTTGTTCTTGGCGCTCAGGCGCAAAGGTTGAAAAATTGAAGTTGAAACAGTGGTTCTTCCGGATTACAGCTTTTAAGGAGATGCTTCTGAAGGATCTGGACTCCTTGTCAGGCAAGTGGCCGGAACGTGTGCTTTCCATGCAGCGGAATTGGCTTGGGAAGTCGCAAGGTGCGAATATCAAGTTTACCGTAGCCATCGATGGCAAAAAAGACTCGAGCTTCGTTAGGGTATTCACAACACGACCAGATACGCTTTACGGTGTCAAGTATGTGGCGTTGTCTCTGAATCACCCTCTCGTCCTAGAGTCCGCGAAGAAGGATCCTGAACTGCAGAAGTTCCTCGATTCCGCTGTTTCCCTTCCAGCTGATTCGAAAGCTGGCTATAAATTGTCCAATATGACTGTCTCTCATCCTTTACATGTGATTGATAAGGAAAGTCCCCATGTTGCGCGGCAGCTACCTGTCTTCACGGCGCCCTACGTTCTCGGCGACTACGGTGAAGGCGCAGTGATGGGGGTCCCTGGTCACGATGCTCGAGATCTTGCGTTCTTCAAGGAAAATGTGAATTCGGAATCTATACCTATCGTCGTCGGGGCCCAACCCGAAGTTGAGGCTGAAAACCGCAGCACCGCTATCATTTCTTCGGATCAGGCAAGAGCATTCACGCAGGAAGGCTACCTCAACTCCTTGTGTTGGAAGTACCAGGGTCTTCATTCCAGTGAGGCCAAACAGCAAATAGTGAATGATCTCAAGCAAGTCGGACGCGCGGAATCTGTGGAACAATGGAGGCTAAGAGACTGGTTGATTAGCCGTCAGCGTTATTGGGGCACTCCAATACCCATTATCCATTGTGGTGATTGCGGTCCTGTGCCAGTCCCAACAGACCAGCTTCCTGTCAAGCTGCCCAAGATTGAAGGTGAATGGTTGAAGGGCAAGAAGGGCAATCCCCTGGAGTCGTCGCACGACTGGCTGAACACACAATGTCCGAGCTGCGGCAAATCTGCCAAGCGGGACACGGATACCATGGACACTTTTGTAGACTCCTCGTGGTACTATCTGCGTTTTCTGGATCCTGCCAACAAACAATCGCCCTTTTCCCCGTCTGTGGCTCGACCAGTTGATATTTACATCGGCGGCGTCGAACATGCTATCTTGCATCTTCTTTACGCCCGGTTCATCTACAAATTCCTTTCACAATCCGAACTTTTTCCAGATTTAGCTCGCGCAGGGAATGTGGCGGCTCCATTTGAACCCTTCAAGTCCCTGCTTTCACAAGGCATGGTGCATGGCAAAACATTCTCAGACCCAGCTACGGGCAAATTCCTGCTGCCTTCGGAGCTGGACCTATCAAATCCTGAAAAACCACTTATCAAGGGAACACGAGTTACACCGACGATATCTTTCGAGAAGATGTCAAAGAGTAAGCACAATGGTGTGGATCCGACCGGGTGTGCTTTGAAGTATGGCGCTGACACTATTCGCGCCCATGTCCTTTTCTCCGCACCGGTCAGCGAGGTACTGGAATGGGACGAAACCAAGATCGTTGGTATGGAGCGATGGTTTGGTCGGCTTTGGAAGCTCGTCATTGACACCCAGCAAACGTTGGCCTCTTCAACAATAGCGTTGAACCTGTCGGATTTGCAAGCATCATCGGGTCATGCGCTTACGCTTCCAGGGGCCCTACAAAGCCTGACTGATAATGACGCCAATGCTGTTCTTTCCACCCATCGAACCATATGTTCCGTCACCAATTGCATCGAGAATAATCGCTATGGCCTCAACACCGTTGTGTCCGACCTGACCAAGCTGACCAATGCGCTGTGCTCATCCACTCCAACCTCACCAGAAGTTCTTTACCTTACTGTTTCGTCTTTACTTCGTCTTCTCTCCCCCATCGCTCCGGCATTGGCCTCCGAATGTTGGGAGATTCTAAATAGCTCGGTGGTGATGAATTCCACCGGCGCAACCTCGGCAACGTATATCCCAAATATCTTTGAATGCCACTGGCCCACACCCTTGTTAGCCCCTGCCGAGGCCGACATGCTGTCTGCACGAGGAGGCCAAGCCGTCGCGGTTCAAGTTAACGGAAAATTGCGCTTCAGTGTAACGATCCCGCAACGACTCTCGCCAACAACCACCGACGCCAACGAGAATATCACTGATGAACAAGATTGGATTATCAGTCGCATCCTGGAAACCGACGAAGGACGAATCTGGCTGCGGGAGAAGAACGACTGGGACAAGCGTCGCCGGGTGATTGTTGTCAAAGGTGGTAAAGTGGTCAATGTTGTTTTCTAGAAGCGACCCCGCATGAGACGCCGCTTCGCCACGAGCTTGGAATCATTGTTCCATGTGTTACGCGGAGTATGCGTTGCCTATTTCACAAAAGCTTGTATCATAAATAGCAGACATCCTGATGAAAGAATTTAGAACACATGACTCCCAAAGATGCGCAGCGGGAAATTGTTGCCCGCGCCGACCGTGACGTGGGATGTGGGCTGTAGTTGCCATTTCACAGTCAGCGTTCGCGACAGCTATGAGATTAGAGGCCCTGCGCCCGGTGTCAGATTAGTATGCTGTCATCATCCCAAGCGCTCTGTGACTCTGGGCGGGGGGATGAGTTTCAGGAATCGGAGTCGACGGACAGCGGAGGCATCGTGTGATGCGGCAGGACCGGCAGGGTCAGTAGTGGGCAATGAGGAGGCACTTGGGTGGGGTGGAGGGGGGTGTTGAGGCCTTCCCCTCATCATGATGCTGCTGCTGTTGCCGCCGCGGCGGATGCGCGCGGCCGGTGTGCGTCGATCCCAGATCATAGAAAGTACCATAGCATGATATGTTTTTCGCCCGGGCAGTACAGAGTTATTGCTACTTGTCTATCCGGTCTTCCGCCCCCTTAGGACTTCAATACCGGAGAAAACATGGCGGAAATTCGGGTCGTAGAAGCGGAGGACTCGAATTTCAGTGAACTCGTTTTGTGGTCGGGTAGATGGAAACCTAACCAGGCAGTTTGAGTCAGTACTTGCCGAGATCCAGCCACCTGAAGTTGGATAGAAAATATGGATCAGAGAATCAGGCACGCGGGGGGGGAAGACTGAGCTCCAATGGATATATCTGCTATTATACGGAGCAGTGAGCAGTGGTGCTGAGCGACTCGCCATTTTGGAGCGTCATGCGGAGAAATCCTCTGGGTAAGACGTTCCCCCTCACTAGTCTCGAACGAGACTAGTGGGATGATGAGGGGAGGGTACAGTACACTAAGGCACCTCTTTCAACAACCCCTCACTCTACCCCTCATGAGGGGACTCACGGGATGGAGCTACCCGAATTAGGAGAGAATGGAGTACGGCGCCGCGGGACAGGCGTCCATCCGAGTCCATTATTGTACGTACTGCTCCGTACTCCACACTCTGTATTGCCATGTTGGCATTACACCTTTGATTCTGTCTGTTTGATTGTCGACCTTGGGACAAAAGATAACGTCATCTCATTGCTCAACTCTAGTAAGCGTTATGCCGGGCTAACCTAGGTTGATCGCCCTGTCAGGTACCGAGCCCTCTAACGGTGTACTGTGCAGTACTGTGTACTGTACGGAGTAGTTTGAAAGGAGTCGGTCGGCCCTTGCTCGGTTCCCCTCATCAGCATCGATGCTCATAAGATTAAGGACTGGGTAGTAGGAAGCTCTGGACTTCGGGAGAGGATGCCGTGTGCGGAGAAAGCTTGGTGAGCCAGAGAAGGACGGACATGGGCTGCCATGATCTGCCTTGGACCTTGGTCTTTCTGGTCGGTCCCCCACTAATTACGGCACTACTACAGTAGTAGACAGAGTCTACTGTACCCACTAATCCCCACCCCCTCTTTCTCTCTCTCTCTCTCTCGTGTCAAGACGAACTGGAAAATGATGGACTTACTGTATGTACTCGGAGTATGTATCTGTACAACGGCGAGGAGGGTGAGTGAGAGAAAGAGGGGAAATTTATCCATGCGAATGAATATATATATTTGGCTGAATTCCCCTGTCCTTTCTGTCCCTCAATCTCCCCAATCATCCCATCCTCTCATCCTATCATCATCCTTTGGTCATCCATTTACTGGATTCTTGGTAAGTCCTGGATTTCTTCTCAGCTCTCCTCCGTACACTGCACCAGTGTGAACCATGATTGTTTGCAGCTTGGTCTCCACTTCTGACATCTCTTTCCCTGCCCTTCCTTGCTGCATTGCATCAAGCTTGCAAGGTTTCGCGTTCAGTAACTACTGATGCTATTACTATATAAAATGGCAAGCTGACCCGTTCTCTTTCAAGGACTACTCTCTCTCCTCGCTTTTTCTCTCTCTCATATTCACTTTCTGAGCAGTCAATTTGACATATCTCTTTCAAAATGGTATTTATGCGCTCTTTCTCCCGTCAATTTCGACGGCCTGCCACCTCGCTGCTTTCAACCAGAGGCCCTCTTGCATCAGCTGCCAGCAGTCCCTTTCGGGCATCGCCGTTGGCTAATTCTATTGCTGGTGCACGTACGCTAACCGCCTCTGCGAATCTCCAGGGCAAGGTTCTTATGGTTCTCTATGACGTAAGTCTTCGGCCTCGGCCTCGGCCCCTCCAGTTTCCTCCATCATTCCCATGACGAAAGCTAATTGAACAATGGATAGGGCGGTGAGCACGCCAAGCAGCAGCCTGGTCTTTTGGGTACCACCGAGAACGAGCTTGGTTTGAGAAAGTGGCTGGAGGACCAGGGTCACACTTTGGTAACCACCTCGGACAAAGAGGGGGAGAACTCCACCTTCGACAAAGAACTCGTTGATGCCGAAGTCATCATCACCACCCCGTATGTAGTTTTTCAACGTCTACCAACCTCACCCAGCCGAAGCTCACATGGTTTAGCTTCCACCCTGGATACCTTACCGCCGAGCGTCTGGCCAAGGCCAAGAAACTCAAGATTGCCGTCACTGCCGGTGTTGGCTCTGACCATGTCGACCTCAATGCTGCGAACAAGACCAATGGCGGTATCACTGTTGCCGAAGTCACTGGCTGCAATGTCGTCTCTGTTGCCGAGCACGTTGTCATGACCATCCTGACCTTGGTTCGCAACTTCGTCCCCGCCCATGAGCAGATCCGCAACGGCGAATGGGACGTTGCTGCTGTGGCCAAGAACGAGTACGATCTGGAAAACAAGGTCGTCGGAACCGTCGCTGTTGGTCGCATTGGTGAGCGTGTCCTGCGCCGTCTCAAGCCTTTCGACTGCAAGGAGCTGCTTTACTACGACTACCAGCCCCTCTCTCCGGAGGTCGAGAAGGAGATCGGCTGCCGCCGCGTTGATGACCTCGAAGAGATGCTCGCCCAGTGTGATGTTGTTACCATCAACTGCCCTCTGCACGAGAAGACCCGCGGTCTGTTCAACAAGGATCTGATCTCCAAGATGAAGAAGGGTAAGCTTATGCTTGTAGACCGACGATGATTTCCAGACACTAACCCAGGCTATAGGCTCTTGGCTCATTAACACCGCCCGCGGTGCCATCGTGGTCAAGGAGGATGTCGCCGAAGCCGTCAAGTCTGGCCACTTGAGAGGCTACGGCGGTGATGTCTGGTTCCCTCAGCCCGCCCCCAAGGATCACCCCCTGCGCTACGTGCAGGGCCCCTGGGGCGGCGGCAACGCCATGGTCCCCCACATGTCCGGTACCTCCATTGACGCCCAAATCCGTTATGCCAACGGCACCAAGGCTATTCTTGAGAGCTATTTCTCCGGTCGCCACGACTACAGAAACGAAGACCTCATCGTCCACCAGGGTGACTATGTCACTCGCGCCTATGGTCAGCGCAATAAGGCTTAAATTGAAGCCGGGAGGACACTAGAGTGAAAATACATGACTCAGGTAGTCCGGCACCTGTTCCTGGTTTGAACGAGCCGTTCTCCTTGATGATTTAGCTATTTATGATACCTTGAAAATACAACTTTCTTCGATTCAAATTCATTTCGCCACCGACGCTGGCCCACACCGTAAGCTTGGAATTTTGAGCACCAACGAAGATTAATTTGGCAGTTGCCCTCGCGGTGAGGAGTAGTTTATCCGTCCGCTCAACTAAGGTTTACTTGGACCGTTTCATCATGGACTTAAGGCCACTCAATGTCTACTTTTCAGTAGAATTATATTCTCACGACCATTTGATTCACTACTACTGACCTCTCCTCTGCTTCGATTTCCGTTTTTCTTTCGGTGTACAATGGTCGCGATGGTCTAAAAGGTTGATTCCACGAAATGGACCCGGTAACGCGCCTAAGTTATCCATATGAGCTTGCGGTCAACATTCAAACCTCTAGGCCCCAGAAGCGCTTATAGTGATTCAATGGTCGCTTGAGTGCGACCAAATCGGCTAAGTAATGGGGTGTTGGCTGGATTGGCGCTTTGGTGCTCCTGAAGAAACCCAGCCAATCTGCCCACCGCACAAAACTTCGTCACTCACCCACTTCTCTAGAGGATTATTCGCTCCGAAGTGATTCGCCGACCCAGAAGATACAAGACCAAGCATGCTGAGCCTGGCTCCATGAATGTGAGCGCCCCAGGTAAAGCAGCACAGTTTGCCACGTATCTTGGGGAAGAACGTAGATCTGCAATGATTCTGCGATGATAAATGAAGTGGTAAGTTTGGTGTAGGCAATAGTATATGATATATGTGCATGTATAGTTACAATGGCATGGGACAGGGGAACTAGCGGTGGGCCTGGGACTGCGACCGATGCTCCTCTTCCTCCTCATCGCTGTCATCCATGAACCCGGCCTCGAGCTCCCGACTGAGCCGTCTTCCCGAATCGACAACAGAGTTGCGTTGCCGTTCGAGGGCCCCTCTTCGCTCGATATCCATATCCATCCCCACCATGATCTCGCCCTCTTCATCATATATACTGATGTTATCATTCTGGTCGGCTAACTGCTGCTGTTGCCATGATGAAGGCAGAAAACGGCGCATGATGGCATCGGCGATGCGGTCTCGGAGGGTTAACGTGTGCGCGGAGATCGTGTGAAGTGGCAGATACTGGGAGTATCGTTGATGATATCTTCGGAAGAAAGGGACGATCACAAAGGACAGAAGAAGATAAAGTGTCAGGGAAATCACTGCCGGGATGATCATCGTCTGCGCGAGGGAAATCGGCTGTTAGGACGTGACGAGTAATAGGAGCACTGCTGGAGGGTTCACCTTCGCGAAACTCGATGCGGAACCCATTTCGCTTGGCAAGAGTTCGTGTTGCCTGAGGAGCAAGGCTTATGGGATAAGGTGTGTTTTACAGCAACAGTAAAAAGAATCAAAGTGACAAAATGGAGGAAGAGAAGGAGGAGGAGACAGCAGCAGCAGCAGCAGCAGCAGCAGCAGTAGTAGTCGCAAACGGAAGCGGATGAGCAATGCACAACGCAAGGCTGTGTGATTTTAGTTCCTAGCAGATGGAGTATTAACCTGCCATAGCAACCTGAGAGTCATCAAGTCACTAGAAATCATCCATTGAGGAGATTTTGACACTGCAAAAATTTGACACTGCAGTGAACCGGCACATGTTCGTGTCTGCCTATTATTCTTTCTATCTCTATCGGAAGGCCCACCGATAATCCCGTGCACGTGATATATATATATATATATATACACGTATACATACCTACCTACAGCTCCTGTGCCTTTTTTTGTTTAACCCGGAAATGGTAGGCGGTGACTCATACTACATTTTATTACAAAGATAGTATCATATCCTATCACGTGGCATTTTGTACAGTATTCTCAAGCTGAGTGTTCTAGAGCCGCCCTCAATAATGCTGCCCCCCTGATGCCCCGTGCTTTCAGTCCTGACGTGCAAAAAGACTCCAACCACTACTGAAGCACAACCCTCCCCTCCCCTTGATGCCAAAGGGAGGTCTTTTCGTTTCTTTCCTCTCTTTTTTTTATTTTATTTTATTTTTTATTTTTCTATTTTTCTTAATTCTTCTTTCCCCCCAATCCTTATCTCCAGAGTAGGATAGCCCTACTGGGAGCCTGGATCTTTGATTCATCACTGATCGCCCGCCCTTGTCCTTCGTTTGCGATCCACACACTGGGGGGACTATCGTACCTTTACCAATCCGTGTTGTCTGGAAAGGCGGAATTCCCTCCTTCTCCTCCTCTTCTCCCCTCCCCCTCCTCTCACTTTCCTCCCTCCCTTTCTACCTCAGCTTTAAGTCCGCCTCGCTGCGCTTCATGATTGCTTTGCGTTAGTTAGTTCAGGACTACATAGACCGAGACTGGCGCCTGGATGTTTTTCGGATCCCCGCTCCCATTCGTATCATAATTATCGACAATTTTGGAAAACGGACGAGTCGTTAAGCACGACGGAACGAATCGATAATTCACAATTTTCCAACTCATTCCTTCGTCAGCGGATCACGCTCATGCAGCGCCCTGCATCTTCCCAGCGACGTCCGTCAAAATGCCAACCAGCACGTCTGCGCCTGAAAAGTCGAGACAGACCTCGGCTGGGAAGTCATTCTTTGGAAGAAAATTACACAAAGAGAAGTCGGTAGATGAACGGTCCGACTCGCATGGATCGCACGATAGTCTGGCGCCCCCTGGGAGCGCTCCCGGCTCTCGCTCGTCCCGACACTCCAAGCGGTCGTCGGTTCAGTCCGTGGACTATCCCCACGATTTCGATCCAGCTGGCGTGTCCATGACGGCGGGTGTACTCACTTCAATCCCCTACGATAGCTTGCCTGCCGATACCAGATCGCCTGTCCCCGTTGATTACTTGTCGAGACCCGACTCATCGCATCGTAAAGAGCCATCGCCCAACCACCTCGCGAAGGGAAACAGCGACTATCACCAGTACCCGGCCTGGAATCCGGCCAGCGTCCCCAGCAATGGCAACAACGCCTCGTCGCACCCAACCGGTCCTCGGCCACCCCCGCATGGCTCGAACGTGACCATGGCGGGAAGTACTTCAGGAGACAAGGGTGCTCGATACCAACAGTGGGGACGACCAGGCAGTTCTGCCGCCAATACTGGCTTTAGCCATAGCTCTTCTTCTACGCTTGATTCCTCGGCGCCATCGCGGCTGTCTTTCGACCAACTAAGTGTCCATTCATCGATGTCAACCAATACTCGAGGTTCGAGCTATTATGCATCGGAGAGCTCCTCGCGCACGCTCACACCCTCACATTCTGCCGATCGCACCACCTACGCATCGAGCGGCAGTTCCGGCCGTTTGTCGAATGCACAGGCAGCATGGCAGTCAACCCAGCCCGCTCAACCGCCAAAGATTCCGGTCAACCAGGAGCAATACCTTGCCCGGCCAAGGGACGATCGAATCGTGGATCAGCTCTTTATTGAGCTGATGCAGAAACGAGGATGGCAGAACCTTCCGGAGCAAGCCAAACGGCAGATGTTGGCATATCCGGCTTCAAAAAAGTGGACCTTGGTACATCAGGACCGGTTGACAGAGATACAAGGAGAACAGAAGCGCCGGCAGAATGCTCGGCAGACCCATGGCCATGATGGACCGTCTGGTATCTTGGAACGCGCTGATGAGGAGGGAAGTCCGGAGTGGTACGTGAAGAAGGTCATGGACGATTCTATCACATCGAAACAACTAGCCAGTCTAAGTGTCAGTCTTCGAACGCAACCGATCAGCTGGGTCAAAGCTTTTGTTGAAGCACAAGGTCAGATTGCCTTGACGAATGTTCTTGCTAAGATCAACCGAAGGAAGGCTACAGGTGTCGTCCCAGCCCCGCCGACAGGCGATAAGGATCTGGATCGCGAATATGACATCGTCAAGTGTTTAAAGGCTTTGATGAACAATAAATATGGTGCGGACGATGCTCTCGCACATCAACAAGTCATCGTGGCGCTTGTCAGCTCATTGCTATCCCCTAGGCTGAACACAAGAAAGTTGGTCAGCGAGGTATTGACCTTTCTCTGTCATTGGGCCGAAGGCCAGGGGCACCAGAAGGTTCTTCAGGCTATGGACCATGTCAAGAATCAACATGGGGAAACCGGTCGCTTCGATGCCTGGATGCGTATTGTGGAGGTGACCATCGACGGCCGAGGGAAAATGGGCAGTTTGGTCGGCGCCAGCGAGGAATATCGCAGCGGCGGAATAGGCATGGAAAATCATCTGATGGAATATGCTGTTTCGACAATGCTGCTCATCAATATGTTGGTGGATGCGCCAGAGAACGATCTGCAGCTTCGCTGTCATATTAGGGCTCAATTCATATCTTGTGGCATCAAGCGCCTCATGACCAAGATGGAAGGCTTTCAGTACGAGGTCATCGATAAGCAGATTGAACGGTTCCGGGAGAATGAAGCTATCGACTACGAAGACCTGCTGCAGCGGGAAAGCAGCAGTATCAAGGACAGCATTGAGGGTGAGGTCAAGGATATGAGCGACCCCTCGCAAATCACGGACGCCATCACCTCCAGGATCCAGGGTACGCGAGCTCATGATTACTTCCTCTCGGCCATGCAGCACATGCTTCTGATTCGGGAGAATTCTGGCGAGGATGGACTCCGTATGTATCAATTGGTCGACGCTATGCTGAGCTATGTGGCTATGGACCGTAGACTTCCCGATCTTGACCTCCGACAAGGGTTGACTTTTACCGTTCAAAGTCTCTTGGACCGCCTCCACACGGACTCCGAGGCAAGACGGGCTTACGATGAATCTCTTGAGGCTCGCCAAATCGCGGAGGCTGCGCTTGCTGAGCGCGATGAGATGAAAGCCCAGGTCGAGCTCGGCGCTGATGGTCTGGTCAAGAAGCTGCAGAAGCAGATCGACGAGCAGACAGGGGTTATTGAGCTGCAACGGAGACGTGAGGAGGCGATGCAGGCAGAGCTTGCGGATGTTCAGAGGCTCCGCGCCCAAGAATTACAACGGAATGAGCTGGAGACTCGAGAGCTCTACCTGATGCTTCGAGATGCTCAGGACATCGCTGCCTCCAATGCCAAAAAGAGTAACATGGCCGAAGCCGATCCTTCGCAGATGAGAGGAATCCTTGATCGAGAGAAGCTCCTGGAGCGACTGGAGATGCAGCTCGAGAGGACCAAGACGCAATTCAAGCTAGAGGGCAAGGTTTGGGGTCAGCATGTTACTTCAGATAGATTGCGTGAGCTTCGGGAGCAGATGGATGGCGAAGCCGATGCAAATAATGAGCTCGGCCAGGCCACGGGTCAAGGCCTAAACGTCAACGCCTTCGGATCGGCTCATCGGAAGAGAAGCTACCTACCAGGCACCGATCAGGATGACACCTCCGAAATCCAGACGCCCGTTGACGAGACCGGAGAGGTCATGTATGAAAAGGCACGCCTTGTGGATCTCCACCGGCCCAAACTCAACCCCAAGCAAGCCAGCGGTCTATTGGGAGAAATCGCTTCCAAGGTTCCCAAGATTGACGCCGAGGACGGTGAAGAAGGTGTCCCTGTGGACAACCAATTGGCTGAACTTGGAACAGAAGATGACGCGGCTGGTTTGCAAGGACAACAAGAAGGAGGACATTCTGATACTAGTTTAATCGAACCGGTCGATTCGAAAGGCGCTCCTGCTCCTGCTCCTCCCCCACCGCCTCCGCCGCCGCCGCCTCCTCCGCCAAGGGGACTGGGATTCGCAGCGCCTTCCCCCCCACCTCCCCCTCCTCCGCCCCCACCCCCGCCTCCAGGAGCTGTCGGGATCCCTCCTCCGCCTCCTCCGCCTCCTCCGCCTCCCCCAGGAAAATCAGGGTTCCCGCCTCCTCCACCGCCTCCACCACCGCCGCCTGGTGGTCTTGGAAGGCCTGGGCCTCCTCCTCCACCTCCTCCCCCCGGTGTCTCATTCGGTGCTCCCCCTCCCCCTCCGCCTCCCGGTGCCGGTGGATTTGGAGGTTGGCGGGCAAATTACATGGCTTCCCAAGCCCTGTCCCATCATCAGACAGCTCTAATGCCATCTATCCGGCCTAAGAAGAAGCTCAAGGCCCTTCATTGGGACAAGGTCGATACTCCGCAAGTCACGGTGTGGGCGTCTCATGCTCCTACGCCCCAAGCGAAGGAGGAAAAGTATGTGGAACTGGCCAAGAAAGGAGTCTTGGATGAAGTCGAGAGGCTGTTCATGGCAAAAGAGACCAAAATATTTGGCAAGGGTGCGGGAGCTAAACAGCGGACAGACAAGAAACAACTCATTTCCAACGAGCTGTCCAAGACCTTTCAGATTGCAATGTCGAAGTTTTCCCAGTTCCCTGCTGACGAAGTCGTGCGGATGATAATTCATTGCGACACGGAGATTCTCGACAACATGGTCGTCATGGACTTCCTTCAAAGGGATGAGATGTGCACTATACCTGAGAATATTTCCAAGTCGATGGCCCCATACAGTAGAGACTGGACCGGCCCAGATGCCGCCAGCGCCGAGCGGGAGCAGGATCCTGCCGAGCTTACGCGCGAGGACCAGATCTACTTATACACCGCTTTCGAGCTGCATCATTACTGGAAGGCGAGAATGCGTGCTCTCGCGTTGACGCGCTCCTATGAACCAGATTATGAGCATATCTCCGCCAAACTGCAGCAAGTGGTGCAAGTCAGCGAGTCCCTAAGAGACTCCGTTGCTCTGATGAACGTCCTCGGCCTGATTCTTGACATTGGTAATTTTATGAACGACGCCAATAAGCAGGCCCAAGGTTTCAAGCTCAGCTCGCTCGCCCGTCTCGGTATGGTAAAGGACGACAAGAACGAGACTACTTTTGCAGACTTAGTGGAGCGGATCGTGCGAAACCAGTATCCCGAGTGGGAAGGTTTTGTGGACGAAATCAATGGCGTTGTCGCCATTCAGAAGCTCAACGTTGACCAGCTGCGCACGGATGCCAAGAAGTACATCGATAACATCAAGAATGTTCAAGCCAGTTTAGACGCTGGCAATCTCAGTGATCCTAAGAAGTTCCATCCCCAGGATCGGGTTAGTCAGATCGTCCAAAGAAGCATGAAAGATGCGCGTCGCAAGGCCGAACAGATGCAACTGTACCTGGATGAGATGGTGAAGAGCTACGATGACATCATGGTGTTTTACGGAGAAGACAACACGGACGAAGGCGCCAGGCGGGACTTCTTCGCCAAACTGGCCACATTTCTGCTAGAGTGGAGGGTAAGCACATGCGCTTGGATTTCTGTAAGGACTTTACTAACCACGAGATCAAATTTACAGAAATCCAAGGAGAAGAATATTAGCCTGGAAGAGAACCGAAAACGCATCGAAGCATCTCTGTCTCGCAAGCGGGTTAACGCAGGTCTGGCCAACGGCGCCGGGGCAGCCGCAGAAGGACCACAGTCACCGGTCACGAGCGGTGCCATGGATTCACTTTTGGAGAAGTTGCGTGCCGCGGCTCCTCAGGCGAGAGACCAGCGTGATCGTCGGCGTCGCGCGCGTTTGAAAGAAAGACATCAGGTTCGCGTGGCTTCGGGACAAAAAATACCGGATACCACGGGGTCTGAAGGTGCAGAGAGTGGACAAATTGAGGAGACTGGCAGCACTGATAAAGGCAACGCGAGTGCCAACGAGGCCAACACAACCGCCACGGGCCTTTTAAGTCCTCCATTCCTAGAGACTGAAGTTCCTGAGGTCTCGAGTCGGGATGCCCAGCATGTGTCCGAGAGTGAAGATGTTGCAGACCGCGCCGCAAGCATGTTGCAAGGTCTTCGGGACAATGTCGATGGCGAGCGCCAAAGAAGAAGACGTGAGACGGCTGAGGAGGAGCGACGTAAACGCAGGCTGCGCAGACGCAACGGTGCTGCCAGTACTAGCAAAGATAGCCCCGATGGCTCAGTTGTAGCCTCTGCCTCCGAACCGCTCTCCCCTCCTAGGACGGACCCGATTGAGCCTGATGATATTAGTATTGCTAGCCCTCGGGATGGAGACGAGGCGATGCCTCGAACGCCCTTGACACCGTCCATTGTGGTCTCACCAACCGCAGACCAGCAGCTACGGCTACCTGGCGACGATGAGCCGATTGAAGGATCCCCCTCAAAGATCTCTGCGGACTAGTTTGGCCGATCCTTATGTCTTCCTACTTCGTGACCCCCTTCTCATTTCACTTCTACTTCGCAGTGCACCCATTACGTCTCTTGTGCCTTTGTCGCAGGAATTAATCGCATTCCCTCTTTTCTAATTCTAATATCTGATAGACCAGCCCATGCCATCTCGGAAGATTCACTATGTCTATAATACTTTCATGGCTGAGCATCTCTGACAAGTCTGTCTTCGTTTCCTTTGATCTCTTTTTGGGGGGGAGGGGGGATGGGAAGATTGTCAAGCGATGATGCGGAGTGTGTTCCCACCCTCAAATTAATCCTTGACCCACGCTGTTGCATTCGTTTCAGAAACACATGTTTCACTTTGCCCTCTTCGTTCCTTTCCAATTCTTGGTTCTTCATGCTTTCAATCGTTTTCATGTCCTAGCGACTCACAGCATCTGACCTCCCCCTCCCCCTCCCCTCCGGCTCCCCTCTTTTATCAAGCTTGGCCTCCATCTTCCGTCGCTGTACATATTTGACTTTCCTTGCTTTCTTCTTGTTCATTATATCTGGATGTCGTTTCGGCGATTGTTGCATATCTCTTGCGGAGGAGGATTCCAGGCGTATGGCCGTGTGTCTTTCGGTGCGCAGGCGTGACGAAAGGGCGCAGGGGTCCCTGTGATATGACCTTTTCCTACTACATCTATTGTTTTACTGAGCTTACTGCATACACAGAAGGGTGGCCTCTGGGTAAGAAGCCTGTAAGATTGAATACAAGTACATCGTGTGTATGTAATGTTTCATGAAAAACCCTGTAAAAGATGGTAAGATAACGTTGCGTGCTGCTTTGTTCACGTGATCGTCACCTCCGCGGCCTTTTGCGCCATCATTCCTGTACCTCGTTCACCGTGAATGTTATCTTGTGGAGGCCGATTGTTGATTTCAAGTTATCCAATAGAAGTCCTCGCATGCGCGGATTCAATCTCTGGGCCCTGCAATGGGCCACTACCGCCCGCCCATCGTCCCTGGTGCGGGATAGAGCTGTTCTATCGAGACTCTCTCCGGCATTCGCGTTGCTGAAGCTAAATCCATCACCACGCCGCTGCTTCTCGGCGTCTAGGCTGAATTTCTCGCTCTTCAATGCCAATTCAACGATTTATGCACTCTCTACCGCTCCCGGGCGGGCTGCTATCGCAGTCGTGCGAGTATCAGGGCCCGCATGCGTGCAGGTATTCCTCCCATTATAGCTTCGGCTTCATTTCACCCGACCAGTCAATTTACTCTACAGCCTGTAGATTTACAATGCCTTATCCCCCACGGTGCCTCTCCCTCGTGCCCGTCTCGCTGCAGTCCGTACCCTCTACGACCCACTCTATTCACCATCTCCGAACAGCATCCTCGACGCCGCGGCGTTGGTGCTGTACTTCCCTGGCCCTCGAACCGTTACGGGTGAAGATGTGCTCGAATTTCACCTGCACGGTGGCCCGGCAGTTGTCAAGTCCGTATTGAGCGCTATAGCCAATGTTGACCCATCCCGAGCTTCAACAACAAGACCGGACATAGTCCCAAGAAGCACGTCGAAACGAGCAGCAGCAGCAGCAGAAAGAGAGGAGGGAGGAGGCAGAACAGGCACGGGTTGTCTTATTCGCTATGCAGAACCCGGTGAATTCACTCGGCGGGCCTTTCTCAACAACCGCCTCGACCTGCCGCAGATCGAAGCGCTGGGGGAGATCTTGCATGCGGAGACGGAACAACAGCGACGAGTCGCCGTGCGCGCAGCGAGTGCCCGTCACGACGGCGACGGGGGCCACACACTATCAAATCGCTACGAGCAATGGCGGCAGCAATTGCTCTACGCGCGCGGCGAGCTGGAGGCGTTGATCGATTTCGCCGAGGATCAACATTTCGATGAATCACCCCGGGAGCTGGTGGATTCAGTGGGCCGGCAGGTGCGCGCTCTTCAGGAGCAGATCCAATTGCATATCGGAAATGCGGCTAAGGGGGAGCTGCTACGTAGTGGCATCCGCGTGGCGTTGCTGGGGGCGCCGAATGCAGGCAAGAGCTCGTTGTTGAACCGGATTGTCGGGCGAGAGGCGGCTATCGTGAGTACGGAGGAAGGGACCACGAGGGACATCGTGGATGTCGGAGTGGATGTCGGAGGGTGGTTTGTGCGGCTGGGCGATATGGCGGGCATTCGGTCGGATAAGGGACAGGACGAAAGCACGGCTCAGGCCGTGGTGATTGGTGCAGTTGAGAAGGAGGGGATCCGGAGGGCGAAGGCCAGGGCATTGGAGTCGGATGTGGTTGTCGTGGTGGTCTCGCTGGAGAAGGGGAAAAAGGAGGAAAATGGGGCTGGAGAGGCTGGATCTCCGCATCTGGCGGTGGAAAAGGAAGTCGTTGATGCCGCCAATGATTGTGCGCGCGCCGGCCGCTGCGTCGTGGTTGCTATCAACAAATGCGATCGCCTGCCTGCTCTGGACTGCCTCCCGAGACAGCTGCTTGCCACCGTCCAGAATTTGTTTCCTGAGGTACCGGACCGGCGCATTTTTGGTATCTCTTGTCTTGATGCCTATCCGGAGATGACTTCGATGACCAGCCAGCAAGATCCGGGCCACATCCAACACTTTCTACAAGGTTTGATCGCTACGTTCGAGGAACTTGCCTCCCCAGCGGGCATCGATGAGGACGCTAACGGCCAGTACGACCGGTCTTACTGGGAGGATTCGCTGGGAGTTACCCACCGACAGAGCTCAAATCTACAACGTTGCTCTCAAGATTTAGACGAGTTCATGATTCAGACTCAGCCATCAAGTCCGACTCACGACGATTCTGAGGAGGAAATTGATATCGTTACCTCGGCCGAGCACCTCCGTTCTGCTGCCGATGCGCTGGCCAATATCACAGGTAGAGGCGAGAGTGGAGATGTGGAGGATGTTTTAGGGGTGGTATTTGAGAAGTATGTGTTTCCCTTGCTAGGTCTATTTTCTTGTTCCTCTCAATCAATGCAAGTCCTCTCCGCATCATGGCTAATCATCAGAGCTGGATATGCTACAGGTTCTGCGTTGGGAAATGAAACAGGACGGCCAGCTCTGAGTTTTTCTCGAAGAATTGCAACCGTTGCCCACTGGAAACTTCCCCTTTGCCCCATTTGTTGGTGCAGCTCCGCGGCTGATGGCCACTCATGCACCTAGTAGGTGGTTTCTGCTTTATGACACACGCCGCTTACCGACCCATTTGTTCAGATGCGGTCGAGACCGCCGTGGGATTCGAAGACGTAGGGGCGTTATACCCGCCTCGACCCATGGAGTCCGCAGCCACAGGAGGACATGTGGACGAGCCCATGCTTTAAAATGGGAAGCAACACAAGAGCCAGTTGAGACGTGCGAAGGTCTTGATGTTACGACGGCACACATGGAAACCGAGTTGTGAAAGCGTGAGTTTTGGGGATGGTAACTGCGTCTTGATGTTCTGGATAGTAAAAGCAGTTGCAGACAAGTTTGAGAAGTTACGCCAGACAACGAGCTGAGTCTGAGTAGTGTCTTGAATACGGACTGGAGGACTGCAGTGGTGGAAATAGATTGCGGATAGGTCAACGACGTGAAGATTTCTGTTAAGCACGAAAAGACAGGAAAATTGGCACCGTGGCCTCAACACGTACATATTTCTATATATATATACCATTTCTTAGACTTGGAGCTTCCAGCTTACACATAGCTAACGTAGGTATACCAGGCTAGGAATAATGGGAATACAGAGGCAAGACCCTTTTGGACAGCAAAGTCAAGCACGAATGGTCTTCTACTGACGCTTGATTTTTTTCTTACATGTAAGGCTATTGGTCTTGTCGGATCTTTGTTTGCAGCGGACCACTTCCCGGGGAGAGTTCTCATTGTTGTCCTTTGCTCGGCTGATGCCTTGTTTGAAAAAAGGGAGGACAAAGTTTCATACCCAAAATAGCCATGATGATGTGCGGTGTGGGAAAGGCTTTACTGTTACCACTGGGTTGGGACCCAATTTATCGTTTGAAAAGAGGCTTTAGTGGATACAGGCATCACTCGTTAGTACTAGACGTTGAAACTTGCATGGCTTGCACGAAATGAATGAGATAAGAGAATTATGGGCGATACTGGGCTTGTTAGAACATCTTCTAGCAATCTGGTCTCGTTCTCAGAAGGAACTCTCATCCAGGAACAACACGTTTGACAGATAAGGGACAAATATATGAGGGGCACACAGACATTCTAGACGGCAAGCTCAAATGGTTCACCCTCCAACGCCGTGTATACTGATGAGAGAGACGATTCCGAGTCCCAGCCTTGATCCTCCTCGGACTCCCTATGACACATTGGTGTTGACATCCATATGGGTGATAAGGTGTGATTAGCACTGCATGCCTCGAAGATTGAGTTCGGTGACTCTAGCGAGAAGTTCAGTGCCTTCTGTTCGGCAAAGGTGGTCTCCAACGGGAGGCTGGTCGCTCGGGGGATACGGGTTGAGTTAAGAGGAGATCGCGCACTGGACCTAGGATTTAGATGTTCGTTCGCGGGAACGAAAGCCTGCTCGTTAACAGAAAACGTCCGTGGCATTTTGTTGGGCTTCAGGAGCCCATGGCTAGAATTGACTTCCCGGCGCATATGTTCTGGGGTGTGGGATCGACTTGTGGGTAACCCCTGCTCTAAAGTCCCGGGTAGTTCCTGGGGTATTATCATTGTTGTTGGGACCGGGTGAGTCTCCATTAGAGAGTTGGACCAGAGGCTTGGGGCTAATCGGTGGAGAGCTTGGTCGCTTTTTTCTGCCGGGAAATACGAATTCCAGGTCGATCCGATGTCCAATCGCTGTGGAGCTGTCTGCTGTGTTTGATACAAGAGGTTCTGCACTTCAAGCTTTCTCTCTTCTGGTATTTTTGCCGAAGGCGCAAACCCAATGCGGTCTACCGTGAGACCTAAGTCAGCATCCTCCTTGGCCGACGCGGGACTAAGAGATAGGAGCAACCGTAGAACCTCAACGTGTCCGAAATAAGCGGCGTGACGGTAGGGGGGCCACCCCCTTTCATCACGCTTGTTGGCCAATGCACCTTGCTGAAGCAAGAGGTTCACCACCGGAAGATGCCCTCCCATTGCTGCAAGACACAACGGGGAATCCTCCTCTGCCATCTCTTCATAGGGCAGGTAGACGGGCGATCCTCGATCTAGTAAAATTTGAACGGCAGCAGCATGACCATATCGACAAGCCACGCAGAGTGCACGATCTCCCACAGAGTCGCGAGCTTTCAGAGATGCCCCCTTGTCACAAAGCAGGTTAAGCAGACCCATGGATCCATCAGCAGCAGCCACATGAATTGGTCTTCGCAGGTCAGGGCTCACACAGGCTTCTATATCAGCTCCAGAAATGATCAGCAATCTGGTGATATCCAAGCTATTAGACAAACAGGCGTAGTGAAGTGGCGTGAAGCCGGAATTGCAGCGAGTCTCTAGTGGCATGTTCTTGCGAATCAACTGCTCAACAACTTCGAATTGTCCGTTCATTGCTGCGAGGTGAAGAACTGTTCGACCGGCAATGTTTGTCTTCGCTAAAATGTTCTTCTTGAGGCTTAAGGTTTTCACGACCTCGCTGTGCCCGTTGAACGCGGCCCAGTGCAAAGCCGTCATTGAAGCATCGTCAACGGATCGTATCGAGGCTTTCCGCTTCAACAACAACAGGGTTGCGAAGAGTTGACCCGTAGCAGCCGCGCAGATAAGAGGTGTTCTGTGATCGTTTCCAGCTGCATCAATATTCGCTTTGTTGTCAAGAAGTATTTCAATGACCCTGAGATGACCACCCTCGCAAGCGTAATGGAGTGCTGTCATCATCATCCCGTCTTTCGCTTCCACGTCTGCGCCACCTGAAATCAGAAGGTGAACAATCGCTGCATCGCCTTGTTTGGCGGCAGCATGCAGCGCAGTTGTCTGACTGCCTGCTCGCGCATTGAGCTTAGCATGGCATGCGATCAACAGGCGTGTCGCATCAACATGGCCATAATAAGCTGCCAGCCAAAGGGCTGTCTGGCCATTAGAGTTTCGTACATCGATGTTTGAACACTCAGGTAGAAGTAGCTCCATGACGTTGCAGTGACCGCGGGAAGCCGCTAAATGTAAAGCTGTCGACCCGGATTTATCTGTGACATCTACTCTCGCATGTCTTTGAAGCAACAATTCCACCACTTCCTCATTTCCATTCTGAGAGGCGACGAGTAATGCTGTTCGGCGAGTGGTAAGATGACGGGCTTCAATATCATGGCCATTTTCGAGAAGCTGCGCAACATCTGCTTGAGACCCAGTCTGGGCCAATTTCACCAATAAAGGCGCAGCAGAGCTATCTGCTGAGGTCAAGTCGCTTATAGTTCGGATCTCCCTCCCATAGACCCGTCGCTCCGTGTGGTTGCGAGCCGGGAATGGTGCAGTTGTTGCAGACCAGCTAGGTCGTCTCAATTGACGTACGATGGACCGGATTCGCTCACGTCGGGAGCCCGTTGAACGAGATACCCGTGAAGAACCAGTCACATCTGATTGCCACCGGCGCGTCTGGGTTGAATTCACGTGGATGGGTTGTGGAGTGTATGAAATGCTCCGCTTGTGGCCGCCAGAGGGATTCATTGTTATGGGAGCCAGGCGGAGTGGAAGCGCCAGGCAGTTTCTTTTCAAAATCCGTGAGTCTGAGGCAGCCTCGCTCGCCCGTCGTTCGTATTGAGTGCTGCTGAGATGACAATCATCAGGACGAAAGGGAAGGATCATTGCCGTGGTCGCGAGAGCCTCTGGTGGCTGAAAAGGTTGAGTGCAGGGAAGGCCATTTCTCCCTACCTTATCGAATTCAGTTCGAGTGCTTATTGGGGCCGATGAGCGACGATCCATGCTGGCAGGCACTATGGGAGAGGATGTGTAGCCACTGACTGTCCGCCGGGCTGCACCGTCCTCGTAAAGCTTATGAATGGTACTGCGGTGGTTGGTTCGTCGCAATTGATGGAAGATCTGCTCTGAAGAGTTCTGACTTGGCTGGTTTCGCATTGATCGAGTCATTGATTCTTTTCTGCAGCAGCACAGAGAAAGAGAGGAGAAGCGGGCTGGTCTTGTCTCAGCCGAAACTCCATGGTTTTCACACATTATCTATCTTTTGCCATTTTCCTTGCGCATGTTCGGAACCCAACTGTGCAGCGTCATGGCCCGATGTGCCAAGTGTCAGCGCAGTTTGAATTTCCATTGTCCGGAAGAGCTTCCTTGACTGCAGAGCGACTTGCTCAGCTCAATCTAGAGTATTAGCTCGTACGTGGCCCAATCATGCAGCGGTGTGATGTCAGCATTTCTCGGTGAAGCAATTTTATATGCGTCGCTCGGAGATACCGTGATGAGACCTGCAGGAAGAGGAGGCAGACTGCTGCTTCTCTTAGATACGGATGAAGTGACCAGATTTATCCAGTCTCCGTACAGTGGTGTAGAGTACCTTTTAGAAAGGTATCTCGTATGTCTTTCTCCTCCGCCTCCTCCTCCTCTCCTGTTCTCCTCCTTTCTTCCTCCTCCTCCCTTTGCTGCTGCTGTTGCTGCTTCTGATACATATGGAAAAACCTCTCAGCTTTCTTTCCACTGACCGTTTCGGCGACTGTGAGAAAGGGTTCGTTTTTGTTCCACACTTCCGGGAGCATTGATGCCACTCTGGAACCGCTTGTTCAGACTACCGATCATCTTCGCAAAGGGATTCTGTATGTCCGGTGGTAGATGTCAAACCTTTTGTGTCCATTGGGTCCCATTCGGTTAAAGCGCCATACATATCAGGCCAGAATTCAGCTGGTACGAGAAGTGAGAGGTGCCTATGATCAGCACTACTATAGAGATCGCGCAGGTGGGTAGCGGGCCTTATCGATCCATTGTCAGCACCACTGCCTGTTATAGTCAGTTTTCTCTCCCATACCGAGCTGAAGGTACGTACTTCGTTTACGTATTTCGTATACGTACCTTGTACTCCGTACTGATCACCAAGAACACGGTCTCCGCTGGGCGGTCTCCTTTGTCGGCTCCCAAATTGCCAACCAGACCGACTAACTGACCTACCAAAGGCCTTCTCTTCGTACAGGCTGCTTGCCCAGGTACGCATTCAAATCAACACTGCTCATTGCCCATGCGAGATATATGTAGCAAGATGGGCAAGGTCTTCCAGGATAACCTTTAGACTAAAGGAAAAGAATGCGTAGCTGCCGACGGAGACCCCCAAGTACATATGAGTATGCTCGTTATCTACTGATCCTGATCATACAATCTACCTATCGTATAGGATAGCCAAAAGCTTTCACAGCTTCCATACAGCCCAGTCCTTCAACTCTAGTTCTTTGATGATCCCTCGCAGTGGACCCTGCAATTCCGTTCCCTCGGCCCACAGCTTAGGTCCTGCAATATAACTAATGAAGCCTTCCGGTCCAGACACAAGTATCAGGCTGTCTTGACCTGCTTTGCGTGACGACTTTTGAACGGAATTAGTAAAGTCCAGGATCGCCTGCTTGCCAATGGTACTGCCTTCTTCGTCGATAAAATAATCCACAGTCAACTGTCTAGGATATTGTGCTCGGAGAGCCTCCAGCTCGCGTACAACAAGTGAGCGACCCTGTTCATGTGACGGTGTAGTTAGAGCTGGACTAGCTGCTTGCAGAGTTGTACGACCGGAAAACCACGATCTGTGCGAAGCTGGGGGCACTGATCTGTCACTGATCCCTCCAGCACAGTCGTCTCGTTTCCGATTAGCCCAAAGGATATGAATTCTAGGTTTACGAGTCTCGTCTGTGCGACGAAGAAGGATATGTGCAGCTTGCAACGCTGGAGCGATTCCAGTTCCACCAGCAATGAAGAGTATGTGTTGTGTGCTCTGTGGGATCCCGCATTCGATCCTCGGACCGCGCACCTCAATAGGGGAACCAATGTCGAGGCCGTGAAGATAGCGCGAGACTTCGCCGTGAGGGTCTCGCCGGATAAAAAATCGCAAGCACTCGTCCTCGGCCTCGTCTGGCGAAGTGGAAGGGAGGGGGGTATAATCTCTTCCAATCTGCAGTTGGGGTTGTTTAAACATCACGCTCCAGATTCCCGTCATCCATGCTTCCTCGTAGACGACTTGATTACTTCCATCCACCTTCGGTGGCTGTAGAGTGAAAATGCTCCCGGACGGTGAGACGGGTTCTCGCGATACTAGATAGTACGGGGTGAATTGTGCTGGAGACAAGGTCGATGACCGGGATCCCTGCTCTGATCTAATCCATGCACCAATCCCGGCAGCAGCAGCAGTGACGAGGGCCAGCTGCACCCATCGACGTGATTTTGGCGGCGGCGGCGGCGAAGGAGGAGGAGGAGGAGGAGGAGATGGAGAAGGTGAAGACAATTGCGAGGAGGATGCGGAGGCAGAGGAAGAGATATGACTCTGGAAAATTCTCGTCACCCGACCGGAACTGATGGATAGTACATCATATCGGGGCGAGCCATGATGGTGAAATCGGACCTTCATGGGTAAAGGACAAGTGAGGAAGCTAGGAGGGAAGTAAAGAAGGAGAAGAAAAAGACGAAGCTATGAAAAGCGCAATAGATTAGTTGAATTAATTTCAGGGACCTGGAGATGATCCCTTGGCACTAATCCCGATTTGGGAACAGTACATTGTCCCACTCATTCATTCATTCATTCATTCATTCATTCATTCATCCATTCATCATCCATGCCTGTCCATCAATAAACAAACCCAACCCTCTCCCAGCTTCTCCTCAAAATTCTCCAGCTACATCAATCTCGTGCTGTTTCAGTACAAAACACTTCTTCTTTTCGGAGAGATTCAAACGTTCCGTATCCCCACGATTTTCTAGGATATTGGCATGGATACAGCCCGTGCCCCCGTCATTGTCCGCCATCATATCTCTCCCGCTTCGCCCGTTTCCCAAAAAACTCCCTACCACCATTGAGAGAAAGGCATGTCCCGTATACCTTTTTCTAACTCTCAAACGAGGTCGGACAATTATCAAGCGCCATCCCGGGACTCCCTTGAGCTCGCCTCGCTGGCGTCATCGCCTGATTCCGGTCCTCGATCGTCCTGTTCCTCCTCTCCTTCGGGCGTTTCATCTTCGCGCAAGCTCTCCCTAGACGATGAAGACCCTTTATCCAGCTCTCAATTGCACCCACAATCTCCATCTGGTCGGCCACGATCCGCACGTTCATACTCGGTGTCCTCTGCTTTTGACTTCGGGGCAACGCTCTTTCCCTTATCGCAGACCACCGGCGGATATGCCCCCTTGGGAGCTCCGTCCGCCTTGGACGGAGAGGCTGGCCTAGCGGATGGATCGTTGGAGCGAAACAAAACCTTGACCTACTTGAATGGTCTGTCTCTCGTTGTTGGACTGGTCATCGGCTCCGGCATCTTCTCCTCCCCGAGCCAGGTCAATGTCAATGCGGGTTCACCAGGCGCGTCGCTCATCGCTTGGGTAGTTGCTGGTTTGCTGGCATGGACCGGAGCGGCTAGTTATGCAGAGCTTGGTGGAGCTATCCCGCTGAATGGAGGTTCTCAGGTCTATCTCGCCAAGATCTTTGGAGAATTGGCGGGTTTTCTATTTACTTGGTGTGCTGTCCTTGTGCTGAAGCCCGGGAGTGCTGCCATTATTGCCATCATATTCGGAGAGTACGTCGTACGCGCAGTCGTGGGGGCCGAGGTCGAAACAATTAATCCGTGGATAAATAAGGCCGTCGCCTTTGGGGGACTCATGGTCGTGACCTTGTTGAATTGCATCTCTACACGGGTAGCCGCACGCATTGGTGACTTATTTATGTTTTTCAAGTTCGTTGCCTTGCTGGGGGTTACGATCATTGGCATAGTGGTAGCTATTACAGGCCTCTCCTCAACTGGAAGTGCCAATAAGGAGTGGAAAGCTGGCTGGTTTGAGGGTACGAAGATCGACGTTTCCGCATGGGCGTTGGCTTTGTACGCGGGTCTTTGGGCATTCGATGGCTGGGACAATGTATGTTTTCTCCCTTACATCTCTCCTTCGATTGTGGTCTTCTAATGCGGAGAAATCTAGACCAACTATGTCACCGGGGAATTCAAGAACCCCAATCGGGATCTCCCACGGGTGATTCACACAGCTATGCCGTTAGTTATTCTATCATACATCCTTGCCAACGTCGCCTATATCCTCGTGCTGCCCCAAGCGACAATTGAAGCGAGCAACACCATCGCTGTGCAATTCGGTGATAAAGTCTTTGGTCATGTTGGTGCTCTTATTTTCGCACTGGTCGTATCTGCAAGTTGTTTCGGCGCCTTAAATGCCACGACCTTTACTAGTGGACGTTTGGTTTACGCGGCCGGAAAAGAGGGCTATCTACCTGAAGTCTTTGGTACTTTATGGACCCACGACACTACCTCCACCAGTCGCCTCCAACAAAGGTCTTGGTACAGCAAGTCGCTTTCCCAGCTATGCGGCACCGGCATGCGGATCGGATACACACCCATCAATGCGATGGCCCTAAACAGTGCCCTTACTGTGATTTATATTGTTGTTGGCGAGTTCAAAACGCTCGTCACATTCTATGGAGTCGCCGGTTACACCTTCTATTTCCTCACCGTCCTAGGCCTGATCGTGCTTCGAGTGCGCGAGCCTTACTTGCAAAGACCCTATAAAACTTGGATTTCAACTCCGATCATCTTCTGCTGCGTGAGTCTATTCTTGCTCAGCCGTGCCGTTATTGCGGAACCTCTGCAGACCTTGATCGTGGTCGCTTTTATCATCGCTGGCGTTCCAGTCTACTATTGGCGCATCTACAAACGCGATGGACAAAAGGCGTTACCAAGCTGGAAGTTCTGGCAACGATCCGTTCGGTGATTGTCTTCACTTCACGAACAACAGATCTTCTTCTTAAATGCCCGACCTCAATACCATTACCTTATGCGTTGTAAACTTGTTGTTCACTTCGCTTTTGGTTGTTTATTATGTTAGAGGTACGCATCAGATGAGGGAGGGCTATGTAAAGCCTCTATGACATGATGATACCCATTCGCATTATCCGGGTGCATTTTGTGACGGATGACGAGAGATCTCACTTTCCTCTTGATAATAATCATTACACGATGGTTGCTTGACCCTGAGTTCGGAGTCGGATGGGCATTTTTCCGCAGAGAAAGCGAGACGAGTTTCATTATTAGGCCCGATGGCTTCTTTCATTGTTTCATGCATTACCATTAGATACGAAACATGGGCGCATAAGGATGCATCAACATGCTGACCAAGCGTACCACATAGCTACATAATTTTATCTAATGAAAGAATATAATATCTATGCCTCGATATACGAATACTTTGTGGCCGGATCACCGCACTCTCCGAGCCCATGCCGTGACCAGTCCGTCCCATACCGCTGCTCGTAACAAGACGGCAGGACTGTCCTCCGTGAAAGAAGCTGACTGTACATCCTGTCTCAAGGCGAAGAAGTGCAAGTTGGACCGACTCTGCTCATCCGACGAGAGATTGATTCGGGTTGAAATGACCGTCCTCTCGTTGGTGAATACCTTCAGCACACTAGCATCTCAAAATGCATGGATCCGAAGCATCTATTGCTGTAGCTCGCTCGCCTTATTCAGTCTGCACTGAGAATAGAGTAAGAGGTGCACTTTCTGGGTCATGGTCTATCTCAGAATCGATAGGTGACGGACGCGGAATGATAAAGGTCTCTCGGTGTGCGTCCCATAGCAAGGTAGTACGACATTGAGCGTCTATGCTGAACGTCAGTAAACAGGCGCGAAGAAGTACAAACTTGTCAAGACAATGTATTGCCATACCATCTCCATGTTTAATGTAAACTCCAACTTCCGCAGCACTTGTTGACCGTCATGTCGGCTTGAAGTTCCCCCCTACATGTCCTTGTAACCAAGCAGGGCTCTGGTGGTGCTGCCTGGTCGCCTAAGTCCTGCAAAGGAAGATCGGCCAGGTGGTCTCTATTTGCCTGGCCTCTAAGCTTCTCGAGTATGACGTCCGGGTCTTATCCCCAGGGTTCGAATGGTAAATGTCCCTCTAGAGTCAGCTTCCGACTTGATAGACGTGATAGCAGGGAGCTCCGAGCAACGTGCGCGCACCGCGCGGTGCAGCGTCATCACGTTCACAGCTCGAAGAATAGAAAGGGCCCCACTGCAGCCTTGCAGATGTCGAATGCTGTCGGGAAGGCTGTCTTTTGTAATCCAGCAGTAGACGACGTGTTGTGCGGCGACTGGATCCCAGAACGATCGGGCCGCGTATTCATAGCCATGGTCAAAAATCCCCGAAAACGCGGACTAAGCAAGCGACTGTTCCTGCGTCTTCCTTGTTGAAGAAGCTTCGATCAACATCCATAGATGTGCTCGAGCTGCTCTTTTACGCGGCTTGCCTTGCGTTGAAAGACCCTCAGCCCCCATTATAAGGAAATGGTGGGTCCGGTGCCTATTGTCCGGCAATGAGACAGTGTTGGCGGCGACCTCCCAATTCACCCCAAAGGTCTCCCGACCATCGCGAGGGATGAGATTGAAGTTCAATGCGAACTAAAGAGCCTGCATAACTTCATTCTCGCAGATCACTGGGTTAATTGAGTACACAAAAACAGTCGGGGTCTCACCCGCGATGCCGCAAGAAATGAACCCACACAGGGTTGACATGCTTATGGCTCTCGTGTGCTGCGATATAAATGACCATTGAGCAATGAAAGGGTCTCTACAGCCTGTCACGATATGCTGATCAGGGGGCCCTGCTACGTTTGGATTGCAATCGAGTCGCTACCATATTGTAACTCATCGTTTGAAGTTGCGAGACTGACCGATTCGGAGCTAACCACATAGGCCAGCGTATAATGGATGGGCCACTGAGTGGTATATCGCGATGGGGCCCCCGGGATCACCCTGGATCGTACTAGGTCTTCGACGACCTGTGAAAAGACCGCAGGATCATATTTAGTAGAGGGAGCTAGACACGGCTTCGCGCTCTGTTTCCAGGCAAGCAGATCCGACGAAACACAGCGCGCCCACGAAACATTGCCCCAACCATTTCTTTGTGCGTTCCATTGAAATAAGAGATGTTAAAGATCAGTAGCGGGATCGTGTGCTAGTCCACATGGATCATTCAGCCATCCACGAGGCGCTGTGATGTGGTACAACGGGCGCCGCTGTTTAGATTGATCAGTGCATAAGTCTTGCTTAGTCCAGCCACGGTCTTCTTGTTCAGGACTTTGAGAGTCTGACAGGGACGAAGGGCAATGCATGACCGATCGAATACATACTATGCTGGTTCGAACGAGGGATAGGATCGTTATTGCGTGTAGTAGCACCGTCTATTTGCCAGGTGATAGTTTGAGAGTTGGTACTTAGTCAATAAAATTGCGTAGGTTCACCAACTTCCGGCGGATCCTTGGGAAAACTCGTCATCATCCTCCGTCAGTTATTCCCTAAGTATGTGGTGAAGTTCTAGCCGGCTGTACTATCCGGCCGACAGTGCTTGTTATTCGTACAGTCTATTCTATTCGAATGCAGAACCTAGAGTGACAGAACACTCTGCCATACCTTTTTTAGCATATTGCGAGCTCCACATACCCCCGCCTCCTTTATCTCTCTCTCCCTCTCTCTGTGTGTATGTGCAGGTGTCAGTGTTGCACCGTCATCGCCGAGAGATAGATATGGTGTCAAGCATCATATGATCCTCTGCCTGGCCATTACTAAAGTTTAGGTTTTGATGCGCCACCAGCTCTTCGTAGCGCAAGCAAGCATGGATTATTAGTGTCTCATTCGATAAGGTGATGGCTGAAGTACCGTTGATCAGATAGACGATAGTGATATGCAATCTTCATGAGGCTATTGTGGCGCCCAAGCATCGCTAGTTGCATGAATAGAGTTCAAGAGTGCCTTATATTTGTCCATGAAAGGATGATTTCCCCCGCGAAGTATATTGAACAAAAGCAGATAGTCTCCTGTAAGGGATTTGGAGAATGCGCCCTCATTGACCGTATGAGAACCGGAGAGCTGCATGTTTGGCATAGCTCCCGCAGGGGGTGGCACCGTGATGCCCTTGGCAAGAGGCATTCGGACATTGTACAATACACTGATGGCGCCAACTACAATGTCATAAAGTTTTTCGACCTACTTTGGTCAAAATCTGAGGGGGAAAGGAAAATGGGAAAAAACATACCAGGCCTATTCCGTGAGCCTCCATGGAGCTCAAACGAAGTGCTCGACATATATCTAATGTCTCCTGTGCAAGCGTTACAGCGAAGTCGAGACAGAGCTCACGGTGTTCGGGCATAGGCTGTAAAAGTCCATGAGTGGAACAAAGGACCCATATGCGATTTTGAAGCCACTTTTTGGTAATAAAAACATCAGCACATTGTGTTTCCCTAAGACCGATCGCAAGGCGGTTTTGGTCACCCCTGTGAGTTAACTTGGACCGTTCGAACCAGTCGTGACCTTTGCATAGCTCAGACTCGTTCAAACGGTCAAGGTTTTGATGGATCACCAACGCCTTTGCTGCCGTGAGCTGTTCGCAGTAACCGGCTTGGATACTGCACTGTTGATTCCAGCAATCGACGACATCCTCGTCAATGGCGTCAAACAATTCCATCAAGCGGGCCAGCCCCATCATCCCTTCCGCATCCTTTTCATTGTGAACAATAATACCAGATACCAAACTGTGGGTGGCCGTATGAATGAAGTCGTGGACAGGCCGCATACTAAAGCCTGGTCTACCCCAAAAGGTAATGGGGTGTCTCCGTTGCAATGCATAGGCTCTTTACAGGGCGGAAATTAATTAGCATGCGACTCAAGTCTACCTAGCAGGGGCAGGTAGCCTACCTTTCGGTGATTGATAAGACAAGATACGTTCGCAATTTTTGACCTTTCTCTTCGCTAGGCAGGTCTTGATATGAATCTGGATTATTGAGGCCCATTGTAGCCGCAAGGTCCAAAGCCTCTCGCAGGCGAAGCCAAGCGGCGTTATGCTGGTTGCTACCAAAAAGACAACCAAATAGATAGAAGCTAGTTAGGACCGCCTCGATGGTGGGATGCTCACCAAAGTCGGAACAGCTCCGCATTTTGGTCGCTTCATGCATCATTAATCTCGCCTGATTCGCCCGGGACGAGGATGTTGGACGCTCCTGTATCTCGATTGGTTGCGTGAGAGAAAAAGCACACAGCGCTAATAACATTGAGCCAAATTGGGGGTTCCTCCGGTGCTCCTGCGCCATCAACCGGATGAAAAGAGCCGAGCGATTCAGAACGGGTAGAGTAGGATGGAGACGGTCAAAATATATGTCAATCCACGGGATCATGTTTGCTTCAACAATCGATGCAGGCCACACCATTTGCGAATGGCTGGATACTGGGGGTTCAACATCCACTTTCGACACCGTAACGCATGGAGTAGCTATGTTCTGCGTCTGCAGGCCTGTTGAAGTCGAATTGGCCTCAATGATTGAGGGGAGTGTCGTTTTTAAGAGGATGTTGTTCCCCGGAAAGTCAAAAACAGGCAGCTGAGCATCCAGGGTATCTGGAAGCCAGTACTCAACATCGTTGCGCTCGTTCCAGGAAATCCCGCCATTACTCTGCGGGTCTGAAGCATCCGTACTCCAATTTGGTTGAATGGCTGGGGTTACACCTGAAGAAGCGAGCTCTAACGGTACTGGAGATTCTCCCGAAATGGGCCAAGATGGTGTCCGGATGACCTCAGATCCCTGATTGTCTCTACATGCTGGATTTTGGGGGTAAGGAAAAGCATTTGGAAATGTATTTGGAGTTACCTGAGCCCCGGGGTTGTTCAATGAAAGGTTATTTTGTTGCTGCCGGATCTGTGATACTCGGCTTCGTTTCCGGAACACAATAGGTTAGAGATGAACATTCGATTGGAAAAGGGTCAACAAGACTCAATGGGTGGATTCACTCACTGGCCAGTGGGGCCTCTTTTTTTCTGGGGTTGAAAAAAAGTGCATTCAAAACCCATAGACACACATGCTCGACATGGTTGCGACAAGCTGCACTGTTGTCGCCGAGCCGGATCAAATTAGCTGTGAGTCTCCACAAATGGGGGCGGGCCAGAAGAGCTGCAAAGCACATAAATGGGAGGGGATGGGATTAAGGAAGGATGAAAGGAAGCAAGGGCAGGGGGGATCGCATACCTTGATTTTCCTAAATTTGCACTGATCGCACGCACGCTTCGCAACAGCTCCCAATGCTTTTCTTCGGGAATCAGTGCGGATGGGGCCAGTCACAGACGAGGACGGCGACGATGATGTTGCGGCAGCATCCAAGCGTGGTGGGTTCATGATTGTGGCATATTCACAACGTTAATCTGTATTATCTATCACAGGGAGCAGGATGTAAAACGTCCCTCAGACAATTACGGCTAAGCAAGCAGACAGGCAGATAAGCAGGCAGATACTGTAAGCAGTAGACAAGTGAGAATGGGATTGGAGAGGGAACGAATGAATCTGGCTGGGGTGGTTGGTTCGGACACTAAGGGCGTAGGGCGGAGTTTATGTGATCGGCTTGCCGGCTCGCACCCGACTAGAAAACTAATAACTTATTATTAGCTTATAGTATAAGGATAATTCGAAATCTAACCAAAACTTGATTATTCTATCTATCTTACCGAATTACCAGCTCTATATAGGTGGAAGGCTACTACAGGCCGAATAGATACAATATACAGCCTATAAGAGTAGGGCTCCACTAAGTACAACAGGTGTGTGATATAAATCTTTGTAAAAGTTTACTACAATATATTAATCACTAATACAGGTTGTTCTTAAGGATTTGGAAAATCCATAGATTTATTATCAAGCTACAAGCTACATACTTATAAATTATTGTATAAAGGCCTCTTCCCGCGCTCTCCGAAGGCCAGCTCTTTGCTATATTTCCAATGTAAGGTGATCAAGAGTGGATATAGGGGCTAACCCCGTAGGCAGGGGGTACCCTCTAACGTAATCGGTAAGCGATTGGGCACTGCAAGTGAGTGGGCAGGCCTGTATTGCATAAAAACCGACTCTTAAGAACTCAACCATTTGAGTTCTAATATAGAAGAAACTTGCAACTTAGCTTATTCTTTCTATTCTAAACTCTATCTTAGATAATCAGCTTCTCAATATCTTTTTTATATAGGTACAATAAAGTGTGTATTAGATTCAGATGATCAAGGTAATATAGATATCATAAAATATAACAAGCTCTAGAGACTCTTAAAACATCAAAGTATATTCTCTTTATACTCTTCTATACTATATACCAGTCTGATAACTATTGAACATGTGGTTGTCAAGATATAATAGTTTAAAAGAAGGCTGTTTAATATGCAATACAGGCTTGCCCATCCGCTTGCGATGCCCACTCGCTTACCGATTATGTTAAATCTACTCCGTAGTTACTCATGATGGTCGACTAGTGAGGGTTGTAGCTGCAGTGTTCGAAGTACCTTGACTGGAAGGCGTGTCGGTCTCTCTTTATTCCGGCTCCGCCCGCACCTTTTACAAGACTGAATACAAAGTTGCAAGACGTTGATGCCAGTCTACGAGGTTTCGTCAGTCGGTCACGAGCTATGCAGCTAAGCTGCGGGGTCAAACAATCAGCTGAGAATGTGTTTAGTTCTAACACCTCGTCCATTGAACACTTGCTGGAAAGGATCAACATGGAGGCTTTGGGATTTGCACTTGCAATTCTTCCGTTTCTCATCAATCAGCTCGACAAAATATGTTCAAGGCCTCGAGAAACTCAACGGCTTCCGAGCAAAACGCTACCTCCGCGAAATAGAAAGTCACTCGGCGAATCTCGGTACACAGCGGGCAATCTTCATCAATACCCTTGAGCAATGCCTGGATGGCGTTAAGGAGTATTGGGACGGCTTGACAAGACTATTCCAGAATCCATTAGGAGATGTGTGGAAGGATCCGGTGCTGGACTTAAAAGTTCAAGAAAAGCTGGGACGGAATTATCGCCCTTTCGTTAAAGAGGCATTGAGGTTTCCGGATTGTTGTGACTACAGGTTGCGTCACCTAAAACCAGTAGTACGGAGTCAACTGTAGTACGTATTTTTGCGGCCCGGGAAAGAGGAAAAGCTGAGCCTGAGCGTCTACGGACTTATGGTAGTACGGAGTACTATCCGTCACCTGCGACCGTGGGGTTCCTTCCCCCGCCCCCCAAAAGAAAACTCCGGACCCCACTTATCAATTGTTGTGGGATGTCAATTGAAAGGGTGACATACTCCGTACTGAGTGAAGGTAATTAATTATATTGTACTGTATATACAGTACAGCTCTCCGCTCTCTTTCCGTACTAATCCTTCCCGCCTCCCCGCGTTCTTATCGCATGGTGTTGGTTACCCTAGTATGCCCGACATAGTATAAAAACCACCAGGACATTCTGTCTTCCCTTAGCCTTCCTGCTAGTTGATCAGTGCCTGGGTCGATCGCCGAATTCTATCTAGCAAGATAACCACCAGATCAATTTTGTTCGATTGTCTGTCAACTATGGGAAGCATCCAACGATGGGAACAAATCGTCGCTAAGAAGCGTTCTCTGCGAGATCAAAAGTTAGAACCGTATATTATCGCGAACAAGGATCAACAACGCGCTCCTCAGGTGCATCGAGTGCATGAGCGTACCTGCCTGCACAAAGCTTCAGTCATTCAGGAGATAACAGACATTGATAATATCCCGAAGTTGGTTGAGCAATTGAAGTCTGGGCAGATTAGTGCGGAGCAAACAACCCTAGCCTACATCAAAAGGTACACCGCCTTGATGCTGGAGATAATTGGCTTATATGCTGACAATGTATTCTTCCACATCCAGAGCTGTGCTGGCACATCAGCTGGTGAGCATCAATGTAAAACACATGTGGTGTATTTGATCGTGTATCACTCATGAGAAGCATCCCTTTAGACAAATTGCCTCACAGAGGTCGTATTCGAGAAAGCGCTGACGCAGGCCAGAGACTTGGATAGGGAATTTCAACGGACTGGCAAAGTCAGGGGTCCATTGCACGGCGTTCCGGTCACACTCAAGGATCAATTCAACATCAAAGGTGTCGATAGTACATTGGGCTACGTGGGCCGCTCTTTTGCGCCTGCTGCGGAGGATGCAATTCTGGTTCAGCTTCTGAGGAATATGGGTGCGGTAGTGTTGGCCAAGACCAACCTACCGCAGAGCATCATGGTGACACTCCCGCCTACTTCGAACTACTATCCAGGAAACTAATACCTTCGACAGTGGGCTGAAACCGAGAATCCCTTATGGGGACTTACAACCAACCCACGAGACCCGTCACTTACGCCGGGTGGCTCCACTGGAGGTGAAGCTGTGCTACTGGCACTGCGCGGTTCTATCTTAGGGTTTGGGACCGATATTGGTGGCAGTGTTAGAATTCCGCAGAGTCTCATGGGGCTGTATGGCTTGAAACCCAGTGTAAGGCGGATCTTAAGCCACGGTGAAGATGAGACTAACCTCACCCCAGAGTAGCAGGCTTCCTTACCACGGAGTTCCCGTTTCGACTGAAGGGCAGGAGCACGTTCCTTCATCCATTGGCCCCATGGGAAGAGACTTATCTTCACTATGCTATGTAAGCCGAGCGTTAATCACTGCTAAACCATGGGTATTTGATCCGAATTGTCCACCACTTCCTTGGAATGAGGATGCCTTCCGACGGATACAAAGTCGACCTATGGTCATTGGTCTCATCGCCGATGATGGGGTCGTGAAAGTTCATCCACCTATCGAACGAGCTCTCCGTGAACTTTCGGCCACGTTAGAGGCACACGGCCACGAACTGGTACCCTGGGACGCTTCGGACCATCTGGAGTATATCAATCTCATGGACTTATTCTACACCGTCGATGGAGGTGAGGACATCCGTCGCGATGTCGGTGTAGCGGGAGAGCCCTATCTTCCCCACGTTGAAGCCCTTGTGAACCGCGGCCAGGCCATCTCTGTCTATGATTATTGGCAGCTCAATAAGAGAAAGGCGACACTGCAAAAGCGATATCTCGACAAGTGGAATGCGACCTTAGCCCCCTCGGGTAAGCACGTCGACATACTTCTCGCTCCGACAACCCCTCACCCTGCTATCCCTCACCGAAGTTTACGGTGGGTTGGGTACACTAAGATTTGGAACTTTCTCGATTATCCAGCTGTCACATTCCCTGTAGATCGAGTCAGAGCCGAAAAGGATGTGCTACCAACTGATTACCAGCCAAGAAATGAGCTTGATGCATGGAATTGGGGATTGTACGATCGTAAAGCCATGGATGGTCATCCTATTAATCTCCAGGTGATTGGGCGGAAACTGGAAGAGGAGGTGGTACTTGGCGCAGCGAGCGTTGTCGAAGCGCTGTGGAGACGTGTATCGAAGTGTAATTAATCGAGAATCCACGATAACCTTTGACTGTCAAACTAGGTCAACCCATTTTAACATTATCCCCACCTCTTATCAGCACTGTCTCCAACCAAGAGTCGTAACAATCGGGGGGCAATTGGGGTCGAGCCTAGTTAAGATTGGAGGCGGTCATGAGAGAGGGAGGGGAGAGAAACAATCTGGAAGGAGAAAGTGGGGGTAGAAACGAATGAAGAGCAAGCAATTCAATTGGGACATGAGCAGTACGGGGTACACCTCAATACATTGTATGATATCGGAGTATACCAGGTACAAGTACTCTGATCTTGATGTGAATAATAAAAGTCCGGGTACTTTTTTCCAAAAAAAGAACGAATGTAAAAGAAAAATCATATATGTACCTAGTAGTAGTAGGAAGGGGAACGATAAGAATCTCTACTAGTACCGGAAAGACAGGTTTAGGCTTATCTAACTTACTGGGAATTTAATCGTTATCAAAGAGTAATTGTGTAGTATTCATCATGGCTTCTTGTCTTCCCCTCATTCTCCCCACTCTTGAGCGGCAGGTCGTCATGCGCAGCACAACGTCAAGATCAAAGCGCAAATATTTAAAGTTCACAGCTCGTCCTGTCTGACTGATTCTGCGCACTCTCCGTCGTTTCTATTCATGTCTTACGAATAGCAATGGGCAAGAAACGCATTCTGGTCAGCTACGGTGTAGATATTGACGCTGTAGCCGGTTGGTTGGGCTCATATGGTGGAGAGGACAGTTCCAACGACATCAGCCGAGGTAGAAACCCACACCACTAATGTTTTACTTTTGAGTAGTTTCTCTCTTTCCTTAGGACCCCCGCTGACCAGCACAAAATCTTCAGGTCTCTTTGCCGGGCACATTGGCACTACACGACTGCTAAAGCTATTCGAGAAGTACGGCATCACAGCAACATGGTTTATCCCCGGCCATTCGCTAGAGACATTCCCTGAGGAATGTGCCAGGGTCCGCGATCAGGGCCATGAGATTGGTCTTCATGGATACAGCCACGAAAATCCAACTGACATGACCATCGAGCAACAGCGTGACATTTTGGATAAGACGTACCACATGCTCTACCGTTTCTGCGGCAAACCACCACGCGGTATTGTTGCTCCGTGGTGGGAGACAAGCAAGGAAATGACCGACCTCCTGCTCTCTTATGGAATTGAGTACGATCATTCCATGTCCCATCATGATTGCCAGATGTACTGGCTACGCACGGGCGACTCGTGGACGAAGATAGATTATGATCAGAAAGCCGAGACGTGGATGAAGCCGCTCGTCCGAGGGCAGGATACCGGGCTTGTCGAAATTCCTGGGAATTGGTACATTGATGACTTGCCACCGATGATGTTCATCAAGTCGGCACCGAACAGTCATGGATGGATGAATCCAAGAGACATCGAGGATATCTGGAAGGTTCGTGTGCCAGGGTTTCTGATTCTCTGCTAGATTGGGCGACTGACAGCGGCGAATCAGGACCACTTCGACTATTTCTACCGCGAGTATGATGAATTTGTTTTTCCAATGACTATACATCCTGATGTGTCTGGACGTCCCCATGTTCTTTTGATGCATGAAAGGTGAGTTCACGCTGCTCGGTGTCTCAATCATAGCCTTTGTAGCTGGGTCCTAACAATGGCAGAATTATCGAGCATATCAACAAGCACGAGGGTGTTGAATGGGTGACATTCGGACAAATGTGTGACGACTTCAAAGGCAAGAACAAGCCACCCGAGGGTGCAAGGATGCCTGCAGCTCCCATGCCACTCAAGCAGACCTGACAAGCATCTTACTCCATGGAATTACCACTGTCTTTTCAGAAGGAATTGACTCGGCAACGACTGTAGGGTAGCCCCCTTGGCCAATGTACCACTGTCCAGTTATCTTATATGTTTTGCATTTCTCGGAGGTGAAATGCTAGGACGCCTGATGAATAAACCTATCGTAACTTGCTACACTAACGCCACTCGCCACTCATATGCAAACCATGGGTATTAGAGGACGATATTTTTAGATTCTTGGCTGATTAAAGAGCTGGGGTTTCATGTTGACCTTGCAAAGCTTAGAAACGCAACCGCTCAACTGCAGCAAAGACTGCACGCCATCCAAAATGCGCATATGCGTAAAGCCAATCTCACGGATGAATTCGAGCTTGGAGTGTTCTGATAGCGTGGGAATTGTCTTGGTCACCCGGAACATTGTGCTAATAATATCATGTGAGGAGTATCCCAGATCCCTGACATAGTCATTAGATTTAAAGAGCCGTGTTTGTAAGAGACCTGGGCTAGTACATACCACAATTCATTGAGTGTATCGAGAGCGACATCCACCTTCCCTTCCCAGCAGGCCTTAATCATTGCTTGAACCTTGATGGGGTGTGGGCTGTCTACCACCCTGAAGACATTGTCCCCGCTGACGAAGCCAAAACCCGACCATGTACTCTGGAGGTTGTTGATGGCTTGACGCATATCTCCTTCGGCGCTGAAAACCAACGCAGCGATTCCTTCCTCATTATGTTCCACCTGCTCGGCGTCACACACTTGTTTCAGCCGCTTTACAACCTGGGCGTCCGTCAACCGGGCATAACGAAGGATTGCACATCGAGATTGAATCGGCTCGATAATCTTGTTCGACTGGTTGCAGGCAAAGGCAAATCGAGTTGTAGACGAGTAAATCTCCATCGTTCGCCGCAGCGCTTGCTGAGCCCCAGAAGTCATACTACACTACCCGTGAGTCGGTATTCTTCGTTATAGGTAAATCACGGCTCATACCTGTCTGCTTCGTCTAAAATAACGATTTTGTGACGACCAGAAGGCAGTGTAACTTTTTTCTGCGCGAAGCCCTTGATCCGGTTTCTAACAACATCGATACCTTGAGATATTGTTAAAAGTGATCTAATCTTGCTCAAAGGTGGGCATACCTCTTTCATCACTGGCATTAAGTTCAAGCACGGCCTCCTTGTATGCATCCCCCAACAATTGCCTTGCCAAGCACAGTATTGAAGTTGTCTTTCCGATACCAGGCATGCCGGATATGATCACATGCGGCATATTCCCATCTTTGGCGATGATTTTTAACCTTTCGACAGTTTCTGTATTTCCCACAATATCATCGAGAAAGATAGGACGGTACTTCTCAACCCTGACCGTGACACAATGTCAGCCTTCTCGTTCCTGGAGCGTGTTGGAAGTATCATACCAAGGCAGCTCGTAGTCGGGAGGAGCTCCAGTTGTGTGGGCCTTGAGTCCATTGCGGGCAGCGCTGGCTGAAGATTCAGCTTGAGCCATAGCGAGTATCAGCGAGAGATGCGAAAGTCGGGGGCCCAATCAGTGGCTAGCAGACTAGTCTGTGTGGTATGCGTTCAAGACAATGCCGCTGGTTAACGACAAGTCCGTAGCATGGTCTGGCTCGGCGGGAAGACGCGCGGATTCAAGGCGGAGACGCGTCGGGGATGCGAATTTTGCCCAAAGGAGGAGTAATTGATCTACCTTAACTACCGATTTAGTTACCTAGTCTTCTTTTCTTCCGCGTCTCACCGCTCCCAGTAGCAACTCGAGATCTACAGGTCTGCTTTCTCGTGTCTACAGAAAGTGCGCTTACTCGGTGCAAGGATAAAGCAGCCCCAATTAAAGATCACTTGGTCACTTTCTCCGAATTCCCGGATCACGGCTAGTATGTTCGACTGGCCGGTTGTCACAGCAGACCCGGCTTCATTCCGCCTTCGTTGTCAAAATAGAAGCCTTTCTTAGCTAGTCGTTGCATGCTACCTATTTATAGGAAAGGAAACCCGCTACCTCCTACTCTGGCAGCTTTGAAGCCAATGATATCTCGAGTGCGCTCACTTAGCCGCTAGTCATTCTATGAGATCTCAGTCCTACCATTAACGCTTGCGAATCATATGTATCGCAACTTGAAAAACCTTGCTTTATCTCACATTTAGGCCCTCCGCCAACTTCCCTCGACACCGCCCTACTTTACCTTACCCTTATTACTGCGGCTATATTTCATACGATCACTATGGGAACAACATCTGTCCGTCGCAACCTCTTTCACCATCATCTTAGCAGACGGGCCGGGTCCGTTGCTCCTTCCAGCTCCTCCGCGCAGAGCAATGCTAATCATGGGACTCCGGCCCTCCCCACCCATATGGCACTCTCAAACTCATCGGAGTCGGTCTCGTCTTTGAGTTCCGGCCTTGTCGATAACGGGGAAATCGTTGTCCGAGACAAGAATGGCAGCTATAAAATCGATATTCCGATCCTTCCGGCTGTGGTCAGCGAAGGTGGTGACGAAATGGAGGGTATTGAAGAAGTGGATGCTCGTGGCGTCCCTGGGGATGCAACCACTAGCACTGCAAACCAGACCGACATTTCAGGACGGGAGAAAGAAAGTGAGCGAATCTGTCCTAGCTTTCCTTGCTCTGGTCATCTATACTAATCAATGCTAATTTACCATAGAGATTGAAGCAAATTTACTGGGATTGTATCGGAATAAAACGAGGCGAATGAGTAGTGAACCAGCCGGTAAGTTCTCCCGACAGCTGCTTAACCAATGGAGCTAATTTTCACTAGAAATTTTGAATCTTGTCCAGCGGAGCCTGCGTAACAAAGTCGCCGCCTTGGATGAAGATAACTGGATGTACGAACCTGAAGTCGATTCTAGCGCCTAATCCCGGCCCAGTAGTGGCATGCCTACCTAAACTTATCATTACTTATGGTGGTGAACGATATGTGCGAGCTGCAACTGTTTGCATTGCGGAAATCCCGGTCGCCGCCATCTAGTCAAGTTCCATACTTGCCGGAGGCGTCTCAACTCTTTTCGAGCCTATTCTTCCTTGGGGTGCCGACCGAGACCCAGCGCTATCCTGACCGCCTCCGAAAAGCATGCTGCCCATCATGTCTAACAAGGGGTTGCTCTGTCTGGGGATTTTGATCGCAAAATACTGCTCACCCAGCTGGGCCAGGGCATCGTTCCATATGCCTACCTCTCGGATGTGGGATGCGTAGTGAGCGGTCAGCTGCTTGAAAAGATCCGAGCTACCCCGCTGTATTGTGAGGAGTAGCATGCTTATAAAATTCAGCAACGGGAGCGCAGGAAAGACCCGTACGTCAGAACTAGCACTGCTGACCTCTTGTACACCGAGCGATGGATTCGAGGAGGAAAGCTTTGATGTGAAAATAAGAAAGGCTTTGTTGGCGTTGCGAAGGTTTCCGATGAGAAGATATGGGAACACGGCACGAGATGCGTAGATTGCCGCTGTATGCGGTTCATCGTGAGTGTACCACTCGTATTCAAGTCTCGCCAAGGTCTCGGCCGATTCTGAGGTACCGAAAACAAGATGCTTTTCGGCGTCGTATGGCTCATGGTCTGATAAAGGTTAGCTTGGGAGCTGCCATAGTATCAACGTCTGATACGATCCACATACCCTTGGCATATACCGATCCAGCAGCATGATGCAATTCGGGGTCTCCTCTCTCTAAAGGTCCAAAGCGACCACTCCATCCAATCATCTCCTGGATGAACCTTTTCCGTGTAGGTTCCTCTGGTGGAAACGCGTGCAGAAGCTCGATCAATCGCTCTATAGTTGACATGACCAGTCAGCCTGAACCATATCGAGGAGGCTGCGTGTTTTGTGGTTTATGGCAAGTTGATCCGAAGTGACAAAAATAAACAAGACCTACTCTTGCGAATTCGTCCCTCAACGTCGCTATCACCTCCAATGATCTCCCAACCCGCCTTGATGTAAACCTCGAGGACCAGCATGATAGCCAAGTCTCCGCCGCTAGCAGAAGCACCCTGCTGGGAGCCGGCTCTCAAAAGGGCGGCAGCGCCACTAGCTAACAGTTCTGCCGCAACATCGTAGTTGGCTTGTTTAATGTACCGCGCGGCAATGACTCGTAGTTGTTGATGAGCTTCGTAATATGCACCAGAAGCAATTCTGTAAGACGATTATACACGCATTAGCTCTTGGATTGCATTCTTGTCATTCGGTTTCTGGGTGCGCAAGTGAGTTTCACTCACTTCTCCTGCTGCCGAGCGATGGTCTTCTCGATACGTGAGGTCATATTGAAGTGGGAACGAGCCACCAGGGGAAGCTGGCTACGGTGAACACCTTTATAGATTCCTGGCGACTAAGTGTCTTAACCAACAAGACACAGTATAACAAGAGAGCCACTGTGCGGAAATTCGATTTCGATTTAGCTGCATCAACCGAAGGAAGGCTTCGATTGTTAGCTGTCAAAACAAGGATAGAAAGAGATGAGTTGAATGACGGACCACTTTTGGTGGGGAGGGAAAGCACCGCGCCGGCGCGCTTGGCTTCTTCCAGAAAGGCGGGTCTAACTTCGAGGTAGTAATTTTACTCCATTACATACTAACTTCTCCGTACTGTGTAGTTTGAATACTGTGTAGTAGTTTATTTCATCTAACTAACTACAAACTACTCCGTACTTCCCGTGCGCATATACTGACTTTCTCCGGCCAAGTACTATTTCAGGCAACGACTCACAAAAGCAGTCGTGGAAAATCCTCAAGAACATTCTGTCACCAGCAAGAGCCATGGAGCGGAAAGTCTTCGATATCCAACCCATTGGCCGCTTCTACGGAGCCAGTGCTGCCATTCGGCGTCCCAAAGTAGGCGATCAGTCTCTTTGTCGATCTCTTTCTCCCTTTGGGCTCTTCCTTGTACTGAACATGGTCAGGAAATTGCTTGTTTCTCTTATGATGATCATCATAAATTCCACATTGGAGAATCCTCTCTGAAATACTACTACACGCCGCATCTCCCTGCAGATTTGAACCGGGGGTTCGAGTCCTTCCAAAAGCTAGACGATTCCGCTGACGAGCATCTCGATGCATTGCTTGAGACGATCATGGCTCTGGAACAAGATACTGGAATCAAATGTGAAGCTGACATCATTACCTGGAGAGGGATGATGACCAAAGTCGGTACACAAATGATTATTCTGATTCTACTTCCCTGGGGCTCCGTGCTTACATATCGCTCGAAGCATAGATTTTGACGGCGCCTTTTGATAACATGAACGGGGACGTTACAGCGCTAGGTGACATTCTATCTCTATAGGGAGCTAACTCGTGTATAGGTTCGAGATGAATGCAACCTTATACCAAGTAAGCTATCTCTAAACTTAAGATTTCACTAGACCCGGGCGTTGACAGTTCTACTAGGGAACCATGTGCGTATTTTCCAGTCGGCGATTCACGGATTCTAACAGGCCCTAGATTCATTGAAGAGAACAATAGCTACAAGAACGAGCAGAAATGGATCCAGAGAAGCCAGAGGACGCCTCCTGGCATAGCTTCTCAAGATTTAATGGCATACTGGGGTACAGTATTCTTTCATAAACCTGTCCAAACGCTGTCGGCGCGCAGCATGTGATAAGTCGCCTTGAATACTGACTTATGCAGGCTATAAATTTGAAACGGTATCGCTACTCAAACAACCGTGGGATTCAACCCCTCGACACGAGATCGAAAGTCGAGAAGAGCTTGTTGTAAATAACAATGCCCAGTATTGCTCAGTAGTCCGGACTGCAATAGGTCGCTCGAAGCTTGTCATTGGGGGCGAAGTGGACGCTAGTAAGTAGATACAACAATTCTCTTAAGCCTTCATGTCCGAATTTGTACTGATTACTGGTGTCTAGTATGGGATCGCAAACCGGACCGGAAGGAGGATCCGATCAATTGGGTAGAGCTGAAAACATCGGCCGAAATCAGAAATGACCGGGACATGATCAAGTACGAAAGGAAGCTTTTGAAATTCTGGGCTCAATCATTTCTTCTGGGTGTGCCCCGAATCATTGTCGGGTTCCGAGACCAGCACGGCATCGTAAAATGTCTCGAGGAATTGGACACCGCTAGCATACCAGGCAAGGTGAAGAAGGTGGGACGAGCAACCTGGGACGGCAATATATGTATCAACTTTGCTGCCGAATTTTTGCAATGTATGAACTTCCCATTACATCCTCGCGCGACTCTGGACATGCCCAAGAAAGCCACCGGTCGGAACTGACGAAAGCAGGGCTTAAAAGCGCCATTCAGGAGGAGGGTACATGGAGGATAGCCAAGCGTGAGAGGTCGTCGATTATAGAGGTCTACAAAGTTGAGGATAGTGGGACGGGCGACATAATTTCTCCAGCCTTTTCAGCTTGGCGGAGTGAATGAGGCTGGCTGGAACGGCTACCTACGACAAACTGCTTCGGAGCTTGATGAAATCCTGACGGTCGCCATTGGCTATTCACATTTGATGTCGAGAGTTGGCCTACAAATTAGCATCATGTGGCATGTGTCAAAGAACTGACATGAGGGATCCTGCGATACATTCGGCCGCGGCTCAACAGATGCCTTTTCTTCGGTAATATGTCCAGCCTTGATATAAATGAATGGCAGGCATGTACATAATCAGATGCTATTATCCATTCGCCCACTCCTAGACAGTAGGAATTTGTGATGTGAAATGCTTGCAGGCAAGAGTATAAATTGTTCGGCAACAAGCAAGCTTCAAGCAATTATACTGCGTCTTCTTCGGACACCGTTTCGGGTTCGCTGGTTCGTGGCTGATTACCCACCCTGAGGTCATCATGTCGTTCCCGGAAGTACTTTTCGCGTGCGACCTTTTTGGCCGCACTTTTGAGGGCTCTCTTGTGTGCATTTCCATGAATATGGATCTCCCACTGCTCGCTGCCTTGCATAGTCTTGTTGCAGACGTTGCATGTCATACATTTCATTGAGGTGTTAGAATCTCTCCGGGGTTGCGCCTCTTTCGCACTCAAGACGGTTCTAGCAAGCTCCGACAGCGATTTTGGATCAGGCGTAGAGTCATCATCGAGTAAAGCTCGAACTAATAGCTCTGATGGCTTTGTGATAGTCTCCTTCCATGTCTCGACATTGGTGCTATCCAGGAGGTAAAGACGATTGGTCGCACCAGCATCCACAAGAGCTCTCCATAGTTTGTTTCGTATCCACTTGATCTGCGACACGGCATATTGTCGCGTTGCGGACTTGATCGACTCAATGCAGGTACTCTTCAACGACTCCAATTCGAGATCGCTCATGGAACTCTTGTGGAGGGCGTCGAAGTACGGTGCCAGCTCCTTATAGCCAATCGAAATCCAAATTCCTCGTGTGTGATCCACCAGATCGCCCTGTGCTTTCTGCTCCTGCAAGAAGTTAGACATGCATAGGGCTTCATCCATGAGCCCTTGTTCAAGCATCAAGTCCACGCGCTTCTCTAGGCGGCAATTGAGCACAGCCTTTTCCGAGTGCATCCAGAATATCATCGTCGAGTACCGTAGCTGACCCACGCCGAGAGATAAGCCATCACGCATTATATCTGCCTGTTTGAGCCGCTCTTGTTCTGCGTAGACTTCGGACGCGGGTCGCCCGGTTTGTAGGTAGATCTCAAGCGAACGCCGGATCTTTCGTGCCTCATTTGGGTGCCATCGGTCTGCCATGACCGGGTCGACTTCTTTGAGTTTCTGCAACACAACTTCGGGAGCAGCATCGAGAATGGGCCACGTGGTAGATGAGTCCCTGTCACTACTGTCATGACGAATGGCAGAATCATCATCGCTGAGAAATTGCTCTGAATCGAGCAGCTGATCGTTAAAAAGCACAGCTTGTGTGTAGTAATGTGTACCTCCAACCAGGATTGGGAGCTTTCCCTTAGCATGAATTTCATCAATCAGTCGAAGGCACTCCTGTTTGAATCTACCAATCCACCATGGCTCCTCTTTCAACTCAACACAGCTGAGCAGGTGATGCGGAACGCCGTTACGTTCCTCAAGGGGGATTTGGTTCGTGATAATCGGAAGGCCGCGGTACATCTGCATCGCATCACCATTGATGATCTCGCCGTTGAAACGTGAAGCCAGGTCGACTGCAAGCTATCTGCACTCGTCAGTAAAAGTGTCCTAACTACTGACTTTTTCGCCAGCCTTATTGCTCCAAGTCTTTTTTTTTCACCTTAGATTTGCCAGTACCTGTCGCACCGACGACCGCGATGAGGGGCTTCATGACTGATGGGCGCGAGGAATGAGAGAATAGTTGTCGGAAAAGATGTCGCATGAGAGAAAGAACCAGAAAGGAGTTAGCATTTTTGGTCTGGAGCAATCTAACTAGCTTCAAGACAGGCAGAACTGGGTGCCGCGTCGAAAAGAGTGAGAAACAAACACATGAGGGAAGAGAGAGAGTGTGTGAGAGTGAAAATCGCATCATCTGCAGTCCAGCCTTACCTCATCCCGGGTTTGGATCTTATCTTTTATCGCGTCCCTCCGATCGCTAGTGCCATCTGCCACTCACTTCCTTTTGAAATTGCTCCTTATCAGAAGTACGAAAGAATTATCTTGACCATTATAACTTCTCCATGGTTGACACCGAACTTCCTCTTCCCTCAATCGAGGTCAGAGACCTGTCTTTCAAATTCCCTGATGGATCTTCGGGCTTGACTAATGTCAATCTGCATGTACCCTCCGGCAGTCGCACCCTACTTATTGGAGGTAAGCTTGCCGCATGAAAGTGGTCATGATCGATCTAAAACACTAACAACTTTACCCCCACGCCTCTTCCAGCCAACGGTGCTGGTAAAACCACACTTCTACGCCTTCTGTCCGGCAAACGCCTGGCCCCTACAGACACCATCACCGTGGCAGGCAAAGATCCCTTCAAAGATGGATTGGAAGGCGTCACTTATCTCGGCATGGAATGGGTCTTGAACAACATTGTCCGGACCGACATCGATGTGCCCACCCTACTTGCCTCCGTTGGCGGCAACGCCTACCCGGAGCGACGGGACGAGCTAGTCGAGATTCTCGACATCGATCTCCGCTGGCGCATGCATGCCGTGTCGGATGGAGAGCGTCGCCGCGTGCAACTCGCCATGGGCCTGCTTCGTCCCTGGCGGGTTCTCCTGCTTGATGAAATCACCGTTGACTTGGACCTGCTCTCCCGAGCCAATTTTCTCTCGTTCTTGAAGCGTGAGACGGAAACCAGGCCATGCTCCATCGTATATGCCACGCATATCCTGGACAATTTGTCCCTGTGGCCCACGCATCTGGTCCACATGCATCTGGGCACAGTCCGCCAATGGGGTCCAGTGGAGAGATTTCGTGATGAGGTTAAAGAGTCCTCCCAAAATAGTCAGCTTGGCGAGCTGGTGCTCAAATGGCTCACAGAGGATCTCAAACACAGAGGGCCCCGGAACGGATATAAGGGTCAGGCTAAAACATACCCATCACTAGAAGGCTTGGGTGGCTATGGACTTGAAAAGCGACCTTGATTGACATCCTTCCTCGTCCCTGCAGTATGTCTATCTTAGTCTCGCTCCACTTTCAACTCGATCGCCACGGTTCAACTACTGTCGCCGGGCTTACACACATGGAACTCACAACATCCTTCAACCTTTGATGATCTAGCACCTGCGTATACAGTTCGACCCACTTTGGGTTTTCTTTCAACATACAAAGGATTTCATAAATGGCATTGGCCTCATTTCTGCTATGAATTCTCATCGTCTCTTAACAGCAATATAGTCTTACATAGATATATCAGTTTGGCATTCATAAAACCAAGTCCGAAAAGCTGACTAAACGTGTGGACGTATCTTCGCTCGCTACAGCAAGCACAAAACGCGACGTCGCTTCTTTCTTATCCGGTTGCCATGAAAGTTGAGTTATGGCCTTTGAAGGCGATTTAAGCCTATCAACGCTGACCAAGTGGTTGACTTGCAGATTGCCAATGGCAATCTTATGAATAGACAGCTCCCCGCTTTCTTCGCCTGCGGCAAGAATGAAGGAATCCTTGTGTATACTGGCAAGAAATGAGATGGCGGTTACAGGAGTTTTTAGAGGTATCGTTGATTTGCACTCGCAGGTACCGCCTATCATTTGCCAGATCTTCACTGACCTGTCACGGCCAGCAGTGGCAAATATAGGCATTAATGAATACGGAGCCCATGCGGCGTCCAGAATCATTCGAGAATGGCCCTTGGGATTGTTCGTCAGCAATGAAAACTTTGACTGGTCTTGCTCGCTGCGCTTGTAAACAGCCCATTGTCTGTCGCGGCCAACGCTAAGAAGATGCTGGTCATCGCTAGAGAAGCATAGACTTGTAATCGTCAAGGTATGAGCCGCAAGAGATGGCCGAATCTCATGCCAGTCAGAAGTATCGTACAAGCGAATCACCGCATGGTCAATTGAGCTCGCTTTGCAGGCTGTGGCAACAAGTGTGCGGTCGTGACTAACAGCCACGGCTGATATTTCGTAACCATGTCCGTATAACTTCTCATGCTCTGGCCATAGGGTGTGGCGGGCCAATTGTTCTTCAAAAGGTGGTTGATTTAGTTCTAATACTGTCGTTGAAAGGGCCTGTGATTTATCTGCACATGCGCCATCTGCTTCCTCTTCGCCTCCTGGGGGGGCATCGTCAGCCGGAGCTTGGTTTGATAAGCCTAGCACGGGGATCTCGGCTGTATCAGGTAGTTGATCCTCGGAAGATTGTTTGAAGCCGGACAGCTTCTCCAGTAATTGCGCAATCGGTCGAGGTTCGTTGAAGACGCGCAGAAGTTTCTCATCAGCGCCCGAGACAAATCTAGCCGCTCCAAGAGTATCGACGCAGTTCAAGTCGTAACCATGTATTTGTGGGCGAGAGATTTCATGCCAAGACTCAAGTCCCTCACGTACCCATTTGGCATGCAGACGGGTGGTCTGGTCGGCACTGGTCGACAGGAGATATGCTCCAGAAGGCTCCCATTGTACGCCGGTAGCTGACCGTATATGTCCAGAAATGCCAAGAGACTGCACCCACAGATCAGTCTCGGCGTTGTATTTCCATGCTCGCCAGCTGCCAGTACGACCTAGGCTGACAACCTGTGTGCCATTTGGAGACCAGAGACCAGTCCAAAACCCACCAGTACTGCCAGTAGCGGTTGTTGAGCCTTTCTGGACGCTGATTTCTCCCATCCTCTCGGCGGAAAGCCACACCCCAGAAACAGGGTCTTGCTCCCATATAGTTAGAGTATTATCAGCAGAAGAAGTAAGGAGCTGCTGGCGTTTTGGATTGGGATTCCAAGCGGCGGTGTAGATCCAGTCTTCGTTTCCAAAAAGTAGTGCTTCGAAGGTGACGGAGAATTGGGTCCCCAATACCTCAAATTGGTGGGCTTTGTTCGAAAGACTTGGCTCAAAGCCACCCGAAAAGGCGTCAATGTCATCGCCTGGAACAGAGGATTCCGCTTCCCCACGCTGCAATCTCCATAGCCGGACATATTTATCTTGACTCGCGGAAGCCAGGAGAAGATCACCAGATGTGCTCTGCTTATCTGACGTGAAGTTCAAGGAACGCACCCAGGCATCGTGTCCAGACAATACAACTGAGAGCTTGAAATCGACTGTAAGCGTGTTCTCCGCCACGTAAATCTGTATGTAGTTGGTCGTACCGGCAACTGCCAGTGCGACAGGTCTGTTATTCGACTTTGATGGAAGAGAGGTTAAAGCCAAAGCCAGTGGGAAGAAACTCGGTTTCACAGATATTGACTTGAGCAGCTCGCCCTTTACATCACCCAGGGTGTGAATTTTCCATATGTTGACAGTCCCATCAGAGGCTCCCGTTGCCACGATATTCTGCCCGTCAGCCACGGCTATCGTGTTGACTGAGCCAGTATGTCCTTCCTGAGTGTACACGTGGGTGAAATTATGCAAGTTGACCGAGTCCGCTCGCCATAGACGGACTGTATGGTCAACCGAGCCGGTCAAGAGGTATTTAGTATCTGTGGTAGGGCAGGTATAGAATCGAACTGCGCTAACCTTGTCGGTATGTCCGACAAGGAGTGAATAGACGCCGCGCTGCGTGTTATCCTGTAATCCGAACGGGCAGTGAGCGATCCGACAGTTGATCGAAAATAAGTTGACAAGTGAGCACGCACAGTGGGGTTCCATAAGGCTACATTATTATCAGCACCGAAGGCAAGCACACCGGTATGGACATCCCAGTCGGCGGCGGCGGGATGCCTATTTCCCCCGACGCTGATGTACTCAGTGGTGATAGAGACCATTGAGCTCGTAAACCCGAAACCCAATAAGCAAGGGTCTTGATATGAGAATAAACAGTCGAGTACGTGACGGGTAAGCTGACTTTTCAAATGATATGATTTGTACGAGAAGAAAAGAGGGGCGGGGGTGAATAATCAGTACAATCGCAAACGGGACTGACTTTTTGCGCCGGCCCCAGGCTTATCGATAAGCTGGCAACCAGCAAAGGCTGCTTTAACTTACCTCTTCTTTTCCCCTATGCTCTAAGTCAACTCCGTACCTATCTTCGACTTCCTACCATACCCGGGAGCAGGTCGTTTGTACCTACCTGATTCTGGTGTCACCTTTTGGTCATGGAGGCACACTCTTCAGACTCCATTCCCCTTTCACTTACGGTCGAATTCACGTTGAGACACCCCTCCCAGATCCAACCTTCAAACCTGGTCTGCTTGATTGACTGACTTGCCATTCAGCGGGGGGCTGGAAATTTTGTTCGCCAACGAACGCCAGCACAGCATCACCCTTCCTTCCCAGCTTAGCGATGGCAACCGGCCGACCATCTCTTATCTTCTCCAATACTTAGTTGACAACCTCATGAAAGATCAGCGAAAAGAGCTGTTCATAATGGAAGATAACGTGTACTTCTGTCCGAGATTTCGCACAAGAACAATGCTGACAGTTTGCTCTACTAGACGTCCCGGGATCCTAGTTTTGATTAACGATGCCGACTGGGAGCTCGAAGGAGAGGAGCAATATGAGCTCCAATCAGGTGATAACATCGTTTTCGTTTCTACACTCCACGGTGGCTAGTACGCTCAACTCTTTCGCTACTTTTTCGATATGAAGGGATAAGCTCAACGTCAATAACGCACATGGTACAATGTGCAAGATAATCGGTATATATACGCTAGACAACGTCTTCAACATGCTGCTGCGAGATTCGTTCGGGTTCGCGCGGAGTTCGAAGGCCGCTCTGCGGAGTAGATAGACCTTCACGCGGGCTGCCAAGCTCACCAGCCAAAGGCGTCGTCACTCCGCTCGGTGGGACAGGGATCTTGATGTCCTGGGGCGAACCGGGGACGATTTCTTTGGGAAGACCGGAGATATGAATTCTGCGTGCTTCGTTTTGATAGCTCTCCGGTATGATCTTGCGGGATGAGTCAGATGAAAACACCCATGTCACATAAAATTCAGAGATGCTTTGGGCTTACTTCGAGGATCTCGTCGCGAGGGAAGTCCAAGAATGGAATATCAGCAGCATTACAGGCCATCAAATAGCCATATAAGACTCTCAGTACGCTCTCATGTGCAATAATCAGAAGATCATTCTGTTCACGCTCAAGCTCTAAGATGATAGGTTCGAGTCGAACCGCAAGGTCATGGTAAGACTGTCATCACTGTCAGCTACAATAATCATGAGCCGGAGGAAATAGCACAGAGATTCACCTCTGCTCGCGGATACCGGTGGTGGTAAGGGTCCAGTTCGTGTTTCGCAACCTCTTCAGGATACTCCTCGCGAATTTTCGCCTCTGACATCTTCTCGCAAACTCCAGGATTCAATTGACTCATCTGAGATCTCTGTCGCACTTTGTATCCTTTTTCATAGAGGTACTTGGCTGTCTCAACCGTTCTCCTTCGAGTTGAGGTCCATACAGTTAGTGGTTTCAATTCATAATCCAATTCTCCCTCGTCGACCATGGCTTGTCTTTCCGATTCCCTATGCCTCAACAAAGACTCCGTCATCTTTTTCGCGTAGTCTTCCCCTTGCTCGGACAGCGAAGCGTCTGCTTTATAAGAATTCGCTTCTAGTGACACGCCAGCCTAGCAAACTTCAGTCGCTGGATAATGCAAAGCAGATGAATGCTCCAAACTTACCCGTGCAAAGTACGTGTGTCTGGATTTGATGTGGAGATTGAGGAGGTAGAAGACTATTCTGTTAGAAAGGTAGCCGAAGCTTCGATTGTTCACAATTAATCTTTCCCCAGCATTCATCATCTATTTGTGATGAGCGAAAGCAAATAACTCTAGAGGGGCTTGTAAGGTTACCTTGATGTAGTTCAAATCGGTCTCTTCCATTGTTTGGAATTGTGGAATACGAGCGGCTATCCTGGTCAAGTAATGTTTCACTGCATCTTCCGAGCTCCAGCCTACGTACTGTGCATTGCTAAGCATTGGTGTCTTGTGAGGTGAGGTCTAGAATCACTTACATCAGGTGAGGATATCTTGACTCGTCGGACATTCTCTTCGATAATGCGTTCATCGTCGCACCACGACTCGATGAACAGCGTCTGATGATGGAGCAGGTCAGGATAACGAGGGTGTCAAAGGCGAATCTTAGACAACTCACCTCGATGTCATGCTTGGCAAATTCCTTTGCAAGTGACCGTCGACCGGATGCCAGAGGATTCACAGCGTCATATATCGCTATTTGTCCATTCTCATGGTTCAAGAACTGGTAGATATCTTCCCGGCACCTTTTCACGATCTTCTGTCTCAAAAGAACCGATGAAGCGGATGCTGTTGAGAATCAGTGTTTTGAGAGCAGGAGCAAGAACTATACCGGGATTTTACCGTTCACAAAGAAATAGTCGTCTGGAATATCTTGGCCATAAGGAATGGTTGCACGTCTATAATCACCCAAGTGGAATATCCTCGTTTTCACACCTAACCTAAGATACTTGAGCACCGGACTTGATGAACATTTTTGGGAAAAATCAACATACCATCGCAGATACCGCGCTAGAGCAACAGACATATGTCTAGTCGAATGTTAGCCAGCCCACATATACAAGGGGCTTAGGTATAACGAACGTTTTACCTCGCGCAGGCAATCCCACGGTGATTATGACGATCCGGCCGGAATGGAAAAGTCGTCCTGACTCAGTACTGTAAAGCTGAGCTGGAGCCAGATCGGCCTTCTCGGGTAAGTCATGGATCGCATCGACGAAGGTGGAAGACTTCCGTCGGAAACGCGGTGAATTGGCGACGATATCAGCGGTTCTAATTCATTTGTGAGACACCAGGAACCATCTGCGACAAGGTTTGCTTGACGTTTGCTTTGAAATCATTCCAGGTCGCATGAGTGTATGTGGCGCATAGACCTAGGCGAGTACGCAGCAGCCAGCTCCATCATGGATTGGTAAGGCACGAAGTGCGGGGGTTCAGATGAGACAAAGCTTACAGTAATGTGTCCATGGCGGTAAAAGTATCGGACTGACACGGGTCGTGACAGCAGTCGAATCAAAAAGAGCTTCTAAAAGGGGATCGATGTGATCAAGTACTGGTAGGAATAAACAGAAGGAGTTAATTGTGGAGAGATGATGTCTGGAGAGTCAAGGGAGGTTTCACACAATTGGTCCTCAAGATCAGAGAGAAAGCACGAGCTCGGCCGATCCAGGTAGTGGATTATATGTAGGTAAGTTGGTAGATAGTCAACTGCTCCACGCTTGAGTATATATGAATGATCATCGGGATATGATGGCATTGACAGTACAAGACAAAGTCCAACGAGAGGCAGATAACTGTTGATCATGGAAGTTCCAAGGAGTGTACGGAGTACAAGAGATATACGGAGTGAGGTACATACGTACTGATCCATTTGACTAGTGACCCGCTAAATTGGTTAGAATTGATTAGGTCATCGCTGCTGAACTCAAGGTCAAAGCATCCTTCCTAGTTGCAAGGATTGCTGCGGCAGACCGCAGACACCTTAGCCGCAGCCCGGGCGGAAAAGCGAAGGAGAGCGAGCGACATTTTTCAGTCCCGAAAGCTCTGGGCTTCAGTCGTCCATCAAGTGAAACTCACCACCTTCTCTTGACCTCGGTGTTTGACACTTCCTCCTCTCCATCCACTTTCTTCCCACGCGAGCAGGTCAGGCATATTTCTTGAATTGAGCTGCCTCGCAACTGCCACAGTTGCCCGTGATTCTTTCGGATTTAAAAATATAGACCTGGTGCGAAGGACTCTCCTGTCCTAGCCTTGTCCTTGCATCCTTCACCTTAAGGACGGCCGCGTCATAATCAACGTCCGCCATCACTCATTCGCATCCTATTCCCTTTATTATTCCTCTATAATACATCACAATGTCCGAGTTCTTAACTCCCCCGTCGTTCTTGACGGACAATTCCGTCGCCGCAGCCCTCAAGGATGCCTATTCCTCGTTCTCTGAACGCAGGGCCGCCCTCGGTCTCTCAAACCCCGGTACTGTGGAAAACATTGCCCGTGAGGTGCAAAAGGATGTCTTGCTCTCAAACTTCATGTTCACGGGTCTTCGTGCCGATTTGACTAAAGTCTTTGGCATGTCACCCTTGTTCCGTGTGTCGCATGCATTTTCCATGGGCTCGTCCGGAAACCTGCCTCCGTACAACTTCTCCGCTATGTATGGAAGTCCAAAGGTGAGCTTCTCTTTTTCACGAGATACCCTGCTGCCCACCCGACCTGTTTAATACAGTAAATCATGCTATTTATCTAAATCCCCGGTCTATAGGTTTTTATGCAAGGCAACATCGGAAGCGACGGTGGACTTGCTGCTGTCGCCAATTACCGTTGGACCCCCAAGTTGGTCACCAAGACCAATACTCAGATAATGGCTGGCTCCAGCCAGGCTCTCATTCAGGTCGATCAGGACTATACTGGTGATGACTTCTCTGCGTCCCTCAAGGCCTTCAACCCATCCATCCTGGACGGAGGTCTCACTGGTATCTTTGTTGGCAGCTATCTCCAATCTATCACTCCCAGCCTGGCACTTGGTTTCGAAGCGATCTGGCAGCGCCAGGGTATGAACACCCGTCCGGAGAGCGCATTGTCCTACAGTGCCCGGTACAAGGCCAATGACTGGATTGCTAGCGCTCAACTTCAGGCTCAGGGCGTACTCACTGCCTCTTACTGGAAGAAGCTTTCTGAGCGTGTCGAGGCTGGTGTTGATATGAACCTGCAGTTCGCTCCTAACGCAGCAGCTGCTTTGATGGGCGGCCCTAGCCGTGATGGCACTACTGCTATTGGTGCCAAGTATGACTTTCGCGCCTCTACGTTCCGTGCCCAGGTCGATAGTGCCGGAAAGGTCAGCTGTCTTCTCGAGAAGCGGATAGCCATGCCAATTGCTCTTACTTTCGCCGGCGAGATCGATCAGGCCAAGGTGAGTCAATCCTATACATAAGGAATTTGCATTTATTACTGAAATCGGATCTCTGATGCTTGTTTTTTTTTAGCAAACGGCCAAGCTCGGCCTTGCTGTTTCCCTCGAAATCGCTGGCGAGGAGTTGATGGAGCAGCAGGAGAAGGTCGAGGCCCAGGGCATGATCCCTCCTCCTTTCTAAATGCGTCCTGGGACGTAGCCGGGGCTAACGACTCCCGGTCAGGCCTGGAAGCCGAAAGCTATTGCTGTCGGCCTCATGGCTCATATTTCATTCAGTATCTGTTTTAGTAGCTCTTCTCTCCCCATGTGTATGCTCGGATGGTGGTGTTTTACCTCGGTTAATCACTGTGGACGCGGTCTGTCGCAGTCGTTTGACGCACACAAACCAATTTTGTATAGATGCTTTCTTGATTCGGTCGCAGTTGATCCTGTTTCTGTTTGTGACTTCATTTCATGACTTTTCCTACTTTCTGTTCTTTTACCTTTGATCAATGGCTACCTCGGCAGATGAACAGGACTGCTGGGCTCGCATGGAAGCATCTCTTGTGAGGACTTGTTGCTGTTACCTGACGCATCGTGGTCGGGGTTATGTAAAATGAATGCGGATACTACTTGAAAACGGACTCTCGGCTCTGATGGCAGCACAGGCGCAACTGCGTTCACGCCTACTCTTCACAACGTCCCTCTGGTGAACCTCCTTGTGATAAAGGGGGAGGGGCAGGCAAGGACAGATATATACTTTATAAGTCTTCAGAAGAAGTTGAAATAGAATTCATTGAGGAGATTACTCATCAGAAAACGATTGAAAGGGCACAAGGAAAATTTCTGTAATACCGACGAGATGGCCTGTGAGTAATTTTTCGCTTTGAATTGGCAAGGAACTCAGGCCCGTATTAAAGCCACTATCAACACCGAAGCAAGAAGTATCTCTCTGATCCTTGAAGCATTGATATAGTAAGAGGCAAGAATATCATGGTCACATGGAGTAGAGTACATTCAGATGTAATTCTTCTAAGGGAACGACAGCAACCTGCGCCGAGGTCACGTTGCTATGGGAAAGAGCGACTAGCTACGTACCAATAAATAAAATTGTAGGGAGACAGGGTGTCAACTTGAACTTGCGACAAACCTCTAGTCAAATGAATTCTGAGATTCATGATTCCATGTATGTGACCATGTAGGTAGGTATAATAGAGTATCCTCCTGCAGTCCACTGTAGCCAAGTTAAGACAATACCAGGATAGCAAGAAAAACCAATCATGATGAAACCTCATGTAGAAGATGGAAAGGTATTTCTCATGTACTTACATACACATAAATACGTGTTTCCGGCCCCTGACTACTGCTTTGGATGATTTCACTATGAACAATTCGATAGTAATGGTAGTCAGATTGAGTATTCTCAATTACCCAGTGCACAGCACCTATGAACTACAGTAGTTCTCTTCAGCGGGGATTTATTGTTGGACTAATTCATTGGAAGCTTATGCCCGTGTACTCAGTAACTGAGTTACTTATATGTGATGCTCATTCAGTGAGCTACTCTATAGAAAGCCATGGCTGGTAATTTTGGGTGTGATAAAGTTCGAGTTCTCAGACTGAGTGTACACTACACAGTACACCGATGGATATCAAGTAACGAGCAGGGAAATGAAATTATAAAATAGGTAAAATGATACAAAAGAAGTAGTTAGTTAACTTTAGTGATTAGTTATCGGAAGAAAATGACGGCATTCCGGACTCCAAATGCCCCAAATCCACCGATGTGACATCATCTACACCTTCACGGCCTGATATTGGTCATCCCTTCCTTCACCATTCTAACCGAGTACATGGGACATATCAGCTAAGTGGAATGGCCGATCTCTTTGTGATGCAAATAGTACTTAAATGATGTAAAATGTGCGCATGGAACTCATTCATCCTGTCCAGCGATCATACAAGCTACGCAGGTATTTCTGCCATTCTGGACTAAGCAAATCTCAGATCCGGGGATCGGAAATCGAGGCACGCTGCTGTAAATTAAGAATCCACAGTATTTTTACACAGTAGTACACAGTACAGCATGATGGTCATTGATCGGCTGCCAACAGCAAATGTGCCACTTGGGTCTCCTGTAAGGATAGCCAGCAGAAGAAGGCACCTGAGGTGTACCGCTTCTTTCCGCTCTTTATGACTGTACACTGTGGTTATTGCAGTCATATGTAGCACTGTACACAGCTGCATCACTATGCCCATTCGAAGAAGATCATGTAAGTCAATTTTCGTCTAGCAGCAGGCAGAAATGAATCACACGCTTGGGTCAACATTTTCGGGCTGATGGTACAGCCAGCAGAACAAAAGTAACCACACCAGGTGTATTGACTTTAATGCAATTACCTATATGACTGACACAGGTATTAGTTCAAGTGTACTGAGTATCAAATCTCAAGCCTCCATTCCTTCTAATTTGACATCGCACGAGTAAACACTAGAATACAGATTCATAAAGTGACAGAGGTGCATTTCGACAAGGCTGAAGTCTAAGAATACACCGGAAGTGATGCTCTGCACAGCCACTTGCATAACAAGTCAACATCAACGCGAGGATCTTGTTACCTATCATATATCAATACAGACAGGTTTAACTCCTGGATTAGGCGGAACGTGCTACAGTATAACGGTTATGAAATATCAACATCACTCTGAAGTGACTTATACGGTCTATGTCGCCAGGTTTATAAGCAATTGACTTTAGAGATTTAGACTCACTACACCTAATCCTCCTATTAATTATTGAGTCTTGTTCCATATACTTAGTTCATCTTTCTATGCAGCAATGTTTGTTAACCGAAGATAAGTGCCTGATCAGTTTTAGACTGCCAGATTACCTTCCCTGTTTCAAGTCTCGATAAGATCTGTCGATTATTCATCTCTCTCCAGCCATCCGATATTGACGAAAAGAATAGATAGTCTGACCAAATATCTGCCTAGGTCTAGATTCATGATTAAGAGCCAGATTGATGGTTCAAGCCGCGGAGAACAGTGACCTAGTAGAATCTTACTCATGGTCGAGAAACTTGCGGAAACATGTACGGTAAAGTCTTGTAGTTACTAGTACATACATACAGTGCGGCGCTGGCCCGGGAATCTCCAAGCCTCCCAAATGAACCCATGAATAGCCTGCGACTGCTGGAACAGCCAATCAACAGAATGCTTGGGTGAAAATCGCGGATGGTCACTTGACATAGAGAAGCCAATAATAGCAATCGATCGCAAATGTGCATTCTCCGTACTCTCCAGGTAGCCCGCCAGTACCTGTCATTGGGAACACTAACACAAGGTCTCCTTGGATCATGACATCGATCGTCCAAGTAGTTGATAGTTAACTTATTTGTGTATTATCACAAAGTACTGTAACTTCGACTACTACCAGGCTACTGTATTATACTCCATATAGTGAATTCTGTCATAACTAAAGCATGGTGCAGTCACATGGCCCCTCTTCTTCATAGGTACGACTGTGCTATACACAGTACTAGGTAAGTATTGTCTACTGCCAGGTGCAGGCGTTGAGGTCTGCGTGTGCTGTGAACTGAGCCAACTACTGTGTACTTAATACCCACTATCTATGCGTTCCAGCCCTCCTTGAGCTGTCGCCGTTGCCAGGAATTGACACTACAGCAGAGTTCCCTTCCTGGCATAGAATCCATCATGCATTGCTAGATCTTTCTCGAGAAAATCCAAACCCAGACACTGGGGCCCAAGGTCATATGCCCATGGGAGCAATGGCAGCTCCCGCCGGGCCCATTCACAGCGGTTCCACACCAGGTCCGTCATCAGGACTACACAGTAACTATTAACTGCTCATTACTCGGAGTGATTTAATAGTACCTTCTACTAGTAATCATCCTCATGGTTTGGTGGCATCTTGAGGGAAGTTTATCTTCTGCGTTGGTGCCCTCGGGAGACAAGCTTCGCTCTGCCTTCACCCACCCGCAGTAACCTCTGAAGGTGGCGGAAGCCACCAATTCGTAGGAAACAGTTCATAACACAACGCAGAATGGAGGGTTCGGTATGAGAGGGAGAAGCCACTTGATAGCTAAGGGAGAGGGGGCTTGTAGTAGGTATTCTCATCTAAGATCAGCGCTGGAAGGATGTTTCTGTATGTACCTTGCGTCCAGATGCAGCAAGGGCGATAGCGTCATAAGGTGCTTCGAAACCATACCTATAATCTACTCAGGCTTTAATTGGAAGAGTGCAGTACCTAGAAGGCCCTCGACTATAGGTGTGGGGAGAGAAAATGGAACTGTATGTGGATCACATGGTCTGGGTAAGGTACTATACTATGAAGTAATACATACATGCTTCTGTATGCACATACGTAGTACAATACACCTACCTCTCAATACCTGCCAGTCACCAGGTGATCCATTCAGTAGTTAACTTATTTGATTGAAGATTAATCGATCGATACAAAGGTATCAACAGATTTGAAGAAAATAGCACTTACATATATACCATTTTGCAGCCTGGACTACCTGCAGCCTACACAGTAAGAGCTACACTAACCTGGCATTCCTGTCCTTAAAGCAAGCTACAAGTAGTTATCGATGATTTTTGCTTCTCATTTACAATACCAGCACAGAAACAGGCACCACAAAATCGTTAGTACTCCATACTCTTAGCCAAGTCAACGCTTCATGTACAGTGTTCAATAGGCGAATAGACCGTAATATTACAGATTGATGTTACAGTTTAGAGCAGCAGCAGCCCCTCTCCCCCCTCCTCCCTCCTCCTCCTTCCCCCTCCTCCCCCCGGTCCCGCCGCCCGCCCTCCCCTCTTAATTCATCCCAAGTTTAGATTAACTACTTCAGCTAGACCCAAGCGTTGCTCTTCTGGCTCTGAAATCCCAGAAATTGGGGAAAGCTGTAGTTAAGACTAGTGGCAAATGTTCAGCTTTTTCTCCTTTCGGATAGCTATGCGTTTGGATGTGATTTTTGTATACTGTTTCTCCAGTTTTCTCCTTCCAAGTTCTCTCAAGGAATCGCAATTACCAGTTGATTCTTTCCCCATTGCGGGACTTGGTTTCTGCTGAGTTAGACGGCAAAGAAGAGGGAGAAGTTCGATAATCAAGGAATATCATGAAGAAACGGATGAAGAAAAGAGGGGGAAGATAACTGAAGAAGTATTAATAAAAATAAGAAGAAATGAATAACTGAGAGAGAGCGAGAGAGAGCGAGAGATAGAGTGTGTGTGTGTTTGGCTCGTGTGTGCCGTGACTTTTACTATCCTCTCTCCCTTCCGGTGCTTTATTCCCGCGTTCCTGCAGCCCTCGCGTGTTCGGGCTTCGTCGCTCGACCAACGTCACCTGCTCTCGCTCTCTCCTCCTCCTCCACCTCCTCTCTTCCCTCTCTCTCTCGCTTCTCCCTCATCTCCGGCCATCCTCCCCTGTGAGAATCCGTGCTTCTCGTTTTACAGTAACCTTTACCTTACCCGCCCTCGAAAATCGTTCGGCCACACTGACTCTGCTTCTCTTTCCCAACCATTTTCCTCGAATCAGCTGTCATAATTTCTTTCCAGTTGCTTCTCCCTTTTCTATCTCTCTATTCTGTCTGTCTCTCTCTCCCTCCCTCCCTCTCCCTCCCCATCTGCCCCGTCTTTGTTTGTTCTCTCCCATCGCCCGCCCGCAGTTCGCTCGAGATCCTCTTCTTCTCCGGGCGATAACTGCTCTCTGGTCCCCCCCTGTGTCCTGTACTTCTTGGCGCCTTGTCCGAGTCATTGGTCCTCGGTCGCCGGAGCCTTCCTTTCTGCGATTCGCCCGCCCGCTTCTCAACCTTTCATCTCACGCGCACCTCCACTCAACATCCACCGTTTGGATATCCCGCTCTTCCAGCGCACCCCTCCTCAACTTGTGCTCCACCGACGCCAGTCTGGCTAAAGCGAACTTCCTACATCTTGCTTCAATATTTCTGCGCACTCGTTCGCTGTTGATTCACAGAGAGTCCTTTTGTCGATAGCATTTATCTAGCTACCGCTCATTGTCGTCTTCATAAGCCATTCGTGATGTCACAGAATCGGCCCGGGGTGTTCTCGAGTTTGCGCATTGGTGGTAAGACACGAACACTTTCCTTATCCACACCCTCGTCCTTCTCCAGACTCCAGACTCGAGACTCGTATTCTCGGTCATGTCATGCCGAGCCATGGCTAACTCTATTCTCCCATCGTTCATCCTTCTGTAGAGGTCGTTCGCGAGAAAGTCCAAGATGGACTCACTGGGGAAACCAAGGAAATTTCCTACTCACAGTGCAAAATTGTCGGCAATGGATCGTTTGGTGTCGTTTTCCAGACCAAGATGATGCCCAGCGGCGAGGACGCTGCCATTAAGAGGGTCCTTCAAGACAAGCGGTTCAAAGTACGTGCTCGAGGCAGGCATTTGGTCACTCCTGCGTGGTTGCTAACGACTCCCGTAGAACCGTGAGCTACAAATCATGCGGATTGTTCGCCACCCCAACATCGTCGAGCTCAAAGCATTCTACTATTCCAACGGCGAAAGGGTATGGATCACCTAACCTCCGCTTTGCTGCTAGGTTGTGGCAGGGTCTAGCTCTCGCTCGATCACCTCATGTGCTGACTGCCCTGAAGAAGGACGAAGTCTACCTCAACCTCGTCTTAGAATACGTACCGGAGACGGTGTATCGGGCATCACGCTACTTCAACAAGCTGAAGACGACGATGCCGATGCTGGAAGTCAAGCTATACATTTATCAACTCTTCCGCTCCCTGGCATATATCCATTCCCAGGGGATCTGTCATCGTGACATCAAACCGCAAAACCTCCTCCTGGACCCGAGTACCGGCATTCTGAAGCTTTGCGATTTTGGATCCGCGAAGATTCTCGTCGAGAATGAGCCCAATGTCTCCTACATCTGCTCTCGTTACTACCGAGCTCCAGAGTTAATCTTCGGCGCAACGAATTACACCACAAAGATCGGTAATCGTTACCTACTCGTATTCCACGATATCTTGGATACTAATTCTTGTAGATGTGTGGTCCACTGGTTGCGTCATGGCCGAGCTGATGCTTGGACAGCCGCTTTTCCCAGGAGAATCTGGTATTGATCAATTAGTTGAGATTATCAAAGTCCTGGGTACACCAACCCGAGAACAGATCCGTACCATGAATCCCAACTACATGGAACACAAATTCCCCCAGATAAAGCCACACCCATTCAACAAGGTACGCTAGGCTCTATCAGGCAATATGATTTGTTGTCAGAAGTCGATGTCTAACTCACTCACAGGTCTTTCGGAGGGCACCTCACGAGGCTATTGATCTAATCTCCGCCTTGCTAGAATATACCCCTACTCAACGCCTGTCAGCTATTGAGGCGATGTGCCATCCATTCTTCGATGAGCTTCGAGACCCCAACACTCGGCTACCCGATTCCAGGCACCCGAATGGCTCAACGAGGGATCTCCCAAGTCTTTTTGATTTTTCCAGACATGGTTCGTCCTCCATGCCTTCAGTCGATCTTGCCGGTCCAATTGCTAACATATCTCTGCGCTCGCAGAGCTTTCTATTGCCCCCGCAATGAACAACCGGCTGGTCCCTCCTCATGCGCGCCCTGCACTTGAGGCCCGCGGGCTGGATATCAATAATTTCAAACCACTCTCTAAAGAGGAGATGCTCGCACACCTGGACTGAATCAACGCCTGTGAAATGTGCGAGTAACACGCTCTCATTAGTACAAGGGCCATTGCTTATGATTGCAAGTCTTTGAATTCAGGTCCTATTGGCCCACTTTCATGCGCCGCGCGATTTGTGATACATGGGTAAGAATTTGTTAAACTTCTAGGCCTAGCCCATCGGCTGAAGCATCGGGAGCTGGCTTCTGAATGAGAGCAAGAGCGACGGAGAGAATTGACATAACGCAAACATGAGGGCGGAGAATTGGCACCAAAAAGGATGGCGGATATATGGTCAGAATGAAAAGAAAGAAAAAGAGAGCAAATGGGAAGAGATGATGTGTGACCCGGCGATGATCAAAAAAAGTTTAAAAGAGTGACTCGGGGATGATAATTGTTTCACAGACAGGGTTCGCGGAGCTGTTATACCCCGGAGCTACCGAGTTGTCTGAGACAGCTCATGGGAAGAAAAAATGTGATACCCTTGTTGCGCGAGTCTGCCTTTCGGAATTTGAGTCAGTCGTTTGCCAACCCTCCATAGGAGGAGTCCTTGCAGCAAGTGCCGTTACTCTTGTTCTAAGAGGCGGAAAAGGTATATCCTACAAATGCGTCAGATATTATGAGGATTTTCTCTGTTTGGATGCACATTGCGCTGTGCCTGTGAGTGTGCTTGAATATAGGTATTGGAGGTTTTCTCCTTGACTTGCAGCTCTAGATGCCCCATTTGTGTGTCTCTTTTGCTTTATTCTTATTTCCACCCCCTTTCTTGCTTCTTTTATCGAATTGTCGAAATCTCCATCTTCTGTTGCCTTCTTTTCCTGTTCTCTTATGTTTCTCCTAATATCATCATTTTATCACTACTTCTGGAATTCCTCAATCATTATTCGCTTGTCAAGGACGGTCATGCTGCTTGGCTGGCTTGCGACGGAGCTACTATGCTAGTACGCCAGAAATGTGCCTCTGACTTGGGCATGCCTGTTTTTTCCACCCCCCGCTTCGTCTCTAGAATTTCATAAACGTATGCCCTCCGCGTTTAATTGGGCAAGGTGTTTAACCCTTTACTAATGAACTGGCCTCCTGAAATGGGTATGCGACATGATCTTATACATACCGATCTTCGTATATCATTGTACTTGCACAGATAGCCACCACCGGCGAAGCCGGCATATTTACCGAAGGTAGAAGTAATTGATACCAAAGCAAGGTTATGGATGAGGTGACGATGGCCAGAAGCGCGATTTGCAACACACGGGAGTGGCTGTACTGAACATCTAGTCTTAGCTTTTCGTCGTTTTGGACTTGTACATAATAGGTACATTTTGCAATTGTCCTTCTGGGAAGCGGTGGCGGTCTCCTCCTGCGGCAAGATAACCTCTCAACTGTCTATACCTTCTCATCTTCATATTATCCCACACGGTTCAGTCAGCTGAAACCGCGTCATATCCAACCATTCGTTGAATCATCCTTTCAATAAAAGTCCCCTAAGATGAGTTTTCATAGCTTCGATACTTGTAAATACTGTACGTTAGATGGACAGTTAGATGACAGTCATCAATTTTGATTATCAGTTCTTTACTCGAACTAATTAGTTCAGTTAACCACACAGTACGGAAACTCCATACTTAATCAAATTATCTAAAGAACCATTTAGTTAGTTAATCAAGTTTATTAGTTAACTAATGTAATCGGACAGCGAACCAGCATAACAGTGAACCATCGTTTCCTATATAACTACCACTATAAGAATCACAACTCCATTATTTTAGTTAGAATAGATAAATCAAGTAAGATATACAGTTCTTTATATAGAAGTTTACAAACTATAGATAAAACTATAATGATATATATCTTAAATATAAGATTTATAGATATTTCAGATATATTATACTTTGAATATACTATCTATAGTCTAGTAAAGCTATATAAATCAAGAGATAATACTATATTTAATACTATATTCTAAGATAATATAGCTGAAATTCTCTTTATGATATATCTTATCTGGCTTTATATATATTATAATTTACTATATTACTTTTACTAATATCTTATAAGTGAAAATATTATAAAGTTACCATTTTTATAGTGGTAGTTATATAGAAAAACAACAGTTCGGTGTCGCGCCGGTTGGGTGTCCGATTACGTTAAGTGATGTGTCAATTATTGTGTCAATTATGTAATCAGCGGGTCGGAGGAACCCAGCCTCCGGGACTACTGTACATCATCATCAGTTGGCTATTTTGCTTCAGAACGTACGCGCTTTTGCCGCAACAACAACCCCGATCAGAGAGCTTGTAGCTTCAACCTTCTCTGCTACATTCGCTCCAGACTATTACACCTTACCTTTGTCTTTTTTTTGCATTTTTGCGCCGACAATTCCGTGTGGACCTAGCACCCTCCCTGATGGTCGACTACGATCGTCGGCCCCATGGCCCAAGGGGTGGTCGCAAGAGGCGCTATAGGGGTCAGTAACACCTTACGTTCCTTGAAAATAGAAATTACTTTAGGCTGCAATGCCTCCATTTGTTCTGCTCTGTCATATGTACTATAGCTTCACATTACCAAATTGCCATCCTTACTGACAGATGTGTACGGACGTATAGAAGAAGATGATTACGACCGCCGCCAAAGGCGCAGATACGAGGAACCATTGTTTGTCAAAGTTCGGAGGCAGTTGCTCACAATTGCTGAATCTGTATGAACTCTCGCGAAGCCATGGCCCTTATTGGTTTGCTGGTACAAGTTCTGTAGCTAATCCTTTACACACTGACCTAGGCTGCCAGAAGAGCAGAGGATGACGCTATTCATATTGCAAGAACAGTGGCTGAGAACTACGGCGATGACGAGATTAAGGCTGTGTTTCTTGACACCGCAATCGAACTGTATGCAAACGCCTCCTGCGAACAATCACTACTCATGGCCCAAAGCTAATAAGCATCGAACAGTATCCTCGAGCAGCCGTTAAAGATCCCTTTCATTGCGGCAACAGTCCTTGCTGCAAACGCCTTGAACTCAGAACCTGTTACAGATATATTGAAGCGAGCAGGTGAATCTTTGCAAGGGTACATCGATGCTGGTGCGTGGCGTGAAGTCAAGCTCCTTCTGCGTTTTCTCGGTTGCCTTCAGGGTGTTTTTGAAGGGGAAGGAATTTTTCCCGTTTTGGAAGAGATATTTGCGCGCGCGGTTGACCTTCAAACGGCTTCCTCTGAAGATGCGAGTAATCCAGTAGCACGTTTCTCCGTACCCATGCTAACCGCCCTCGACAGTTGCTCGGTCTGGAACTCGTCAAAATCATCCTCTTCATCTTACCATACGTAATGGCATCGCCAGCAACCGGTTTTGAACCTCAGGCAACTGCTCTTCTGGAAAAGACCGATATCATCGCTTCTACTCCGCATGCTCTTGTGGATCTCGTGAACCCTTTCAGTCTCCCCGAGCACAGGCTGACTGCCACAGAGAGCATAATCAGCTTGATGCAGAGACAGCTCCAGGAAGAATCGAGTCGGTCCTGGGAACTCGCATGCCTCCCGCGCCCATGGAAACGAATTTCTGAGACCCTCGAATCGCAGAATGAAACTCAAGTCGAAGTTCAAGATGGAGAAGAAGCCGAATCGCCCAGGGCTCTGACATTTGCAACAAAGCATGCTTTCCCGCGAGTCATCATTCCCAATCCTGTCTACAACGGAGCAAGAGCGATCTTCCCGGAGATCTATCTTTCTGTCTATACGAATCAAGACATTGAGACAGTTCCGCCAACATCGGACATTGCTTCGTCCCTATTACGTGATTCGCTCGTCGATACGATCAACATCCTTGATTTTAACCGTATTGCAACTGCGAAGTATCTCATCGACGTTGATTGTTATTTCACGCCGAATACCTTCGTCAAACGAGCCACACCCTTTGATCGCTTGCGTGAACTACCCGCTGATCGGCCTCAATGGAAGCCCGAAGACGTCGCTGTGGACGCGGTATTCTCTCAACTCTTCCAGCTGCCATGCCCTGAACACAAGTTCATTTATTACCACTCCGTGCTTACTGAGTGCTGCAAGATTGCTCCTGCGGCCATTGCTCCAAGCTTGGGTCGGGCTATTCGATTCCTATATCGCAGCCTTGAGACAATCGATCTCGACCTCAGTCATCGATTCCTGGACTGGTTCTCTCATCACCTAAGTAACTTCGGCTTCACTTGGAAATGGAGTGAATGGTAAGCTCAATCCAAATACCTTGATTCTCAATAAGCTTAACTGTCTTATAGGATTGAGGACCTGGAGTTACCCGCCATTCATCCTCGAATGGCTTTCATTGCCGGGGCGCTCGACAAGGAGATCAGATTGAGTTTCGCCCAGCGTATCAGAGGAACTCTACCGGATCCCTATCAAGAATTGATAACAGAAGGGAAGGAGAAGGATATTCCAGACTTTAAGTACATGTTTGATAGTAAGTTCAGGATGCCCCGGATATTCTCCTTTCCCTTGAACTACCCACATTTTTCTGCTGGGGCACACCTACATGACTACCAAACTGACAGATAAAATAGCTACACCGTATGCAAAGGAGGGTAAGGAAATTATGCAGCTTGTTCGCAAGAAAGCAAGTGATGACGAGATACAACCCTTCATTCAAGCGATCGAAGAACAAGCCAAGTCTTTAGGTGTTGATGATCCATTGCTTCCATCCACCGACGCATTTGTCACCGCTATTTGCTTCGTGGGATCTAAATCTCTTTCTCATGTCCTTTCATGCATTGAGCGAAACAAGGAGCGGCTATTGGCCATTGGCCCAAAGTCCCCTCAAGCTCAACGTCAAATTATCACATCCGTCATGAACTATTGGGTAGATCAACCGGGTATCGGTATAAATATTATCGACAAACTCCTGAACTACACGATTCTCACCCCGCTATCAGTCGTCGAGTGGGCTCTAGTTGACAGCCTTGAAGCAGGTACGGTTCTTGCAAAACCGCACATCTTTGAGATGATCTCCGCCACCGTTGGGAAGGTCACAAACCGTCTCCGACAGATTGTTGCTGCCCGTACTCAGTCCAGCTTGTATGAGCCTCAACTAAGCGTTCTGGACGAGACTTTGAAACGTGAAAAGGCCGACATGCAAGCCCTTTTTCGAGTCATTGAGGACTCCATTGTATCGGTTGCTGGTGGCAGTAACGATGAGCTAATGGAAAGAGGGGACGGGAGCGGAACTATGCCTGAGGATGAGATCATCCGGCGTTGGGGCCAGCGGTGGCTCAGAGTGTTCCGGCGCAGAGCTGGCGTTGAAGAGTCTTTCATTGTCGAGGCCATGACCAAAGCAATTCCAGTCGGCACGGTGGCACCTTCCCCTGTCCCAGATGAGCTCATCGCTTCTGAGCGTGTCCCGTCAAATGGAGACATGGATTTGACTGAGATGGTGCAGGAGAATTGACACTCCCATATTACAGAAGGGCAATTTTTAGTCCTTTGTCATATGATTTTATGTATAATTGTGAGAGTCAGGGTTGATTCACACTATGTGCCCGTATGTGTGTGTGTTATTATCTGTATGTAAGATCAATCAAAAGAACGGATTCGCGCAATGGGATAAAATCTACCTTTATCCGCCAGTCTCGAAGGTTTTTGGCAAGCGAGAGCTCCGACAAGGAAAGACGCAGGAAAGATTCTCTGGGCACCGATGGCATAAAAACGCATTTGGTGGAATCCCGAAGAGTGATACGTCCTTCGCGCGATTGGAAAAGTCAAGACCCGAACCAAGCCTCATTGGAGAATAAAGCCGAAACAAATCCCTACATTATGCTGAAGAGTGGTTCCCACGGGCTACCGTCCGGGGAAATCCGATGTTACAGTCAAATCAATATCGGGTTTCCGATGCTCAAAAGTTGTCATTAAATTGCTTTGTACATGCTGGTAGAAGTTTCCCTACTCAAAGTTTGGCAAAAATGTATGTACAGGCGAGATAGAAGGGATGCCCAGCCGTAAAGGTGGAAGTGTTCACACAAAATAGAAGTGTTAAAGCCAACAGCGCGGCTTGATCCGAACAAGCATTAATGAGGCAAACATTGTACCAGAAAAGATGTGTACAAATGGTGATTACGTAATATGATGACAGGAGCAGAAAAGAAGTATTGTAAGGGAAGCACAAACCATGAAATCGTAAAGTAACCCTGCCCTCGAGTGAGAGTCAACTGGGTCAGGAATCGACTTTGGATGAGTTAGAGTCCGGTGCGGTCAAATCGCGTTGCTGCAATTCTTTCACATGACCATCACTTCCAATTAAGCTCTCTAGCCGATATCGAGCGTAGCCAGCTCTCAAGACTATCCCGTAGAAACGATTTGAGAGACCAGAATAGGATCAAGCGACGCCGCCGAGTCGAGCTTTTTATAAAGTGACGAGAAGAGGCATGAAGACAGGGGTAATGAGATTTGCTTCACAGCGTCTTCTTAGTCTCGTCTTCGGCCAAGTATCTCCGATCATCCTCGCCTTCAACAGTCTGCAGGATGGTCTCCATTTCTTTTGTTTGCCTTTTCCATTCCTCCTGATCATTTTTAGTCTCACGACGGAAGAGCTCGGCGTTTGGTTTCCGGTAGCTGCCACCCAGACGATCCCATAGAGTAGTAAATTGGCCGTAGTTATAATTGAAATAAAGGTGATGCATGGTGTGACAGGCGGCGCCGTTGACGACGGGGCTATTGGCCACGTATTCACCGTCATGGATCAGTACGGTCCATAGGTTAATAAACCCGAAGAGGAAGACATATGCAAGTTTTTGAAGGGGAAAGATGAAAGGGAAGACGTGGTAAGGAACGCTCTGAGACCATCCATCGAGAGGGTGAAAAGCGTGGGAGGCGAACGGGCTAGGCATGATCCACTTGTGGTGAGGCTTATGCAGTGTCTTGTAGATCAACGGATGGTGCAAGCCACGGTGGATCCAGTAGATGCAGAGATCTGTAAAGGCGATGAAGAGCGGGAATTGCAGGATGCTATAGTAGGGAAAGGGCTCTTCCTGGAAGGTATCGTAGAGTTTGGCGTAGCCACGGACTTCCGCCACGAGAAAGGGGGCAGTCAACAGGGACATGACAGGCATCGATTGCATGGTTTGAGTGATTTCCATGGGAATCTGGTTCTTTAGAAATTTAGGGTGGTGAACTGTAGTCTTGTCCCAAATGAAGATGTACGACAGTGTTGCACAGATGAAGTAGACAATCAGACCAAAGATCCTATTCACATGACAGTCCTCCGTTAGCAATGAGGATGTCCAAGGGAGGGATATCACATACCAAACAATCAAGAAAAAACTAAGAAACTGACGGTAAATGTTGTTTCTCGGCCAAGCGCTCAGGTAAGCATATTTGCTAGGCTCCAAGTAGAACAAATGCGTGGCCGGTTCGTAGACGTAGGGCCTCGATGCGCCGAATAAGGACAAGGTACTATTGGCAGCCGTAGCGAATCCAGGGATTGAGGCAGAGGATGAGAGCGACAGAGGAAGGAGCGAGGAGTAAAGGCGATCACCGATAAAAGTGTCCCAAACTTCGAGGGCGATATCCATGATGGTGTGCTGATTGCCACAGAGGAGAGGGAAGGAGAGGCGCGGTGAAAGTCGAAGAAGGGAGACAAAGAGAGGGGAGGGTTTTTTTTGACCAAGCCAAGAGTCAAAGTCTCCTAGAAGAAAACAAGAGTTCTTCACTAGGGTAGCTAAGTATTATAATATTTAATCAGGTAGAGAATTGGGTCAAAGAGACCTCAAGAGATATTGAAAAGGGGAGGAGAAGGGATAATTGGGGGAGGGGGGGAGGGAGGGAGGAAAGACCAAGAGGTACTTAGTAAGTTGAGTTGCTGTGAAGGGAAAAGGTGATTTTGTACTCTATAATAATGTACCTGTTATTACTAGTTACCTAGTTGAAGAAATTATGCAGGCACCCGGTGGAGAGTGAAATACAGTGGACACCAATTAAAATGATGTTCTGTTTTGGACGGAGAATCACACCAGAGCGGAACAAACCCAGCCGTTAGTCATAGTTCCAGTGGGGAACATGGATCCTCATAGAGTACTTAAGGACGATACTTGAGTATAACTACAACTAAGTTCCTAACTATAAATAAGGTACTGTACTCTGGAGTAAATACGAGTAGTGTATATTTACTGACTCCATGAATGAGTATACTCAGATGAACAATGATTCCGTGCCATAGTAAAATCCCCATTATTGTTGGACGACTAATGCACCAGTAGAAAAGGTATTCATGACTATAGTCAGTCACAAAGTGGTAAGTCATCCAGCTTTTGGGCTTCTTCACAGCCTCATGGTATCAGCAATTCATAACCCAGTTCATTTCCCTGGGAATAATCATAGAGTGACCTAACTACCTTACTAGTTAGGTAGTTGAGAGGAACGAGGTACGGAAGGGACCTCTCGCTTGCTTTTGCTGCAGCCGCTCGCTTGGAGCGGCAAATAGTGGGTGGCGATTGGGTAGCGGGGAACTCCCAGCGAAGTTTGGTACCTTACCTAAACGGTCTAAACCGAACTGTCACGGCACCTCATCTGAATCGTCGCCCTTCTCCTCCTTCAGCTTCAGCAACTTATCCCATCCAAACTTCTGATTGTCCAACCCACATTCAGTTCATCCACATCCAACCCTCTCTCCTTCTTCACCCACTCTCTCCATCCCCTTTATCTCATCTTACTCAGTCCTTCTCGATTGGGTCAGCCCTGATTGATCCCCTTTTATTCGTCAGAATCTAGCTCTCTTTGAAAGCTCACTGCCTGCGCAAGATCTTGAGTGGCGCGCTGTGATGCGGCTGCGCTAACTGAGTATTCTGTTTCAGTTTTTGTAGCCCTGTCATCATAAAACTCGATATCTCCTTCGTCCCTCGAGACGGCGGACTACTATCATCACCCGTTTAGCGGAAGCAAGCCGACTCTGACTTCCGTGTTTCTCTCCAATAAAAGCATATCTCTTCCTCCCCTTCTTTACTTCGTCAACGGATCTTGCTTGCCGTCTCTTTTCCGTGTTCTTTTCTTTTTTGACGGTTGTCCCGATCGAGTTGTCTTAGTTCATTCACACGATAGCATCGAAAACACAATCGTGCGCCATGTACAACACTCATCGCGGGATGGTTCCCGCTCCAAACTCACGCCTGACGGAATTGTTGGATCAGCTGCGTCAGGAATTTGAAAACCAGTCCAGAAGTACTGGGGAGTTCGAACATCAATGTATGTCTAGCTTCTCTTCATTCTTTGCGTGGTCCACCACGTCGGCCCTGCGACTGGACGGTTCTGCGAGTGGAGGTCTCCCTTCGACGTATTACCTTTTTTACCCTTGTCGATTCCACCTTGTCGCACGGCTGCAATTCACCAGAAGGCGGCTGGGACGAACAAGAGAAACCGGTCACAGAATTACTAGCCCAGAAAGCCACTTGCTAACTGATTCTTTCTAGTAACTGGTCAGCTTCAGGAAATGGAAATGATCCGGCAGAAAATCTTTCAGCTGGAACAGACGCAAGTCAAGATGAAACAAGAGTGCGTGATTCATTCTTATCATTATTACTTCGGGGGCGTGGGAAACGAGAAAAGCTAATTTCCGTTGCTTTGCAGCTACGAAGCAGAAATTCGAGTGTTGCGACACGAGCTTGAGTCACGCGGTGTCCAACCTGTCTCATCGCATATCACTGGCCCTGCCCAGCACGCTGGTCCTTCTCAAGCGCCGCCTCCTGCTTTGGGTCACGGGCCCAGCAACCTGTTCGGTGGCATCATGACCAATCAAGGAGGTAGCGGCCCTGGTCTTGCCCCTCCCCCTCCCCAGGATCAACAGCCTCCCCAGCATACTCTTCAGCAGCCTGCTGCCGCGGCTCAGCAGGGAGCGCCTCAGCCACCGCAGAGCTCGTTTGGAGGATATCAGCCTGGGGCTGCTGTAAATGGTATGTTGTGGCATTTTTTTGGTTGGAGGTAGATTTAAGATTACTGACTGGGCTGTGCCTGGGTTTAGGCTATGGACCGCCTCCCCCACCTGCTGCCTCTCCAGGTCCTGGTAAGCGGCCTCGCGCACCTCCTGGCCCAGCTACGCCTCAGCAAACTCATCAACTCGCCTACCCTGATCCGCGTGTCTCCCCGCAACTGGCCCGTCCGACTCCCCCTACTCAGTCGATTGTCCGTGATCGTCCTGGAAACATGCTCGCCAACTGGAATCCCGATGAACTACCTGCCTCACAGAAGCGCGAAGGCGCTGATTGGTATGCTGTGTTCAATCCTGAAGTGCAGCGCGTGCTAGACGTCGAACTCGTCCACCATCTCGTTCATGACAGCGTCGTCTGCTGTGTTCGCTTTAGCCGAGATGGCAAATACCTCGCCACTGGCTGTAATCGTCAGGCTCAGATCTACGATGTTACTACCGGCCAGGTTGTTGCCACGCTGCAGGACGAAACTGTCGACAAGAATGGCGATCTGTACATTCGTAGCGTCTGTTTTAGCCCGGATGGCAAGTACCTTGCCACTGGTGCCGAAGACAAGCAGATTCGGGTATGTCTAGCTCTATTATCTCTAGGAAGTGAAGACCGTACCTGGCAGAATCCATTTCTCGTTGCCACTGTTGTCCCAAATGTCCCCCATTGCCATTATCTCATGGGATTGTCTCCACGGCATTATTCCCAATGTCTCCAGTTCAGAAGCTAATATTTTCATCCAGGTTTGGGATATCAGTTCTCGGACGATCAAGCACATTTTCACTGGTCACGAGCAGGACATCTACTCTCTTGACTTTGCTGGAAATGGCCGCTACATCGCTTCCGGCAGTGGGGATAAGACAGTCCGTCTTTGGGACATTCTTGATGGCAAGCTAGTCTACACACTAAGTATTGAAGATGGCGTGACTACTGTAGCCATGTCTCCTGATGGTCATTATGTCGCCGCCGGCTCCTTGGATAAGAGTGTTCGCGTCTGGGATACCACCACCGGCTACCTTGTGGAGCGTCTAGAGAACCCTGATGGGCACAAGGATAGTGTCTACTCGGTTGCTTTTGCACCCAATGGTAGAGATCTAGTCAGTGGCAGTCTTGACAAGACTATAAAGCTCTGGGAGCTCAATGTTCCCCGTGGCGCATACCCTGGCAGTGGAGTCAAGGGTGGGAAATGCGTCCGTACATTCGAAGGTCACAAGGTAGTTTAGCCCTTGTTGCTATCGTCGCAGCCTGCTTGTAGCTAATTTGAGTACCAGGATTTCGTGCTCAGTGTTTGCCTGACCCCCGATGGTCACTGGGTAATGAGTGGCTCCAAGGATAGAGGGGTCCAATTTTGGGACCCAATTACCGGCAACGCACAGATGATGCTTCAGGGTCACAAGAATTCAGGTACGCGAAGTCAGCGAGTGTCCATTCACTCACAGTAACTCGATTAACCTCTACTAGTTATCTCGGTTGCTCCTAGTCCCACCAACAACCTGTTCGCTACCGGCAGTGGTGATATGCGAGCAAGAATCTGGAGGTATGTTCCATCATCCGTGTTGAAATTTTTATTGGTACTTGGGACGAGCGGCATTGACATTATTCCCTCTGTCTTAGATACTCTAACTACACTGGCCGGTGATTTGAATGCGACGAAAGGGTTCTGGCGCAAACGTGAAATGTCTTTTGTCTTCTCGTGATTGCTGTCCTTGCCTTGACTTTGAATAGTTAATGCTCCTTGCTTCGTTCTGCTTGAGGATGTCTGCGTCCCCGAAGGATAAATGCTTTCCATCCCGACTCCCCGCGCGTGGTTCGGTGAGTTAATGTACGTCTGACTGGGCTAGCTTCTAGCCTTCTGGGGCGCAGTCCTTTGACCAAAAGTGAAAACCAGTTCAGAGGCTGTGTTGGTTGTGGTTTCCCGCTCGGTTCCCCGGTAATGATCTTGTCTTGAAAAGAGGCCAACTGTCTCTGTAACGAATGCACCTAGAATTGCGAACGTATCTACGTAACAATTTGCACCAATTCCTTTTTTATGCAAGCTCGCGGAGGGTGGCATGAGTGGCTATACTCAGGAGCGCTTTCTGCGGACGCTATTCAAAATGTCCACAGAGTTCTGGGCTTTACATACGGCATGAATGCAACTGCCGCAGCCATCGGGAAATCGGTAGATAATTTACTCTACTCAAGTGGGGAGTGCAGGTAGCAGGCTGCAGGGACTCCCAGCATAAGGCAAAAGATATACGGAGTACTTGATATATCTGAGAGCCAAGCACATGCGTTTTGAGCTTGGAAGTTAGATTGAGGTCTCCATACCTCTCGGGGGCCAGATGGTAGACCTTTTCTCTCAGGTGAAAGACGGGAGAGCTCCCGGAAGGATTCTTAAATGTAGCGAGTACTGGTATTAGGTCGCAATCCGTGTGCAGGAATCTGTCAGCAGCGAAGATCAAGCATCTCACTCGTTGATATGACGCTTCGCCCCTACCAAAACGCAGCTCCGGTCCGGGCCAAGGACGTACTGAGTAGTAGGTATGTACCGACTCCGTAAACTAGTCCACGTTCAAGCTCCAGCGAGGAATCAGGGCCTATTGCAACTGGGTTAACGCAATGACAGTCAGCACCTACATATCTAGTTTAGCGGGGTTACATGCGCAGGTAGCGCAGGGATACTTCCGACAAAGCGGGCTCAATACGAGCCTGTGCCTCCAGTAGGGTATGCATGCCTGGTACAAGAGCTGGCCACGATCATGATGTAGGGAGGGTAGTTTTTGACAGAGCTATGTCAACCAACTAGAGCTCTCACTGTATAAAGGTACAGCATCTTGTCGACTATTCTTTCCCAAGAGCCCGTCGTGGAGAGGATGCCGATCAGTTCCTATGTCTCAAGGCTGTTAGCGGCTGAATCCCATTCTGATAGTTACATGTGCTAACACAGAGTCATGGTTAGTAGGATATTATCTTATTTCTGTAAGGTTCTTTCTTACCTGGTATAGCGAGAAAAGCAGCAGCAGGGTCATCTTGTGCTTTTGTTCACCCTACTTGGAAGAGGAGCACTGCTTATTATTAATACACTGATGCGCTCAGGCACTGTATATTCACGCAGTTCGTGCATGAACTATTCCAGATATTAGACCATATACTCTGTAGACCAGGAGTAATTACCAAAATATCAGAAGGAGTACTCTGTACAAGCTGCTTTTATTGTGTGTATGAACAGGCCAGATCGTGAGTCCAAGATACATCAAGAAGAATGAAAATTACATAGGATACCTAAAAAATCTACTTGGCTCATCTTGTGAGTGGGAATTAGATGCATGTATTGTGATGTATCTCAGAGTCCTTCATGATGGTTCCTCTATTTGCTTCCGGGCTGTGTGTACGGTGTACGGTGTGCTGTTATGTTTATCAGCTTGTATCTGTATATACAGGATTGTACTGTACACGGAGTACGCTCAGGGCCGTGATAGTCGCAGATCAGCCGCCACCAGCACATCAGCAGATATATACAACATGGGTCGGTGGAGTTTGACTTAAGTATCATATGGTCAGTTCGCTAACTTACTATATGAAGATGCCAATTGATTACTAACACTACAGTCATTCATCTTACAGTTTTCACCCTGATCAGTTTCGTAAGGAATTTTAGACCCCATAGCCCGGAGAAAAAATCAGTATAACTACGGAATAGTAGTCCTTTACCAGGTCCAAAGTGAAGAAGGCCCGGCCCGCTCTGGGTAGTGGTTGATTGGCTAAGAAACAACCAAGCATATCATGCCCTACTTCCCTTTGAATTTTTCTTATTATTTCTTTATTGATTGTGAGAGTGTCCTGCCAGTAGATCCGACTAGGCCTGTGTAGGCACGAGTATACCTAGCTGTACCTTGTTGGGAGGGATGATCTCTCTAGCATGTGCTGTATTACTTTATACTATCAAAGTTCATTACCTAGACTGCCACTCAAACATCAGAAGCTAAGATATACGAAACTTTACGAGGTTGTTGATTAAGGGCAATGAGGCGAGCCCAAGATTCACAAACTCATTGGGAGGGTCCGAGGTAGAAAAAGGCGAGAGGGAAAGGACCGGATCAGACAGGGAGCCAGCCAAGTGCGGACAATGGAGAGAGAATTCCCTGTCGCTAGTCGCGGCTGTTGCAAGTTTCTGGATTTATCCTTATCCTATTTAATTCTGGAAGTCTGTCTTTTATTTGTTCAATTTTCTTATTTTCCATTTTTCATTTTTCATCTTTCCCCCTTTATTTTTTTTTCTAGAAAATATATTTATACCTCCATAGAATAACTCAATTGTCTTCCCCGGAGAAATCTAGAGTAGTCTAAGCTAGGTACTTCGTAGGGGGAAAAAAAGGTGGTGGTGTGGAGCAACATATCAGCCCTCAAGTGCACGGGAAGGGGTGGAGGGACCCGGACTTTGAAAGCTGAACTCATACTAACTACTGTGTGAAGGAGCGGACGGTCCGTCCTGGATCTCTTGTCCGCCGACCGAAGCCTTGTCTGTCCAGTGTCTATCTAGTCTTATTTAGGGGATTTCTCTGAATATCCCGGTCTCCAGCTGGTACTTATTTAGGCACCTCAGCACAGTAAAGTACTAGCCCAACTCAAACTTAAGCTGTTCTTGCCACCATGAATATCAAAGGATAAGCCAGGTGAATGCTACCGGATGCTTACGGTAACATGAGCTTTGAATCCAGTCTTTTTGGGGGTAGAGTGATCCACTCATACTCAATCAACGGGACAGTACGTGGCCTTAAAGGTTCTGATAATACTGAATCTGCAATTTTGATTGCCTTCAGACACCCAGCACAACCCACACATCCAGTCACTCAAATACTTATATTTTATAACTAAAGAGCAGCACAACAATACGGAATATGTTAGCTCGGATGGGGATGGAGGGGGAAGTGTGCCGGAGTCTCATTCCATGATTCACCTCGCATCCTCCCCTCATTTCCCTCCTTTTCCGCCTATTGGCGCTAGAGACACCCTGTCATGATCGACATACAGTACAGTACATAGTGACCCTTCGAGCTCGCGGGAGTTCCAATCCCTGAACGAGCACTTCTGTTCGCTGAGGTAGATCCCATCAGCCCAGGGGCTTTGCGTGACTGACGAGGGTATCCTGGTCATTTTCAAGACATGCTGTACGAGACAAGGTGATCTCTTGTTAGGTAAGCGGCATGGCATTGACAGAAGGGGAAGACAGTGAACGAAAGGCTGTCATACCTCGCCGCTAATAGTACTCGAGTTCGAGATGATCATCGTCGCGACGTCGACAATACTAGTCAGGTACTAAACCCGAGCTGACCTGCCTCAAAGATATGAGTGCCTGTTTCTCCACCGCTCATTCGAGCAAATGGGGTCAGAACCTGCTGGTTGTCTAGAATTGCCAAAAAAATACTCCGCATCCTCAATGCAGTCAGTGCGTGATTGTCAGCCCGATCGGAAGGTCACTACACATTCCGCGATTGGGTCAAAGTGTCCACGAGTGGTGGTTCTACTAGTCGATTCCTCCGGTTATCATGCAGCCTTCAGCAAGACCAATTTTTCGCCCCAATGTTCGGGGCGCATACGAGACAGACAAGTGATCCGTGAGTCAAGGGGGTAGACGAGAGAACAGCCAGCAAGATAGGCGCCGAAGAAAAATCATACATCAGCCCCCGGGGCTTAGATCTTGCAACCTTGTCATCCAGACCGGCTTCCCTGGACTGTGGTCGATCTAGTTCAAGGTGGTCTCCTACAGACCTAGCTCGGACGGCATGGCGCCAGTTAAATGCATTCAATCATGGTATCCATGACCTCACATCAACCTCTCTTCATTGGCATTATTAGACAAGGCCCCCCTCTGAGCTAGCTACCGCCAGGTCGAAAATGGGAAAAAACAAATGGTTTAGACAAACTGAAGCATGCTGCGCGCCCTGGATGAGGATAAGGAGAGACAATACATCTTGTCCAAAACAACTAGGTAGATTCAGGTAAGTCTTAAGTGCTTGCTGCAACACCCATGTGTATTGTGTATGGGTCTCGCAGATGATTTCAACCGTGAGCTTCTCCGGAGTAGTTCTTGCATTCTTGATCCTTCCTTTTTACATTTTCAGGTTTTTATTTCTTCCCTTCAATTTTTGTTCTTTGATTTTCTTTTCTCTTTTCGTTTTGTATTTGGTTTTTATTTCAGTCCTTCTTGAATTTACCTCTGTTTCCTCACTTTCAAGGTCGAATTTGTTCCAATGGGTTCTTTCTTCCTCATCCTAATATCCTCCATTTTCGCCCCTTAGCCCCTAAAGCCTTCTCGTCCACTCCTGCGCCTTCTTGCTTCTTCACCTGGCCGTAACATATGTATACATATGTAAAGACCTACTGACATGCATACACACTCAAGCGCCCTCAAACACGCACAAGTGAACACGCATATACATACCATCACACGTCAATATTCACATACATATAAACATACATACATACATACATACATACATACATACATACATACATACATACATACATAATACAGCATCCATACATACAACTGCATACGGATATACCTATCGATCTCTTTTCCTACTCCGCCCAAGCCTCCATCTAGCTAGCTACGGAGTGGACTAGGTACCAGCTAACAAGTAAGATCCCTGTAGTTTTCCACCCGCTGATTCCACTTCTCTGGGATACTGAGAAAGGGGTGGGCGGAATTGACTTGTATATCTAGTTCTAGGTCGCCTCCCTCAGCTGTCCTCAGCCGTCCATACTATGAGACAGAAAGAGGAAGCGTGTCCATAATCTCGACCAGAACAGGTCTTTAGGGCCTCACACCAGGCACAATAAACATTTGAGCAAGGCTCGGAGAGGCATCAAGCTCGGACACAACGCTTCCTTTGCACTGCATCCTCGACTATTCTTCATGTTAGAAACCTGAAGAAAGTCAGCCTCGAGCACGAAGTGACCTTACTTTCAACCCACCCATATCTGCTGACTAGCGGGTCCTGCTGCTGAAATGAAAACACTTCGGTGATTCTACGTTCTGGAAGGTGTCGATCATCGTTGCACATTCGATCCATTTCTCGTTTCCTTGCCCTCTTCAAGTCTCATATATACAACAAGACTAGCATCATCGGGACTTACCGAAGGGCATATTCACTTAGCGAGGGAGCTCAAAATCTCCTCAAGATCGAGATTTGTCTTTGAGCTCAGTCTTCGCACACCCGTTGGCCTGGGGGATCTTTTTTGCTTCTGTCCCTTCAACTCCGGAAGCTGGTCGTGAAATCTAGCAAGGTCGTTCGAGCCGTCACTATCACAGCTGCAAAGAAGATACCTATCACCAGCCCAGCTGTAGGATACCCGCTTGGTTGATATTTGCTTTCTCCTCGTTCCCAAGTTCTAAGCGTCAAGTTTCAGCAGAGCTAAAAGAGTCACAGGACATTTCCGTTCTCTGGATTCACGGGAGAAGGAGTGGATCAGAGCCTTTTACCTTGAAGCTTTGGCAGTCAAGAGCCCTAGCTTGTGTGCCTGAGACATAGCTCGTCGACATGGAGACGGCTGAATCTGCATCTTACGAATTTCCAGGCCATGCTATTGGTGCCGTTGCCCCTCGTCGGATGATGAATACCAGCCTTGGTCACAGTTTATCCTTCTATGCGAGCCCAAATGCTCCGTTTCCTCTTTCTTTTCACCAGCATGCGCCGGCAAATTATAGCTTCGGGCACCCTATTCACCAACACCATCATCATCCACACTCGCATCAGCATCAGGTTCAGCATCACCACCAGACAGGCTACCCGCATTACTTTGTACCCGGTCAGCAGTCACTTAACTCACAACCTGTGCGCCTTCCTTCAGAGCCGCCCTCAACCCAGCCAATCCCAGATATTCGACCGGCCAAAAATGCGGTCAACCGGCTGACGAAAGATGTACTGGCCAAAAATGATCCTAGGTCTGGCTCGCAGCAGCCATCTGACCAGCAGCCAACGACGGGGGAAAAATCACAGCAGGAAAGCCCATGCCCAAATGAAATTGAGTTCTCAACTGAGGTGGACATACTTATGAAAGCAATACAGTCCAAGGCTAGTGCTCATTCAGGAGGCGTGCAGTTACTGCCACCACTACAACAGTTAACCCACGGAGGCAATCAAGCCTTTTCTCATTCTTACTCAATTCCACCGTCATCGAGCCCGCGTTGTACTACAAAGGTCGACGACCAGCCATCACGAACAGGAAAGAAACGCAAATACGCTTGCACCCTTCCATATTGTGGCAAGAGTTTTGCGCAGAAGACACACTTGGACATACACATGAGAGCCCACACAGGTGACAAGCCCTTTGTGAGTATACATATATTCTACCATAGCAATGGAAATGGCACTGACAGTCAACCTTGAAGGTCTGCAGAGAGCCCTCCTGTGGGCAGCGCTTCTCCCAACTCGGAAATTTGAAGGTAAGTCGTGCTTCTGGCTCGATGCTGCCCACCAGTGTGTGCAATTTATGACCGTTCCTTTGAGCATCATAGACCCACCAACGACGCCATACAGGGGAAAAGCCATTTTCCTGTGAAATATGCCATAAACGATTCGCTCAGCGGGGCAATGTCCGCGCACATAAGATCATCCACCAACACGCCAAGCCTTTCACATGCCTTCTAGACGACTGTGGTAAACAATTTACACAGCTGGGTAACCTAAAGGTATGCTCTTACAGAGGTCGCTCTGCAGTTTGTTCAACAGAACTGACCTGAGAAATGTGGCAGTCGCACCAGAACAAATTTCACGCCACAACCCTCAAGAACTTAACGTTCAAGTTTTCTCAGATGACAAATGCAGATAGCATGAGCTCACATGACCTGAAGCTCTGGGAATACTTTGCTACCTTGTATAAGAATAGCAACAAGGGCATTAAAGGCCGCGGAAAGGATCGCAGAATTTCTCCTGCTTCAAAATCCGTGACAAGGCCTGACGTCTACAGAAGGTTACAGGCTATTGGCAATAATGACGAGAAGATGCGCCGTGCAAGCTACGGGGATACATCAACGTTGAATGAAGGTTCCAGCAGCGACGAGGAGGATGTTGAGCCCTACTTCATCGACAGACAGTGAATTGACCTAGAATTGGGATGGAATTCTTCCCATTTGCCTCACTTTATTATTCCTGATGCTAGGCCACGACTCAAGACCCTATCGCTTTGCAAGTTGTTGCTTCCAATCTCAACATATGAAGGACAGTTGCGATGATAGAAACGACACGGCGCAGAGGGCCCAGTCAAAGCTCTAACCGACGTATGTACAGGAACCATTTGTATATCAGATCCTAATGTCTGCATACCTATCGCAACTTGCTCAACTCTTGTCATTATGCTAGTCAAAGTAGACATGGCCGGCGACGTTTCCCCATCTACTCCATTCACGGACGTTATGATGACCTCAGAGGAGGTACCGCGGATTGTTTCTCTGAACAAGTCAGGAGCTATTAATGTCTTCAACTAGTCACCGAGCCTCAGCCGTGGCAAACACGCCCGGGTATTTTCATATACGAGAAAGGTGACCCATGTGTTAGGTAATACCCGCAGCATATTAGGCATTAAACCTTTGTAAAAGCCCTTGACCCCTTCTCTGGCCCAGATTTTCCTCACCGCATCGCCAACGCCCGCGTAGGCAAGATGAGCGTCGTAGGTCTGCAACCGGGACCGCAGTACCTGATATGGATACGTAACGCACCCCGCAAAGAGCTTCGAGAGGCTGGACATGACGAAGTAGTCCACGTTCCCAAGGTCCGATGGCGCTGGCCGCCGTGAGCTCAACCCATCGGCGCCGTTTGAGACGACACCGGGCATCATGCGGGTGCGATACAGCTTCAACTGCTCATAAGCCATGAATTGCAACGCACCATGACTTACCCCAAGCAACGCCGGGACTAGGCCTCTGTAGAAGCCAAAAATACCTTCTGAGCGAAATATCTGTCTCGCACCTTTGCTAAGGGAGGCGTAGGCTCCCGGCACCTGGGAGCCACTTGAAAGCATGCGAGTTTTGATGACCCATATGGGATTCGTTAAAACCGATGTGATCATACCTAAGTCCGGTTTCAGTTGCTGGAGTTCCGGAATCGCTCGAGTCTCTTGTTGAACCTCAGCTGGGAAGACGTACCTGCGGAGGCCGAGGATAGGAAATAGTCGGTGGAGCTCAGACCCTGTCCTGGAGTACCCCCACGCCAGGTTCGCATCAAATCCTTGATGTTGCCGTAGCAGAGGAAGTAAAGGGCCCAGCTGGTCGAGTTGCCAACGAGGTTTGGCGTCAAACCTCGGTAAAATGCCGACAGGCCACCCTCATGCTGAAAAATGCCCTGGACAAGTCGGAGTGATCCATGGCCACGAGGCGCAGAGGTTGGATCAACTAATATGAATGTTACTCTATGATCAGATCATACGCAGAACGGGTCATTGGAGAAGCGAGTAACGGATCTCAGTCAGTGAGAGTAAAAATACAGGCGTACCCTGAAGTCGAGTCTTGATCAAATCCAGCGGATGCAGTGAAAGCGTAGAAACAACTCCCGCCGTCAAACCTGCTACGGTCTCCACAAAGGATGACGATAAGCCATCCTTGGCAGTCATTAACTCTTAAATTCTTCGAATCCACCGCAAACGGTCAAAGCTGCTGGTTTCTAGGGAAGAAGATAGAGAAGTGGAAACTCTAGCTTAGTGTCGGTGTTGAATATTGTGTAGTTTACGGAGCAGAGCGACTACGAAAATGTCAGTCCGGGCCCTGGGCTTGAGTTTGCGTGGTTTGTGCATGACGGGCCGAGGCCGCGGTAACAAGACTAGGAGTAAGAGCGATTTCCGGCGACTAAAATGAGCATCAAAAACGAGGCGAGGAATGTATCTTAACATCCAGAAGATGAATAAACTGATGAAACCCCAGGCTTCGTCTATTTCTGAGAGCTGTTGCATATTTGTTCCTCACTCCTATCATCCTACTTGGGAAAGGAAAGGAAAGGAAGAAAAGAGAGCAGGTAAGAACCAAGTAATGAAGTTATTCGCAAGAACCAACCCTCCAACAAACCAAAGAAGAAAACTACAAACCACGACATGAAGTTTAGAGATACACATTTATCGACGGAAGACTCCTTGAAATCTCGTTCATATCTCCCGGCCGGCAAGAAAGAGAAGGAGGTGCCCCTTCGAATGCCCCATTTGCAGCCAATTTCATGCGCGTCCTAGACAGAAGAAATAGGGTATCAGGTGCCAATTTTCTGGGGGCTCACTCTCCCATGCAACTCAATCAATCTGCTCGCAAATTTATGCAAGCGGAGAGAAAAGCCTATGTGCCATGTTGTTAGCCAGGTTGTATGGATTGGAAGAATCTCGACAGGCAGGTCTCGATCATACTTGAATAGAGAAGGCCTAGGCTCGCTATAAGTGTAGCCTGTCGAGGCAAAGTCAGTATCAGGCCTTTATTTGTTGCTCTCAGCAGAGACTGGGTCCGTGGCAGCAGCTTCATACCGAGGTAAATGATCAGAGGGAGATATCCACTAGTACGAAGACAACCGTCAGATTCGGTCAAATTGGAAATGGGAAACTCGAGGAATAGCTCACTAGTGGATAGCAACTCTGGAGACATCGATCACCTTGGAGATACGCTCCTAGGAAGGACAAGCCTTTGTGTAAGCATACAAAGCGCAAATCATACGGATGAGGAATAAGCCCTCACCTTAGTCTCTTCGGAGAACTGGACCATGTTGAGCGATTAACAGGTTCCTGGTCCACGGGTAAGATTTCGAGTTGAGCAGAGGTGCAGGAGGGGTAAAGGCTAGAACTGAAAAAGCCCAGAAGCGAAACAAAGACGCGTGTAACCGGTATGCTGCTTGGTTTGGAGTGGTGACGGATGACGGGGAAGAAGTAGAGCTCAAAGTTTTCCGGGGCTAACAGAAACGTACCGCTCCGCCGACGAACGCTTTCTGTCTCCAACGCGACCTGACGATCGATCCCTCCTCCGCCTCATCGCCTCCCCTTTCTAGAACAAGGTTCCACGCTTCTAAACGTATCTAGTCAAGACTACAAGCACGCGATTTCGTCCAACCCTGTTAGCTTGTCTCCCCATATCCGCCAGCCATTCGATTGTCTATTCACTGAAGGGGTTCCCAACGGCTTCTTACCACACGCGCAATGTCCGGCGCAAGACATTGGTAGGTGGTGTCTTCTGCTTCCATTACAAGCTCATGTGCTCAGACTTACTGGTCAACCACATAGGGAGCAAGATAAAGAGGCCACCGTCTACATCGGAAATCTCGATGAGCGGGTCACTGATAGCCTAGTATGGGAGCTAATGCTTCAAGCCGGGCGCATCGTCAACGTTCACCTGCCAAAAGATCGAGTTACACAGTCACATCAGGGCTATGGATTCGTGGAGTTCATCAGTGAAGAGGATGCTGAGTATGCTTCACGTATCATGAATGGGATTCGCCTGTACGGAAAGCCCATACGTGTGAACAAGGCATCCGCCGACAAGCAGAAGTCCGTGGAAATCGGTGCCGAGCTGTTCGTCGGCAACCTCGACCCCATGGTGACAGAGCAGGTTCTTTATGATACTTTCAGCCGTTTTGGGAACTTGGTCACTCTACCAAAGGCATGCATGCGTCCCTATTCTCGATCGTTCTCCGTCGCACGATGTAATCATCAGTACTGGCAAGCTAACCGACACTTTTTTCTTGTCATAGATCGCACGAGATGATAATAATTTGTCAAAGGGTTATGGGTTCGTGTCGTTTGCAGACTTCGAATCATCAGATGCCGCCATAGTGAACATGAACGGCCAGTATCTGATGAACAAACAGGTCTCAGTCCAGTATGCATACAAGAAGGACGGCAAGGGTGAGCGACACGGAGACCAGGCGGAGCGAATGCTAGCGGCGCAGGCTCGTAAACACAATGTGCGCCCGCCGACCCAGCCGCTCCCAGCGCATTTCTCCGGACCTAGTACTCCTATGGTAGCAACAGGCATGGCCAGTGGCGACAACTCCCGACCCGTTAGCACTGGTCCGCCCGATTTAAGTATGGGAAGGGGCGTGCCGCCTCCGCCTCCGACATCTGGCTTTCAGAATACGCCTCAGCCGAATAGAACGATCCATCCTCCTACATCATTAGCCAACCCGCCGCCAGGTTTACCCGCACGGCCTCCGCCTTCGCAAGCCGGTTATGGAGGGCCGCAGGCCTTTCTTCCCACGGGTTACAATAGCTCCGGTCAACAACCACCTTACCCTGTTCAGACAGCACCTCCACCAGGATTTGCACAGCCAGGTTACAGTCCTGCTTCGGGGACCCCGGGCCCTCCGCCCCCCTTGCCACCAGGCTTCCAACAACCTAGCTATGGGCGAGGTCGTTGAGCCTCGGTATCATAATTGTTAATGGTCAAGCAAACATCTAAATGACAACAGCTGGTTTGGCCGGACAGCTCCTCGCGCCCACGGGATTTATTTTACAGTACGCGTCTGGACTCTCCATTCTCAGTTGTGAAAGTCGTGCGCCATCCTCAAAGCGCCCCTCTTGCATCGGCCTGCTATTAATCCATTTCCGATTATGATCTGGTCCGATGCATAGAACCATATTCCTCAGTCCGTGCCACCCATCATAGACATGCGTAAGGGAAGAAACGGTGCACTAGAAGTGCCATACGTATCCATTCAACGATCTGTTGTTGACGATTACGGCAATGATATCGAACTTTGATGCGGAGAGCATTTAGCATTTTGTACACCAGACACAAGACCAAGGAGCATTTAGCGATTCTCAAATAATGCCTTGTAGAGTCGCGGACTACCAGTATGCTTGTATGGTCTGCACGCGAGCAAAGACAAATTAATATGTGAGAGGCGACAATAACCTTAGAGACTTGAGCTTGTTCGATACACGGTCAGGAGAAGGAAACGAATTTGGGATCTGTTGGCCGACCATCAGAATCAATATTGTTTTTCGCAAAGCGTTGCTCCATGTATAGGCGACGAGCTTCATCGAAATCGACTCTCTGCCGACGCATGATTTTCTGTATGTGGCGTTTGGCCAGATTGTCTAAGCCAGCTCGGCTGTCGCTCTCTGCGATGTTTGCAGAAAGATCGAACTGACTAGATGTGAAGCCAGCTTCGGCATCACCGGCAAAAGTGGAAGGAAGACGATGATAGATATAGTCAGGCACTGGGACTAAAGGCAGCCATCGAGAACGAGTGAGGTAGAGTACTGCTGGTAAATTAGACTCGATTCGGTACCTGGCTAACATATGAATTGAAGGTCCAGGCATACCACTGCCGCTAATTATAACGGTGAAAGTGAGAAAGAATAGTAGGTAGTAGGCCATGATCCGAAGAGCTTGCTGGTTGACAGACGAATTGACAAAGCCTTTCTCTTTCCCTCCGATTTTTCTTCCTTTGGATTGATAACTCCGCCACGAAAATAGCAAAAGCGGCTACGAGCCACTGGCTACATAGACAAAACTGATAATAGGATGGCACAAAGCAAGAACGTGTGGGGATGGGAAGGCAGACTGCCAACGTGGACCGTGCAGACGCTCCTGACGGTACATGCGAACCAGGAATGCTGATGCCTGCGGGAAGCCTTGTTACGTGCCATGTTTATGAGGCATAGAAACGATGCCAGTATGCCCCCCTCAAGCTCCACATACAAGCTGGTCTATTCCTAAAGTGGCCTGCTTAGCGAGCCTTTTCCAGCGCTGCCATTCTTGGCATTGGCACACACACAGGGCTATTAGTATTGGAGGCAAGAGTCGTATATACTGAACGGATTTGCGCCGACTTCGACCTGCCACACATACCCTCAAGCTTCCCACGCTATCTTCACAATGGCCGCCGATAGAACCAACGTCTCCAGCGATCTCGTCTGGCAGATTACCCGTACGTCACCATCCTCTCGCACAGCACTGGGCAAGAAAGAGAGATTATCCATTGAAAGGCCTGAGAATTTGCCTACCGCCATCCATCACACGGCCTTGCCATCTCTTCGAAACCCGGCTAATTCGTGAATTTTGGAACAGGCAACCAGAATGCTTTCCTGGTCAAGCGTAACAGCGGCGGTGGTTCTCAGTTCTCCCGCGACCCTCTGAACCTGCAGAACAAGCAATCTTTCAAGGTATGAGTTCCACGGGGGAGGGCTAGCCTCGCGTTTCTAGTGCTAATGCTATTTTCAATATTAGTACGCTGGCTATGCCACCAACAAGGTAGCTCACACTTTGCCTCCTTTGCTCCGCGAAGAAACCTCCTGATGTTTTGAAAAAGGCCATTGGTGTCCAGGCCACCGAGAACGGCGGCGTCGTCGTCCTTACCAAGAAGTCCAACCCCCAGCAGCCCGCGAAGAACATCGTCACCGTGAGCTACGGTCCCAGCGCCTCTACCCGCAAGTAAGTTGGCGCCACCGCCTACCAATCACTTTCTACCGATCTATTATGTCCAGGGCAACACGCATGGCTGACTGTTGGCTGTGCTCTCTCTACTTAGGATCTACAAGGGTGTTGCCGCCAAGACCGCTAAGAATGGCTACCGTGCTGATCTCCGTGAGGTCGCTGTCGCCCGTGTGAGCGCTATCCGCCGCTCTCAGAAGCCCAAGAAGGAGTCTCGTCCCCAGAAGCTTCGTGGCGCCCAGGCTAAGAAGGCCGCAGAGAAGGACCAGGAGTAAGCAAGAATAGTAGCAAGAGGGCCGTTAAGGTTGGATTCACCGAAGACGGTGCATAAACCATAACCGGGCTGTGTCAGCTTGAAGGCGGAAGCACCTGGGTATTGTAGCATGATTTCGCTACTATGAAGACCACCACCGGCCATGTGATATAAGATAATCCGCAAAATGAAAAAGTAAAAATGTCAATAAAAAGTACAAAACTTCCCCCACACCGCATCAAGGGGGGTAACCTACTTTTTAGGTGGTATGCGCGATTGCTTATTCACTGGAGAACAATTCTATTGAGGTTGGGGGGCTGCGAGTGATGACAATTCTCGTGCAGAACCTATGAAACATATCGGAGCAAAGACATGTGATAACCGATGATGCTGCCCGGTACGCCAACAACAGCCGTGCATTTGCCGTAGGATTGGGGACTGAGTGATCCGCCTTTTTCCGAAGTCGACTATCGCCGGAAGAACAAGACTCCTTTTCAATAGATGGATATGCGCGTACCGATAACGATTGTGCCGGCAGCTTGGGCGAGCAGAAATCCAGATTGAGGGCTACATCGGCAATGGAACAGGGAAGACTTCGGACGACGACGGACCTATCCAGGACTTAGTAAGGATGTTGGCCCGGGGATGACGATAATAATGAAGTTCCCGAGAGAAAGAGTTACCTCGGGTTGATCTGTTGTTCTTGATGGCTGAAGTTCCCAGAGTCATAGAAACAAAGTAGGGGGATATGTACAGTATACCCTTCGCCCTCATATACCCAGTTGTACTTTGGCATTACGTCTTCTGGGAGAGTTAGCTTCCCTCTTGTCCCCCACATGTGATGATGTTCACCAAGGCCAGCTTAGCTGGTTGGGCTATTCAAGAGTATATAACTCAAGCCGACCCCTCCTTCACTTTCCGGCTGTGTCTATTGCCTCGTACAATACGGAAGACTCCGTACACGGAAGAATAAGTAAGTTCTCTCCACATTGTTCTTTGGTCGATGACTCCCTGCTATCTGCTTCTGCTTCTTCTCGCAATACTCAGCTAATTTACCGTCTGTCCCTGACTCTGTATCCGAGAGGGTCATCTTCATCTCCTTTTCTCTTTAAATCTTTACCCTTCTTCCTTTCCCCACGGCTATTACCTATAACCCCTCTTCTCACACTACCCCGCGCCAAAAATCACAACCGCGCTTCCCCCTCCCCACCTCTCTCTCTCCCCCTCTCAAGCTCCAATCAAGCTCCAAGGTCCCAGCCCCAAATTCCAAAGCTTCGGACAGGAAAGCACTTTCCCTCACATGCTCACCGTGAAATCCGACCGCACTATCACCTACTTACCCCACTGGTACTTTTATCAATCCAAAGCTTCCCCCACCTCCATCCTCCATCACCTTCTGACTTATCCCTTCGAAGAATCTATTTCTATATTTTTCCCCAACACCTCTCACTCACACTATCTCTTAGCAGCGATCCTCTTTCCAGACTCCACCTTATTCAAGATGGTTAAAGCGGGTGAGTTGCTTAACCACTTGCCTCTGCCTCTATCCCTATCTCGTCCTAGTGTTGACTGAACGGGGGATGACAACATGGCATCAAACACCTAGTCGACATGCACTGACGCTTCACTAACAAAAACAGCTGTTCTTGGCGCCTCGGGCGGTATCGGCCAGGTCTGGTTCTCCATAACCAAGAATTCCCCCTCAACCATCCCGTGCACCCTCGACTAACTATCCTTACTCTGCTTTCTGATCGTGCAGCCTCTGTCTCTCTTACTGAAGACTTCCCCGCTCGTCGATGAACTTGCGCTCTACGACGTCGTCAATACACCGGGTGTCGCCGCGGATCTTTCCCACATCTCTTCCGTCGCTGTAGGTACCCAGAATCATGGAGCTTAAATGTCGTAGAAAAATTGCTGATTACCCTCGACTTGTTTCTCCCGCAGAAAATCACCGGCTATTTACCCAAGGATGATGGCTTGAAGCATGCTCTCAGTGGGGCGGATATCGTCGTAATTCCTGCTGGAATTCCACGTGAGTCTCTTTCCAACTCTCGAACTCATGGTGCACTAATGTCGGGCTCATCTGACAGGCAAGCCCGGAATGACCCGTGATGACCTTTTCAAGATCAACGCTGGTATTGTGCGGGATCTAGTCAAGGGGATCGCCGAATTCTGTCCCAAGGCGTTCGTTCTGATCATCTCCAACCCTGTCAATTCAACGGTTCCCATTGCTGCAGAAGTGCTCAAAGCCGCTGGCGTCTTCGACCCCAAGCGCCTCTTTGGCGTGACTACTTTGGATGTTGTACGTGCGGAGACTTTTACTCAAGAATTCTCAGGTCAGAAGAACCCATCCGCTGTTCGGATTCCAGTTGTGGGTGGCCACTCCGGAGAAACCATTGTCCCTCTCTTCAGCAAGGCTACACCAGCCTTTGAGATCCCATCAGACAAGTATGATGCCTTAATCAATCGTGAGTCATTCCCACCTCTATCATCGACCTCTCTCGAACTGTGCGCTTACGCTATATCAGGTGTCCAATTCGGTGGGGATGAAGTTGTGAAGGCCAAGGATGGCGCTGGCTCCGCTACTCTGTCCATGGCTTTCGCTGGTTTCAGGTCTGGTTTCTTGTCATCTCTACAATGCTGCATAATCCAAGCTTAACTCTTATCATCTTAGATTTGCCGAGAGCGTGATCAAGGCTTCCAAGGGCCAGGCGGGCATTGTGGAGCCCACATTTGTGTATCTGCCTGGAGTTCCTGGCGGTGACGAGCTTGTTAAGGCAACAGGTGTCGAATTCTTCTCTACTCTTGTGGCACTTGGGGTGAGTCCGACTCCTAATCGCAGGGAAATATGTGACTGGTTCTAATTTTACAAAATAGGAGAATGGTGCAGAGAAGGCAATCAACGCTTTGGATGGAATTACAGACCAGGAGAAGAAGCTCTTGGAGGCTTGCAACAAGGGTCTGAAAGGCAACATCGAGAAGGGCATCGACTTCATTAAGAACCCCCCACCAAAGTAATTTCGCCCATCCCTGCGCATGATTATCAGTCCCCTATCCGCTAGTCGATGTTTTGTTGATACCGTACACTTGTCTCTCCTGAAAGACACCTTCCGGTTGATTCGTTCATCGTTCACGGACACGGACATGGATAGAGTATCGCTGATCGTTGTCACCCCTTGAAGATAGGCTCTGAAGGACGAAATGAAGAATAAGTTGACACAGTAGGCGCGGTAGCTTGCAAATTAGGATCGTGACTCTGAAGTACAACAGATGTTCCCCACCCCAGCCGAGCAATATGTATTTTATGCCCGGCTGTCGGCTTCAATAGCAGTTCATAGGCAATTGCACCATATACTAGCAGAATGTTGAGCCCTGTAGACCTCGTGATATCGTAGGTGGTACTTCAGCTCCATGAAGCAGTCAATGTTCACTGTCAGTTGTGAAAGGGAACAGGATCGATCGTTCAGGATTTCTGATTGACGGTTTTAATCTGAAACGTAGCCCCTGGCAACTCCGCGGTCTCTGCTTGAACGATGGTCGAAATGCCCAAGATTGAGAGCGCTCCGCGGATGACGCCACATGGAAACCACAGATACTGCGGAAGTTTAATAATATTAGTACGTAGTTTGAAATTGCTTGGCCGAGAGGCATGCATGGCCACATACCGCTTGAGCCATGGACACCGATTCACTTCTGACAGACGTGCTCATCCTGGAGAACGGCCGAAATGCATTGTCGGTTAACACATATACACCCTGTGCCATTATTAGATTTTAGCAATTTGCTTTGCTTCGTATTGATGCCATGTATTCGGTGCTTACTCGGTGATTTGTCTTCAGGTTATCGACTTGTTTCTTGAAGAGAACCGTCCAAATATCCTTGCAAAGAAACTTGATCACATCCAAGTTGTCCACAAAGCGTGGACGGTCTCTAGCAAATCTATTTGCCGAGTCAAGTTGAACTATTAGTATACACAAAGCGACCGCAACGTACTATGCAGGCCATGCCTCCCCCTTCCCTATGACACAGTCTTTTGACCGTGGCACTCGGAGGGATCGTACCGTTCAGCAAGACCTTGTCCAACTCTATAACCGAGAGATTCGAGTCGAAAAAACATCGCTTCTCTGGCTTCTTCATCGTCCAATGCATTGTCGTCTGTGGTGAGCTCTTTCGTTAATCGCTCGGCCATAGGCACGAGCTCAATCAAGAGAAGATCCAGACACGAGGCGCCGAGAAGACGGGGATGCGATTCGGGAGCATGGTTGGTGAGAAGGTCGGAAGATTCCACTGACATTCTACCAAGTGCGGTTAATCTTGCGTTTGTAAGCGGAACAAATTGGAAGTCAAGAAAAGGTAGTTCAGTGAATGAATTCTCAGCCTTGGGTTGAGGAACTATAGGAAGCTGAGGGTCGATTGCCTCGCCCACAAGGTCACGGGTGAGAGGAAGGGGATGAAGTAGGTAGCAATAGGTGGTCAAAGCCAGTCAGGGTTGGTTGTAGTTAACGTGGAATTGGCTGACCTTACACTGACAGTGTAGGTAACTTGCGGAGTAGGCTGTCTGCACTCCGTACTGTACAGATTACGCGCCTTCCGGCTCTCCTAGCCAGACATGGCCCGTATTGAATCTACTGTATTTCATTACCGTACATTCAACCAAGAAAATCAATAAGGAACCATGCAGCCATTCGTCGTTTTGCAGCCAAGGATGGATGAAGTGCTTGTGAGCCGGCCAAGCAAAAATCTAACTCACTTCCCCGTTGAATAATACAATGACTGTGTATTCTTTGCTGCAAGTATGCCAAGGAATAACATAAAGCTCACAGCTTCTATTGCGATGCTCAACTTCGACATATGGCGTAGCGTAATGCAGCTCATGCGAATTACCATGTCTGAATATCAATTTAAGTGCATTGCGAAAACGAAAGCAATGTTTCTTGGCCAGTCCAAGCACCGAACGATCCCTCGAGATGTAGCCGGTTAAAAATCCCAAATGCGCCGTGACACCATGCAAGGAAACTTCAGTACTTTGATGATTTAAAAATCACCTGCCTGGCTTGGATACCCAGGGCTGGGCGGACTAGATAACGTGAGATTTCTTCCAGCTATAAGACCAGGACTGTACGAGTCATGATAATCCTGGTGGAGTAAGCTCCTTCCGATTTCACCCAGCGCGGGCCGTTTGGTCGGTCTGACAGGCAGATCATCGTCGACACCGTCGTCATTGTCGCTGCCAGTAAGATCGATCACCTGGGCTACAGGACGCTTGTTAACATAGGGCACTGTAGACGAGACTGTAGAATGTTCACGTGACTGATGTGGTGTCTGCTGCAGCGTCAGGTTGACAGCAGGAAGACTCTCTTGCTTTATGGGTACCATCCCAGGTTCCTGGATTTCTATCAAATCGTCGTCATCGTTTGTCGTTGGTGTGGATTGGCCAGCTTTCTTCATTCCTTCGAAACTCGGATTAGACCATTTACCATCTGGCTCAATGATCACCTGCTCAACATCCAACGGAGTCGTTTGGAGTATATCATCCACATATCTGAGAGATGATCAATAAGCACACTTCTAAAATCTTCCCCGCCTGCACAGTGGCTGGTAGTTATACTTACTGGTCTATCTGCAGTGACTCGAAACTAGTTGCTTTGGAACACACGGGGCACAACCATTGCGGGGCTTGCTCCTGTAATTGTAAGAACGAGGACGCGTCAAAGCACTGATTATGAGTGCAAATGACCGAGCGGCAGGGAACCGCAATCCTGGTGTGTGATAAAGGACACTTGAGTGACATCACGCTCGAAGTGGCAACGATTTCTGTGTCATCCGCTTTGCTCCTCACTGTAAGCTTTTAGCTAAAGTGTCTCAGGTCAAATTATGGCTGTAAAAGAGTGCATACTTTCTCGCAGTACTTGTTCTTTCGAGATTGTTTTCCTTCTCTTGAGTTCGGTAACAAGCTCTTCTACTGGATGTCGCTGAACAAGGTTGACCAGAACAAAGAATCTCTTTCCAAGTATTAGCAGGCAAACGTGGCTTGGCTGTGATAAAAACCACAAAATATCAGGCCAACTGTATCGATAGACCCGATTACGGACATACCTTTTGAGTGAGAGCAAATGTTAAGACAACAGTGTTTTGGTACCCGGCTTTCCTGCGCATGTAATTGGTAATGTCCGCCGGTCTTGTTGTACCCGGCTTGTTCTTGAGACCTCGCAAGTTTGCTTTGACCTCGTCGAGGTTTGCCTTGAGCTCAACTTGATGTGGGAAAGCTATGTCCGACTTGGTATACTGATTGAGGCCCGTGTCTGCGGCACAAAACACCATCACTCGCAGATTTGGGTCAGCCAGCAATTTGGATGCTACCCTGGGTGTAAAGACGACTTTCAGCTCCACGCTGTCCCGTGTGTGTTCGCGTACTTTGTGATACACAGTGTTAGCGGCATACCATCGCAAAAAGAGGCAGACTTACCTTTGCATTCCGCCGTGGGAGTGAGTTGATCTAGTACCGTGTAGAAGGGACTGTCTTTGAAAGTCAAGCGGCCTATTCAGTGATGGCGAGTTATTCAAGCTGTTGACAGGCTTAAGGGTCGAAGCATCAAGCTTCAAATACCTGGGGTGATGACATGCGACGGCACTGTCATGCTCATGGGTGATGATCTATGCTGTGTGGGCAGAGACTGACTGGCCGAAGGCTGCTGATATTGCTGATTGGAGGAGGGCTGAGGTATTATAGGAGCTGGCATCGACCGGTGCGCTGTATGATAAATGAACTTCTTCATGCTATCATACTTGTCGATATTGCCTCCTTCTCGAAGCCTGTCAATATCTATTGTTTCTCGAAAAGCGTTTTAGCGGTGTTTCAGGTCAAAGATAGTCGCTATATGAGCTATATTTGAAGCAAATATTAAGGTAATGGGGAGCACCACGAACGATCTATGATCCGGATTTGCAATGACGCCTTCACCCCAGAGACTGCAAGCCCCTCATTCCTTAGGATGTCCTTCAGCTGCGCATTTGTCAGGGTTTTAACCAGCGCAACAGTGCTCTGAATATCGTGGAATAGAGCGGTGGAGGCCATTTTGAGTGTTTGGTGAACCTCTTTATTGTTGTGATAAACGCATCCAAAGTGTTGTCTCAGGAAGAGGTATGATTCGAGATGATTGCGCGATGCTGAGCAGCACCGATCAGAGACATCGCAATATCTGGCTCGATTATGACCATGTGCTTTTAAAAGAGTAGCCTGTCAGTCAACAGGATAAGCAATGAGCAGACCTAATGCAAGGTGCGTCTTCCTGAGCACTCATCTGTATGGCCTGGACTGACGATGGTAGCTGCGGAGTTGTGAAAAGCCTCCGAGCAGGATGATGACATAAGACCGATTCGCCGCCTAATTCTATCTAACCCGATTTAGTAAAGGATGTTGGAGCACTTGGAAGAAAAAGTCCCCCCTCCCGGGCGATAAGATAATGAAAGTCTATCACACCAGATCTAAGAAAATTTTGCAACGATCAATTGAAAGCAGCCCATATATCTAGGCTATCATATTCTTTGTATTTGCGACTCACCCGCATTTTATTCTTCTTTATTCATACTATTTACGTTCCTTGCCAGCATGGCGAAGAGTGGTCGTGCCAGCGTTATCAAGCGTAACAGGGCCAATCTGCGAGCTACTGTCTTCGGACCTGCTGTTGATGCAAGAACCGAGAGACTTTCACGAAAGCTGCAGGAACTTGCTGCTCAGCCGAAGCCTAGTGAAGGCAACCCAGAAGTAGAAATGCAAATCACAGAATACGGTATGTCTTGACAAAAAATCTCAACCAGACTTAATGCAAAGCATCGAATGACAGATGAAACCACAGATGATGGATTGAAAGCAAAAGTAACAGACTCGAATGAAGGTATCAGTCAACCTATGACCTCACGGCTCCTGTGATCATCAATACTGTGTTCAATACTTACAGACTCTCCTCACCGCTACAGACATGGACATTGATCAGAAACAACGCGTTACACAAGGTCGCTCCAAAAAGTCTGGCCGTGTCCAGAAGAATAAGAAACCCCGCTCGTCGATCGTTTTCCGCCCCCATCCTCTGAAAACCAAGAGAATGTCCAAGAGAAAATAAAGAAACCTGCATAGCGTGTGTTCGAATCACGATTCACTACATCTGGAGTTCTGGAGTTTAAAGTATATCTGGCTGCATATTATGAGCCGTCTAGTCAATTGCCGTGTTAGATAGGTCATGGTTCTCAAGGACGGCTCACAATCAAGCACGAATACAAACATTTTCTGTCCAACCCTCTGTTTCTCAAAGTACATGTGCTTACTGAGCCCGATGAAATTGCAAGCCAACAATGTAGCAGTAATTTAAGAGTTTTATAGGAGGTGTCGGCAACGGGATATTCGTGAAATCCATTATCTGCAGAAGGCTCATTACTGTGTATACAGTATGTACATGTCTGAGTGGATCCCAAAGGCGGTCAGCCGGGCCAGCACTATAACTATACACGTTACACCTCCATCTTATATGGTCGGGCACCCTTCTCCGCAAAGTAAAGATATGGTGGCTAACTACCCAGTGTGAATGACGCTGCCCCTGGATTGGCAATCTCTCTCATGAGCTGCATCTTAGGTTGCGATACGACAAGTCTTGCTCGTTTCACATATTACCCAGGCCTCAGTGTGGCTGGCTCTCTGAAACTGGAGTGAGGATGGCTACTGTATCAGGACTTTCAGCGATACTGATCGCCAATATACTGATACCTATAGCTGTCACGTTCTTCTCGTCCGGCTTCTTTCCATACAAGCCATTAACTTCGGGGCTTGCGAGATCTGAAGATGTGGAGAGTCAGTTCGAAGCTCCTTTCGACAAAGTTATCTTCATGGTAGTGGATGCTTTGCGAAGGTATGGCCAGACAAGATTTTCTTAGATGCTAGGCTAAGTCTCGAATCAGCGATTTTGTGTACTCGAACGTATCAGGATTTTCATTCACGCAGAGGTCAGCAATGATCGTCCAGTTGTTTTCACTGATGAGCTGCATTCTAAAAACCAGGTCAATAGTCTCATTCGGTCAGGCGCTGCGCTTCCGTTCACTGCCCATGCCAGTTCGCCGACCGTCACTATGCCCCGTCTCAAAGCTATGACAACAGGATCCACTCCGTCATTTCTGGACGTGATATTTAACATCGCAGAGTCAGATATGTCATCCACATTGGCCCTTCAAGATACTTGGCTTGCCCAACTAAGGGCAAGAGGTGGCCGTCTTGTTATGTATGGTGACGACACTTGGCTTAAGCTATTTCCTGGCATGTTTGACCGTGCAGATGGCACCACCAGCTTCTATGTTTCAGTAAGTGAACAAATGACTAGTTTTACTGGCGCATTTTGAGAGCCAATCTAACGCATTTACAGGATTTCACCGAGGTTGACCATAATGTAACTCGGCATGTTTCCATGGAGCTCACACAGAAGGACTGGTCCGCTTTCATCATGCATTTCTTAGGCCTCGACCATATTGGACATAAACTAGGCCCTCGAAGGTACCACTTTGTGTCTATTTTGCGTTTTTGGCCTCTGTTTAATATCTGTTTAGTCCACATATGCTTACGAAGCAACGTGAAATGGACTCAGTCGTAGGCGAGCTGTACGCTAGCATCGAGCGGGAAGAACACCTTCAGTCAACTCTCTTGGTTCTTTGTGGCGATCATGGGATGAACGAAGCTGGGAATCATGGTGGCTCATCTTCTGGTGAGACGTCACCAGCACTTCTTTTGATATCGCCTCTGTTTAAGTCTATGGGAGGGCCTAGTCGTGAAGCTCCAGTAGACATACCCGATGACTTCCAATGCTATAGAACAGTCGACCAGACAGACATCATTCCAACTCTAGCAGGGCTCCTCGGCTTTCCCATCCCGTTGAACAGTCTAGGCGTGTTTATCCCAGACGTACTGGACATGTGGCATTTATGTGAGTGGAAAACTAACCAACATTTCTCTTGTGTCCAACGGCTTATGGATATCCTCACCTAGGTTCTCAGCGGACTCAAATTCTGCTCTCGAACGCCAAACAATTGCTGAAAAGATTAGAACAATCTTTCCCAAATCATAATTTCGAAATTGGTCAAGACCCAGAGGGCTGCACTGTTGAGCCGCTCCCCGGCATCCGCGAAGCGCAATGTGCTTGGCTTCAAGTAATGGGTATCAATCACAACTCCAACAGTATTGAGGACCATGCTAAATTGGAGCTTGCTCTTAACCATTTTCTACCATTGGCCCAGAAATTGTTGATCAGTGCTGCCAGTAATTACAACTTTCCACATCTTCTTATTGGCATTAGTATCATGGCGCTCGTCGTTTCGCTACTTCTTTCAGATGTTTGCAAGCTGTTATCAAGGTCGTTACATTCTGGGACATTCTTGGCTGGTCTCTTGATATGCTACGGCGGTATGATGTTTGCAAGCAGTTATGTCGAGGAAGAACATCAGTTTTGGAACTGGGCCTTCACAGCGTGGGCATTCTTTCTACACGTGAAAGCTGTCTCATTGAAAACTGATGCCTCTCCAAGCCCCTTTTTTCTGGGCAGAAGGCCTTCCTTGAAATCGTTGATTGCCAAGTATGGTACCGTGGGATTGCTGTCAACTCATCGGATTCTAAGACGTTGGAACCAAACAGGTCAAAAATTCACGGCTGAGCCAGATATTGCACATGGTTTGCTTCCCTCTCATTTATATATTCTCTGGGCTCTGATAACTATCACATACGCTGATGTATATGTGCATCTTTCTATCAATGATCACTCTTCCAGGCTGTGGCGTTTGGTTTGCATTGTTGTAACAGCAACAGCATTCATTTTTAAACTCGGATCTGTAGTGTCAGATTTCCCTGAGCTGCTTGGGATTACCTACTTGGAAGCCTTGAAGCAGGCTTTCGACAAGGTGCCCCTCGTTTCCCTCTCACAGCTTGTGTTCGCAGAATTATTATTACTTGTCTTGCACACTGTTTATGTCACGAGAAAGAGAAACCGGGATAATCTTTCATTACCCTCAGGTAAGACTCATGAGTCTCTGCCAGCTAGCTTTGATAATGGCTAACACCAGCTAGAAATGCCTAGGAGCGTTGTTCACGAAGTACTCACGCTATTTCTGATGACACAGTCACGGGCAACGAATATTCCATTGTTCTTCATTTTCAGGTTGCAAGCACAAATATTTGCTTCGAAAGACTTGTCTAACATGGAATTGACGATAACTTCCCTGCTGATGCAATACCTAACATTCTTCGCATTCGGTGGTTCGAATGGCATATCTTCCATCGACCTATCTAATGCATATAACGGCATTGACCGCTACAGCGTTGTAGCGGTGGGGCTACTGACTTTCGTTGGCAATTGGGCCGGGCCGATATGGTGGGCATCGGCCCTTCGACACCTTCGCCACAGACAAACCTGGACTCTGAAAAAGGCCCATATGACTACTCTCACGTTCCATATTGCAACATCATTGCTGTGTGTCATGCTTGCTTGCACAGCACTGAGGGCGCATCTCTTCATTTGGACTGTGTTCTCGCCAAAGTATCTTTATATGATAGGATGGGCTGTCCTGTGCCATACTATTGTGAATCTTCTCGGAGAAGTTGTTCAACTGTGCATTGAATTTCATTGACCATCTTGAACTAAACGATGCGCAGAGAGCGGAAAATGCAAACAACCGGGTGTCTCGCCGACAGGGACAGTTGATAACAATCTCTTTTCAAGGAATGAAGGTACCAAGAACTTCATATTCTACACATCCTCCTCCTTACAGCAAAGAGTCAAATAAGTCGTCGATGGCATCCTTTCCCTTCCTCTTCTTTGTCTTGTTCCTCTTATTTTTCTGGTTTTGCTCCTTCGAGATCGTCTCCTCGTAGTCTTCCAGATTGCTTGACAACTTGTTCGTGCTCTTCTGTTTGACCATGTGACCCTGATCTACCGAGCTATGAAGGTCTGGCCGTACCGACAAACCCGAGTTATGTCTGGTTCGTGAGATTACTGTCCCTACATCTTCCTCGTTGGTGGTCTCACTGCTGTGGCCAAGAGCAGAGGCGGTCCACGCTGCTGTAGCAAAGTACTTGAGCTCCTGGCGGATTTCGATCGCTTTGGCAAGACGGGCCAGCGTAGCTAAGAGTACTGTGCCTAGGGTGGAGAATTGCCCGTCGGCTACAACTGTAGAGAAGACACTGTGAAGATATCAGCGCATATTTCAACAGGCCATCGGTCATTCTGCACATCAACTCACACGTAGCATCTAGGAATTATATTGTGTGCCAGATGCTTTTTGTGCTTCGCAGAGGATTGGTTTGCGGTATGTGACGGCTGATGCTCGACAGATATTGCGAGTTTCCGGGTTGTCCGCTTCAGTATTGCCAGCCACTTCCACCAGGTCGTATTGCTGTGCTGGTTTTTATTGCGGTGAAAGAGGAGGTGGAGGATTGAATGTATAGCGACTAATCTTTCTGCATCCATAACCTGCCTATTGTTATGCAGTCGAGGAAAATTTAGGTCGTGGATGATGGGGAATGCGCAAGTCTGAAGTCGTGGTATGAACACTTTTCTTCAGAATATAACACTTCTCGAAGATGTACATTTGCCTGCTATATGACAAAAGATGCAATAATGATTTGAATGGTGTTTGTTACTTCCTGATCCAAGGACAATCTGAGGTGATGTCCCTCCAAGTCGGCGTTTAAGCTAGTCTATGGGGGAAAGAACATGGACGCCTCTTGGCTGTTGTTCGGTTCAAAGAAGCTACATCTGACACCGCCTTCTACCTAAGCAGGCTTGGCTACTCCGCTCAATGCAGCCACCATATTAGATAAAGTAGAGTATCAAATAGAAGAAAAGATCTTTGATTTATCTCTTATTGGTAGAGGAAAGGATGTATAAATTAGAAAGAATTCAAAAGAACTAAGTAATCTGAAAAATTTTTAATATAAAATTCTACTTTAGTAATTTCTTAATCTAAGTGATATATTTCCTAAGAGATAGTTTTTTTACTCTGTTTTCCTATTTATCTTCTCTTATCTATATCATCCATATTATATGTTTATTTAAGGATATTTTCATATCTATTTTGACTTTGTTTTTTCTCTATTATACCTTACTTATAAGCTGGGGAGGTATAATATAGTCCGAGGCCCCCTATAATTAGCTTGGCACCTCACTGCCTTGGCTGCTGTGTAGATAGTGTTCCCCAGATAGCCTGGAATCAACCACAATAATGCTCTCATCAAGGGTACTAGATCAAACTATATCAGAGACTATAGAAGAAAGATAGAACTTTAATCTTTCAAGTCTATCAAATAATAACTAGCTATTAGCTACTTAATTCTAGAAGTTATATTACTATCACTCACAGTAGCTAATCAGAACCCAGAAACTGCCTTTCAAAGTAGCCAATCATTATCCATCACCCGCGATCAGACCCTCATAGAGTTGCAAAGCTAGCGCTTTCCAAATGATAAGCTAAATAAAAGGCCGTGACTAAAGTATGCAGGATAGCTATTTGATAATATCAGTGACTGAGTATAGGCTGTACAGAGACGCCTCATCTCCCTATCAATACAAGCTTTTCTAGTTGAGACGGATTGAAACGCATATGTATTTTCTAGTTCAAGCACTATATGGAGCAACAGGTGCAAAGTACGCGGTACATTCAGTAACACTAACCCGCTCGGTTTGCATAGCAAGATATGATCCTTACTTAGCGGCTTTGTTGGTTGTCGATGACCTCGGACCCAGTAGCCAAGACGCAGCTAGTAAGCAAAACCAGCTACCTCTGTTGTGTAGTTTCTGTAGTCATTTTATCAAACAGTATTAGAAAACACCTGGGAAGAACACCTGAACCTCACACAGAATGGCTCCAACATCTCGACTCAAACCGGGGCAGTTGAATCCAAGCCAACCAGGGCATAGTAAAGTTGTCCATGTGCTGCAATGCTGCTGCTTCTCGTCCAATCTGGCTTAGCTCTGAACTTTACTCGTGACAAGTTATGTCCCTGCCAGGGCTGCAAATGGAGGATCGTGAATCAACAACAACCTCAAAGGTGGTCAACATCTCCAGCACTCGCTTCACTCCTATGACTTGCGATCGACCAGACCGCGATCTGGCCCTCGCAGTTTTCTAGCTTGTTCATACTATTCATGTTCAGAGGTCGCAAGCTGCTGCCCCAAACACAGGGTCAGGAAGTCTTGGGCGTGCTATCAGGTGCTGGCGATTCGTACCAGGATTTCACGCCAGGATAGGTACACGGTGCACTTCTGAGACCATTCGCAGCACCGTATGTGCGTTTGGGGGCAAGTGTTCGAACGAAGACAATCTCGCGTTCAGCAGCGGTGGTACCACGATCAAACTGCGAGCGGCGTCGGCGCTGCTCGTCACGATACTGTTGGCCGACTCGAGGTGCAAATAGACCTGAATATTTAGAAATGCGAGAAAGTTTAGCGATAGCTTGTCATATACTGACCTACATGTTCTGCATTCTCGATGCTACGCCGCATCTTTGAGGGATTGTCTGGTCCAGGGAAGCGATCCTCGGTGCCAGCGAGAGGTCCGGCACCAGTGTGGAAAATCTGCGCCAGGTTATAAACCTTTTCATATCTTTGTGTCAGCAAAGAATATACGAACTTTTGGGCGGAATGAAGGATGTTCTAGCATAACAGAGCTGTTTCGAAACTTTTGCACTAAACAGTCTTTGCCCTGAATAGCTTTCTCTGGGGTCAGATAATAACTTCTCCTTCAAAGGAGTCACTTTGGGTGACTTACTGGCATATGAGACCTCGGCAACTTTGTCGCTGTTGAAGCAGTTCCTTCTCATTTGTGAGCGTGAGCGAATGCGACAGTTTCATAGCACTATCATACCATGTTCTTCCAGCCCGTGTTTTGACGAACTACATGATTTTAGTTGTTTGCTGGGGACAACTGTCTCGAGCTTGTACTAACATCAATGATATCGATCGGCTGACTAAGTCAGATGTGGAAATTTGTATATCAGGCGATTGAGAATGATGTGTTGAATAGCACTTACATCTTCGAAATTAATAAAAGCATAGCCGACACTAAGACTATTAGTTACAGAATCTTCATTTCGACCTGCACGAACAATGTGTCATACTTGCAGTTGTTTGCAAAGTCTAAATATAGACATGCTGTGATCAGTGACCTTCCAATGGGAAATTCTATTTAGTCTTACCAATGCGCAAATACATGAAATCATATTTCCCATGGCTCGTCTCATCAACAATAGCTTTGAGCATGGTCTTTCCTTGTTAGTACCGTGAGTCGGAAGGGTTTTTCTTTTCTTTTCACTTTACCTGATCAATCTTATTGGGAATGTTGCGAAGCATTATCTGTGACAAGCACGTTAATCAGCATCTGGGCTTCCGGGCTTCCAAGAATAGGAAGTAATGGAACGCACCGTAGTCCTGACATCCAAACCAAGGCGAATCCGTTCAATATCAACTGAATTTTGACTTCCCATCCGGGAATCTGCATAGCGGTTGAGGTCATGACGCGGAGAAGACATGATTCTTTCACCAGCCCTGGACATCCAGTTCATGAGACTAGTGTGCTCGCCTGGAGGGACTGTGGAACGGCCTGTAGGGCTGAGCTCCATATAAGGAGTACGACTTGACTGAGTCGAAGTCCAAGAAGTATTTGTGCTGAAATGAACTTCTGTTCCAGTGAAACGCTCCTTCACGGGTATGGGAGTAGCTGGAGTAAACCTGCATGCCCTCGTATCTACATCGGGTTTGAACTGTTTGATCTCGATAATGCAGTCCTTTGATTTCGTTGTCAGCAGTATAACAGGGCTTCATTTAAGAAGGAAAACATACGTCGACCAACGTTCCATTCAATGTGGTTGTCACGTTCTCCGCATCGCGAGTATTAAAAAACTCGAGATGGAACTCGCCAATATTGTCTTGTCCCGTAGGCACATTTGTGAATGACTTAATGTCACCAAAAGTCATAGCAAGGGTCTCCAAAGAGCGAGCCACGGTAAGTTGATTCAGATTTGGATTACGACCATCGAAGTAGACCGTCACAAGAAGTTGACCTTCGTAATCAGACGCTTGAGAGATAAGAGAAGGTTCTGCATGCCGCACATACTCTTTTGCGGTAATTGGGAATGCTCGCCATTCTGGTCTAAGCAAGTTAACTTTCTTAATTGCTTTTCTAACCTCACGGCTGTCAGTAAATGCAACATAGACTTTGCCAGTTGAGTTCAGCTCCGAAAGGACTGGCCCTCTGAGAGAACCAAATTCGCGACGCTACCTCGAGTCAGTGGTATTCTTATTAATCTCAGCAACCCTCTTGAGTGCGATCCCTGTTGGTCAGACTCACGTTGAAAAACCCGGCTAAGGACATGTATGTGAGATTATTGGGCACATTTTCAATGACCAATGCGCGACTGTGACCCTCCTTGTCAGTATCATCCGGCTCAGTACCGACAAGTTGTTTTATCCTTGTTGAGCGTATGCTTCCAATGGCGCCGTAGCATGAAGAGTCTCTTTCTGTGCGGTTCATGAGCCCGAGACTGCTTTCGAAGCGTCTGGAGTCGGAATCCGCTGCTAGAAAGTCAATGCGGGAGAAGTCCTGAGAACAAGATCGGAATTGATTATTGATACTTGTGCTATCAGTCACTCCGGTTGGGGTAAAAGCCGCAGCTGTCGGCGAGAGCTGGGCTCGTTTTGATGAGGTTGAAACAAAGAATGGATCAGGGGATGTTCTATAAGTGTCAGAAGGGTTGTTCGTATGCCAGACCTCATACACTTACGTAGAGCAGAGCCTGTGGACTCCAGCATCGCTGAGTGTATTCAGAACACGAGTATCCCGGCGGCTTTTTGACATTGTTTCTTCGGGGGAGTACACGGTGAGCTTGGTATCAGGGGACCCATTGACCGAATCAATATCGTTCATAGAGGTTGGGCTGCTCAGGCCACGAGAAGAATTACCTGCCCGCATTCTGAGTGGCAATGCGTGCGATCTTGGAATTTCAGGCAGGGACTGCTGTTTGACAAAACTCTGTGCTACCTCGCCTCGAAGTATTCAGATATTGACTATAAGAGCTGCAGCAGGTAGAACAACGGCTTGTTCAAGTCTGGTCCGTGGAAGCTGTGATCTGTGATAACAGGAAAGGCGCAGTAGGTCTGTCTGTATTCATGTAAGTAGCATGTGAGAAAATCATATAATAGTTTTACAGTTCTAATGTTTGGTTCCCGCATTTTTGGCAGGTCAAAGCAGTAGGAATTCTTCATTTGCATCACGCCAAGTGTTACTGTTGCTCTATCTTGTTAGCTAGAAACTCACAGCGTGAGCCAGAGCATCTTTCCTGGTGCTCATCCGCTCTATAAACAACTTGGGCCTCTCCATAAGGACAGCATCAAGCAGTGTCGGCGGTCTCAGGGCTTGTTGCAGGAGAAGAGCCCGTGAGGTATTATCTCGCCTCTACTCAATTCAATGACCAAGTAAATGACCAGGCCCACATGAGAACAGTTATCGATACCTTGTTCCAATCTCAATTCCGTAGTGCATTTCAGTCATCGGTGATCTCATAGACCACGGATACTGCTCCATCAGCTTTGTATCGAGGATCCTGCTATCAAGCTGGATTCGGAACCATTGGGAATTACAATCGTCGTTAGCAGTCCCATAGCAAACCTCTGTTAATTTCGGCGCTTTGACAGGCTCAGGGACGGTGGTCCCACATTTTCAAAATATCCCGGGCTTGAGTATCCAACTTGAAGGTTGCTGGAAGACAGTCCCAGAAGTCAAACGTATTACCATAGGATAGGTGAGACTCAATACTTAGTACCCGCTTATCAGACTCATGTAGACTAGGCTGCGCTCTTCTAAGCTGGCTTGGATATAAGCCAGTATAACTACAGTAGAATATGTGGAATACTCTCTCGTCATAATAAGTAAGTAGGCTACTTCAAGTGATACTGATATAGTTATTTCAACACCCAAGTTCTACCTTTCATGCTAGTAGAGATGGCCCATCGTGAGTCAACACCAAACCTCACTTTCTGAGGCAATCGCTGGCCTAAAATATTATCTGCTCCATACATGTTGAAGAGATAATAAGTGTGGTCAGGACCCTCTGCCCCAGGCCCTCCCTATCCGGCCCGCAACCGGTACTGCGATACCTACCTAGTATCTTGATGGCTTGCAGAAGTCCGTGCAGAATGCGGTAAAGTGCCTACCTTAGTATAATAGGCGGTGTGTTCGGAAGCATCATTTACACCGCCTTACCGAACACAGACAGGTATTTAGCGGATTGGCTGGCTAGCGAATTGTACCTGTGTCTACACTCTGTACTCCGTACGGAGTACCTAATAAGCCTATGATGCAGGGGGGGCGCTGGGGGCTTGCTGTGACCCGTATGTGCGGAAGATCCTCGGCTTGCTTGTCACGCGTAAGGAGTTCTTGTTCGGTGGTGACTATGCAGCCACGATTAAAAGCATAGAATCGACATTGTCCATCATCTGGGAATTGTCCGGGCATCCTCCATTAATAATTGCATTTATCTACCTGTATCCTCTCGTATGCATCATTCTCAAACGACATCCGACCTCAGGAGGGAAGCCATTTCAGTAACCATACAGGTTGCAGGCGTTCAAGCATATTCCTGCGCCATCTTATCGTGTCATCTTCCTCATTCACCTACATACCTCACCAAAAACAATCACCGACAGAGCGAAGCACGTGAGTAACATTTTCAGACACCGCGACGATCTACCACGTGTTCGAGTCACCACAATTCCGTTCGCACAAAATGCGGCCTGCAACATCGTCCCGCAATGATTCGCATATCTTAAACCAAGTGAGTTGTCAAGCAATAGGCTTTAGTAATCAAGGCTTACCTTACTTGTCACCCTAATCCAGATCATCATATCACCCTCAGACACAGACTACCTGGATCAACTAATCCAGTCTGTCAAAGAATACAGTGTTGGCAATAGGACTCCCCAGCTTCTGCAGTCGCTGGCTAAGTTCGCCAGTGATAAGGAGACGGAAATAGAGGCCATATGCAACACCAATCACCAAGAATTTGTTGCTTCAGTGAATCAACTCCTTCGCATCCGGGAAGGTACGGTTAGCCTGACAGCCGAGATCCTTGATTTGAACCAAGCCATTCAAGCAAGTACCGAAAGATTGGCAGAGCAGAAAAGAGCACTGGTGGAGTCGCGCGGTCACCGGCAGAACATTGATGAGACATCCCGTGCAATCCAGGGTTGTCTTGAAGTTTTACGCCTTGCTAACCAGATTCATGACTTGTTATCGAGAAAAAATCACTATGCAGCCCTGCGAGCCCTTGAGGAGATACAAAATGTTCATCTCAAAGGGGTCATTCAATATAAGATTGCTGAGATGATCCAACGCTCAGTGCCTGCTACAAGGAAGATAATTGCGGAAGCAGTTATGTCCGACTTGAACACCTGGCTGTACAGAATTCGTGAGATGTCCCAATACCTCGGCGAGATAGCTCTATATCATACCGATCTACGTAAGTCAAGGCAGAAAGAACGAGCCGAGATATTGCCCTACCTAGGTCAATTCAAGCTTAATTCTGCTATCGAACTTGTCTCCGATGAGAGTGAAGAGTATGATTTGTTACAGAACGACGAACTTCAGGTCGATTTCACACCACTGCTTGAATGCCTACATATTCATCGATCCTTAGGGCGTATTGACACGTTCCGCCTCGAATATGCCAACACACGTCGTCATCAAAAAGAGCTTTTACTTCCCACATCAGTAACTTTGATTGACGAAGATGGAGCTTGTCTCCATAATTTACTCGAAGAGATGGCGGGTTTCGCGATAGTTGAACGCTCAACCATGATAAGGATTCCAGATTTGAGATCCCCTGTCGATGTAGGCCATCTTCTGCGTGTTTGGGCTTGATTCTGTACGCTGATGTCTAGTATTAACCAGGTCGATGAGCTTTGGGACTCGATGTGTCAAGGTGCCGTAAACTTGATACAGAGGGCACTTCGCGAAGTTGATAACGCTGAAAGTTTGCTCAAAATCAAGAACCTTATCGCATTGTTCATGCAAACAATGAACGTCGGTCGAGTGGATCCTCAAGGGTGCCGAAGCATTTTGTACTAATTTATGTTTCGTAGACATGGGGCTTCCCTGTCGGAGTCTTCGATACATTTTTGTTGACACTTTTCAGAAAGTACGCCGACCTTCTCAAGAAGAGGTTTAGCGACGATTTTCAAGAGGTGTGCCTTGACTGCGACGAATTTTCGTTGTCCATTGCTAAGAAAAGCTGAAGATTGTCTCGACCGATGATTATATGCCTATGCCCATACAAACATTTGAGGAATATGAGAAGGTGCTGAATGTTAGCTGGTATAATCCAGAAACACCACGCGAAGAACAAGTGTAATAGTCCTTGCGCAACCGCCTTGGGTGATGCCCTATTTACTAACCTGTGGCAGGTTTCCTTGCGTCTTACCATTTTCTCAAATGTACCCGCTCTGCTGCATCGATATACGTAATTTCCTGAATCAATTCTATTTCTTCGCCAATGACGATTTCCCGCATGCTAATGTGATCGACGAGACGCTGAAAGAAGTGAGTGGGTGTTTTGAAACGCGACTCTATTCACAAGCTAATAGTACAAGGCACTCGATGAGCTCCTTTCGAATAAAGTGTGTGACACACTTGTTGAACGTCTTTCCTCCCAGTATTTGGGTCAGATTGTGCAGATCCTTATCAACCTAGAGCATTTTGAACACGCATGCCGTGAGCTCGAATTGCTTCTTGCAGCGGCCAGATCACAGAACTCTTCGGGTGAAATTGTGATGCTCCATGCAACCGAGAAGTTCAGGAATAATAAGAAAGCAGCTGAAAAGCGAATCTTTGAGGTTGTCAACTCTAAAATTGATGACCTTATAGAGACAGCAGAGTACGATTGGATGGCATCTATCCCGCCCACAGAGCCGAGTAATTACATGCAGACGCTGACAAGATTCCTTTCTAACATCATGAACTCGACGCTCCTCGGCCTACCGACCGAAATCAAGGAGCTCATATACTTCGACGCTCTGAGTCACGCTGCAAATATGATCTTGGTCTGTCATACTCGCATACATGAGAAGTTCATTTCTGACATATGTAGGCACTTCCACTCTCACCCGAAGTTAAAAAAATCAATACACATGGCGTGCTAGCTCTCACCAAAGATGTCGAGTACCTTTATCAATTTGTCGACAGCCTCGGTGTGCCCATACTTCGGGAAAATCTTGACGAGTTGCAACAGACAGTGCAGTTGATGCAGGCAGACAACACAGACGAATTCTACGATATATCTACACGAAACAAGAAGTATGGGCGTGTGGATGCCATCAATGGCCCCGTTCTGCTGGAGAAGTAAGTCCAGTTGATAGTACCTTACTTGAACCGCAGCATGTGCTAATTGACATGGGCAAAGGATCGCACGTAATGTGCAGAGCCCGACGAAAATTGACAAATTTGCCACCCTATCTTCAAGGTTTGGAAAGAAATCTTAAAACACGATACCGCTTCCCCTGGTCAAAAAATGGTTTAAAATATCAATTGTTAGGTTGAGCTTACTCGGAACATGAGTGTCAAGGGGCTCATCTGTCGCAAGCATATGAGTTACCATTTCTCTTTGTAAAAAGCAAAACTACTGGTTTCAATGCCTACAAGCATAAAAAAACCGTTTAAGACGTCAATAAAACACCCGAACACCTTTAGGCCAGGAGCGTAGATCATAAAATCACTTGAGCTCAAAATTGATTAGCCTCTAGACTTCGTTACTTCGTTGACCGACAACGAAGTCAACTCCTACGCATGAATCTTGACAGATGAGACATACCTGTTGTGGTGGCATATGCGGATAAGCATACATCCCGTCAAACATTTGAGGTTGATGTTGGCCGTAAGCTGCGGTCGGGTCCGACTGCACAGCACCGGCATACATTGGCGGCTGTCGATATTCCGGATCTTGCAATCCATGCTGGCCCAGTGAGCCATAGTCTGGGGGTGGCATGTGATGCGGGGGGTGCTGAACTCCATGCTGAGCCGTTGGCATTTGATTTGCGGCGCCTGAACCACCCGATGAGGTTGCAGTTGCCCCAGTAGCCTGACTTGAGCGCTTCGCATGCGATGTAGCCTCCTCACGAGGTACTATATCAATAAGAAAATCAAACATGTCAGATTTTGAGAGAGCTGCTGCAATGTCCGATCTTTGTAGTGTGCGTCGTTTGTTGTCTTCAGCATGGATCCATGCCCGCATTGTAAGCTCGGTAATGAAGATATCGCACCCCTTCGCAAACAAGATCGGCGCTTCGGCTGAGATCATCTTTACTTCCGGATCTGCCTTCATCACCTTCTTGATACGGGCGAGCGGTAATTGATGTATTTTGTAGTCATGGTTATCTGTCTCGAGGTGATTGATAATGTGTTGCCAATATGTTGTCAGTATATCACGAGCTGTCCCTTGTAGTCCTTGGTTCACCTGCTAATTGTTAATCATATTTGGTACAACGCAGCCGAGGAGTTCTACTTGCATTTGCCCAAGTACCCGTATAAAGCTCAGCAACGGGTGCGAACCCTTGCGCAGAAAGCTAGAGGGGTAGAAGCAGCGGTCAGCGTCATAACATTTGAAATCACGCGTACTCGAATAAAGCGTATGAAAACGATCGGGAAGCCCTACAGCCGCACTGGCTCCTATGGAATATGGGTCAGCTTAAGCTTGAGGTGGTGGTACTATGCTGAAACCAAATCAGGAGCTAGAGGATATACCGTAATGTCCTCCATTTCTGGTATCGTATACAGGCTGCTGTCTTCCCTGTTGCTGTCCGGCATTTTGCGTAGTCTGTTCCATTCTAGGCAATATGCTGCTGAGGAGGCTTCAGAATGACATGCACAGCAAATTGCTCTAATCACGGACGGATTCGTAACTGTGTTATGAAAGGAAGTGAAGGACACTGCGTAAATATTGCTGTGGCAGACGGTGACAACAGAGGTGAAAATTATATCTGATCTAAGTAGTTCTAGACAAGACTGCTGGTAGTTGTCAGACTAAGACCTGGTAAGACAAGAAGTTGACGGGGCCATAGGGTAAAGGTCGTGGTAACGTGCAACAAAGCGGCGCCAAGCTTGGCAGGTGTATCTATCTAACTTAGTACTCAGCTAGCTTCGCTATTAGGGACCGGGCTCGCTTTCGCATCACCAGGAGAAAATTTACGATGAAAAGTCGATATTCGAAGTGTTCAAGGGATCAAGTATCATGGCTTAGAAGTTTACAGCTGTATCTAATTAGCAATGATTAGATAGTAACCATTTGCGGGGAAACAGAGCCGACCCCTTCCATTGTTCTCTTTGACATGGTCCCATAGGGTATACCCCTCGGTGCGCGGTGTAGGCGGGGTATGGCTTCGGACTTGGGTGATAATATTCTGTACAATCTCAACTACCGAACCGACCTACTACTCAGTGCGTACTGCACAACAGCAGCTGGCTTTGTGATTTAGTATTGCAGCGCCTGACTAGTCAAATAGAATAGGTGAACTGATACTGATTTCCTCCGATATTATAGTTCTGCATACACAACAAACTCTCTTTCCAACATCCTCCGTAATTGCATCATACCATCTGAGAGCAGTAGGCAATGACCATATATGTTCACTGTAGAACAGTGTAACTTTAATACAGTGTAAGTGCCGGGCGGGCTGCACCACATCCTGATACAGCATTCCAGACACGTTACAGTACACGAAATGACGCGTATGTCTGTATTGCGATCATGATACCGGTTCAGGGTTAGTTAGTAGATTTCCTGCTTGGTAAAGCGGACCCCACACGGAGAAAATTTCATCTTAACCGACAAATCTTCAAGGGGCAGAAATAGCTTGACTCTTGTCTCCATAAATACCGAGCTTCGGCTTTGCTTCTCACACTTTTTGCATTCATCTTCTTTCGTGCCAAGTTGAGTGCAGTGATAGATCTGCACACATCAGTCCCAAGGATATGACACGAGCAACATGTTCTAAACCGGATCAAGTCCTAGCACAGGATGGAATCAGTTTAGCGGATCAGGAAATCAAGCTGCTGCTTCATGAAGCTGAAGATAGGCTGCAAGGTTGCAATGTCAGCAATCCGGAAATACCTAACTTCAACCAGGTTCCAGGTACTATTTCTGAGCATAGGTATGTACTTGAAAATATCTACTTTATGATGTTTGTCTTGCAGCACCAGGCTAATGCTTGCCAGGATCCCGAAAATATCACACAACACTGCTATAGAGCCGTATTTTCATCAAAGGGATGATGTAGCGCTAGTTGATACGGCCAGGTTGTTCTCCCATAAAAGCAGTAACACTTCCGGAGCCAAACAGATAAGCGGAGAGCCGCTTAAGTCGACAAATTCGAGGAAGGTAAGAAGCCTTATGTTCATTCCCATATTGCTTTCGTCACTTTTATATTTTCTGCTGCAATGAGGAAAACATCTCGCATAAGCGCTTGATACAGCTAATCATCCCGTACTGGGCTGCGCTGTGCCAATGAGAGTTTTTTTTTTGTTTCATAGTTACTCTGAGCACCACTTCCCCAGCTCTTTTACTCAACTGTACTTGAGGCTTGGAATCAGGTACTGATTGCATTGTTTCACAGATGAAACCCACAGCAGGTGGCGATTGGTTTGACCTGCCCAAAACTGAATTGACGGCGGAATTAAGACGAGATCTACAACTTCTTCGGATGCGCTCAGTTCTAGATCCTAAAAGACATTACAAGAAGGAGAGCGGCAAAGCACATCCTCCCCCTTACTCTCAAATCGGAACAGTCATTGAAGGACCTACTGAATTCTTTAGCGGTCGCATCGTCAAGAAAGACCGTAAGAAGACATTCGTTGATGAAGCATTGGCACTAGAAAGGGAGACCAAACGCTTCGAGACAAAGTACAGGGACATTCAGACTACAAAACAAAGTGGTAAAAAGTCGTTCTACAAAAGCTTACGCTCCAAAAGAAACACCAGAGGCAAGTAGATTAGCTGAGAATCTATGCTGAACTCATTAGCTTTTGGGATCAAGGCGCTGAGTCATAGCACTGGAGCGGACTCTAGGTAGGGAAAAGCTCAACCCTAGGGTCGGCTTGCCCCCGGGATTGGTCGTATGGCCTCGGCATGCGGGTTACATACTAACCGACTGTCGGATTACTGGAAGCTCATAGCCACTGTTTTCATCACCAATCTCTGTAACGCGTGTTACACGTGCAAGTTGACAAGAGGGTGAAGAGTCATACCTGCATGTCTATCGCTGCCGAGCGACCAGTGTCAAGAACTTCTTGATGGTCAGCCTTCCCTTTCTGCATGATGGCCCTCAGCTCTCCTGCCTCTTTCCCGTCGAAGATTTCATCGTCGCCTCGAGGGACTGGGTCCAAGACAGCTCTATTGGTCACTAGACTGAATGCTAAGACCCGTATGCCGCAATGCCTCGCAACAACAATCTCTGGAACAGTGGACATTCCCACAACATCTGCTCCTAGGCCGCGAAGCATGCGGCACTCTGCTCTGGTTTCATAACTACAGCTTCTTAGCTCCGTCGCCAGGCAATGGGACTTAGTCTCACCTCGGTCCACCTACAAAGGCATATACACCTTCGTGCAGCCTCCGCTTATTATCCGATACCACCAGGGCAGCCCAAGCTTCATGAACATGGCGGCGCAAGTCAAGATCGTAGGCGTCTGAAAGGGGAGGGAAACGTGGTCCAAATTCTTCCACATTCGGCCCTCTGAGCGGATGGATGCCTGCGAGTCCAGAAAAGAATAGATGCTGTACCCTTTTAGAATAAGCCAGTCTCAAGGGTTGATTTGCGTCTGTCACTGACGTCGTTAAGTAGCACAATGTCTCCAACGATATATTCCGGGTTCAGCCCCCCGGCAGCATTCGTCACTATAACCGGTTTGATTGATGTAAATTCACTGTTCAGATATAGGGTGTGGGATTTCTGTTCCATCATCCCAAATTTTCTCTTGGGCAGGGGGGAAGACTGACAGATGATGGCATCAATGCCCAGTAGCTTGAACACGCGTACAGGAAATGTAACTCGATCAATCGAGTGGCCTTCGTAGTAACTATTGGCAGGACGCAGTCATTCAGCAGCTTACCGAATAACTCGGCAATGAAAGGTGACTTACTGGGCCCGGCCAACCATCAAGACTGCAGGAACTTGGCCATTAAGGTGTCCGAAAACGAGCCTTCCAGCGTGACCAGCAACTTATACATATTGGTGAGCACTAAGCTACATGTGATAACGAACATGTTAGACTTGGTGAGTACCTGTTAGATGGGGGAAATGAGGGACTGATGTGTAGTCAAACTCAGCACGAGGCTGATCGTCGATCGTGTCGGCGAGCCCTCCCAAACCAGAGCCACAAATTATGGCAACACGAGGGGCTTGCAGTGGGCCTGGCAAACGAGCTCTCAGAAAGATAGCTGCTTCCTCTGCTTGCTCGTATAGAGACAATTTATCATTTGATGGCGCCATTCCAGCTTCTTTGTCGGGGGATGAATAGTTGACGAGGCCGTGCTAATGCAAGGGAAGCCGGCGGAACTTACACAACCTTGGCACAAATTGGATTTATTGCACTACTTGGCTATAACTTGGTTGGGAAGCGACGAGCGGCCACTGGGCATTCCCAGTGGGTCAAGCACAGCTTATTTAAGAGGCCTCAACAATTGAACCGCAAGTTGATATTATCCACAAAAGGATATGAGATACTGTGTAGATCATGTTGACGATGCTCTTGACCTGCCCACTTGTCTACAGCTGTGATCTGCTGTACATAACACACTATGCAATTGACTAGTACCGTTCATACACCAGTAGTCATCAGCTCAGGTACATATAGACAGTAAATGTAAGAGGTTTGGGTGAGAGAAGGCTTGTGACAGGAATTCATCATGAGTCTCATTTTGCCTACACAGACAAATGGTCATCAGGGAAAGCATCCTCTTTGCAAGTCACAAAACAGCTTTGTTAAACTTTGTGTTTGCAGGAGCCAATTGTTCAAATTGACAAGAATAAGCACCAAAGCGAATCCAGACTAGTGCGACAGAACATTGGTTCTGGACAATAGGAAGAACCGCAGGGGCCGAGTGGTCAGTCAAAAAATAAAATAATGTGATGGACCTATCGTGGCTACAAAATGGATGGTGCGAAGTTTGCCGCTGCTCGGAGATCGAGGAGCCTTCCAAATATAACTAAAGGAGAGGTTCTGCTCATTATGCTATTTCGTCTAAAAAGGATGCAGTGCTCGTGTGCCGCCAACATTACAGCCGGATTTTAAGTTAGCTGAAGACCGAAGGGAGAGGTCAGAAGACCCTCATCCCGAGCTTGCTGGAGTATTGGAAAATTGCATGCCGTGGTAAATTGGCTGATAACACTACAAGTTTGACTCATTTTTGTCATGATTCGGAGGAAAAGTCACACGGTTAACTTCAGATGACAAGAAGGGAACAGCATCTATGAACAGCGATTATGTTATGCTTTAAACGCTCTCAAGAACCGTTTCCTTGAACTCCCTCTCGACCTTCTGGCCCTTGTCATCGGTTGTAGACTCTCCGTGCAGGTTGAGCAGCGCACCGAGGTCGAACTTAGGAGACTTCAGAAGCTTAACCTTGCGGATGTGGACCTAGGACCAAGTTAGTAAAGCTGACGCTGTTCAAGACTCGTGGCGCATGGACTAACGTTCTGCAGAGGGTAGATGCCCTGGGTAGACTTCTCAATTTCACGTCCAATAACCTCGGGAATCAGCTTGGTGGTGAGCTGAGCGAGGGAACAGCTGGCGGCCTCGCGCTGAATGATCTCGGTCATCTTCTTGCGGATAGCGCGGATCTGGGAGGAGCGGGCATATGTGGTCTTCTTAATCTGGTTGGGGCGTCTCTTAGTGAAGGCGATAGCGAACAGACGAAGAAGATAGTCGTCAGTGGTCTTCACAGTGACATTGGCCTCAATCAAAGACTGCCACTTGCGGACGAGAGAACGGAGCTTGTCGGTGGTAAAGTCCAATCCGTGGAAGTTGGTCAAGCAGTTCTTCCCTTGAATCTCATCAACACGAAGCTTGACCTTGCGGAAGGCGTGATCCTCATCGTTCTGGAGGTCGGCGAGGGAGACTTCAACGATCCTGCCCTTCAAGGAGTCGTTGGCGTTCTTCAAACCGCTGGTACGGTTGACTAGGGTCTTTCCAACACTTTCAAGCGAGTTAGTGTGCTTGTCGGGTAACCGTGATGACCAGAGAAAGATTGCACAAAGATAACGAGTGGAGCGGTGGGATCGCGACATACTCTCTGATTTGGAAAGTCGAAGGAGCCTGTGTGCGTTCAGCATAAGTCACAGCAAATATCATCTTGTTTGGAAAATATCCTACCTTCAGCGAGTACTCGTCCTTTCTGGAGAAAGGATCAACGGTCCTCTTCTTGATGCCCTTCTTGCCCTTCGACAAGCGCTTGTTCCTGACAGCGATCAGTTACCGAACATCAGAAACTGCAATTACATATTTGGCGGGTTGAGATGGAGATGGATTTGCGCATACTTTCCAACGGCCATTATTGCGACTCAGGTCTATCCCGCAACAAATGAAGACAGACTGGAATATCACACCAAGCGCACTGGTGGAGGGAGTCGATTCGATTGTCGCTGGCTTGCTGCTCAATCACGGAAAAGTGTAGAAATCCAAATCCCACAGAAAAGTCAGCTAAGCGAGCCGTCGGCCCTACCTCGAAATTACATAATATAGTTCCCCACAAATACGTTGCAAGTTCTTCTGTGATTCGCTCGAGTGAAAGATGCCCCGTGACTTCGGTTTCTTAGATCTATGAATATATAATTACAAAAAAAAAAAACTCCGTACATTTATTTACTTAGTATTGTCTTAATTATCGTCCGGAGTGGCAAGTAGGTAGTATGCTGTGTACTCAAAGCTTGAACAATGGAGTCAACTACCCGGCTTGTATACTCTGTCTGATCCTTTAACATTTGTGATCTACCAGTGCATATACCGTTATATGAACTAAGTCTTGATGAATATCCAATCCATACTCACGTTGCCATCTATAGACATTGCTGTAATCAGTCATAGCTGCAGTTATTAATTAAACGAGTCTTGTATAGTACGCACAGTTGATAGGTTATATGTAATGACTTACATGTAATATCAAGTTGTAGTTCCGAGTTTGCACCTGAATTCCATAACTATGCTGGATGCAGATTGGTGAGCAGATGGGAGTCATTCAATACCTATCTGTAGTTACATGAAGTGGAACAACACGTGCGCAAGGCGAGAAGAAATCTGTTTGCACACTCTCACCTTGTAGTAAGCATGTGTGGTTGTCAGCCTCAGATAAACCCACTTGTCAACTACTGGTACCTGTTAAATAACCAACCGTAATCTAACTTAACTACCTGTTGTCAACCATGATGAACCTAGGTAGTTCTTCCGTTACCTCTTTATTTGCCTACTTTTTACAACCACCATCGCTGTTATTACTACACTGCTCTGCGTATTTATATAATCCGTAGGCACGCGACGAGAGACACTCAGACTTACTGAGAGGATAGGGTTGCAAATTCACAGACTATACCAGCCCACTTCTTAGAATGTTACATAATTTGGACTGTAGAGAAAATAATAATGTGATCAGCATATCAAGTCTTATGGCAATGTGAGTTACTGTACGGAGTACTGTATATACACCTGCTTCACCTGTAATTTAGTGACGACTGCTAAATAGAGACATATAAGCGACACGTGTATACGCTACATATTACGGAGTACCTTGCTTGGCTGACTATTCTCGGGTGCTGACATCAGACGCTCGTGACCATGAACACTTCCGGGTTGAAAGGGTCCTGCGTACCTACTCACTGTCTGCCATCAGCCACCACCGATAACGGAAACTGAATTATGGTATGGTGTCTTATCATTGAGATGTATAGATCGCAATAGTGCTAACTCTCCATCTGTATTTCAGGGTAAGCGAAAGAAGTCAAGCAGGCAGCCACAACAAACAAGAAAGGTGATTCATATACTGGGTACCTGTAATCTTAACCTGTATAATAACGTCGCGGTAGAAAGAACCACTGCCCACGACATTTGCATGTCTATTCTGCAATCACGAGAACTCAATAATAGTGAAGCTGGACAAGAAGCTTGGGTTGGGGAATCTTACTTGCAAAGTCTGCGGGCAAAGATTTCAGACAGGAATCAATTGTACGTCTGCATTGTGCACATTGCTTTCAAACATGCTGAGTTTGGTATCTGACGCTCCAGACCTCTCTGCCGCCGTTGACGTGTATTCGGATTGGGTGGATGCCTGTGACGCTGTCGCGAAAGACGCCGCCCATAAGTACGAAGAAAGTGATACTCGTGTCGGACGCTCGAATGACTTTACTACTTCGCCCGGTGCTCGTAACTTCGATGCTGATGATGCGCACGCCGATGGCGAGTATGCTGACGATTACTGACGCGTCTAAGGCGGCTGGCAGGTTTTAAGTATCTACAAAGTCTGCTGTAATGGAGCTGAATGGCCACATTGACACCCACATACCACTAGAATGGAGATTACCTGTGTAGCAGCAATTTTAGATAATCAATCACACGAGGTTCACATGGACATAACCTCTTGAGTTTACGGAGAATTGATTTATAGTGTATAATATCTATCACCGAAATCACCCAGTCCAGGAATAATGTATCTGAAAATCATGGTTAATACAGAATTAGAAGGGCACCAGAATGCACTTACTTCTTATCGTCCAAGCCCTGGTCTATGAATGCAGTTACTACCCTAAGCTTAGGAAAACGTTCTGCGAAATCTGCAACCCCCGATGGACTTGCGATAAGGTTGAGAAAGAGGATGCGGTCTTCCGGAACACCCTTCGCTTTGAGAACCTCCACTGCAAGTGTTGCAGAGCCGCCTACAAGTCATAAGCTCGAGCCATATATCGATGGGCCGGGACCTACCGGTTGCGAACATTGGGTCCAGAAGGAGTACCCATCGGTTGCTAATATCCGCCGGGAGCTTCTCATAAAAGAGTTTCGGTTTGCAGGTCTCCTCGTCCCTTTGGATTAAGATCTTTCCGATGCGAACAGATCGACAGCAGTCCCTTAATCCTTGCTCCATGGCTTCCCCTGCTCTCATTATAGAGACACCACATATCTTTCCCTCAAATCTGACTCCAAGGTAAACGCGACCTACTGGTGTAGTAACAGATTGTTTAACAACTGGTAGATGGTTAAGTCCTTCCTCAACCAGGAGCCGGATTATTCTGTTGGAATAGAAAATAAAGTCGGCGCGGCTGGTTTTCTTGTCTCTGATCATGCTATATAGAAGGTCAGCACCACTGAGAACAGCACATAAGCAATAGTGTAGGATAAGTGTCAATATTCTGTGTCTTACGTCAAAAGGGCAATCAATTGAGGGGTCTGGGGTAAGACATGGACATTCTCATATGATATATCCTTAGAAACTGTTGCTGTGGGCTTTTCGTCCTCCGGTCTATAGCAGGGCCCAACACCCTGCGCAGGGGAGGGTATGGGCTCGAAGCTGTTCTTCTGTTCCATGTTTATATAGGCCGGTACAGTGTGGGAGGTGGATGAAGATAAGAGTAGCGGGAGGTGGTAGAAGACGGGCAGCAGTTACAACTATTCATTTCTTCGGCAAACCATTTTCTATACATGTTTATTATCATACATACCGAGTGCCTTGGAATATATATGACAAATACTGGTAGGAGAAAATCATAAAATACATATTCTTGAAGTCTGAATATTCAGAATAGATAGTAAAAGAGAGAAATACTTGTATATAGGGTAATAGAATTCTAGAATAATTGTATTAGTCAAAGACGATGGTGCAGTTCTGCCGCGTTGTTCCGCCCAAGGTGAATTCTTTAAGTAGTTCGCCTGTCTCGGGATCTTCCCTTATCAACAACTTCAATACTAATAATCTTGATGAATTATGTCTCCTAAACCCAATGTCTTTGATATTTAGTAACGTGTCCCGGCTTCTAGACACTGTATATATTTCTTTGGTCCTGCCTAGTGGTTGAAATCGCTTTTTATTTCAGCTATCTTTTTGTGATAGGATCTACTTGTCAGGGTAGAAAGCCTGTCGACTAGGTAAGGAATCAACCACTAAACACCATGGATTCGTCTAGTAATGACAAAGGTAGCCTATATCCACGAAATAGACTGATCCCTCAGTAGCCTCCTGCAGAGGAATTATGTGTAAGGGCTAAATCAACCCTTCCAACCTTCGCGAGTAGTCGCGAAGGGAAATCTATATAGTAGGCCTCAGGCACCAGTCACATGACAGCTAAGCGAGTGAGTCGCGACCTCCTATTTAGGGGGCGGGTGACTCGCGGATTAGGCAGATTAGCAACAACACCTTAAGGCAATCAACTGGCACCTTTGGCCTCACAAGGCCATTCATTCATCATGCTATTTCACCATCTTAGCCCTTATATTATGTAAGGGCTGAGAGAGCCCTACAACTTCCCTTTAGGGAAGAAAAGTATCACGTGGGTGTATCAGTAGGGCCAATAGGTCCATAGTCCTAATTCAAGGAATGAATTAGCGACTGTGGGTAATACTGGCTGAATAGCTATTATTTTGAATAAGTCCTATTATTTATTTCTTACCAGTTTACTTACAGTTACTCTAATTAAGGATTTAAATCTATAAGAGCTTATACTCTTAATAAGACTAGATAGACCTCTCTCTTAGTAATTAGATCTGTTTAAATTTAAACTATAGAATTAAATCCTAGTCTTGTCTACTAAAATAGATTAGAGTTTAGTTAGACTATTAAATATACTATTATTATAATTAACTTCTAAAGTAGATTTAGACTACTACTATAGCTGATAGTTAGTTCTAAAAGAATTAAGATTAGACTAGTATAAGATCTACTATAAGAATATTAGCTAATTAGAGAATAGAATAAGATCTATTTCTATTAGACTTCTAATTAGTTATATACTATAAGAACTATAAGTTATATACTATAAGAGCTATAAGAAGAAGAAAGATTATAAGAATTAAGAGAATTCTATAACTTTCCTTTAGGAAAGAAAAGTATCACATAGACATATTAGTAGGACTAATAGATCCATAGTCCTAATTCAAGGAATGAATTAGCGACTGTGGGTAATGCTGGCCGAACGGCTATTGTTTTGAATAAGTCCTATTGTTTATTCCTTACAAATTAGCACCTTATAGGTGTTGGGAAGGTGTAGGTTCGCTATCGATGACCTCACGACTCCCATAACTGCTATAGTACGCCATCCCGATGACCTTACTCCTGATAGTAGTTGTTTTATCACACTTTTATATTTATTTATTCTTATCTATTGATTTTGGGTATTTTATGGTTAACATCCTTATCTTTTAGTTGTACTGTAGTTCTACTGGTTACCTTTCTCTCTGCCCCCCTCCTATCCACTGGTTGTGGATTATAAGATATTTGATTCGTACTCTTATTACCTAACTGATTAAATAAACTGAGTTCTATATTTACTTCAAGATCAAATCATATATACTATTTCTAATATGCCTCTCTAGTTCTAAATCTATCTCGAAAACCTGTGTTTAAGATTCTCTATAGTTTTATTTATTTTAAATAGCTTTATTAGTAGTATTGTCAAAGTTGGGACAGGCGACATCAGCCATTATATCATTATGAAGTTGTTGATTCCTTGAGGGATCCTGGGATGGGCTGTTGTGGTATTGATGAAAGATCATAATTGAGTAAGATCGGTTGATCAAGACAGAAGACATCAAGGATCAGTCAATCTGAAGTTAAGCCGCCAAGGCGGCCAGGAAGGCGGCCACAGACAGGACGGCAGAATATTGCTATATGTAATATGTATGTGTAAGGGCTAAACCAACCCTTCCAATCTTCATATATAGTTGGGAAGGGAAATCTGTATAGTAGACCTTAGGCATTAGTTATATAATAGCTAAGTAAGTAGATTATAATCTTCTATTTAGAGAATAAATAGTTTCTAGACTAGATAAATTAGTAATAATATCTTAAGATAATAGATTAGTATTTTTAGGTTTATAAGAACTATTTATTTATTATACTATTTTATTATTTTAGTTTTTATAATCTTATTATTTAATATTATATAAAATAATCTAAGAAATAATAATTAGATATAAAATATAAAACTAAATAAAAGATGATATTTCTAATCTAATAATAAAAAACTATACATAAATTACAAGAAATAAATCTTCTATGTTTAAAAGAAATATAAATTCTAATCTAATAAATATTTATACTTACCTGAATATATTATAGATTATAAGAATAGCTAAGAATTAGTAGTATAAAGAAGTATCTATAGAGAATCTTAGATAATTCTAACTCTAATATTATAAAGATAAAGAGAACTAATATATATACTAATCTATTTATAGACAAAGACTAGTATAGTATTCATAATTATATAATCCTTTATATATTTATTATATATCAGAAATTACTTATAAAGACGAATAATTAGAATAAGAATTAGAAAATATAAATATTTGAGTTTCAGTCCTTTTCAAATAGAATTAATTAGGGCTTTATTTAACTTTCACTTATCCATACAAACTGAGTATAGAAGTGAAGTCAAAGCAAGGTTAAAGTCAAAGATAATTAAAATTAAAAGAATCAAAGATAGAATAAATAAGGAAATAAACAAGCCACTAATTTCAATATATATCTAGTTAACTGATTCAGGATGATTCAGAATAATCCTCAGGAAATTATTAAATAAATTAGGCTATTTAAGCTAAAATCCTTTATTTATTAATTTCCTAATTAGGAAATCAAAATATTCAGAATATAGGGATAAGAATTCAGAGTAAGAATATAGAAGTAAATTAGCTAGGAATAGATTAGACTAGAGTAATAATTTAAATAGCTTAATCTAGGAACTAGGGCTAGGATTTAGTAGTTAGATAAGCTACTAGTCTAATATACCTCTATAGTTTTTATAGAACTTAGTGGTTCTATTAAAATTAGAGTAAATAGATAGGTAAATATACTACTAAAATAGAAAAAAGATAAATAATTAAGTTCTTACTATATTAAGTTAATTAATAAATTACTAGTATTTCTAATCTCTAAACTACTTAGTTAGATTATTAGCTTTTATTTTATTAGTTAAAATCTAATAAATATTAATAGTCTTATTTAGGGCTTTCTATCTAAGCCAGTGATTTATAATATCTATATACTTTAGACTAGTCTAAAAAGAGAAGATAAAACTAGTTAGGATTTAGACTATCTAGATATTATTATATAATATAGAAAGGCAGTATTTAGGGTTAAATTCTATTTAATTAAAAAATTATCTCTACTAAAGTAGTTGCTTAGCTATAGTAGTTAGGGCTAATAGTTCAGTCTTAGTAGTAGAAAGAATTATATAGTATTATTTTTTACTCAGCTAATTAATAGATCTATTAAATAAGTAAATAATATATTCTATTAAACTAGTATAATCTAAATTATTACTAAAGCTAGTATTACTAGCTATATAGAAAACTATCTAATTAGAACTAGAACTATATTTAATAGTTAGGTTCTTTATTCCTTCTAAATAGAAAATCAAGTAGTCTACTGCTCTGAGATATTTAGAACTTAGATTAGTTAGATATTCTATAAGTAATTAATATAATTTAGCTATATTAGATCTAATCTAAACTATAGAATATAGAACTAACTCTACTTTTTACTAAAATTTATAAATCTAATTAACTAAGGCCTTAAAAAGTAGATTCTTAGTTAATTTTGTACTTAGAAGTAGAGATTTAAAGCTTTTAAGATACTCTAGATTAAATTTATTAATAATTTTATTAATATAAATTAATTACTTAATCTATAGCTTCCGGTTTGAGCGATTATATAATATTTAGATATTTAAAAATAATATAGATTTACTAAGATTCTTTATAGTAAATAATATTATTAATTTTTTCTTAAATTTATTGAATTTCTCTTGATTTAATTAGTAAAATATACAGATTATATTATTTATAAATATTAATAAAATCAGATAATTATTAATATAGATATATTAATTCTTTTTAATAGAACTAAGCTCTAGGGCTTTAAGCTTTACTCTAAGAGTCTTTTATTAAAGAAGAAGTAATTATCTTAGATTATATAAAATCTTCTATAATAAATAAACTATTTATTTATTTTCTAATTCAGAAAGGGGGTCTATATAGATCTTTTTCTTAATAGAGCTATTAAGAAAGGCAGTAATAGTATTTAATTAATATATTTCTAGATTAAATACTATAATTAGGACTAGAATAATCCTTAGGGATCTAGCTGTAAGTATACTAGTATAGATTTTTAATTAATCAGGGATCTATAAATCTCTTTAAATATATATCCAAATCTTAAATCCAGCTAGTTAATCTTTTTTATTAAATTTAAAGGTCTATACTTATTTTAGTAGTAGAACTTTCTTATTCTTTATATTATAGATTAAATATATAATCTAGATATCTAAGATATCTAATTAATTAAGTTCTATCTTTAAAGCTTAAATAAATTAAAATAAATAGAAGTAACTTATTAATCTTCTCTAGTTAGTAGATAGTAGTAGAAGCTGGGAT